GCCTCGAAGCTAGCAAAAGAACTCGGACGGCTCCTGGACTACCAGGTAGCCCTCTCCACTGCCTATCATCCCTCAGACGGATGGGCAGACAGAACGAATGAACCAGGAGCTGGAGACATACCTTCGGATCTATTGTAGGACGACTCCTAACGATTGGGCCAAACACCTTCCCATGGCCGAATTCGTCCACAATTCCAGACGACACTCCGCTCGGAACGCATCCCCGTTCTACCTCATGATGGGTTATGAACCCAAAGGCATACCTTACGCCTTCCCCGACTCAGCTCTGCCAGCAGCAGAAGATCCGAGTCAAGAAACTCGCGAAGATCCGTGAAGAAGCCCTTGCATGCCACAGCCTTGCGCAGCAACGCATGGCAGAACGCACGTTCGGGCGAAAGTACCAACCTTGGAAGGTTGGGGACAAGGTGTGGCTGTCTGCTGCGCATTTGATCACCCACTTCCCTTCAAAGAAACTCGCACCGAAACGATACGGACCCTTTACCGTTAAACAGGTCCTATCCCCTATCACGTTCACCCTCGAACTCCCTGCCACCTGGCGTGTTCATCCCACGTTCCATGCATCAGAATTATCCTCCTATCAAGAGACGGACGTGCATGGCCCAAACTATACTGAACCGCCACCGGACCTGATCGACGGGGAAGAACATTACGAAATAGAAGCGATCCTCCAACACAGGGGTACCGGAACGAAACACCGATACCTGGTCTCCTGGGTTGGCTATCCACCCTCCGAACGAACGTGGATCCCAGAGAAGGACTTGAAGTCCGCAGCGGAGATGCTCAAGGACTATAAGAAGAGACTCAAGCTGACAACAAAGCTCCTCAGTTGTTAACCAGCTACCATCATCTCCATGTCTACCACTTCGTCCAATGCCTCCTCCATCTCTCTCGGTTCCACACCCTCCATCGTCGAACTCATCCACGAGTTCACCGTTCCTTTCACGCAGACCCCGGACTCTCAGAAGGCATTCTGGGAGGCCATTATTCTCGACGCGCAGTACGCGCTTAGACTCGACAGCTATATTGACCGTACCAAAGACACGGTTCTCTTGGAGCTTGTCAACGCGTTTCGGGCAGTTGACACTGTCGCTTTCACAACCGGACCATATGGCATCCTTCCCCATAGTCCGATCACTCGATACTCCGTCACGAAGGCCAAGAGGGCCCTCTTGAACCTTCTCGCATCCAGGAATTTCGGCGACGTAGTCGTCAAGATAGAAGAAGAAATCGCATACAACCAACCGCCTGTACAGGCAACCGTTGTCGAGCGTACTGCCGAGTGCAGTGCTCCAACTCCTCCCTCCTGAACGATCCAACCTTATCCCCACCAACCTCACATCCGAAGAAATCGACAAACTGTTCGCAGAACACGAAGAAGAGCAGTACAGGATGATGACTAGCGACGAGCTCGAAGAACTCCGAGCTGCCATCATCAACGACGAGGTCGTAGCCAACGACCCGTTACCTGCTCCCTATAAAGGGAAGAAGAAGCACGAAGAAGAAAAGTCGAGTAAGGAAACTCGCACACCACCTTGGAGAAAGACGAACGAAGAAGACAAACCGAGCTTGGAAGCTCGTCTTACCACTCCCCCTCCAGGGTTCACCTCTACCGATGACATACCGATATTATCTATCGGGTCACCTATCATCAGGGACGATACCCCTATCCCTGTTCCTCCACCCACACGTACCCCTCGACGAAGTCGCCGACTGAATACCGAGCGCATTCTTGCACTCGGATTACCCACCACTCGACATGTACCGGGCCAAGATCCCACCAGGCAACAGATACTTAACGACACGCACACTAGGACGACCCCACAACCCTACCAGTGCAACTTTAAGTGCAGGGTCTGCCACCAGTACGGCCACAAACAGAAACAATGCGAGCGATACTTCTGCCGCATTTGTGGACTGTTCGCCCCCGGACATCTCACTCCCTTCTGCCCTCGCCTTCACGGCAAGAAGATCCTTCGTCGAGGAATATCCTCGGAAACGTTCTACACTGACATGCGTCAGTTAGAGGCAGCATATGATCACGATGCTGCACGACTCGAACAAGATAGAGAAGAGAATGCTTTGGAAGCCATGGACATACTCCGTGACCTCGACTGCGACCCCTCCTGGTATGACAACATGGATAACTGAACTCGTTGATTTCAGTCCTAGAAACCGGGGTAATGTTACAAGAACATCTAGACGCTTGGGCCCCTACTATTTTTCTCCTAATCCTCCTCGTATCAGCCCTCGCATCATACCCTTACCCCGACCTTACCCTTGTCATCCTCGTCATCCTCGCATTCCCTTTCGCCCTCTACCTGTCGCTTCAGCAAAGCCAGTACATTTGGCCGGATCCTTTCGCTGACGAAGCATACCCATGCTCCGTTTCACCACCTGACTGATCCTGCGGACAGTCCCCTTGCCCTTACCGTCCGGACGGTAACCTATGATATGATGCACGACGCATCCCCTTTGCCCTGTTCCCTTTTATGATCTCTGACTCGGTGCGCAGTCGCACATGCGACTTATACTTAGATCCGCAGTTGCACGATCGTGCCCCTGCGCGTTTCACTTCTTATTTCGATCTTTGACTCACTTTCTTATCTAGCACGTTCTACCCTAGACCGAACGTGCCTTCCTATTATGGTCTTACCCTTTACCGATTGCCTCTCCCGGTAGTACGAGTTATCATCCACTAATACGTCTCCTGTCCTCTATATAAACTCGCTACCATGTACCATATTCCCTAACTTGAATCTACTTGGTTCTTGACCTCCTACTCTCACCAGAGTGATCCTTCTGCCTCGCCAGCAGTCTATATTCTATCTTCTTATCTGCTCTTCGCGGATAAGCCTATAGTCTCGACCTTTGCTCATCGACTTCGTCGACGAACAAAGCCCCTGTTAACTAGTCGGACTTCTGTCCTTCTAATTAACGACGATCCTTACGATTAACCTTCGGGTGTCGTAAGTCTAGGCCGATATAGCTTATCGTCTCGCACCCGCGTGACATAAGCTACCCGATTTGGACATAGGCGTCAAATCGTACTTGCCGAAGACACGCCAAGTACGACCCCTAACCTTGGGCTAGCCCAAGGACGTCCACAGACCGTTGACGACACAAGCTCTGTTTGAGCATCGCCAACAGATACCATCCAAGTCGTAACAGGGTTCGACTTGCTCGCAGAGGACAAGGTTTCGGAATGTCTCTTGCCCTTCCCCTCCTTCGCAGCCAGTGCGGTCCCTGAGCTGCCCTTTTTACTTGGGCGTCGTTCGGTGAGTTGACGATGCTCGTATTCTTCACTAATGATATTGATGAGCTCGTAGGACGACAAAGGGACCTTGGTGATTTTGGCGGCTGCATTAATGGACGATAGAAGAGGGCAGTACGATTCTGGGAGTGAGCCGAGGATGATCGCGTGGAATTCAGTGTCTTGTATCGCTGCACCCATGCCCACTAATAACTCTCTTAAGCGCAGCATTTCTGAGAAGTGCACTTTGACATCTCCCCCCTCCTCGCACCTGGTGTCCTGCAAACGGCGTCGCAGGTCTATTTGGACGAGCTCAGTCTTACCCTCGTGGATCTGGCATATCTCTGTCCAGACCTCTGAGGCAGCTACGGACTTCTGTACGCACAGGAGTAGACTGATGAGTAATAGTACTGAAAATTTGCTGCTTGACCAGTGAGTTCTTTTGGTCGTATTCGTCCATGAGTCTATTGCGCTCATCGATCTCCTTCTCGGTAGGTGTCGAACCATCGGACTTCTGCGGAAGTCCCGTTTTCTCGTCTATGACGAATGGTAATGGTTCAGCTGCACGACTGTCTAGATATCGCATCAAACCTCGGGCACTGATTGCCATCAATTTTCTTTCCTTATAGGTAATCTAGTTCGTGCCATCTTCGGCAAGCTTTGGGACATTGAACAAGGTGGACGTGCTGGCAGGGAGCGTAGTATCGGCGGTCATGGCAGGGCTCATAACCTCTAGAGATTAGAGGTAGAGCGGGATAGAAAGGATCTAACAGGTAAGAGCAAGTCTCAGTCTCTAGAAAGAACTCATATTGACGAAGCGTGTACCTAACAGGTAAGAGCAACTACGCTAAGTCAGTTAAGTGTAACAATAACGGTAAAGGTGTAGACTCACATCTCAGTCTCTAGAAAGAACTGAGACGCTCACAACGGTTGGGCGCTAGTATTTATACAGTAAGCGCTCTCGATTATTTTGAAGGTAAAAATTTACTTTGGACCATTTTGGTCCCGACGTCAACAGGTACTCCCTGTTCCTTCCGTCCCCAGCACACTTCTTGCGCTCGTACCCTCTACTCCTCCTCCGTTCCTCTCCGGCTTCGGTATCTTCGGACTCAGCAGAATCGGATGTCAATACAGATGTATGACATTGGGGGCTCTGGTGATGCAGGCCGTCAGCTGTATGAGTCAGGACTCTATCAACAGTACCATTATAATTACAATTATTAGTATATAGACCATGATCCTCAATAATATTCATTTTCAAAGCGATGCACAACGACGAGCTTCAGAGTCTTCGGAGAGTGAAAGTTGACGGTGCCGCTGCTGTGCCGACGTGTGACACGACGTGACCATGTTTTGCAGAATACCAGTCAGACCCTGAATTTTCTCGGCCTTCATCCGACACTCCACCAAAAAATCCTCAAAATCAGAAAAAATCATATTCATATAGAGTAGCTACGAATATATAATGGTGCAAATCAGTAGAAGATAATATGATGCGGTTGAGGAGTTACAAAAGATTTATTGAAAATGTTGCAGAACCCCAGGAGTGATAGTACTGACGATGTGGCAGTGTTCTAGCGAAATGAAAATTAAACGCGTCCCTTGCGGACATATATATCCTTATGGAGAAGTTCAAATTTGGTTTGGTTCAAACTCAAGTTCAACTTGTTCTTTGACCAACATCTTCAATTACAGTAGCAGCTTCAGACAGGCCTTCTCGATTTTAACGATGGTCACTTATTCTGCTTTCTTTTCTTCTGGCCTTCTCGCGCCCTACCATCCAAGAACAACAACTCCTGCACCACCCTCCTCGCCGATGCCGATGCCATCCAGCACTATGCACCCTGTCGATCGCGATCTGAGCGTGACGCCAACACCCGGCGACAACTCAAATAATGTTGCTGCAATACCCACTGCGAATGCTGACCGTCCTCGCATGCGCAGGCGTCGCAGTAGCATAAATATCAGCGTGAACCCAATGGCTCTTATCAAATCCCCGACCCGAAATGCGGGTAGCGCGCTTCAGCGCACCGGCGTCATGTCTCCCACTAGGAGTCGTGCAGGCAGCATCGCAGAGAACGCTTCAGACACTAACAGTCTTTTTGGAAGATTAAGGAGTGGCAGTCTGAACACAGGCACTTCACTGCGGTGAGTGGCTCTAATGCCTGTAATTGGATGCGTTCTGGAACTCATAGTGTGCAGCCTGCGTCGTGCAGTCAAGCGAACCGTCCCAATCGCTCCGCCCCCTACTGCCCCTCTTCCTGCACTTCCACCCCCATCACCATCTCAACCTGCAAAATACACGCGTACTCTCGCGCCTCCTGCGCTCATCATACCTGCCCCTTGTCAACCCCTCATGAATTATTATGTATCCGGTCCTAACACCTCCGGATTACTCAGTCCTGGCTCTGTGATGCACTTCTCATCCAATATGTCGTCTGGTATCTCCTCCAGCCCTGCTCATAAGTGTTATTTTGGAAGCACCATCGATGAAGAAATGAAAGAAACCTGAACGCGCTTTGATGAGCGCTGCTTGTTTGGACACTGCGCCTGGTTGCGCACCCGCTCTCGTGCATCGATATCCTCGTTACCTATTTACTGTTCCAGATTAATTCCCTGCTGCATTTGTTACCTATATCCTACTCATAGCCAGTTTTACACCATGTTTCTATGTCTTTCAGTTTCTGCATCTTTCAAAGCTACTCTTGCTCTTTAAAACAGGTTTACTCGTTCTCGGCTATGTTTTGTGTGCTGCTCTAGTATCTATGTTATTTCTTTGGGCATTTGACGTGAATAGACCGCGGTCGTGTACACACATTATAGCCCGAGACATCAGATGCTGGGGGCAATGAACTCGCAGAAACACGTTTGGTACTGCGGCCAAAGCTCTGCGCCGTCAGAAAACAAGCGCCGTACAACTCTGCTAAAAACCTCCCATGTAGTCGCTAGTTCTGCCCTCAAGGAGCAAGGTCTAATGACAGATTTGCGCATTGTACGCACGACGCACAGCCTGAAAAGCCGGACAGAGATATGAGTGCTCTCGAAGGTATCACAACCAAACTGACTCTAAGGCAACGCATTGCAAAATCGACAGTGTCACATTCGTGCGGTGTCGTTTGTGAAGATCGGGCACACAACCAGTGTACAGCGACAGAGAACGAGCTACATGCACATGTATACGGGAAGTCAGGTAGGAGCTGACGGTCGCATGATGCAAGAGGTAAGGCTGTGCTGGACGCGGAAAGATGTACAAGATGCATAATCATCCTGAGGGCAAGAAATAAAAAAGGATGAATAGGATACTCAATAAACCCATGAACAGTGTATTCATCCATTGCAAAAGTTGCCGGTGGTGCGGAAGAGTGGCAGCTCGTGCGACGTGCATACTTATGGTCCCTAATTATAAGACGGGGTAAGTTTGACTCGCGATAATCCATGTTCATACTACTCCATAGCCTCGCGCGAATAAAGGGCCGATGAAAGGATGGCTATGTCAAAGGGTAGTGACAGCTATGAAGCACGTTCAATTAGTCAGTATGATACGAACCGTCTCCCGGAAGGCAGACGGTCATTGGATGATTAGATCCCGATGCAGACCCACGACAGCGGCAGCAACATTCAACCATGGAACGTTTTGAAAACAAAATCAGAAAGGGAGAAGAGGCCAGAATGAAATGGAAAGGGGAAAGAAATGCGAGCGGTGCGAAGGCCGGAGGTCCAAATTTTGTGCGTGCGCGGATGTGATAGACTGTTTGAATGCAATATGCCAGATATTAGGCCTTGAGCTTGACGCCTGAGGCTTGAAAGCTTGACGCGCAACTTACACCGCTTACACCGACGATGCGATGAGTACGGCAAGTCACAGTAGGTTGCTCCACAAGGGATGTTGAACTTATGTCATATGATTACGTGATTAATCTTGGATTAATCCTACACCACCATTTACCGCCATTCTGGAATGATGTCTCTATTTCTGACGACACACTAGTTTCACTTCACTTCCTTCGTCTTCTATAAAGGGCTCCTTGGACCCCCAATTTTTATAGGCGCTATCTTGTACCCTCATTAGAGGAGCACCGACGGACTCTGAGCAGTGTCTGCATGACACATTAGTAGTTTCACTCCATCCCCGGGCCCGTATTCTCTTGTTGTAAGTCCATGATTATTCGCAAATCTACTTGAATACATTCCGAGACGTAAATTGTTGTTTTCCTAAAGTTTTTTTACCTTCCTTTCTGCTCCTCACGTCTGCCTTTCGACTTAATGATGAAAGCTTTTGGGAATTGTTCCACGGAGCATAGTGGAAGTCGGAAGGACCGAACCCTACTGGGCTAGGAAGAGGGTTCAGTTGCTCCCTGACGGCCATCAAACATTGCTCGTTATGTTTCACCTCAATCGGTGTACTCACAATGACATAGAAAATATAGGCTACGTGCGGTACGTGCCACACACTCACCAAGATTCACCAAGATTTGGAAATTATGCCAATATCCTCATTTCAGAATGCTCTGTTCTTGCCATATCTCCCGACTTGCGACTACAGCAGGCTTCACAAGGATTTTTTCTGATGAGTCATGTGACCTATTTCTGGACGCTGATGTGACTATAACGCATCTATCACTTGAGCAACGAAGCACAACCTGAATTATTTGAGCAGATCATTCATGGTGACAAACAAGCTTTATAGGAACTACTATCGATGGTGGGTTATCGCATGAGACGGATTCGGGCGATATTCACGGCAGTTCCGTGTTTCGTGGCCATTAATGTGTCACCACAACAGATACTGTGATTGACGCGCTAGATGACTAGCATTTTGATTGAGCGGTGGTCTCCAACTCGCACTGCTGCAGAGCCGAGCGGACCAATCATACTCTTCCTCGACAGGTTTATCTATAATCTGTATTCCGCCCTGAAACCTGCAAGTTGACATGTGGTTAGCCGTTGTGCCTTCTTTGGCTTGCCCAGCAGATCCGATGAAGTTCTGATACTCTATATATGGTATCATGAATCGTGATGTCAACTAACAGATCTTAGGTGGGTTCGTCAATCCTGATTTACATACAAGTGAATCGCCGCCGCCAACGGTCAGATACGAGGTTCATCATCTTTGTGTTTGACTACCTCTACTAGTCATACGACCGACTTTCAGAAATGGAATGCAAAGCAAAAGGCTCGAGGTGAGCGATCCGTCATGTTCACAGACGAGATATACTGATACGAAAACGTTGAAACATAACACCCTGCGTAGTAAGAAAAGTCTTGTTCTTTGTACATCCTGTCTATGGAATAGCGCGTCGCATTTGACTCAGATTTTCCGTGACATAGGAGACTCTAAAGCCTAGCGCTGCGATGTTTCACCTTGTTTATAGAAGCGCGATGCAAACCTTGCTGGTACCCGGGTATGTGAGACACCCCCGCTTTCTTTCTTTCAATCTGACCGGTGTACCCTACTTTTCAAAAGCATGCGATGGCTTGAGCCAACACGATACACCCGCTAGCAAGATCGGCATAAATATAAAGACTAACATATCTCAGAGCCCTTGTCTCACAACTTGAGTTTCTGATTTCTCAATTCGCTCATCTCAACGTTCACGATATGAGTCCGACAACCTCCCTGTCTCCTACTGCAACCTGCACTGACACTTGTTCTGGCACAGAGCCCGCAGAGTTCATCATACCTGACTTCTTCACCAATTGCCGCTACCCCATCCGACTGAACCCTCACTGTGACCCGGTATCTCGCGCCTGTGGACAATGGCTCTGTAGTCAAGCTCATCTAGTAGAGCCCGAGGCTACCAAATATACTACGATCTTGCGTCCAGGTTACTTCGCTTCATCATGTTACCCTGATGCGGATGCTTTCCATCTCAGAGTCTGTGCGGACTTTCTGGCCTGGTCGTTCAAAATGGACGATTGGCTCGAGGCCGAGAAGTCCGATGTTAATGATGCGTGGGGAGTACGTGACTGCTGCATGTCTGCGTTCCGCGATCCCGTCAACTTCCAGACGGAAAGATTTAGTGGAATTTTGTGCAAATCGTGTGTCTATTTTTCTCTGCCACGCACACATTCTAACCTACGGTTTTTAGATACTTCAGTCGCTTTAAGGAGACTGGCGGCCCTGGCTGCACAAGGCGCTTTATTCATACCATGGACTTGTGGTTCATCTCTGCGGCAAAGGAGGTAGACAACCTCGCCAAGGGATACATCTATGATGTTGAATCTTACATCGAATTGAGGCGCGACTTGAGCGGCTGCAAGGCTTGCTTTGCCTTTATCGAATTTGTCAGTCGGATTGATCTTCCAGACGAAGTAGTCTCGCACCCGGTCATCATGGCCCTGGAGGAGGCTACCAATGACTTCGTTTCTTGGTCAAATGTAATACCTCATTCTGTCGTCAAAAGTCGGGGCACTGTTGATATCGCTGCTGACAGGATATTTTCTCCTATAACAAGGAGCAATCTCACCATAACCCACATAATTTGGTTGCTGTTCTCATGGTCCATCAAGGTCTCGACCTGCAAGGTGCTGTTGACCACTGCGGCCAGCTGTGCAATATCTCCCTTCAACGCTTCGAAGAAAACCGTGCTATTCTCCCCTCGTGGGGAGAAGAAATTGACAAGGATGTGGCTATCTACGTCGAAGGACTGCAGAATTGGATTACCGGTCCGCTGCAGTGGTCCTTCGAGGGCGCCCGTTATTTCGGGAAGGACGCGCATATTGTCAAGCGGGACAGAATCGTCAAGTTAATTCCCAAGCAACCGTTGTGAAATCCACAGCTATTGCTCTATGTGAGACTATTTTCGCTTCTTGCCTATATTGCACGATTCTCATTGCAATGGCTACCATTATAGCAAGTCACATCATTATCCATGTCTTCCTATGTTTGAAGCTGCTTTTTTACTACTGAATATTCGCCTCACTTCTTGCTCAGAACGTTTTGATTTTTGCTGTTGTGTGTAATAGTACTGGTTCCTGCTGTATAGAATTGTACACTTGCTATGGTAGCATGTACATATGTTCCATTTTTGTATAAGTTATGCAAACAATCTACATGCAGCGTTTAGATTCGGAGTACAACATTCATTTTGGGTGAATGTGCATCCTGCAGGTGCCAGAAGCAGACTCGAATTACGAGAAAACTATGGTACTAGTGCAGCTACTCACCACACGATCCGTCAGTAATGTTTCAAACTTTGGTACGAACTGATGAGTTTGAAACGTCTAATACAAATCTTGAGCTTGATCCATTAATTATTTCCATCTCTCTCGTTCCAGAGCGGGCAGACTGCCAATTACGCAACAGCACCCTCCCTCCTGATCACGAGCACTCCTACATTTAGATGCCTATAATGGAAACCAAATCGAGCTACATAGGCGTCAGAACTTGAAGCTGTGTTGATCTTGACATGGTTGAATTCGGGTGGATGACCTTGATCAAAGATATGGGTTGCAATGCGGATGTCGATGAACGTTACGCAACTAGTCTTACTTCAGCGAAGGTTAAAGCTGGGGTGCCGCGTTGGTGATGTATCGTTTGTAAAGCTCCGCTTGATCATGAAGCTTACTCAGACGAGTTCCTGCGGACCTGCGCGCATCGTGGCCACTGGTAGTCTGTAGGGATTCTTTCTTGCAATTTTTTCTTGTCTATTATTATGCAACGGCGTAACCGCAAGAACAGTTCATCGTCTTTCCTCGCTCGAAAAGCTTCTTCCCTGGAAATATGGAGTTCATGATCGCGGTGTCAGTCCTAGCAGCTTCATGGTATACAGGGCTTCAGTAGGATAATTGGCGTCCTCGACGGTCATTGACTCGAGGTATTTCTCATGATGGCCAGGAGCCCGAAGGCGCTTGAACTTTTGCCAAAAAGCCATGAAAGGCGATATCCGATGCTAGTGTTGCCTGAGTTGAAAGTTCTGCCTGGTCCTTGGCAAAACTCCAGCTTCTTGGACGCGCCGCAGGCTCGTGTGTTGTGACGTATAATCCAATTGGACAATTGTACGGTTTTGCTTTTCGTCGTGTTGCCTTGTTTTATGCGGGGGGTTCTAGACTTGCCCTGGAAAATGGTTCAACTTGAACGGCACTTTACTTGAATTGGTACTTAGCGTGATTATCTTCCGCGCCTGATTCATGTTCCACTACTTTTTTCATCTACTACGTTTTTCCGAGATCACAGCCGCAATGCAACGATTCAGTAATTCCAATAATCCGTTATGTTGGCAGAGTGTAACCAGCTAGTTCAAGTTTGTTTCAGACAATCTGGATCAAGAAGAAACGACTGCTGTCTTTCTAGTATGTGGTATACGGCCTAACTAGGGGAAACTCGTTACCGTTCGTGAGCCTTGTGGTGTTCGCATCCAACAGGTCGTTCGAACTACTCTCTTCCTTAATCTGTCCTACAAGTCTGGTAACAGGTCCTAGCGAAGGTTATGCAATGCCGGATTCTCTGTTGCGCCACAGTACCCACGCACTGCTGCAGTAGGTCGTGGTATTAACGGTATTATATTACTGCTATTCAGTAGATGTCGCTTACGTTCTTGAATCAAAGGCTATATGGGTTTTGTGTTCATCCCACCTCATATTGCTGCCCATAGGCACATACTTTTGGTATAAATGGGTTGTCGGCTCCATCACCCATGCAAACGGGTAAAAATCTCCGCCATAGTCATCATGCAGCGATCGTTCTCCGCCCTTCTGTTTTCAGTTATCGTCGCGGCCAGCATGTCTACTTCGTGGGCCTTGGTCACCATCCCATTGACAAAGCTCGAGCGTACTGGGCCGTACCTTCAAGGGTCTCCACATGCTGATCGTGCGCGAGCGTCGCTCTTTAAGATAGCCAGTGACCCAAAGACCGTCCCAGCTTCAAACCTGGCATATGTACAGTACACCACGAGTGTTGGTGTCGGCAGTCCCCCCACCTACTACAATTTAGTCATTGACACGGGGAGTTCCAACACTTTTGTCGGGTCAGTACTTTTGTAGAGGATTTTTCTTGCAACTTGAATGATTGTTGACGACGTGCAGAACGGGCAAAAAGTATGTCCGTACACCAACTAGTGTCCCCACTGGACAGAATATCAATATCGTCTATGGGACCGGATTTATCAATGGTATCGAATGTTTGTCTTCCTCAGCACTTAGTTCTAGTATATATAAATTGATATGACCTTACTGATCAGATAAGGACACAGTAACTCTCGCACCCGGCTTCGTCATCACAGGTCAATCTATCGGTGATGCTCTTAAATTCGCAAAATTTGACGGCGTTGACGGCATGATTGGCATTGGGCCAACTGATCTCACGAAGGGCCGACTCTCTCCTGATACTGGCTTGACTCCAACCCTCATGGATAATGCTTTGAAGCAGGGTCTGATCAAAAATGACATTTTTGGTATTTCATTCGCACCAGCAAAGACTTACAATGACACTAGTACGCCTCTATCGTATCCGACTTACATGTAACCTATTTGATCCATCGAACAGATGGAGCGATTACATATGGTGGTATTGATCATGCTCTTGTGCGTATAATTCCATATTTCGCTATTGCAATTCCTGATATGCCCGCCAGCACACCGGTGAAATAACCTACGCTCCAATTACCAAGACTCTCCCCGCAGCGAACTCCTGGGGCATCAACGTAACTTCCTTGACATATGGCACGCACACCGTTATTCCTCAGTCAACCGCCGGCATAGTCGACACGGGCACTGCCAGTGCGTATCATTTGACTCAATATCACTCGTACTACCCAATTCCAACTCCACATTATCGTAGTGATCCTACTTGCGAAAGATTTCCTTGCCAGGTACTTAGACGCCATTCCCGGATCCCACCTCGACATTATTGACACTGGCCTCGTTGTCATCCCCTCTTCCTCCATCGCACACATGCAACCCCTTAACTTTACGATCAATGGTCGCGTGTTCAGTATGGATACAGCTGCACAATTGATCCCATTGAACCAGAACACCGCTTTGGGTGGTAAGGCTGGCGTACAATACGGCGTCATCAGTAGCCTCGATGGTAACAGCGGTGAAGGCTTAGACTTCATCATCGGTCAGAAGTTCTTGGAGAAGTTTTATGTTGTCTTCGACGCCGATGTGAACCGCATTGGCCTTGCGTACACGTGAGTCAGCTCGACCTGATGTTCAAGCGGGGTTGGATGTTGATGTATTTGGACTAGTAAGCACACCTTCTCGACGTACTTGCCTTGAGTTGCCAAGCACGAACATCTGAGGAAGGAGATTGTTCTCAACACGCTTGGTTTGTGTTGCAGGCTGTCTGAGTGTCAAGCACAGGGATTGGCAGCGAGTAGTTTTCTGCTGTGACTCGTAGCGCAAGATCTCAAAGTGTAATGCCCCTCACTTCACACAAATTACTCTGAAACATGAACAGGAACACACAGCCAAGAATACTCCAGAAAATGTGTTTATGTTACACCAATTTTGACGCTGTGAAGTCAGACTTGCCCAGCAACTAAACCACCAAAATAACAAGTCAGAGCTTTCAACTTTGACCCCATCCACTCTTCCTCCACTTCAATCATTCGAGACTTGTCATCAGGGGTGACGCTTTCGTCTTTTTCAAGTAGGCCCAGGGCGGATATTTCATTCAAGTCCGTGTTTCTGGGAAGGAAGTAGGCAATATTATCCGAAATACGCTTCGTCAGGCGAAATAAATCAGCTCCATGAATCGGCTCTATCCTCGAGAGACTATATTGTGAGTGAGTCTCTAGTTCATCCTGGGAGTCCGCATTGTCGTCGGCAGAGGCATGGTTTTCGGTGGGAGAAATGTATCCTGGGCCACCCCAAGGGGGACTCAAGAAGACAACGTCAATACTGCGCGTTGACTGGGGTCGTGAAAGATAGGCGTTCGCAAATGAGATATAGTCTGCGAGGATAAACTCAATGCGGTCTGCAACACCGTAGATAGCAGCATTATGACGAGCCAAAGCGAGTCGTGTTGGGGAGATGTCCAGGGCAATGACTAATTTGTGAGGATGAAATCAACAAGACTGGGGTGAGCGATAGAACTGGCCTCTCACCGTGCTCGCAGGTTTTTGCAAAAGCGATCGCATTTCCTCCGACGCCACAGAAAGGATCGAGGATTGTATCGCATCGACAGCGATCTGCAATTTGTATGGCAATGTTTTCAGGTGTCACGCTATACCAGCCTTCTTCGTCTAATAGACATCCTTGGTCGTATAGAGAAAAGTAACGTTTCCGTTGGGAAAAATCTGAGAGACAGCGGGACTGAATCAAAGGGTCCTTGAAATATTAAGTTTTGGCATGACGGACATTTCTGAAGATGTTCTGGAACCTCGTGAGCGGTAGTGTAGTGAGGAACTAGGGCGGTGGCATCGTATCTTGTGTGAACAGGATCACTGGCAGGGCTTTCCGTTTTGCGTTTCTTTATAGGTCTGCTCTGATTCTGTGATTTTTCTGGAAGGCTAGTAGCGTTTGGATTAAGAAATTCTTGTGGCAGGAAACGAGATAAACCGGTGAGTTTTGTTTTTTTGCCCATGAACGTTACAAACGACAAGTACTGACACGTTGGTTTTGTGATTCGCGGAGTTATGATAGACGCCTTATCGGCTTGTCACATCAACTTCCAGTTTGAAGTAAGTCACTACTTCCTGATCAAGTCCATACTCTCTTCATGTTTGGAGATGGATGTCGACATGGACGTGGATCATGATGTACCAGATTTTGTACGAGCCTGGCATCCATCAGTTCGTCGACCTATCATTCCCCTCGATCCAACGACCTATCATGAAGCCATTGATCCTCGCGCCATTTTCGAGCTTCGTGAAACACCCTCCGACGAATATGTACCTGTTGTTCCCTATTCCTGTGTCCATTGTCGTTCGGTAAAGCAAACTTGTTCGCGTCTCTTGCCCTGCGATCGGTGCGCCAAGACTGAGCGACCTTGTCATGCCACTCAACCAGGCTATCAGAAGCTTCCTGCGCCCAAGGTGACCAAGGGTAGAAAACGTGCACCAACCTCTATATCGCCGCCAATATCAGCTTCAACATCCAAGCAACCCATAATAACTTCTTCAAATCCTGGCCGTCACCCAAGAAACTGAAATTGACACATCCGAACTCTTCAAGTACTCTTGAAAAAACTTCCAAATGTAAGGGGAATGGGAACAAGGTCGATGGTGACCCCCTTCAGAACATACCACTTAAAGTCAACCCGGAAACTAGGAGCGGTCAGTACCTTGTCAGATTTTTCCATTCGTGCACATAACGCGTCCGAATAGATGCTGCAGTCTCTACAGCGCCAGTTTGGACTTTCATTAGGCCTCCAAAAACCAAGTGTGCGGTTGACAGCTGCGCAGCTCTCCCCACAATCGATACCCTTCCTTCCACACCTTGCACGCCTAGAGTCTGGGCAAATGTGAAGTACCTCGAAATAATGAATGCAAATGGAATTTAACTAGATACCCAGTCTCGTGCAGAAATTGCATCGATATTCCCTGAACTTACCAAGTCTATTACGGGTATTTTATGGCGGCAGTTTGAAATGCCCGCATTGTTCCTAGAGCATCCCCACCCCGAGTATTCCTGGAGAGACAAAAACACTTTGGAAGTTGTTTTGTGGGTTCCTTCTTTTTTATACCCTTGTTCACTGATCAGGCGGTGTCGAACTATAGGGAATGGAGTTATCGATACGAGCTCGACGTACCTGTACGCATAGCGATTCGGATGACATAACTCATGACAAGAGGCCCTCCGACAACAGTGATCTGGCAGCACGGGTTAGCACTCGGCATATTTGCGAGGCTTTGCATCCTGATCTCAAATCTAGGTGGAAGAATGCGAGCCTGTCAAGCATGTAGTGCCCTCCTTCACCCCCATCGAAAGCGATCATGCCCAATTCGATTTCTCATCGTTCACTGCACCTCTGGCTGCAGGATCTGAAGGTGGGCTTGTTCAAATTATTTTATTCTGTCACTTAGATTACGAGAAGTGTTGCAATCCGATACCATAGTCATGTCACAGTTGCCTATTTTAGCCCCAGCGCCGGTGTTAGATCTACAACCGCCAACGGTCTTGTCTCCATCTCTAGTTGCAGTGCCGGTGCTAGACCCACCACCGCCAACGGTCTTGTCTCCGCCTCTAGTTCCAGTGCCGGTGCTAGATCCACCACCGCCAATGGTCTCGTCTCCGTCTCCAGTTCCAGTGCGGGTGCTAGATCCACCATCGTCCACGGTCTTGTCTCCGTCTCCAGTTCCAGTGCCGGTGCTAGATCCACCATCGTCCACGGTCTTGTCTCCGTCTCCAGATCCAGCGCCGGTGCTAGATCCACCACCGCCAACAGTCTTGTCTCCGTCTCTAGTTCCAGTGCCGGTGCTAGATCCACCATCGCCAACGGTTTTGTCTCCGTCTCTAGTTCCAGAACTGGATACACCAGTGGTGTCTTCCTCGGTAATTCCTCAAATCCAACCTCGAATACCTGAACAAAGACCATCTGAGATCGAGACGTTAGATCAGTGTCGCATGGACAAAACCCCCTTACTTGTTTTCGTATCTCGAGAAAGCGGTCTCATACCACTGCAGCTCCCTCCCGAGTACGCATGCTGTTGCTTGGGTTTATTTGTCATATCTGATCTGAATGTCAGTTCTCTGCTCGCTTTACTGGTCACGTTTGTTGATCTCCCTGCAGGCAGATATCAAAAACACCACTATAGCTATTTCTAAAACTCAGAAGTGCGAACGCGTACAATGGCGCCTTACGTTGGAATGGGCACCGGGAGGCGAAGAAGGGTTGTTGGTAAACATCAATGAGAAATCGCACCCATGGTGGATCGATTCTGTCGAAAAGGGTGTTGGCTCGGTGAAAATACCCAGAGACATGAACAGCCTCTATTTCAGCTTTCTGCCTTTGGACCTCCTGGCGGGCTTCAAACCTAGCGAGTGTTTTCCAAGGGGCTGGTACTGCAGAGACTGCGGGATGCTTAATGCACAGAGGTATTTTCGACACCAGATCTGCCAGAGTTCCAAGTGCAAAGTGATTTTTTCCCGCAACTAGCGTTGTCGAGCCTTGCTGATTATGGTGAAAGCGTAAACTGGAGCAGGGAAAAGCAACGACCAATGATAATGACTTGATTTGCCACATTGATCCGTTACAAGCGCTTCGAGGACCACATCATCGTTTACCCATACGGGATCCTCTCGATTATGCGCCTTCGTCAGTTGGCAAAATTGATACCTCGTGGGACGACATGATGCGGAATTTGACATATCAAGTCAACAGCGGTGTGAGAGTACAACATGTCTTCACCGGAAACCAAGAAATATTGCAACAGGATGCAACGAAACTACTCCTGGACATACAGAAAGATGTTATTCTTTCCCGCAGTGACTTACATAGTATGTATCCTTGTTGCTTGGCTTTTAAAACGTGCGAAAATTTAATCTCAGGCCCTTATTTTACCTGGTCCACGAAACTCGATCACGGGCATATCTGTTCTGGGGATCCACCAGGTCAACCTGAAATACCTAGACTTGTCTTCGACATCCAGGATATCTTGCTTCACTATATGCAAACGTATGGTGAAGTCAACAATGCCAACATCAACCATATCATGATTCAGGCATGGGTTACTCCGGGCTCGAAACGGGTAAGCCAGAAAGGACACTCGATGTTTTTTTTCCCTAAAAGCGACTAGGGCGCCGTTTTCAATGCGAAGAGCCACGTTGTCACCATCATTTGTCTAGGTGCCGAAGTTGTCATGAATTTAGTACCCAAACGTGGTTTTACGGAGATCCCCATTGAAGGCGCGGAAGACCGCATGGAGATCGACAGCGAACGGATCTTAAGTGCGTCGCAGCTTGTGGATGACGGTTGTTCGGAAACTCTTGCGTCGGGAGCAGTAATCAACTGCCGCCAAGCTGGTGGCGACCCTAACGTCATGAATCAACCTGACCCCCTTGCCTTGGGGGAGGCATGTGGACCGTCAGGTAATCTAGGGAATGCCAAGGCAGCCGGAAAAGGGAAAGGTGCTGGTGGCAAAAAGAGCAAGCAAGCGCCGTTGGAACTTTCCATGACCCTAGTTCATGGTGATGCTATAATTCTGGAGGGAGATGAGTTTGAGGTGAGGGCGTCACGCGACCGCGTTTAATGTAGTGCTGACCCGAGTACGTTAGTACCAAATCAAGCGCAGCGGAACTACGATTCGTGAGTATTTTGAGTTGGAAGCTTTTTGTTTCTAACTTAAATGACATGGCTTGGCTAGTTCTCATTGGGTCTTGTGAGTGATCGGCACGGATCGGTTGGTGGTTGTCTTGGAAGTTACAGATTTGAGGTTAAATATTGTCATTATGCGATAGTTGCTTGTTCTCGGGTCGTTTAATACGAGGGAGTGTCCTTCGTCGTGCATCGTAGTTAGAGCGCTAAAGCAAATCCGAAAGCAGCAATCAAATCTCCCAAACACTCAAACTGGCTGGCGCCTGCTGAGCATAATTCTTCACAGCAACCAACCTCCAAGTATTATGGCTAAATCACCCACATCCACAGATAGACAAGACCCAAACTGGGGAAGAGGTAAATGCCACGTCGCACTCCTATGAATAAAACCTGAACTTTTGAGTACAGTACTAATTTGCGGTGGGACGGACTGGTGAGCGAGTCCAGAGCGACGAACCAGTCCTTTGAGCTCGGGTATTTATGAATGGATGTTGTGCGCTTTTCACAGGCCAAAACTAGGGAGGAAAGAACGCGGTGGAAAAGGTGAAGGCAATCCTGATGCGTACGTCGTTCGTTAGCCAGCATAGTTACATCAGCTCAAAAACAGTTTTCCATATCTCAGACCAGACCTCCTCGAGCCCCATATCCTCCGTTCTCTCAGCAATATTAAAATTGCTTCCATACACGCGTCATGTTGCGGGTGTCACTTCATCCTTCTTGACGTGGATGGCGCAGCGTGGATGTTTGGGCGGAATGCATCTTCTGCCCTTGGCGTGTCAGGAGAGGACGCGATATCTGAAGACACTCCGTTACGCGTGCTTCCGACGGACTTGGATGCAGAAGAAGGCACTAGATTCGTGCATGCGGCATGTGGACGTAATCACTCCTTGTTAGTAGGTGACGATGGACAAGTCTGGTCTGCGGGAGCGAATAACTTGGGTCAGGTGAGCCGTGCTTTTAGTCGCGATTGTTGTTGTGTAGGTTGACCGGCTGGGGTGTGTCAGTGCGGACATCCAGTCGTTGCGCAGATACCCGCTTTTAAAGCAATTGAAGGGCCTTTTCTTGATGGCGAAAGACAGCATGTTGTCAAGGCAGCAGTGGGCATAACGTTTTCCATTGTACTTACCAATGATGGCAAAGGTATGTACCCCTTGACGTACTTCGTTCTTCTGCCAGCTGACGTCTCTCAGTCTTCTCTTTCGGCAGTGGCGAGAAGGGACAGTTAGGAAATGGTAGGACGGGAGAACATATTATTACCGGAAATAAGACAGCGTTTGACGTCGAGACGGAGCCTAGTGAGCTTCGACATGCATTTGGCAAACATCATTGGCTGATCCGTTCATAAAGTACCCGTGAAAGGACTTGACGATAAGACTATCATAGACATCGCGTGCGGGCCGCAGCACAGCGTAGCGCTCGATTCCCAAGGGTACGTACCATCTAAACTCAATGATACGTCACTCAAGTACTCTTAGCTTTGTGTACGTGTGGGGTTACAACGGCTACTGTCGGCTTGGTCTGGGCAACCAACAGGACGTCCTTACCCCTAAAGTAGTCCCAAATGTACGTGTTGCTTCGGTTGTCCCTTGCGAACTGGCGTTGAAATAGTTTAACTTAGTTTGCCGGACCGAATGAAATAACGATGGGCGCTCATATTATCGCCGGCCCTTCGAATACCGTAGTTCTGGACAAGCAACAATTGTATTGGATGGCCGGAAAGGTCCGTAAACGTCAGGCAGTCGTGTGTTCTTTCTGATCCTTTTGCAGTGGAAGAACAGCGGCGAAGGTGTGCATCAACTGTCGGCTCGGTTCATTTATGCATTCACTTAGCTAACTTGGGTAGGATCCTCTGGCTCGCCATACTCCTCATTTAGGTTTATCCAAGATCTAATGTAGGATCTGTGCTTCTTGATTTGCTTCTTGATTTACGAATACGGTACTTTTTATTAGGGGTTGCAAAATATCTGGTGGCAGTTGCGGTGGAGTGACCCATTTCGCTCTCACGAGTGATGACGATGGTGGTGTCATGACAGTTGCTTGGGGGCAAAATGCATCATATGGTAAGTAACAGAAGAATCTGGATGACTGATCTAGCCTGAACGAGGATTGCAAGGTGAACTCGGCCTAGGACCTGATGAACCAAAAAGCGCCACAAAACCCACTTCTCACCAGCCTCTAGCCGGTATTGAGGTTATAAGGTAAAGCATCATCCTCTGCTCGCACGTTGGTACTGTGTTTATATGATCCCATCCAGCGTGGCAGCTGGTCAACATACCACCCTGTTCTTGGCAAAACCAAATGCTAAATTCTCTGATCTGCCACGTCATCCCCTTGAGGTCGACGCCCCTGAACTCTGTGTAGTTTGCGACAAAGATAACGGGGACGACGATCCTGCCTTGGAATGTGATAAGGTTGGTTATAGTCTTAACTTTCGATGACAGTACCTACGAGATTGAATCAATAGTGCGACCATCCATACCACCTGGGCTGCCTTGATCCTCCTCTGGAGGCCATTCCAGAAGGTGAATGGTTCTGTCCTAAATGCGTCGATGAGCTGGGTGCCCTTTCAGGTCACGACTCCAAATCGTCCGGAAAGAAGGGCACCAAATCGTCGCCGGAAACCAAGGGGGGCACGAAGAGGAAAGCGACTTCGTCTTCGAAAGAAGGCGGTAAGGACCTAATTGATTTTTCTGTGACATACTGATACCTGATGTCTATTCGTAGCTCCTAAACGTAAAAAATGACGATACATGGAAAATATGCAGGACCCAAACATACCATACCGAGAACTATACCTTCTGTGGAAATATTCTTTGTGTATTACATTGACTATTTTCGGATTCTTGGTGTAACGTTTAGCTGGGTCTTATTGCTCTTGATGTTATCTACTGACCTGAAGTTGTACATAGTCTTTTTACATTCTCCATCTTTATCGAGATTGTTGTTTTATATGTAGATGTTACTCAACTCGTCCTCCACTCTATTCAAAATCATCATTTTCTGATGGCTGGAAATCACAAATGCGTGCAACATTTTGTGACTGTTAAGCACATCAATGCGGTGGTGTGATTATGGCATGACTGCTAACTGACCATGAAAGTAGCTCGGGAAGGAAGATGGTACAGCCCGCATGCACATGGATGAAACGTTGACGCTACACAAATCAACTTATGTAACACTTTCCTCTGATAAACCACGCGCCTTCAATTCTTCGGACTCCGATTCACAGTATATCTCTGACGTTAAAATTTATGTTGTTAGATCTTTGATGTCGCAACTTAAAGTGTCCTGTACTTGCCACTGGCAAGTCTCGGGTACATCACCTGCATCACACTGTGCATGCATCATTCCTGCATGTCCGCAATCAACACAGCATTTTCAACTGTCTGTTGACAAACGGTATATGAATGAAAATTCCTTCGACTTCCTGGCGCTTTTCGGAGTCCCATCACGGGTTTAAGTAGCGCTTGAAGTCTGGCCGGCGCAGCACAGCAGCAAATAGGAATCGCCTCTAGGTGCGGCAGTCAAGGGTATGGCCTGTTGCAAGTCGTCCAGCTGGACGACTTTACTCTAACTACTTATCGCACCCTACTTCGCTCAGACGGATCCATGAACCATGTCAGACTAGACTGGTGACCAGCCAATAAATGTCAAACAGTGAGTGAACACAATCAATCAAGGAATTCAAGGCAAAATCTTCCTCCTCCAGAAACCCGCACATCCAGTGAAGTAACCCGGTGAAAGCTTAGCGTGTCGTTGATAAGGACCAGTTTTCATTTCACTCATTAACTCTGATGCATTATTCCTCCAGGACACTGAGAGCAGATACCGTGGCAAAAATTTATCGGTTTAAAAGGAAGTTTTTAGAATGTAACTCAAAAGATTTCTGTAAGTCAGTGAGGATTCTGAATTTCCTGGAACAAGGCTCATGTGGTAGTATGTGATCGTACAAAAGCAGTCGAGTGATTCCCGTGGCCGTGACCCTGTTCTCCTGAATGTCAAGACATAGTTCCGCTTTCTTCAAATTCTTGCGGGAAAACTAGGTGTTCGACGACTCTTCGAATTCGCGGTAACTTTCAGATTATCATCCCCTTTGCAACATCGAGGTTGAACTTGTAGGTGTTCGGCGTATTCGACGGATATCCATGGACGACATTTGATTACCCACCATAGAGTGTGACATCCGCACTTACCTATCGAAGGAGCTGGAAGGGCTCACGAATATTTTGGACAGAATTCACAGCCCTCGCTGAAACAGCTTTACAAGTGTGATCAGACAAATTTTTGGCGCAGCTGAACCCCTCCCTTTAGAATCCCTGAATGTTATGCGGGCCATTTTACAGACACGAGCGAGTGATGATAGAACACATGGGATCTTTTCTCAACGGTACCACGAACCCATCTACCCCCATCCGACCACTTCATGCATCCTTCTGCGATTTCCTGACGAACCAATCAAGCAGTTTTTCGTTGACGTGTCGAAGGTACAACACGACCTTTCTTTCGCATGGAACATGGGTTTTCCTACAGCATTTGTGATTTAGAATCCTCGCATCTTCCTAATTCCGAAGATCCGGGATTGCGAGAACAAGTTGAAAAGTGCATCACCCACCCTTCTGCGTCATCCTGCCCACGTAAAAACAACAGTCTTCGAAACGGAGCTCACAGATGAAGTCAAATTACTAGTTCAACTATCAGAGACTGCTCTTCTGGATTGGGACCTCGGCATTATCAAGGCGCTCAGATGCGCAGTCCCCGCCCTTCCGCGCATTACCCAATGGCTGAAGGTGAACACATGGTTGATAATAGATTACTGACACTCAACCACAAGTAACTTTCGTATGACCATACAAGCAAAGTGACAGGGCTAGTCTGGATATGGAGATGCCTCGTTGGCTGCAATGAATGTGCAAAGGTTTATCCAAGTCCTCGGGAGCATGATTTTGCACAGCACGCCACATCTCTGTGTATCAGCACTACCATTCCCTCCCCTCGACTCTGCGATATCCCCAAAATGTGCTACAAAATTTTTGAATACTCTTCGTCTGGCATCTGGACGTGATAAGTGAACTGCTGTTCAGATTCAGCGGACACATCAGTTGTGTTTACTCTCCCCAGATGGGCCTTGCATTGCGACTGGATCAGATGATGGCACTGTGCAGCTATGGGATGCAGTGACTGAGCTGCAAGTAGGCGGACCTTTGCGGGGCACACTTCTTCAGTTACCTCTGGCTCGGCCGATAACACTGTCTGGTTGTGAGGGGTGTAGTATCACAGCAACCCGTTGGTGGACCTTATGGGGCACACTAAAATAATTTACTCGGTCTCGTTCTCGTCAATGAAACTCGCATCAGCGATAACGCTGCCGGGCTGAGGGATGCAGCAACGCAGGAGCCGATTGATGCACTCTTAAGGCACACTACTGAACTTAACTCAATATCATCCCCGCCAGGTGAAATTCGCATCGTTTCTATTTCAGACAATAAGACTACCCATGATGAATCGAGCTTGTTCGAGTGTTAAAATGTTGAGAGAACTGGGTCGCTGGGAAAGAACGTAGTTCATTGCGTACAGTAGAATATGACAACAAGGTTCTTTTTTTGATTCGTCCGTGATGCGGGGTTCGGGTTGATGAGTTGCATGGGGAAGAGAAATACAGCAATTCCGAGTCACCCGTGAATGTCGGAAAATTCGAAATTCGCCGTACACTAGCTGAGGATATGAAACTTCATCTGAAAGAGAGTTGAAGCGGTGGATGAAGCGGTTGAGAAGTCGGTAGTGAAGGTCGGGTAGGATTGAAACGGAATGAGGAATCATGTACTGTATGACAATCATAAAGACAGTAAAAAAACTAATAACGCGCCACTATCTTCCTCCCTGACGGGCCTGACCTCCCGGCCAGGGGTGCTCACTGCTCACGACATCGGGGCCCAGACATGTCAAGTTCTCACGGGACAAAAGATAGTCGACGCGCGTACCTTCAAGACTGCGCAATTCACATCAATGTTTCCGAGTCGAAGCCCTTACCGGCCGTAGTAGTCTGAATCTGATCAAAGAGCCTACTAGTCAATGTCATAACACAGCTAGTGTGTGACAGCATTTGACAAGTAATTGCAATGAGGCTTGTACTTATAATTCTAGTCACGGTAGTTGTAAGGTGATAGTCATTTGGTGTAACATGCGGATATAGAATTATGCTATCAAAAGCAGTCCGTTGCCCCTTGAGTAAGTTGCACTCACGGGATGTACCGTATAACTTCTTCGGACACATACCCTAAGTCTGGGGAACGCACGAGTACAAAACCGCATACTAACAGTCAGAGCGGTATAGGGATCTCAATCATTACTGCCTTCGTAAAAATAGCATAAGCACTGAAAAGTATCAACTGTATCGTGTATCATGCAGGCTGCGTTCCCGAACCTGGGCAACTATTTGCACATCTCGAGGTGGTATCATATGCCTGGCAATGTGGAACTATCAGTGATACAGTATTATGGATATGGAACTCGTGATCATATCATAGAACAAATGGATTTACTTTACTTCATAGAGCCCGAGCTCTCACTACTGCTGCACCTTTCGATGAGCATGAATGCAGGTATGCAGTTCGACAGCGGTATATTGTCCTCGCAAAGTTCGTCAGCGATATCCCCCATTCCTGACATAGAATCGAACGAGGTCGAAACTTCAAATGACTCGGCCTTCAAGTCGGAGGGACTTGTCGGACATGCATCAAGGTCATCAAAAGGTGTAATGTCATCAGGGTCCACCTCGACCGTCTGAGTCCATCGACTTGGGTCAGGAAGAACAGCCTTCTGGATATCTTGGGTGTGACGAAACTTTTCTTGGTGAAGGACTATGCGTCCAGCCTGAAAAAGTGAATGAGGAAGAGAATAACTACCTATGATCTTGCACTCAACAGCAAACCAAAGGCAGGAAAACAGTACGCTAACGAAATTCAGTGAGGAGAGAAACTTGCTATACACGCAATACTTACTAAAAGATGATGTTTCCACTCATCTGTGTCTTGACGATGCGCGTGATGCAGAGAAACATAAAGATTAAGATCGCTGGAGTTATGAGCATATATGAACAAACAAGTACACCAAACCTACTTGTTATCGCAATGGCCGTGCAGGTACAGTCGCGGACCGCAAGCCTGACCCAAGCACGCGGAGTTTCTGACCAGCCGGATGTGCTTCCGAAGAATCACCATAACATTGTAACAAGGATGAACATGAAAGTTACAATGATCGAGACGCTGGTCCTCGACTCGGCGATCAGTTATACAAGAAATGAGAAAATTCTCACCCGACATAGATGCGACTGTTATGAGGCGAGATTATGACGCAAGTGGGGAAATAGCGAGTGCCAGTGATCATCAATCGAGCATTGGCTGCCATGGCGGCAAACTGTGTGCCACCAAAGATGATCAAGAGTGCACAGATAGATTTGTCTTTATGGTACATCTTGTACACTGCAAATGTGGGCGAATAAGCAGTCACCCAGAGTAAGACCGAAAGCCACATACCCCGCAGCATGAGTGATAACTCTACTGAAAACAGCAAATATTGGGTCGTTATGGTCTGGTACAAGTACCATGCTCTGCAAGTGGATGGACTGTTGAGAACTCCAGAGACCATCCTGAATGCAAACCAATTGTTGAAGCTAGAGACAGGGGTGAAGACGCGACCTTGAGTTGCCAAAAACCGCCTACCCTTGGCCGGCCAAGCCAGCATACCTGGTCACCATATAAAACTTTGCTTCTGTGGTCTTCAGAAATCGCCTGTTCGCCAGAAAAATGCTCATCAATAGCGTTTAGCAAAAAGCCAACAGGTACTCACGGCCAAACCAACCGAACTTCGTCTTTTACAAACCAAAAATACTCGAGGACCATGAGCACAGTACATGTCGCTAATGAGACTAAATTAATCTGAAAGAATGTTCAGACAGAGGTTGGAACGCACATGTTATTATAGCGATATTGCGTGCAACAGGATCGATGATAGAGGGGAACATCGCTGGCATGAGCAGCCTGAGGGCACTGGGAACGCCAGTAAAGGAGCGACTAAAGTTGAATAGAAACCGAAAGTCGAGAGTGCCCCACTGCGAAGTTAGACAGTCAGAGGAGTATCGAACAATTATCGGTGAAGATATATATGTTCGTGAGCAGACCCAGGGTCACCCTGGCGCTGTCGGAAGAAGCACTAACGGCATGCCAAAATTGTGCGCGCTATACAGTACTGAAGAACCTAGGATCCATTTTCCGATCCCAGCGAATCGGACTCGGCTAAGTCAAAAAACCACATACGTACCACTACATGTAAAACCGTGAAACTCTGCTTACTTTTCAGTTCGAGTCACCGCCAAGTTGGCGGGGGTCAGTAGCTTTGGGATTTCCAATTTAGGATATGCCATTCGTTACTCCTTTAACGTACACAGTGTGGGTCCCAGTCGTCGGTGAACATGCATGGTGAATTATCGAGGACATGGGGCAAAAATGATGTCTCCAGCCATAACATTGACTCAAGCTCGGTGATCCGGATAATATTCCACAACGCAACGACGCAGGGTCAATTAGTCGATTGCTCGCGAATTTGATCATAATTTTATGTACAATTTTGTAGACGCAAGCCCCGAGTCTCTTCAAGATCACAATCACATCTCCTTCCGCGACTTTAACAAGGAGAAGAATATTGCTCAAGGTCCTGATCATAAAAACCCACTTCACCGTCGTCATCAATTGAAATTCGTGCATCTGGTTCGATTACTGACATGGAGTATGTCACCCAAATTGTGTAAAACTGTTTGCTACGCTGCTCGCATGCTACATAGTGGATACCGTATCTGCAGGATGTCGTTGCAAATGGGTCCTATTGGACAATTGGACCCTCGAAATCCGACGGCAATTATTTGCGCTTCTTGTCAGATGCCAGCATCCGAATCGGAGTCGTTCTTTTCCGAATTGTCCAGCATCGCAATAGTCCGCCGAGTCACATCAGCGGGGTGTATTGCGCTACAGAGTGTTACAGGGTGCTACAGAGTGCTCTGCAGCACTCTGGAGCAAATTATGCTTCCCCGACGGACCTTCGGAATTGTAATCGTCAGGTTCTGACACGACTGTCAATCAGTTGCATGCAGGCACATTGCAACTAGACACGAAGGCGGTGATGAGCCTAGATGAAATAAAACTAGCTTTAAGACCAAATGTTGGCAATGCAAAGTTCAAGTTGGTTATGGTGATGACACATGTAGCATTGAATAGCTTGTCAGTGTTGTCACATCGTGATGCATTGTTGCATACGGAACCGATAAGTAATGATTTCCATTCTCCATTAATCTTCCAGCAGCCGATCATAATGCCAGCATCCCGAGGATAGCCCCAATAGTAGAGCCACACAAAAGCCCAACGCACCAATCAACCTAAACCGCCGTAAGGATGATAGGGATGACTGCAGGCAGGACTAAGCGCAATCCCCCTGCGCCACCGCACAGAGAGCAAGTATGTTGTCAAGTGGTCCACGCACCCGACATAGTACATCTAGGGAAACCTGGTTTAGTTCCGATGTAATAAATATCAGTGAACGTTCTCAACTAACCCAGGATATTTGCTTGGTGAAGCTGTGGCACAAGGCAATACATTCCCGCGTGAGTGACTGGAAAAAGTATTTATGATTACCGCAGCATCCCGTCCATATTGCCCGAGCACAAATCGCTTGGTATGAAACACGAATAATCTCCGCACCTGTGGAGTAGGAACGATAGATGCACTGCATTTGTAAACGAGCATAATGTAGTGACATTCGGCTCGTAACCATACGACCTTAGATTGATTGAGCGAGCGCGTGCGCATGAGACAATATCCGATACCGCGATGAGCTCTCATTGCCCAATCGGTGCTAGCTGCAGACGTCACGGCCATGCTGCAGAAAATATGATTGACGTCAACGTCTTAAGGTTTTTAGTTTTTTTTATGACTCACAACAATAATAGTGCCACAGCTCCGCCTTTCCCCATCCGCACTACAGCCGCAGTCGGCCCGGGTGTGGCGAGTCCCGCACTTGTCAGTTGCGGTGGCAGAGGAAATGTGAATGTCAGAAACAAAGGCTCAAGTGACGTTAACTTGGGAAGTTGGCATACTAAACCTGACATCGCTTTGAAGCGCTCAGGTCCTCAAACCGAGGTATGATTCGAAAGCCCATAGAACGGCAAACTAAGGGATAGAAATCCGGGAATCCCGTATAAGCTTCAGTTGTTCATTTGAGGTGGCTTGAAATTGCCTTGAGGTTGGTGGACAGTAATGCAAATACTATGTTGTTACCCTTTGCTAGTAACCTGGGCACGCCACGTCAGAGGACAAAACATGAGAATCTATAACACACCCTGATCACAAAATCCGCCGGGGAATCCTAAAAGCAATGCTGACGCTCCAAAGACAAGACCCTGAGAGGAATGAACACGGAAAGATGCGACAAAGTGAATCAGACACATATGCCATTTGCCCACCTAGTTCGGCTTCATGGTCATATAACTTTCATTTGCATTACTGGGGACAGGCACATCAATCGCAGCTTGTGCGTGCAACTCATGTATTTGAGCCAAGCTGCCAATCTCCGCTTTATTTATGCACATTCTCAGTAGCACATCCCTGTGACAAGGGGACTTCACCTCTTATGCACGAACTAATAGTGAATAGAATGATGGTGTGTTGACACGCAATCCAATGACTATGTCGTAATGGCAATTGACAGCCGAAAATACGCAGCAAGTATGGTTCATGCCAGTGAGGATGTTCACAGTAGATCCGCAGACAAGAAGACGCCAATGTTCATGAATGGTAAGTGCGATACGGGCTGCGGTACCAAAGCTAGGTTTGACAGCCTATAGAAAATTTGACAGGCCGGTCTCATTGGTACGTACATACCTCCAAGGATGTAGTGGGTGCCGTTCACGTTCGTCTTCTATCAGAAGTTCCAAAGACCCGTACCACCTATAGGAAATTTGATCAGTCAAAAAGTGAAGGAGCGTGACTGAGCAAGGGACGCTGACACTTAGGCATGATGAGCGTGTATTTTTCAAGTACATGTTGTGATCCATACTAAATGCATAAGCTGCATTACTAGAATGAATGATACGTCACAGGTGAAGAAGCCTAGATGAGCGGACAAAGATGACGTACATGCCGCAGCACACTAACTCAGGCTGACGTGAATAAATCAGCGAAAGCCCTATTTCGTTAGGAAGAATGGCATACTTTGACAATTATATGACGTGTACAGGTACAAAGAGACGAACAGTGAACTCCCCAGGTTTGAACTTGGGGTAAATCGGGAGAAATCGGATGGCATCACAGTCAAGCATAGCACGCCCGACTCCTAGAAGTGAATCTAGAACGCATTTAATGTTCTGGTCTGATCCATGGAGTGAGTGAATGAGTGGCTCAAGAGAATGATTTCGCACAAAGAATGGGCTTGAAATCTGTGGATTGAAATATCGGTACAGACACAAAACATTGGGACTGTAAGACTGCATGAGATCCTGCTCATTTGAGAATATCGAGAAAAATAAGTAAAAGTCATTCGTGTGATACATCCATTGTTCTTCGGAGAACAGGTGCTATCGGTCGACCGTCAAGTACGGAACAGCGACAACACTTACAAATCCCAAGGAGGCCCGTATTGTTCTATCCTTATCAAGGACCAAGGTACGTCGAGAAAAGAGCCCGTGATAGTACGGACGGACGCGGGACGTGAGTGCATGCTATACGCATGGAAAACTGAATTTGATCCATAGTCTCGCAGCGTGCTTCAATATTTCCTTCTAGTATACGTGAGGCTAAGGCTGGTACTTTTCGACCGACTCCCACACACTGGTCCGAAATCTATATGTACGAGTCAGTGACTTTGTCCGCGTTACCATGAGTAATATCAGCTCACCTCGTGACATGATCATTTTGATTGTCGGATGCACTCCTGCTCAAGCGCTTTACTCAGCTTCTGAAGTTGGGCAGTGATTGAGGTATCACTACCCTTGGAGGGTGTACTACGAGCTTGAAAATCGTCGAGAAAATTATTGATGCGAGTGAGAGCCTGTCTGGAGGAGATTGGGATTGATGAGGTGGCTTGTAGACGGACTGGAGGATGGGCTATATCGTCCATGATCTGTAAGTTTTGTCGATATCCGATGGTTTAGGTATAACGTTAACGTTCCCAACTTCCCATGAGCCACAATTCAACTTGATCCCACGCGTTTCTTGAAGGAAGTTTCTCTGCTATATAATCATCTCTGCCACTCTGCATTGATTGCGTTTGAGAAGCGTAGAGCTTTCAGTTAGCTAGTTTCTATACACATTCCGGATAGACTTGCTAGTGAAGACGACCAAGTGCTGCAGTTTGAAATTTTGTTTGACAACTTTACCCCAACGGCCCGGAAATTTCCGTGTGGACAAACTCATTAGCGCCTGGCGACGTTTTTGTGGTTCGACCGTGTTCACATTAGGTGGAGAAGCAACAGCTGGCAAGTGCTTCTTTTTCATTCAACACCACAACATTCAAACGACTTTTTACAGACGACTGCAACTATGGGAAAATTGACTTCAATGCTAGGTCTCCTCTTGACACACCCTTTCGAGTTCAGAACTCTTGTTCATTTCTACCTTTACCATGAGACGAAACGCGACATCACGGCTCAGCAAGAGCACCCCACGTCAGGCTGGGATCGTGCCTCAATGCGCCGTTGCTGGGAATTCCTTGACTTGACAAGTAGAAGTTTTGCAGCTGTCATCAAGGAGCTTGACGGCGACCTTGCAAGAACAGTAAGCACCTTGTTTCTTCTGTGTTTCTTTCCATATGTCTTTTTCCATGCTTGCATGCGTATTTAGTTTAACCAGATAGTCATTTCTTTGAACTCATCCGCATGAATGACTCTTAACTTTCCAGATTTGCATTTACTACCTCATTCTGCGCGGTTTGGACACAATTGAAGATGACATGACTATTTCCGACGAGAAGAAGCAACCAATACTTCGCCAGTTTCACGAATTGACAGTAACGCCTGGCTGGAACTTTACAGAGAACGGCCCTGATGAGAAAGATCGACACCTGCTCCTCGAATACCACACAATCGTAGAAGAAGTCAATAGACTACCACCTCAGTACGTCCACATTTTCATTCGCGCTCTTCGATTTAACATCTACCGCAGATACAAGACTGTCATTCTTGACATCTGTCAGAAAATGGAGAACGGTATGGCGGATTACGCACATAAGGCTGCAACCAACGGCACTGTCTACCTCGAGACTGTTCCAGATTATGACCTGTACTGTCACTATGTCGCAGGCCTCGTAGGTGAAGGCCTCACTCGCATTTGGTCAGCCTCGGGCAAGGAAGCGTCTTTCCTCTGCGATCAACTTGAACTAGCGAACTCCATGGGTCTTCTCCTCCAAAAGACTAATATCATCCGTGATTTCCGGGAAGACGTCGAGGAGAGACGTTTCTTTTGGCCTAGGGAAATTTGGGCTAAGTACGGCTTCAACGAAATGAAAGATTTGTACGAGAAGGGTGATGTCGAGCATGCCACATGGATTCAAAGCGGGATGGTTCTCGATGCTCTGCGACACGCATGCGACTCTTTGGACTACCTCCGCCTACTCAAAAACCAGAGCGTGTTCGTGTTCTGCGCGGTCCCCGTCTCCATGGCAATGGCGACATTGGCGCTTTGCTTCATGAACCCTGAAATGTTCCAACGCAACATCAAGATACGGAAAGCGGAAGCTGCTCGAGTACGTCATATTCATCCATAATTCATGTAGGTATGCTGATATGCCGCAGCTCATCATGCGGTCGACAAATACAAGAGAAGTCGCCCTAATCTTCCGAGAGTACGCACGGAAGATCCACCACAAGGCGAAACCGCATGACCCGAACTTCCTAAAAATTTCGGTGATGTGTTGCAAGGTACTTCATTCGCACCCTCATGTTGCTTGTCTATGACGAAACATCCTTCAGATCGAACAATGGTATGAACAAAACTTCCCCTCGTTCGTCATGCTCAGCGATAGGGGGCCGACATACGACTCTACGGACAAGAGAACAGCCATCTTCAGAGCAGAGGAGAAAAGGCTAGCCGAGCGTCTTGCTGCAGATCCAAGGAACGCACCCTTACCTCGGGACTTGTTTCCATGGGAGCTTGCCACATATGTCGCTGGCGCAATGTTGCTTATGCTGGGTCTCGGCGCTCTCATCGTGTGGGTTATACTGAAGTTCGTTTCACAGTCATAACTTTTGGGATACCAGACTGTCGCGTTGGTATCTTGATCTTGGAATATGTCGTATACCCTCAAACTTATTGTTACCATTATGTAATGGACTGATGCCTTTTGATTGCTAGTTATCTTTTTCCATCCTATCAATGCTATGTTAAAATGCTTTTACATGGGGCGGGACTTGTGAGAATTATGAAGTCAAGAAACAAATAACTGGAGCTGGAAGATAATCGACAAGACTTGGAGCCACTTGAGAGTTTGACAACGGGCGGACCCTAACTTACGAGGACCATCGAAGCCTGAGAGCTTTACGAGTACTTGTATGTATTGTTCGAACTCATCATCCTCTGCTATATATAACTGATCTGGCTGAACAGACGGACTGGTAAAACTGGATAACGTGACGTACAAGCCTTTTCGGGGATCAGAGAACACGTGAACTTTTGCTAAGGCCTTGCAAAGTCCGGTTAAGTCTCAACGTTCAACTCGTTGCGCTAGCTGCCCAACAGCCCCGTCGTTCGTCACCGTTGTCTCATGTAACAAATGTTACTTGCTCTTTGTGCTATATATGATGAGCCCTTCAATTCTAAACTGTAACTTTAACCGTTCTGTGGACTCCGGGTTTGTGGATATCACAGCTGGCGCTGATCCTCAAGCACCTCTTTCACGGATCCTATGATTACACCTTCCTCACGCCTCTCGTCAACGGAGTGCATCAAATCTGCCATCAAAATCATCCGAGATGGTCGTATTAGCATGCCAGGATCAACAACAAATTAATGCCTACCTGTACGAAAGACGCACGCAAGGCGAAACAATAAGCCAATAGATGAAACTACTTTGAGATGTTGCAAAACAGTTGGCAACACTAGCCCTTCCTCCTTCTTAATGCTTTGCCTTAACTTTGATGTTGGCTGAATAACTTGTGCATTGGTGGAAAATTGTAAGCAAGGCGAGTAACATGAATGTGTTTTATCGATTTGCGAGAAAATTTTTTCAATGTCATGTTATTCTAGAGTCTGTTCGAGGTAGTCCAGAAATTCGTGTAGCAATGAGCATACCAATCAACTGCATATCGTGTCGTCAATTGACCGCTGGGGCGACATGAAAGCAGAAAAACGACCCACTGTTATGAACGCGCTCAGTTTTCCGAGCCAATCAAACACATCTATGTATTTTGGTGGCAACCTATTGATACAAGGCGCAAGGGTAAGTCATGGGGTCGAATCCTAGATGCAAAGCCGATGGATACTCGCATCCAATTTGCAATCGTCCTTGCTTGTGCAGCATTCAAATTCATTTGGGACTCTTTGGTCCGGGCCGCAAGGATGGGGGCTAATTATGCACTGCTCGACATATTTGCCACTGACGGACATAGATGTTGTCAAAGCAGCAACAGCAGCAAGGAGGAATGAAAAATGCATGAATCTTGCTAGGTAATATAAGATGCGTCGAGGGGATCCCTAATGATAGTTCTAAGAATCGAGAGCCTGTTTTTATATCCCATAAAGAAGTCCAGTCTCAGTAAGTAGGTCCGTCAGCCTGAATGGTTGCTGGCAGATTTGCATAGGCAGAATCACATAGTCCGGGGATAAACAATCTAGATGTAGGTCGCGTCGCGTCAAATCCGCCATTCTGCCAACTGGTTCTGCCTAACCGGCAGATGGCAGAATCCGGCAGAATGTCAAACTACTGGAGATCCGTCAGTATATGAAACAAACTTATTTTTTAGTGCATCGTGCCATAATGATATACTAGATGAGCTTGTCATTGGTTCATCCAGTCACGGTGGGACTGACTGTGAGAGCTGATCGTGCTATTTTGTCGGGTTCACTATAACATTACTTGCGAGCTACCAACACATCTTAACTAGCAGGTCAATCGGTTGTGGTGGATACTTGACAGGACCCCCATCCTGTATAACTTTCGCACGCTCGGTGATTCCCGAACATGTAAACTGTACGCTCTGTGCGAAACACAACTGTTAAATATTGTGAGCCGCGGACACAAGTTGCTGGGTTACAACAGCACAGGATACGGTTTTGTTCACTTCTTCTGTTAAGAAGTATCCATCGTTTGCAGATAATCGCGGACGATGTCTCGATTTGTTCGTGCATCTAAGTATCGGTGAGTACATGCCCAAGATTGCAGCACACTGATTGGTGATCGCACCTCCCACAGCCATGTCTTCGGACAGACAGCAAAGAAAGAACATGGATACGACAATGTGAAGCTCTCCGGCAGCGCTTGGGACACGAATCTTGTCTCTGCCTCTGGGGTGACCACTTTCCCTCTTCACGTCCGTCTTTCGCTGACATACCGCCTAGCGATATATCAGCGTTAATTGGAACGCATCTGGAGGTGGCGCATTTGCAATACTTCCCCTTCCCTCCCCTTTTGCACCTGTCCCAAATTTCCCGCACAAGCTTCCTGATGTTATTCCCCTCGCGCGCAGTCACACTGCCCCCGTCCTCGACACCGATTGGTCCCCACATAACGACTCTATCGTCGCCTCTGGCGGTGAAGATGGGAAGGTCATGATATGGAAGGTCGAGTCTTCCGCTTTTGAAGATTGGGGCCAGGATCATTGGGTACCAGAAGACTTTGACCCTGTCGCCCGGATTGATGCATCACCGCGCAAGATCGGCCAGGTTCTCTTCCACCCCACCGCATCTAACGTCCTCGCCAGTGCGTCAAGCGAACACACAGTCAAGCTTTGGGATCTTGCTGATACCGATCGCCCACGCTCTGTTCTTACCGGACACAGCGATACCATTCAGTGTCTCGCCTTCAACCCTACCGGCACACTCATAGCGACGACCTGTAGAGACAAAAAACTTCGTTTATTCGATCCTCGTACTGGAGGCGAAGCTGTTCGCGTCACTGAGGCGCATGGCGGTATCAAAGGTGCTCGTGTCGTGTGGATGGGTGATCTTGACAAGATTGCGACTACCGGTTTTAGCAAGATGAGTGACCGTCAAGTCTCCATCTGGGAAGCTGGAGGTCTTGGAAATATCAAGACAACGACTATTGATCAGTCTGCTGGTGTTGTTATGCCTTTCTGGAGCGACAATGGCATTCTTTTCCTGGGTGAGTGCCTCGTATGTGCTTAGGACTCGTCTTTTCTCATATAGTTGCGTCTAGCTGGCAAAGGGTAGGGCGGTATTAAATGTATTTTTTCCTGGTTAATCTAAGTCCAACAGCGATGGAAATATCCGGTATTACGAGTACGAGAGTGACTCGCTATTCCCGCTAGCAGAGCATAAATCTCCAGATCCCCAGCGGGGAATCTGTTTCCTACCTCGTCGTGCACTTAACGTGTCGGATTGCGAGATTGCTCGTGCGTACAAGGTGTCAGGCTCATCTGTGGAGCCCATCGCTTTCATTGTGCCTCGCAAAGTAAGTATTCCTTACAACACTTGCGATAGAGTCACTGACAGTATCACCAGGCGGATTCATTCCAATCCGACATTTACCCAGCTGCGGCCTCGTCAGAGCCTTCTCTCTCTGCAAGCGAGTTCTTTGCTGGAAAGACTGCCGCATTGAAGCTTGTTAGTCTTGAGAATGGCGTTGTGTTCAATGGCGCACAATCGACACCCACGCCCTCGGCGCCTGCGCCGACACCTGCGCCCGCACCCACTGCGTTCAGTGCACCTCCGCCTGTCACTAAAGCTGTTACGATGCCTACACAAGTGCCACAAACACCGGTTCTATTAAGATCTGAGTCGGCACCGGTGCCTCGACCCGCCTCGCCCGTCTCAGAATCTCCGGCTACCTTCACTCCCCCAACGCGAGTTGATGAAGTACGTTCTCTTATTGTTGACCTTGAATTTCGATGCTCAAGCCAAGTGTAGGGCAAGACTGTGTTAGAAGCTGAAGTCGATCGGCTCAATAGTGAGCTCCGTGCAGCACGAGAGAAAATTCGCAACATGGAGTTGCAGGTCGAGGGCCTGAAAGCGAATGCAAGGAAGGCAGCTCAGGCTTTGACAGGGTTGTGAGACTCCTGTTGCGGGTGTAAAGTAAAATGGCACCTAATGAGACTAGAGGTGCTTTTGGTGTAGATTGATGATCGTGTACTTAGTCATTATATCTTGTATAGCCTGCGTTCCGGTGGACATTGGATTCTTTTATCTGCTGCACACCCCTACTTCCTGAGAAGGGCAAGAGACGAAGCAACACGCCAGTACAGGCGGAGCGAGCTGATCGACTCCACGGGCGGAGTTTCGTTGGCCATTCCCCTAGGCCTGCGCGGCGACACCATGGCTGGGTACCGTGTGAAGTTTACATAATGCACCGCCAATATTGAGTCCCTTGCTGTAGTAGCTGTACTAACTACGTATACGATAAGTAACCTGCCGTATTATGTCCTGACGCGGCCGTATAGCTTTGACATAATTGATGCTGCCACCCGCTTCGTCGATAGGAAAAAGGCTGATAGGTCGTAAGTCATGCCATACATTTCCAATGGACTAGACATACTGAATTATACTTAAAGAAGTGAGGGCATCACAATAACTGGTAGAAGTCCAGTTGAGTGCATTCATTGAATATACATAACGCTCGCTCAATTGAATCATTAAAATTGTTCTCTTATTCACTTCCGAGTCCAGCGCTCAAGTAACAATACACTCTATATCTGGACCCAACACCGCTCCAGGCCACTTCACCTCACGACGTGACAGTGAATGGGCATAGGCATACAATGCTATTGTGTCAGATATCGTCCAGTTGGCCGTAAGCAAACCAAAAGGTACTGCGGCGAACAATCTGAGTTGGAAATTAAACTCCATCTCAGTGCTCAGCACCAAGGTTGATACGTGATACCCGGCGAGGACTGCTTGCCACGCTTGTTTCCTCATCCTGTATACTCATACCTCAACATCATAGATTTATCATGAAGCGAACATCAAAATGCGATGCTACACACTGAAGAATCTAGCATATAGCAATCTCACAGTCACTCTGCATCAGTTGATGATCATTTGTCGATAATCAACTTGATCGCCAATCTAAACACAGCACTTTCAAGCTAATAATAGTGACAAAGACGCATATGATGCCACACCACGACGCAAGGAAAATTCCGCGTTTTCGACTTATATGTAAGTCATTCCAGCCGTTCATTTCCATTTCCATCTCCCCATCCATCATTCACTCATCGAATTCCCCATTGCACATTCATGTCACAAACGGAAGACAATGTCATTGGTCTCCGGTGGAACGACAGTATATCTGGTTCGTCAGCCCCTTTAACTACTTTGTGAATGCACCATCGTGCTGAATATCAATTTAGTGGCGCTCTTTACAGTGATGCTCTATGAGTACGGTTAGTAGCCCTCGTGAACCTTGCACTACTGCTGAGTGAAATATTATCCAGTTCTTCTTTTTGACAAGGAGGTAATATAAGACTTTCTTGTTGTCGGCCGAGTACTCATGTCGTAATTTCATCGGCGCAGCTTAAGTATGTCTGGGTCAGTGTTCTACCCCATACTATTCATGCAATGATACCAGCCCGGAGATTAACCGAATCTCCAGAAACGACCTTGGTCACTGATGTCATTCCTGTACCTTGTTGTGAGTTCGCCCTGCTACAATACTTGATCGTCTATGCATATGTACCATCTCTTGCTATGCTAGGTCCGATATCTTGGTCTCTCCCTTGCAATGTACGTCGTGGTGACTTGTGTCCTTCACGTTGCAAACTAACATTGACACTAGAACTTGGGGTTGTTGTATGTATTGCTATGCCGTTCGAGCCATCCTTTGCTGACTAGCGCTAGGGGGAGGATTGTTTTATATAGCTCAAACAGTGAGTCCATCAATGCTCTCCATCTTTAGAGTATTCTAAGTTGAACCGTCTTTAAGCCGTACGTCACATCAAACTTGTTTCACAGCAAAGTCTCAACCGTTGTTGACCTCTTTCATCTAGCTGCAAGTATATTTCATGTTTTTAAACTTAACTGCAATTTCCTCATTATGTAATAGGCTACAACATTCTTGTTGCACTGGAATGGGGTGGGTCTGTGTACTTTTGCTTCGCAGAAGGTAAGTTATGTAGTCAGTAACTCATAGTGTATACCGATTTTTCATCCGCAGCCATTCTCATCTGGCGCCTATACGCAATAAGCAAGCGATCGAAGCTCCTACTTTATGTTGTATTAGGGACATTCCTGCCTATCGTCGCCCTCTTGATAGGCACAGATGTCTATTTGTATAGTCGACCTCACGCGTTCTCAGGTGAATTTTCGCTCAGATCAGATTATCTGTAAGCTGACGTTGTGTCGTTACAAAGTCCAAGAATTGATTACTCCGACCGTTAAGTACTGTACCTTTTCCTTCAACATTGGGCCTATGACTGCGATCTTTCTGGCCATCCCCATCGTGTGCTATGATATCTTCCTAGTTGTTCTCGCGGTTGTTATTCTCGCAAGACACGCCAAAGGACAGAGGGAATACAACATGCGACCCAATGCCTATATGGTAATGATCGTCCGATATCATACCATGTACTTTGTCCTGTAGGTTCCTTTTCGTCTAGTGGGTTCCGAAAGTGCTAATTTAATTCTCCTCTAGGAATTTGACAAACCAAATTTTAATGGTGATATTATGGGCCCACATTCCAGTACGATATTCCAAAGATGGTGCATATATCAGCTAACATGTACACTCGTAGACCGCGGGGATGGATCTCTCAGAGTTTTTCAGTGATACGATGCCATTTATTCTCGCGCCCCGTCTTATTATCAGCATTTGGGACACGCACGCAGAGGACGACTGCTTGCTTGTCAGTACGACGTTCGAGGATTGTGTGTGTTTGACTTCGCCGCCAAGATTCGAGCAGCACGAGATGGTCTCTGACATCCCATTAACTTTGCACCCTGGGGCGTCTTACGAGTGTGTACACCACGAGCAATGTTGAAGAGTAGGGTGCGTGAAATGAAACTCTGTGGGAATGTAATATCGTGTGCTTATAAGTGGTCAAACCAGCAGGGCGGCCTCATTTGCTGCTGTGGGAGCTGCTGCTGCAGAGGTTTGGGCTTTTGTTTGGTGTTGTCAGATGCCTTCCGCGTCTATTTATGCAGTTGCTACATGAGTTGATCTTGTGTTGTCGGTCTGTACATCATGAGCGTGATCCATTCGTGTCCATCCTTTCTTAATTGCCATGTATAATGGATCAAATATGTACGTGTCTCATCAATCCCATCACATTTCTCTCTCTTTGGGCTATTGTATTTATTAGGTCTCAATATGATTCGCGTGCCCTCCATCCTCCGATGACAGAAGATTGTCTTCACGCATGTATTCATGATCTGGTTTTCATGATCTGGTTTTTTCCGTATCGTTCCGATGCATTAAAGATATCTAGGATTTAATTCCACTGGATTCTGCCGCACTTTGGTGCCTTCTCGTGGCTAACTTAAGTTTAAAATCACAGCTTGCGACAGCTTCAAACTCTTCTGTCAATGCGATGCCACTATTCGTGCATTGTGCAGGGTAGTAATGCCTGCCTGCATTAATCCTAAACACAAAGTCGCGACGCCACGAAATAATTCTTACTCGAACAGATGCAGCACAGGTATGCATAATTCACCGATGACAACGTTCCTTCCATAATATGTCCATCTATACAAGCATTATGACTCATTCCAGGTCGACCAAACGTTGATGAAGTTTTTTGTGGGCACGAGTCAAGGCTGCATGTTGCCTGTCATGGTTAGTCCATCGATGACCCTGCTGTGGCGCTTTCGGCGGCAAATCGGAGCCTTAATTGAATTTCCGGACGGATAATTCTGACCATTCAATGCCCTTGTCTAGTATGTTCCGGTGTCTAATGTTATAATGGGGCCCTTGCTGATCTTTCTGTTTTGCTCAGCCTGATTTCTGCTCCCTTAAAGGGTACGCGACCATGTTCTATCAAGATAATTAAACTATCTAAGCGCTTGTACATTGCAGACGCCTGCAAGGCGCTTTTGGTCCTTATCGAGACCTCATTACACGTTCTCTAGGCTGTTAAGGCACTCTTACTACCCACAGAACAAGAGGAACACGTTGGCTGTGACATATACGAGTAATGAGGGACCTGGCCAAGATGTAACAGCCACTTTCGTCGGTCACGAATCTCGGAGTGATACTTGTTCATTCCTAGCTAACTATCAATATCAATATGAGGACTTTGATTAGACCCTCACAGCCCTCGAGACTCAGGAAAAACCCTATGCCTTCTATAAGTATGGTGAATCGGTCTCGATTAGCCGCCCCCCAATCACTTCAGATCACCCATTCGATTTACAGTCTCATGTCGGAACAGGAAATCGTCACTGGTCTCCGCTGGAATAACTATCTATCTGGTTCGTCAGTTTCACCGATGTGTAAGCGAAGCATCATGTTAAAACTTCGATTTCAGTGCCTGTTATTACCTTGATGTCCTATGAGTACTGTTAGTAACCTTTGTGAACCTCGTACGGCTACTGAACGACATATTATTCAGTTCTTTTGTTGGGAAAGGAGGTAATCAAGGTCTTCTCTTCTGTCGGTTGATGCTTATAATTATTATGATCGGCGTAGGTTAGATATGTCTGGGTCAGTCTAACCTCATATCTGCACAATCACATCAGCCCGGGGATTGACTGAACCTCCAGAAACGACCGTGGTCACTGATGTCATGCTTGTACCTCGTTGTAAGTTTTGTTCTGTCAATGAAGTTTATTTTATTTTATTGGCTACGCTAGGTTCGATATTTCGGTCTTTTCCTGTCACTGTACGTCGTCTTGATTTCTTGCATATGTATATTGACATTCGTGTTAGGCTTTGTGGCTTTTGTATGTAGCCCTCAGCCTCCCAGAGCTATCATCAACTGACTGACTCTAAGGGGGAGGATTGTTGTATATTCCCGAATCAGTCAGTGCACCGATACTTTCTGTTGAAAGCGTTTAAAGCTAACAAACATTCTAGCCGTAAGTCCCAAATTTGTCTTGAAGAAAAGTCTCAATAGCCGTTGTCCACTTTTATAGCTGCAAGTATATCGTTTTCAACCCAAAGTACCTTCGTTCACCACTCAATTGAAATAGGCTACGGTCTCGTCGTTCTGATTGAATGGGGATTTTCAGTGTATTTTTGCTTTGCGGAAGGTAAGTCGTATATTCTCGCATCTCGCTACACATTTCAATCTTGTATCCTCAGCCATCCTCATCTGGCGTCTTTATGCCATATGCAACCAATCCAAGCTCCTACTCTATGTTCTAGTGATATTGTTCTTGCCCATCATCGCCCTCTCAATTGGGATGGACATCTATCTATACAGTCGACGTAGCGCGTTCTCGGGTAATTTTTTTTTACTGAAATCGAGTTGTCTGCAAGCTCACCAGTGCCCTCATTGCATAGTGGTAGAAATCATAACTCCGAATGTCAAGTACTGCACCCTTTCCTTCAACATAGGACCTATGCCTGCGATCTATACCTCCATTCCTATTGTGTGCTATGATATCTTACTAGTTGTTCTCGCGGCTGCCATCCTCGCGAGGCATCTAAAGGAACGGAGGGGAGTCCGAATGAGGGCTAATTCATCTATGGTCATGATCGTTCGGTATCACATCCTGTACTTTGCTCTGTAAGTCCCCCCTCATCTAGTGGGTTGTGAATGCATTCATAGATTCCATCCAGGAATTTGACAAACCAAATATTATTGGTGGTATTGTGGGCTCATATTCCGGTATGAGATTCTGAATGATTATACAGACGGTCCAGCTAAACATATGCACTCCTAGACCCCGGCGATGAGTATCTCAGAATTCTTCAACGATACCGCGCCATTTATTCTCGCACCCCGTCTCATTATCAGTATTTGGGATACCCATGCCCATGATAACTGCGTAGAAGTCAGTACAACGTTTGAAGATTGTGTATGTTGGACTTCTCCGCTGAGGTTCGAACAGCACGAGATGGACTCCGTTGAGGTATGATCATGGCATGTTCGGGCTGGTTCCTCGGTATGAAGAGTGAGGCAAATTTATGAATCGATAATTAAGTTACGGTTCTGTGTAGCACCTGATGATAGTGATAGTGTAGTAGTTAGGTAGTGTAATCTATAATGTCTATAAACCGAATCACTGAACACGTGTATATACCTACAGAGTATTTTGCAGTTCCCCACTGCAAACATGATATCACAGATCCTGTCGAGAACCGATAACATCCATCATCGCTGACGATATGCTACCAACTTGTTTGCACAATGCTTAAAACAGAGTGTCAGAAATTCCTAATCTAGCTTTCAATGCATTACAAAGCATTGAAATTTTTAAATACAAACTGCTGCTTGAAATAGATTTTAATGATAGAGTGCGCCTTGTAATGGGCATTGCAACCGTCATTGCAATGCCAATTGTAATGGTAATTGAAATAGGTTTAAATCAATATTAGTCATTGTAATGGACTGTTTGTACAGCAATTGGTCGTAATGATGCCCCCATGTCACCACTTCTTGGAATACTGGACCTTATCTTACAAGCCCCTTTTTCTATCTTTATTAGGTCCTGTTATGTTATATTAGTTAGTTTACTATCTTATCTGGTTTGTGTTAATGCTTACCTTGTCTATTATATAGTCTGTACTTGGCAGGTTTCGAATGCTTGACGTGTAGTAGTTATTAGCTTAAGCTTAAGGTCACATGATACTTAGGACTTACTGCGACAAAACCATTAGGCTAAAGGGTCTTTTTATGTAAGGTAACTTGATTGTATTTGAACCATCATTTTTGGCTAATACCTAAGGCAATAGCAAGTAGCATAGACTAATAAGATTGGGTGCGCATGAAAGGCAAATCAAAGATGTAACATTACAAATGAATGAAATGAAAAAAGACTAGTATATCTACTAATAGTATCCTAAGCAGCACGAGCACTGCATCGAACACCTGTAGCTGCAGGCTTCTTTGCCCTAGCCCTTCCTCTCCCTCTCCCTCGAGCTGGTGGCTGTTCCACATCTGCATCCTGTGCTACAACTGTATTAGTAGCTGCTGGAACTGCCGCATCACCCTGAACAGTAGCTCAGAAAGTAGCACTGAGAGTGGAGGTGGTACTAAGTGACGAAATAGTGCTGAGAGTGGTGGGAGGCTGTGCCACCTCGACAGTGTTGGAATGAAAGGCAGTGGTACTCTGGACTGCGGAAGACGTTGGAGTAGGTTCAGATATATCTGACTCGGTGTCGCTATCAATATCGAGTGCGTTCATTGCACGAATGACTTCGCTGGAGTGATCTTCTTGAGTGGCTGCAGGAGTAGAAGATTTAGCAGAGCCAAAAACTGCTCGGTCGATGTTTTGCACAATGGTCTGGATGCGGCGGCTGTCCTACTTGGTGAGCAAGAGTTTCTTGTAGTGAAAGAAAAGGTCCTTGTAGTTGATGCCGGAGGACTTTCCTGTGCCTGACTTCTGAAATTCAGTATCGGGTGATAGCAAAAAGATTGCCTGTAATAGTATCGACTGAGTGAGAACATTCGACATAGCATAGATGACTTACAATGACAGCAGCCCACGCAATAGATCCTGGTGTAATGTGTTCAAGGTTCCACTTTCGGGCATTGGTCTTTGGTCCACCAGTGGTCTCTTGATGAAGCGAAGTAACACCGCGAAGTGCGGCCTTCAGAATCTATTCAGAGATATATCAATGTCACAAATTGAACGAAAAAAAACACATACCTTAGCCAAAAGTTCTCAGTTTCCGAACACAGTCTTCAAGGTAGGGTCCTCTTGCATTCCAAGGAACAGGACCGGTGGAAATGTCTTGTACTTTGGATTTGTTGCTGACACTCCAAGCATTTTCTGTATGTCTGCGACGTCGGCTCTGCGGTACTGGGTATTGCTGAAGTATACTCCCAGAAGGTCAAATATACTGCCCGCAACACTACATAGTTTGTTGATTTCTGATGAGCGAGCCTCGGAGATGGACTTCATTACCTGGAGGATGATTGTTAGTTCAACAGTTAGTAGCAAAACATGTAATACGTACGAGATCGCTGAAATACGAGCTTTCCATAACACTGTGTAAGCAACTAGGGAAGTGTTGATATAGCTTGTCCAAAAACGCCGATTCCTGGGTCATTGCTGTCAAGTATTGGTCTCGGCTGTTGAATGGTGTTGGGTTCTCGGGACGTTGCATGCTGAAAAGGTCGGTGTTGGGGAACATTTCAACAGTCATACCGTATTTACGAGCATAGAGTGTGATTGTTTGTTCGTGGGCCAGGAGTTTGTCGGGAGCTTCTGTGCGACGTTTGCATTTAGGCTTCTCGGCAACGAGAACCTTGTTCTCCTCGTGAAGAGTGCAATTTTCCTCAACGAGCTTCTGAACCTGGATTTGCAGCGCCTTGAGTGCCTAGAGTGAGAGGAGAGTTAGATAGGTAAATCAAGTAGTTTAACATCTAAAACTTACATCCATGAAGTCTCCCTTCGAGGCGTTTGGCCCCGGAATTGCAACAGATTCAACATTGGACTCTGCATCCCATTCACCATCTGAGTCAGACGTGTTTTGAGAGAAATGAGACATGATGCTAACTAGATGCAAGGAGATGAGAAAACAGTCAGCATGACAGCGCAGTATATAAGGTAAATCATCATGCCTCATGCTTGATGCAGCCAAAGTTGTAGCAATGTATCAGCAGCACCAAGAAAAAACATGCCTACTCTTTGACTATCAATTACAAAGGAAAGCGTGATAGCCTGGAAGTGACCTTTGATACAACAAATGAAATCAGCACTGCAAAGTAATAATCAGTGTGTCATGTCTAAATCATAGGCTGGGATATTACGTCTTGAGCTCCTTGTTGATGGGATATGCACCAGGATCTAGTACAAGAGTAGGATAGCCTGCCACGATGCTCAGAATGGAGTAGGCGAGACATTGTTTGAGTGGGCTCACCTGAAGCAGAAGATCTGTACATGCTGCAGCCAGTACAAGATTGCCAAGAGCCTCGTGGAGCCAGCCATCGGATCAGAACAAATGCAGTGCCGGCTCTTCAAGAAGGTCAGTCTGAATCACCAACAAGGCAACTCACCTTGAGATCCTTGACTTCCTCAGAATCATTTTTGTCATCTTCATCATTGACATCGACAACCACGTCGTCTCCACTCCTCTTCCTCAAGCCAGCGCATCACTTTCGCTTCCAATACACCCTCAACCCTCCATTCACGTGTGCCCTCCACCCAGGTGAGCCCATCAACAACAGTTGACAAGGAAACAGCACAGCGCACAAGTCAGCTCCATCTCTTGCTCGTCTCCCCACGCAAACTCTCCCTGTGGGAGTGACCATCCTCTTTGTCATCTTCATCTTCGATGATCCCATCAGTTAGCTGACTGCCTTCTTCCATATCCAGAATCTCCACCTCCACCCGCCTTTCTTCTCCACTCTTCCAGTATCCACGCTCAAAGACTTTGCGACCAATCTACTCCATCCCACGAAGGCACCAGTCCTCGGAGAGAGGCGGGGCACAACCACTTGTCAGCATTGCCCACCGCTCACCGCCAGTAGCTGGGATATCCAATCCCTGCGCAGCAAAGATATTGCGGGGAATGGTGGCAAAAAAGCGGGCAAGATCATGCCAAGGTATTGAACGTTCCATTATAGAAAGTGTCTCTGTGTGTTTTGTGATGGTAGCCAAGAAGGTGAGTAGGACTGTGAGATAAGGATTGAGAGTTGAGCAAGAAAAATGTGTGGCTTTTCACGTCGGATTGCGGAGAACGAATGAGAGCATTGAAAATGCAAGTTCCAACGCTAGTTTGAATGCCACTGGCAGCTCCACAGGTATGTTTGCATCTGATAGAGCTGGAGATGCTTGTGAGGTGTGGAGTGCATGGGTCCAGAGATGAATGATGATATTGTACTTGGTTGGGATTGCCCGGTGCGAGGGAGATGATTATGCATCATCTCAGCGAGTCTGTACCTATTCAATCAATGATAAGTATGGTGAAAACCAGAGAATGACTTGCCGTTTAAGGTCTGAGATCAGCTTTGTCCATTTGTGCTGCTGGAGATCTTCGTCGCTAACTTTGCGTCCTCGTCCTTGGAGAATGACGCGACCTTCATCTATGAGATCATTGGGGTCTTCACCTAATATCTTTGTTTCTAGGGTGGATATGCTGTGGTATGGCCTGGACCTTGAAAGCTGAACCTGATCGCAAAGGCTGGTTTGCACGGGGTGCCATAATTGAGGAAGGGGGAGCTGAGCTGCTAGTATAATCAGTGTTCTATGACATATTGATAAAAGTTAATAAGACGTACCTTATAATCTGGTAATGAAATATCTGGTAGGAGCAACAAAAGGATTGGTCAGATTAAGTAGCAGTCGAGAACCTAAGGTGTCCATGATGGCAGCCAATGAAGCAAAAAGGTTCTCATTAAGACAAATGATCAAATGCGCACAATGTGCCCTGCCTCCAGATGCATCATCTTTAGGTGAAGAAACATGTCAGTATCTGCAGTATCGACTACGAAATAATCAGAGGGTCCATCCGGTACCAGAAGGGCCCCACATATGAATGATCTAACAGAAAAAAACTGTGCCTGTGCTCGTGGTCTTGTGTGAACTCTGAAAAGGTTGAGATCCTTGTCCTTTCGAGTGCGCAAACCAGTAGGAACGTCAAAAGGGTGAACAAGAGCCAAGGGAAACATATTATTCCCAACCAGACATTCAAAACAGAAGATCAGACGGCCGAGAATGACTTTATTCTCTGTCAACCGGATGAAGATGCAGTTGAAGCATGGCGAACCAAAGAAACGGGGGTTGCAACGAAGGTAATCTGTATGTTGACACCAATCAACCATTGATTCATAGTTGATGCGTATGAAGCGGTGCTCTGTAATCTGTGTGTAGTATGTCAGCGCAGCAAAAAATGAACTAAGATGAACATACATACCTCATCAGTTCCTCGGAGATGAATGTGTTTGCCTTCAGGCAACGGTATGCTCGACGAGGGCAAAAGAACATTTAGAAAATTGTTGAGCTTGATGCAGAAGTTACTGAAGGCCTGGTCTGCTTGATGAGCCATCTGAATCGCATCAAAGGTCAGCGGAGGTTGCTTCGATCCCAGTTTCACGTGAAGGTAGTTGCATGTTGAGATAGGACGATCGACGACAGTGGCAATGAAGTCTTCTTCCTCCAGTAAGTCTTCTTCATCCAATTGGCATTGATGATCATCAAATTCAAATAAGCGGTGGCGTATATGATCTGCAGCCACCTGCCACGTATTAATACGGAGAATCTGTCAAAGTTGAATCAAGTTGTGGTATTATAATAGATCATTTTCTTAAAATTGAAATGCACCTGTTCTGCTATGTCACGAAAGTTTGTGCACAGAAAATACGAGTCCTTTAGCGAGCCATGCATCTTCTCGTTCGGCTTGGTATTGTAGTTTCGTGTTGCTCCTTTTGCCTTGACATCGTCAAAAATGTGCGAGCCCATGTGCAACTTCGGAAAATTCCAGTTCTTCTCACTCTCGACCGTTTTGTTTATGTATTGCTAATAGAAATTAGTTGCCTATTGAAAGAAGTAAATAGTAAATGAGACATACCCGCAAAAGAGCTGCAAATGCAAGGTGTGTGTGTCGGCCACTGCTTATAGTCTCCGTTGTGTGAACCTCGAGCGAGGCATACATATCGAGTTCAAGGTAAAGTCGGACACAACGAAGGAGCAGGTAACCGAGAGGACAGTCTGCCTCTGTCAATATATTGTGGGTCGCATATACTATCATCTAGTAGTGATATGTTAATACTAGATGCGAGGTAGAGCGGAAAAAAATTACGAACCTTCGAAATGTCTTCATGCGTGGAGTTGTTGGTAAATGAGATGTTCATGACCTGATTTGGATGCTTTTGGTCTCACCAGCGGGGAAATGCTTCATAGCTATGTAAATTCATGTCAGTTCAAGTCAAAATGAATCATAAACGACTTACCTCTTGTCTACTTGAGATGTTTTCTCTCGTCCGAGACCATTTATACACTTCTGAAGCTCTACCCATAAGTGATCAGGCCATAGACCACCAGAGTGAAAGTGCAATTTGTCCCAAGACAATGCACGATGTACATTCATTGAGGACACTGTCGAAAACGAATTCTAAGACAATGTTAAAACAATATAGCACAAGAGTAAAGATAAATTTACCTGGACATCACAAAGTCCATATTCTTTCAGTACTTCCTCCCGCTCTTCTGCGGTCTCCCTTTCTCGTGCAGTTGCTAGGATAGCTTGTGATTCACGAGATGTGCGACGTGGATAGCAGTGCGACATATCCGAAAGTTTATCATGGGGAACAAGACAGATTGGGCATGGCCATAAGGCCCTAACACCACGAGTAAGCACCATTGTCGACCTTAAAACATGTAAGTTAGTGAGACGTCAATCACAAAGTCCGAAGCTCACTGTTCCTCAAAATCGGAAGATAAAATGAGTATCAGTGGAAAAAACCACCGCTGAACAACATCTAGACACACCAACCATTGACCAGTTTTTGATTTTGCAGCGAGTGAAGACAGTATCCTTTCAAAGGATTTGCGCCATACTGTGGCCTTGAAGTTAGCCCATGCCGGCTTGCCGGCATGGGCTTTATCTTCCTTCACCTATGAATAGAATCAGTATGAAGTAATGCACATAACATATATATTGTAATACCACAGGAAGCCACCCAACAATATAACCGCCACCCATTCCTTGACTGTTGCGAATGTGGGTGGGTAAGTTCGCCAATCGTGCAACGATGGGATAACCTTTTGCAGTACCGAAACTAGATAACTTTGTTTTGTCAGCATACAATATGAAGGCGAGGGGCTTAGCGCTATGTGGCAGCTGCGACTATGAATTACATTGAGATGCCATCAAAATTACTGTACAACATATATGGATAGTACATACTTGAGCATCCCAGAAGTCTTGAGCAGTAAAGGGTTCATCTACAAATCGTTCAAAAGACTGGCCATTGAACTTCGACAAGCACTGGGCATCAAAATGAAAATAAGGAAACAGATGAGGATCGCGGAGGAGGTCAGTAGCCCACTCCCAAAGATTGCGATAGTAGATGTCAAAGTCCCATGATTTATCTGCGAAGGGTATCGAAATCACGTCCTTTGTAAACTAAGCTCAAACATTAGTCCAATAAGAATCATACAACAATGGGCTATACAACCCCTGTTAAGCGCTGAGAAACTGCATCCCACTTAGCGCAAACGTCCTTGTGGTTCTTGAAAGTTAGTTTCTCTGACTTCTGTGCGCAGCGGCAGCATATGTCAAGGAGATGGTCCGTCTGTTCATTATTGAGGGCCGCTTCGAGGGCGATTTCAGCAATATTGAACTCCAAACGAGACCTGAAAGGACACCAAGGCTGTGCGTCAGGTTCTGGAGCAGACCATGAGGAATGATGGGCAGGGCGACACGTGAAATCATTGAAAGCAAAGACTTTGGTCGGGATCCCACTCCCCAGGTGGTGCTCGACCTTGATGTCATCAAGCTGAAATTCATGATACTGAAGGTCCCCGTCGTCATCAGGGATAGCTGGCTGCTCTTCTAAAGTCCATGTTAATTATATCCAACAAAACAGCCAAAGAAATAATCAAACTCACCAAAAGTAGGGCCTGAATTATCATCATGGAAACTCGTCGATGCTGAAGGGTCGCGCTGAACTGTTGATGCTCAAATAAGTAAAATAAACGACACAATAGATTGATAGAATGATAAACGGTAAGACTTACCCTGTGTCTCAAGCGGATTCAGACTGTAACCCGCCACCGCATTGACAGCAGTCCCACCAACAAGACCTGCTGCAGTTAGTCCAGACACAGAATTAAAATGGAGTATTCAAGAACGCACCTTTTCGCCGCCTGATTGAGTCTGCAATGCGCTGATCTTGGGCTTGTTTTTGAGTGTTCTTCTCACAGGCTTTTCGGTGAGTGGACCAGCCGCGTGGTTTGATATTCTGGTCGCACAGATCACAGAGTTTGGCCCTGTCAGAGCCCATGATGTTGACAGATATATACGGGGTATCTACAGAATTGATATGAGCGAGGAAATGAAGGAATACAGATGGTGAGAGCACAAATACAGGTAAGGACACATTGCAAGCGCCTTGCAATCACGTTGCGATACATTGAAACTCAGCAATCAATCTTACATGATCATGACAATAGGGATTTCAACGTCATCTCAACAACGGAGCATTGTAATAGGTTTCGCAAATTTCCGACAAGCGGCTTGCAGCTGCGTTGGCAAAGTCTTGATCAGAGGTCACTACATCAACTTGTACGCCGTTCCTTACTGCGGTGACAGTAAAAAAAATGGTACACGTCTAGATCTATAAAGTAAGGGAGAACGGTTGCGGGAAGGGACGGACGCTCGCGTGGTTTTTGCTTGGGTCGCTTAGACATGCTAAATGCCATGTGGTTTTCGCTTACCTCGCTTAATGCTTACTTTGGAAATCTTGCGTGGTTTTCTCGCTTGACTTTGCTAATGGTGAGAACAAAAAAGTCTTGATTCAGAATTTTGAAAGGTAAAATTCCACGGTGTCCAAAAATGCTGCCAAACACGATATAGTGGACAGTGTTCTGCACGCCTACTGCGCTGCACCCATAATACGGACAAACAACTCACTTTTCCTACTATAAGGGAGCGAGCATCGAGAATAGCAAAAGCATAACGGATTTTGGTTACACAATTTGTTACATAACTTGGTGACACACATCATTACACAATTTGGTGACACAAATCATTACACAATTGGCTGCTGCTTTTGTATAGAATTCTCGAATTAAATTGCCCTCCCCCGCAGCCAAGTGTAACAAAGTGTGATACACTTTTTGTGGGTTTTGATTCTTATCAACAAAGATAGAAATGACTTATTGATGGGCTCAGGCGACTCAAATTTTGCACTTGCTAAACAACCGTTTAAATATCAAACATGGACAGAAATATGCCCATTCCGTGAGTTGCTGACTATATATTGCTACATGCAAGGTGAATGATGCTAATGTCTGCACATGCTATTTAGAAATCAAGAACATATTACCCCAGAGCGCGAGCGTCACTCCCAACGCGAACGTGATAGAGTCAATCGACTCCAGATGACGTCCCCTACCAGGCGCAATCACCAACATGCTGCTCATGATAGGCCTCCACCTCATGTACCACAGCCGAATTTCATGCCAGATAATGAACCACAAGCAGGGCCTGTTCCGCGACCTTTTGCGTGGCAGCCTCCTCCTCACTTTCCATATGAACCGCTACCAGTTGGTCAATATCCTGGCTTGCCACATAATGCCATTGCGCATGTACAACGTGCTCATCAGCACCCTCCTGTTGATTATAATGCACGCCTGAATGAGCAGATGAATGCAGCTCATAATGATAGACGCCGCCAGTGCAACTGTCGTAGGCAACAGGACAGAGAGGAGATAAGAGAGCAGGCGCAAGCAGAGCTAATGGCAGCTGGCATATAGCCCATGCAGGTACCTCAGGTGCATAATGAACCTGCTCAACCTGCTCCTGCTCCTCCTGTATATGGTGCCATTCATTATGAGGGAGCAGTTGGTCCTCACAACTTTGACAATCCTCTTCATTACTTTGCGCCTAATCCTGCTCCGCCTTTGCATGGACCACCTGAACCTGATCATCATCAATTTAACATTCAGTTTCAACACCATTTACAGGCAGAGCAAATGGAAAATGAGCGCATTAGAAATGACTTGCTTCAAAGGCAAGCACAGGAGGAATTCCGACGACGTCAAATTCAGCTACAATTGCAACAACAATTGCAACAACAAGAAGCTGAGAGGATCAATAGAGAGGCTCAATGGCGGCATGAGGCAGCTCTTCACCTGCAGCAGCAAGGAGCTGAGAGGATCCAAAGAGAGGCTCAATTGCAGCAGCAGGAAGAGGAGCAGCAGGTTAGGCTGGCTCAGGATCATCTGCGAGCAGGTCAGCATGAAGAGGAGCAGCAGAATAGGCTGGCTCGGGATCATCTGCGAGCACATCAAGACAAAGAAGAGATCCAACACCAGAGACAACAAAGGATTCGTGAGCAGGCAGAGCGCTTAGAAGAGGCGCTGCATGAATATAATGATCCTGCTTCTCAAGAAAATCATGCTGCTGATGAAGAAAGGAGAAGAGCTCAAGAGCTTCAACAGCATGAGGAGCATGAGGCAGAGGATCAAGAAGTTATCAACCACATTGTTCCTATCCCTGATGGAGCTCGACCATACAGGGAGCCTATAAACATCCACAATCTTGGTACTCTTAATGTAGAGTGCACCAAGTGCCATGCATTGCACTTTGCATCCGAAAGACTCTCAAAATCGTCCCTACGGAATCCAAAATTCGGTACATGCTGCTTGGAGGGTAAAGTCGTCCTCCTGCCCTTTCCACCATGGTGCCAGAACTGCAGCGCGCTTATACTGACAGGACATTTGTCTCCAAGATTTGGCAGTACAACAGCGCTCTTGCATTCACGTCGGTCAGTGTCGATATCGAGGATAGAGCCCTCCAAGGCTCTGGCCCCAATGCTTTTTGTATTCATGGATCTCTGCATCACCTCATGGGTAGTCTCATACCTCCAGAAGGCATTCAGCCTTCATATGCGCAACTTTATATCTACGATCCCGAGGAAGCCACCAAAATTCGCGCCACCCGACCTGGAAATGAAGGTCTTGATCGCGGCATTCTCAGGGAGCTCCATGACATGCTGTATCAAATCAATCCCTATGCCGCTCTTTACAAGCAGGCCTATCAGGTCATGCAAGAGAAGCCTCCAGAGCAGCACATGGATGTTTGTGCACGCATTCACTTCCAGCAAGGCACAGATGGTCGAAGATATAATGTTCCCACTGCCGATGAAATTGCTGTGATCATTCCTGGAGATGGATCTGAGCAGGTATCCGAAAAACGGGACATCGTCTTACGGCTTCAAGGAGGTCGACTCCAGCGTATAAGTCAGCTCAGCCATGCGTACTCCCCACTTCACTATGTCCTTCTCTTTCCATCTGGAGAGGAGGGCTGGAACCTTGGAATACCTCTGATTCTCCCGCCAAATACCCGCACGGTCGCAAAGAATGTCACTCAGCTGTTGTACTATGCCTATTGACTTCATCCATGCCCTGTTCCCATCTATCACAACAATATCTTTTGCGGTGGAAAATTGTTCCAGCAGTATATCGTCGATGCTTGGGCCTCCATCGAACAGAGCAATTTGAACTGGATCAGAAGCAACCAAGAACGGCTGAAGGCAGACTGCTATCAAAGCTTAGCAGATAATGTTCGCAACAAGGGCGTAGATGATCTGGCTCAGACAGGTTGCTCTATTATTCTTCCCTCCTCTCACACAGGGAGCCCTCGATATATGCACCAGCTGCTTCAAGATTCTTTAGCCATTTGCCATGCCTGCAAAAAGCCGGATCTCTTCCTGACGATGACCGCCAATGGAAGTTGGCCTGAAATCACAGAGAATCTCCTTCCTGGTAATGATTCTTATTTGATGCGTTGTGTATGACTTTGTGCTGACAATTTCTTATATAGGTCAGAGTGCTGTGGACCGCCCAGACTTGGTGGCTCGGGTTTTCTACCAGAAGCAGCAAGGGCTGCTGAAGAAGGTTCGCAAGGGCTACTATGGGAAGGTTGCTGGATTGGTGTACACCATCGAATATCAAAAGTGGGGCCTGCCTCACATGCACCTTCTCATCTTCCTGGAGCCAGATTATAAGATCTGTACCACTGAGCAAATCGACTCCTTCATCTCCGCTCAGATTCCTGACAGGAACATCCATCCTCAGCTCTATCAGGTTGTGGAAAAATACATGCTGCATGGCCCTTGCAGTCCGCAGCGTTGCATAGAGAATTTGCGGTGCAAAAAGCACTTTCCAAAAACATTCTGTCCCCAGACCCTGATGAAGGATGATGGCTATCCTGAGTATGCGAGACCTGACAATGGTCACACCATCCAAAAGAACGACATCATCTTCACCAACAAGGATGTTGTTCCACATCCCCCCGAACTGCTGGTGGAATTCAACTGCCACATCAATCTCGAGGTCTGCGCCTCTATCAAATCTGTCAAGTACATCCACAAATACATTTATAAGGGAAACGACCGCGCTACGTTGGAGATGAGAGGAGTGGTGGATGACGTCAAATCATATCTGGACTCGAGATATATCAGCTCTACCGAGGCTGCATGGCGCATCTTCAAATTTTTGATGCATCTCGAATGGCCCTCTGTCTACCGTTTGCCGGTCTATCTCAAAAATGAACAGATGGTGTTCTATGACCCCGAGGATGATGCTGAGGAAGTCCTTGAGCGCGCAGAAGTGAAAGATACTTGCCTCACTGGATGGTTCAAAGCCAATGCCAATGAGAACTTGGTGGCAGCTGGAGCCCACGACAGCCTCTATCAGGATTTCCCCTCAAAATTCGTTTGGAGCAAAGGTGCATGGAAGATACGGGAGCGAGGAATGGCGATTGGAAGAATGTACGCTGCTGCGCCCAGCTCCAGAGAGCACTTCTATCTGAGATTGCTTTTGACTGTAGTGAAAGGTATGATGTCTAAGACAATTTTTATCAATCAAGCTCACCATAATCTCAAGGGGCTACCTCCTTCGAACACCTTCGGACACATGATGGGACTCTCTATGAGACTTTCAAGGAAGCATGTCAGCACAGGGGTCTGCTTGATGATGATTACAAATGGATCCAGTGCTTGCGGGATGCCTCTCATATGTACACAGGAAATCGCATGCGCAATCTCTTTGCCATCATCCTGCTGCACTGCAACCCTACCAGCCCTGATGATCTTTGGAACCGCTTCAAGGAAAATCTCTGCAATGATCTGCGTCACCACCTCACTCACACACCGTTCAACATGCCTGACCCCACAGAGGAACAGGTACACAACTATGGTCTTCATCTCATTGATGGGGTGCTCCGCAAAAATGGCAAGTCTTTGGAAGCAATTCCTCAAATGCCAGTAGCTCGAATGGCAGAAAGATGGGGGGCCATGGAGGGCAACCAGCTCATCGCTGAGCAGCGTCAGTATGACCCACAGGAGCTTCAGCAGATAGTGGATGAAGGAGTCCCTTTGCTTAATGTCGAGCAGAGGGTGGTCTATAATGCTGTGGTCGAGGATGCAATGAATCGTAATCAGCAAAGACCCGGACATGCATACTTTGTCCATAGCGCAGGGGGATGCGGCAAGACATATCTCTGCAAACTCATCACTTCAAAACTCCGTGCTGAAGGAAAGGTTGTCCTCTGTGTGGCCTCCTCTGGAATTGCTTCCCTCCTCCTACCAGGCGGACGTACGGCTCATTCACGATTCAAAATCCCCATTCCCATTAACGAGGACAGCTCATGCAACATTAAAAAAGGAGATGTCGTCCATGAGCTTCTCAAGGAGACCTCCCTCATCATCTGCGATGAAATTCTGATGCTCCATCGTCATATTCTGGAGTGCCTTGACCGCACGTTGCGTGATCTTCTAAACAAAGAGGCTGATTTTGGGGGAATAACCGTGCTCTTCGGTGGAGACTTTAGACAGACCCTGCCGGTGGTGACCCATGGATCCAGGGAGCAGATAGTGGGCGCTACCCTTTGCAGATCTCAACTCTGGCGAAAGCTTCATATCTTCCACCTCAAGAGAAATATGCGGCTTGGTCAAGACCCCGCCTCTGATGAATTTGCAAGGTGGCTCCTTGAGATTGGAGCTGGTGAGGGCACAAATGAAGACGGAACTGTGACCCTCCCTATTCATATGTGCTGCCCCAACAATGATGTCCAGTCTCTCATCAACACCCTATACTCTCCAGTTCTGCTCCCTGGGCAGCCTGCAGTGGATGATTCCTTCTTCCTGGAATGCACCATCCTCTCCGCAAAGAACACCGATGTGGATGAGATCAACACCACCATTCTTGAATCATTCCCTGGAGATAAAGCGGTCTTCACCAGCGCAGACTCGGTCAGCGAGAGGGAATACAATTACATCCCCACAGAGTTCCTTCATACCCTCACCCCATCAGGCTTCCCTTTGCACAAATTGGAGGTCAAAAAAGGTGTTCCCCTGATGCTGTTGCGCAACTTGAACCCCTCCGAGGGCCTCTATAATGGAACTCGCATGATCCTGCTGTCTTGGACCGTTTGCATCCTCAAGTGTCGCATTCTTAGAGATGGAGTCAATGAAGCTTGCCAAGATGATCGGGACACGGTCCTAATCCCTCGCATGACCCTGGATGTTACAAGAACATCTAGATGCTTGGGCCCCTACCATTTTTCTCCTAATCCTCCTCGTATCAGCCCTTGCATCATACCCTTACCCCGACCTCACCCTGGTCATCCTTGTCATTCTCGCATTCCCTTTCGCTCTCTATCTGTCACTTCAGCAGAGCCAGTACATCTGGCCGGATCCTTTCGCTGACGAAGCATACCCATGCTCCGTCCCACCACCTGACTGATCCTGTGGACAGTCCCCTTGCCCTTACCGTCTGGATGGTAACCTATGATATGATGCACGATGCATCCCCTTTGCCCCTTTCCCTTTCTCGATCTTTGACTCAGTGCGCAGTCGCACATGTTACTTATACTTAGCTCCACAGCTGCACGATCGTGCCCCTGCGCATTTCACTTCTTATTTCGACCGTTGACTCACTTTCTTATCCAGCACGTTCTGCCTCGCCTGTGCCTCAACACGAACGTGCTTTCCTTTTACGGTTATGCCCTTTACCGATTGCCTCTCCTGGTAGTATGAGTTATCACCCACTAATACGTCTCCTGTCCTCTATATAAACTCGCTACCATGTACTATATTCCTTAACTTGAATCTACTTGGTTCTTGACCTCCTACTCTCACCAGAGTGATCCTTTCTGCCTTGCCAGCAGTCTATATTCTATCTTCTTATCTGCTCTTCGTGGATAAGCCTATAGTCTCGATCTTTACTCATCGACTCCGTCGACAAGCAAAGCCCCTGTTAACTAGTCGGACTTCTGTCCTTCTAATTAATGACGATCTTACGATTAACCTTCAGGTGTTGTAAGCTTTGGCCGATATAGCTTATCGTCTCGCACCCGCTTGACATAAGCTACCCGATTTGGACATAGGCGTCAAATCTTACTTGCCGAAGCCTCGCCAAGTAAGACCCCTAACCTTGGGCTAGCCCAAGGACGTCCTCAATCATTGACGACACACGCTCTGTTTGAGCATCACCAACAGATACCATCCAAGTCGTAACACTGGATGCCACATCTGAAGATAACCCCATTCCTCTCAAGTGTCGCCAATTCCCCGTTCATGTCGCATTTGCTATGACCATCAACAAGGCGCAAGGTCAAAGCGTCAAGTGGGTTGGGCTTAATTTGCAGACTCCCGTGTTCAGCCATGGACAGCTCTATGTTGCATTATCTCGCTGCACTCACCCAGATAGAGTGTTTGCTATCTTTCCTGAGAGTGAAGAGGGCTCAAAGACGACGAATGTAGTGTATACAGAAGTGCTTAGAAGAATTACAATTCCTGTTGATGATTGATGTACATATGATGTACTTTTATATAGAGAACAGACTCGGATGTGATGTATCATGTAGTTTTAGTTGTGTTGAAATGCTGCTCAAAAATGTAATTGTTTTCAAAATGCACTATGATCATTAGTAAGGCAAAGTGCCGCAGGCACCTCGCAAAGGAGCGCGAAGCGCTCCTTTACCTTGCTGTGCCTTTGGCACAGCAAGTATTCAAGGTCAAGACTTAAGACACCCAAAGTAGGATGAAGCCGAAGGCCAGGAAGCCAAAAAAGAGCGCGAAGCGCTCTTTTTTTGCTTCCTGTGCCGAAGGCACAACGGGTGTGTGCTAGTACTTCGTCGATCAACTCGGACTCTTAGTAAGTAGCGAGTGTTAGACGGAGTTTCCTACTATGGTAACTCCGCTCAGGCTGGCCTACTTACTGCGTTGACGGGTTGATTTCCAACACACAACCGAAATTTATTTTGCTGATTGTTTGAAAGGAGTTTAACTCTGGAAATCGAACTCAAAGGAACGTTCCGAACACAAATCCACGCGCAGTACTTACCCTTGATTCTAGCTAAAGGCTTCTATTGAGAATAGAAGTTCGTGATGCCGACATACGGTAAGTTCGGGCAACTTACTCGGTAGCATCACGGTTTCAGGTCGACCATCACGTCTGTATATCAGTTATCAACGATAGCAGCCCATCAGTCCCCTCCTCAGGCTCCCATTCGATCTGTGCAGTCTCATGTCAGAACAAGAAATTGTTGCTGGTCTCCGCTGGAACAACAATGCAGGTGGTTCGTTAGCGTATTTCAACTGATGTGTGACCATCATGATTGTGCTGAACATCGATTTCAGTACCAATCATTACACTGATGGTATACGAGTACCGTTAGTGGCCTTACGAACATTGTTGCTATTGATGCTGAATGCAAATTTGTCTAGTTCTTCTCTTGGACAAAGAGGTAAATCAAGGTCACGGTCATCTCTTCTGTCAGTCAGGTGCTCATCACTAGTATTATCGGCATAGGTTAATTATGTCTGGGTCAGTGTCCAACCCAGATCTGCACAATTATATCAACCCGGAAATTAACTGAATCTAGAAACGACCGTTGTCGCTAATGTCATGCCTATACCTCGTTGTGAGTTTCGCCCTGTTTGAAAGCACTTATCAAGTTATGTGTTGTACTATATTTTACTTGCTACGCTAGGTCCGATACCTTGGTCTTTTCCTAGCACTGTACGTCATTATGGCTCCTTGACACGGCACATATGCATGCTGACACTCACCAGGCTGTGCGGCTTCTGTGCGTAGCTCTGCTTAGCCGACCCATTATCGACTGACTAGCGCCAGGGGGAGGTCTGTTGTATATACCTGAATCAGTCAGTGTATTGATGCTTTTCATCCAGATAGTTTTAGGCTGACCCATATTCTAGCCGTACGTCCCAAGCTCGTTTTAGAAGCAAGTCTCAATAGCCGTTTTCCTCTTATATAGCTGCAAGTATATTGTTTTCAACCCGATACTCTCTCACTTATCCTTATGAGGAATTAGGCTACGCTCTTATCGTCCTAATTGAATGGGGATTTTCAGTGTATTTCTGGTTTGCAGAAGGTATGATATACATTCTCGCATCTCACTATGGGTTTGACATCTTGCGCCCGCAGCCATCCTCATATGGCGTCTTTATGCCATATTCCATCAATCCAAGCTCCTACTTTATGTTCTAGTAGGACTTTTCTTGCCCATCGTTGCCCTCTCAATCGGGGCAGACATCTATCTATACAGTAGACGTAGCGCATTTTCGGGTAAATTTTTACTGAAATTGAGTTGTCTGCAAGCTCACCCTGCCCTCATTGCACAGTGGTAGAATTCATAACTCCGAATGCCAAGTACTGCACCCTTTCTTTCAACATAGGGCCTATGCCTGCAATCTATACCTCTATCCCCATTGTGTGCTATGATATCTTACTAGTCGTTCTCGCGGCTGCCATCCTCGCGAGGCATCTTAAGGAACAGAGGGAAACTCACATGAAGACTAATAGATATATGGTGATGATCGTTCGGTATCATATCCTGTACTTTGTTCTGTAAGTCCTCTCATCTAGTGAGATGTGAAAGTATTCATCGATTCCCGCCAGGAATTTGACAAACCAGATCTTGCTGGTGGTATTGTGGGCTCATATTCCCGTATGATACTTCCGAATGATTACACAGAGATCAGCTGACATACGTGCTCGTACTACGTAGACCCCAGCAATGAGTCTCTCAGAGCTTTTCAATGATACCGCGCCATTTATTCTCGCACCTCGTCTCATCATCAGTATTTGGGACACGCATGCCAAGGACGACTGTGTAGAAGTCAGTACGATGTTCGAAGACTGTGTATGTTTGACTTCGCCACCGAGGTTCGAGCAGCACGAGATGAATTCCTTTATCGCATAATTCAGGCATACTGGTTGCTCAGCCTGAGGACAGAAATGATCAGGGTAGAGCGAGGTGGCCACTTTTCCTTTAGCGCCTGATAGTCACACTTTGATCTGTTGAAAGAGTTACGAAGATCGAATGATTTGTTATTAATGTGGTTCGTCGCAAGTGCGGGCGCGGGTTGAACTGGATGATCATCCATCGTCGCTCATGGTATGGTATCAGCTTGTGTGAACAATACTTACAACAAAGCAAGGGGTACGTCGATGAGCCTGAGATGCACCAACCGAAAATACACAGATATAAAGCAAGGTACGATCGCTACATAATGAAAGCATCAAATACAACAGCTTTCTATGCTGGCGGTGGTGGTGGAGGTGCACCGTCGCCTGGTGCGGGCGCGGCTGTTTGTCCAGCGTAAGCTTGGTAATACTGCGCTTGCTGACTCGCAGCCCACTCCTTGAACTGCGCTGAGTTGACATCGTAGCCGTATTGTGCCCTGCCATCACCGTAAGGACAAATACAGGAGAATATTCGAAGAAAAATCACCAGTATGCTGCATATGCATCTTGGGTGTCTGGCCCTGGGGTGCCAGTTGGTGCACCTGGATATGGTGGTTGAGGTGCACTACCGTCTGGAGGTGGGGGAGGCTGTTCCCCAGGTGGTGGTGGAGGAGGTGCGTTGTCAGGTGCAGGTGGTGCAACACCATACCCACCCTAGGAATCAATGTTGACTGAAAAACATTATATGTAAGAAGAGGACTAAACTTACCATCGGGTACTGTGAAAATTGCATTTGTGCTTGGTGCAGCTCCATTTGTTGCTGCATCATTGCTGCCTGTGCTTTGGCATGCTCAGAGCGTACAACTTCGAGCAAGTCTTCCGTGAGCACTTTAGCGCGAGCTACTTGGTTTTCATCTGGCCCGCTGCTAAAGTGTCAGTCATACGAACAGTCAAATGCAAGAAGTCTCACGTGATATGTATGTGCATAGGTTCATCCGACTCCCGGCCGGTTTCTTGTTCTACAAAGCCTGACCCTTGACCCTTTATCTGCACGCGCGTACTTGTTTCTTGTTGGATATATTTTACGAACATTCCCTTGCACAAGTGTTATTTCTTAAAATGCTCGACACAAAGGAAATTCGGACATACCTGCGGCCCAACAACTTTGGCACGAACGTTGAAATTGCGAATGGTTTCGAGGCCCACGGGCATTTTCTCTTCTGGCCATTTACGCTGGGGGAAGAGTAAGCCAAATGTGAAACGTTAGAACAATTACACAACCTTTTCGCGCAATCTATCCTTCTTGTCCTCTACTAGTGGGCCAAGATCAATTGCTATTAGCTCGTTAACCTTGTCAATTGCCCTTTGCAACGTTTCCTTGCTTGAGGCCGAAAGGTGAAGGTATAATGGAGGGTCCTTCTCCGTTGCCTTTGATCGATCCGGGTACCACACACCCTTGGTACTGACTGAGGCGCCCGTGTCCTCATGAATCTATTTGCAACATTAGAAGATAGCTGGCCATACAATTGTCATTCAAAACACATACCTCGGACTGCGTAGAACCTTTCGTCAACATATACCGATTCCGGACGTCATTGATATCAATGTCATGAGTAAAATCTCCGTCATGCGGGTCCTTCTGTCCGATCTGTATACTCCCGGCGATGCCACCGCCAGCACTAAACTGTGCGGCAATTTTGGCAGCAATAGCAGCGGCAGCGGCCGCAGCTTCAGAAGCAGTCTTGCCCTCATCAGTTTTTTGCGCCTTTACAGGAGAGTCCAATTCAGAAGGTGTTGATTCAGGGGCAGCTTGGTCCCATTTGCGTTTTGACGACATCGCAAGACACTGAACGGTGGAGGCGAAAGAAATGTGACCGAACCCACATGTCACGCCTGTGTGACACATGAATTTCGATCTCCGCGGCGTCTCCTTCCCGATCGAGTGACATTCTCCTGGTGGCTTGCAACGATCTTTGCGAGTCACTTGGAGCAGTTCTGCTTGGAGAATTCAATTAATATTGCCTCTACTACCGTGCTATGAACATTCGATGTCCACGATCCTCGATATATCCTATTCTGAGCGATTTGGGCGAAGGCGCGCAGCGCCTCCCGGTCCCGAGTTGCGTGTCCTGCCAGATAAAAGGTGAGCTGCGAGGGTGGGAGGGAAAAGAAAACCATCGCGAGCTACTCATGACAGGGATCAGGCGCAGTCCGGACCACCAAAGAGGGAGAGCGATGAGCGATGCTTGAGTGTTGGCACGAACCATCGCATGTTGAAAAGGGAGCGGTGGGTGGGGAAAAGAAAAGGAGGAAGAACGTTGTCGTTGAGGACGACTGAGACGATACGGCGCGACGTCACAGTACGAAGTCAGAAGGTTCGTACTGCTTCCGACGCTTGCGCAAAGACTTAATTCTGTTCCTACACTCGTTCCTCGTTACATAATAGACTATCAATCTTTGCGAGTCACTTGGAGCAGTTCTGCTTGGAGAATTCAATTAATATTGCCTCTACTACCGTGCTATGAACATTCGATGTCCACGATCCTCGATATATCCTATTCTGAGCGATTTGGGCGAAGGCGCGCAGCGCCTCCCGGTCCCGAGTTGCGTGTCCTGCCAGATAAAAGGTGAGCTGCGGTTCCCAACTGTCTAGGAGTTCGACGACGCATCGAGCGAACCGAAGATACCCATAAGACTAGGAGGAGAATGGATGCTTACATGAAGAAGCCGTTACCGAATGCGGGGCATTGTGTGCCGCAGGAATTCATCTTGAATGGCGGGTGTTGCTTGAAGGTATGGTGCGAGAATCTGAGCGTGATCTCGAAGATAGATCTGGAAGGCATCACTGGCCCACCTTCCCATTGTCTTGACGACCTCGAATGGGATGTTTCGGAGGAGGTATTCCAAGGTAGCACCTATTCTGATAGCGTGGCCTTGCAATGGGTCGAGGCCAGCATCCTTTGCAGCGCGAGCAAGCCTTGCAATGAACTTTGTTTTCGTCAAAGGACGGTGTGCCTCGCCGAACTTATAGGAAAAGAGTGCGATGTCGAAGTGGGGGTTGTTGATGTTGAGATGGTTGGATAATGCGGCCTCAGGATCAGTGGGACCCTCTTGTTTCGCCCAGAAAACGTCCTCCCCGTTTTGTGATGTTTTCGTGCGGGGTAAATGAAAAATGGTAGTCGCGAGCCCATTGCGATCTGTTTCGTGACGAATGTCGGAGCGTTTGACGTGAATGGAGGGATCAAATGATGAAAGAGTTCGGATCGTGAATTCTCCAGCTCTGGCCATTGAATAAAAGGCTGTTGTGAGACAGCTACCCACTGCAGCATCGAGAGGGTTGTTGGGGTCTAGTTTCTGCAAGATGCTAGTTATAAAAGCCACGGTGTATGGTGGTCTTTTCTTCCTTCTTGATGACGAGGGCGTGAGGTTCTTGGCCGCTTTCAGCATAGCATCTATTTTGTCATCATCTAAGGACCATGATTTTCCGTGCAAAATATGCCATGCGCGAATACCGTGGACATAACTTGATATAGTTTTCCCTGAATATGATCCGGCTAAGTCTGAAATGAAAGCTGAAATGAGTTCAGAAGACGCGGGTGCACGCATGGCTTCATTGATGGAGTGCGAGTCACAATAAACATGGTAGGCGAGGATGCCGCTTCCATATGCCTCCTGGGTGCTGCCAGCCCATGCGTGGATCATGACATCTTGAATGCGCTGTGCATCTGCGTGGGGGAGGCAAGATATTGATGTGTCGTCTGTGGCTGGTCGCCAAAGACGGAGCCTGTCTTTTGCTGTGCAATGGGGTCTTAGGACGGAAATATGAGGGGTGAGATTAGCAGGATAAGCTGCAACTAAGAATCTCGATGAGGGGGAAGCCTGCAGTGTGATGTTCGCTGACTTACTAAGCTTGCGTCGCTTTAAAGAGCTCTTCTCCTTGACGACGGAGCTCGTCATTGAGGTGCTCAGCTGATTCTCGTGAGCGGGCTCGGTCATTGACGTGTGGGAGCGCTTTGAGTTTCTTACTGCATGCATGGCACTCAGAAGGGATAGCGGGATTGTCAAAGTCCGTGACGAAGGGTTGGAGTGGCTGGGGGATGCTAATTGGGGGAAGCAGAAGGTCTGAGGGAGGGTAGATTCCCCTGGATGGGCCATCCGCTGGGTTGTAGTTGCTGGGTACATAGCGCGTGAGGAAAGTGCATTGCGTAGATGCGGCGAGCTCGTGGATCCTTTTGAAGACGGTATTGGTGGCCCTGTTGCGGCTACGCCCTTTCCACCACCCTTCAACGACTCCCCGGTTGTCCCCGAATATTTTGATGCAGCTGCCCGTTGGGCATAAACCGAGGAGTGCAATAATGAGGAATTCCATGCCGACTGCCTCTGCCCAGCCAATGTCTCTGTCTTCGGCTTTCCAGCCTGGGAGGAGACACCACGCTCGCCATCTGCCATTGATCCAAATCGCGATACCAGTGCCTGAGCTAGCGTCTGAGTAAGCCGAGGGGTCAATGATTTCGACGGGCCCTGGGATTGGCCGAGAGACGAGTGATTGTGAGAGGCTGGCTTTCCACCACCGGAGGTCATTACCTGTGTGCTTGGGGGGGGAACGAGGCATGTGCGGACGGTCGTGAAAAATGGATAGCATGGTCTCGAGAGAAACGAGGTAAGCTCTTCCTGCTGGGAGGACCAGAGAAGCATGTAAGAGCTTCCCATAAAGCTCCTGGACTTCCCGTAGCGTGTGTGAAGATCGAATCTCCCATTCTTTGATAGCTGCCACGTACTTCTCCTTCTTGCTCTGTGGGATCGAGACAGAACGCGACTCGATGTCCCAGAGGAAGCCAATAAAGGGGGCACATGACGAGAAAAGGATGTCTTTTGCCAGCTCCCAGGGTATTCCGAGAATTTTGGATAGGCGGTTGATGTCGTCAAAGCAAAATGTGAAGCGAGCATCTTCTGGGGATCGTGGGGAGGCTGTTGAGAGATCAATGATGGGAAACGAACAGTCTTCATCAAACTCTTCAATTCTGTCGTCAGGCATAGTTGAACCCCGATACCATTTTCGACCTCCTTCAATGAGCATGCCACCATTTCGTGCAATGATAGCGGCACGAGATTTGCGCAGGTTATTGTAGCTAGCAAGGTGCTCTCGCAGAATCCGAATGAATAGGTGATCGTCCACCCATTTGGATATCGGGCCAATTCCTTGTGATCGGAATATGTCTGCGCCAGCATCTGCGACCTCGCCATAGGTTCCTGCTGATGCCGAGAACCCGAAACAAAAGCTAGAATCAATGGCGAAGCTGTCTTCTCCTGTCCTGACAACCAGGCCCGGCCATTGAGAAGGATGAAGAGGTACTGTGCGGTAGGCTTCGGCCACGTCACGAACGGCTGCCTGAGATCCTGGGGGGAGAGACCAGATGAGTAGACAGATCGTCGATGCTGTACCCCATGTGCACGGATATAAGTTAGAGTCGATAGAGGAATTAATGGATGATATAGTGGCTGATGGACGAAGCGGGAACGAGAGGTTTTGCACAAGGCGGAATTTTCCTGGCTTTCCTGGCTTAGGAACCATGGAGAGTGGGGCTGTCTGGAAAGGACCGATGAGTTCTTCAGTCTCCAATTTAGATATAGGTCCGATATAACGACCAGTGGAATATTCACGGTCCAGAATAGCAGCAAAAGCGTCAAAATGTGCATGTAGCGAGGGGCTATTAGGTGGGATATAAGTTTGAGATATGGTTGGGACACTGCCCATGAAACCGAAGCGAAAACCATTCGGAATATGTGCATATTTACGTATGAGATTTGACGAAATGAGAAGCTGCAGCCAGGCCTCGGGCCTATAGGGAGTGATAGCATTAGATGCTCTCGCTTTGAGGACAGTCTTGAGCTCCGTGATCCTTTGCTCCGCACCCCGAACATTCGTGCACGTGAGCTCGAGAGGGATTGGTGCATCCCTTGGGTCTCTGCCAGTCGTAGCAGATTTCGAGGCCCTCTGGATTGACCAAATGACCCTCTGCGTTTCGACGACATCGAGTTTTGGTTCGTTTGTCCCATAGGAACTCGGATGCACATTTGTGGATGGGGTGACGGAATCGGCCAAGGCAGAGGGCGCAGGCTGATGGGCTGGTTTGGCCTGCGCCCGCTGGAAAAAACTGCTGCAACTTCTGCAGTTTTTTCGCCATTTGGTTAGCAGGGCGGTATGGGTGATAGCGGCCATCATTCACAAAAGGTACTGTCTCTGCGTGCCCATTTCGGCTGGAACTCACATCTCTCCCCCGAGAACGGGAAGAAGTGTTGGGAACTGCGAGCGAATGTTGCAACTGAGTGCAATAGAGCGAGCATGAAAGGATTCGAGTAAGCCAGGATTCGAACAATTATATGAAAGCAAAGATTTTGTTAAGCCATGGTATACAGGAAAGTGCGAAAGCAGTGTGGGTGTAAGCGAAGCAGCGGTTAAGTGTTTGAGAGGGACACAGTGAAAGCGGGAGTTTGAGTTAGCATGAGGGTAGATGGAGCGACAGCGTAGAGAGCGCAAGCAAGGGAGAGCGGAAGACAAAAGACGAAGTCATATATGCAATAGCACATGGATAGCAGATGGGGAATTGTACCCCAAAAGCAAGGACAGCCAAGAGTGAAAGCATTTAGACAGCCAGCGGGGTTCGTTTCCGACGTGAGATTGAATATATAAAGAATTTGGTCAGTGATTGAATGTTGGTGGGTAATGCGCTACGCACCATTTTGAGACCTTCATCTCGTTCGGCCTCCCAGACATCGTCGGATATCGAGTTGTACAGGGCATTATTGAATAAACCAATATTGAACCCTTGGTCTTGCGCTAAGCGATCATGCCATTCACGGCGCACAAATCCCGCGTAGCGAAGCAGAGCCTTTTCTCCTCGTGGACGCATGCGATGCTCATGGTTGGTAATGAGCGTGAAAAATAACGCTAAGCCTGCTGATGCTTTTGCGGCCAATTGTTCTTTTCAATGTGAACGAGAAAGCTGGTCTTTGCGAGGTCGAATTGCCGCCAAGATAGGTCGTGGTCCTGTAGAGCCTTCTGAGAAGCTTTGAAAGACGCTATCGTCTTGAGGGCGACCATACCATCCACTTTGGCGAAGCCAAAAGCATCATCTGAGTCTGATGTGGACCTAGAGGTGGTGGCAGCCTCGTGGCAACCGTCAGGACTGAAGTACCATAATTCTACGTACTCCATGTTCTTGACCTTTTGGATGGCATACTGGGATGGGCGAGGTATGATAACGTCTGCGACAACGGCCCCATCATCAAAATCGTTAATCTTGGGCTTTTTCTTCTCAGCTTCGCGTCTCTCTAACTGTTCCTCAGCCTCTTTTTCGGCTCTCTCGCGCTCTAGCTGTTCTTGCAAGGTGCGGGCGTCTTCCTCATTCTGTTGCTGCCAAAGGAGGATGCGCTCCTGGCGCTCGAGTCTCCAGCCCACAGCCATTTGCTCGAGTGCATCTTCTCTGGCTATGCCCCCTGCCACAAGGGCATTGAGCCATCCCGCGTACGCTGCTGACTCGAAATTGGGCTGCGCTTCCAGCGCTGGGTCCGCTAAGATGCGTTCCATGGTAGGCCGGGTGAATTTGGAGTGTTTGCTAAGAGTGTGTTTTGAGAAATTGACTGGGTGTTTCTGAGAGTGATAGAAAGAGCAGAAGGAATGTAGAAAAGAAAAGGAGGAAGAACGTTGTCGTTGAGGACGACTGAGACGATACGGCGCGACGTCACAGTACGAAGTCAGAAGGTTCGTACTGCTTCCGACGCTTGCGCAAAGACTTAATTCTGTTCCTACACTCGTTCCTCGTTACATAATAGACTATCAAGGTGGGGAAGACGTAAAGGACGCAAATGTCGTCTAACAAACGGCAACGTACGTTTTCGGGTTCACGATTATCGCTTCCATCTCAATCGACTTCAAAATCGCTATCACCAGAACCTGAACCCATGTATAAGTCTAGTCGCACTGCAGAGGAAACAACAGGGGATCGCCGTTTGCTCTGCACACTGCCCCCGACGTGTAATCCGCCGCATAACCGCCCGACACCAATCGCAAATTCGAGAGATCTAGAATTGCATTATGGAAAATACCACGCGCAAGTTTGTGAGCAGAAGGGATGTGGGTTCGTGTTTCCCGATGCAAGGTTGCTGGAGCTCGTGAGTGGACTACGCACGAGCGAGGTCGTATGTGGGTGCGCTGACATCGATGATCGATTATCGATAGCATCAAACAGAATGTCATGATCCACTTGCTGCTGTTCGCAAAGATAGGGGGGATAAAATTGTGCGCTCTACTTCACTGTAGTGTTCTGCATACTCTCACTTCCTCATCCGTTTCACAGTTTGCTTGTCATCTTGTATCATGTCCACGATTATTCCAGACGCCCAAAGCACGTCGATTACATCTTATTCAAGCACACTCATACCCAAAAGAGTACTTTTTCGCTGTTACAAACAAAGGTGTTGGTGGTCTACTTAAACGCTGGGGAGATGGCGCCAGCATGATCAGAGGAACCTGGAAGCCCAGGGATAATAAGAACGAGAAGGACTCCGAAGATGACGAAATGGTCATAGATGAGGATGAAGAAGATAGCGATGAAGGCGAAAATGAAGAGTCAAGCAGTGGTGACGAGCAAAACGGAGAAGCAACGCCAAAAATACGTTACCATCAAGAGCTCGAGGAAATACCCACACGAACCGCTATCTCACCACGGCGAGGAAATGGCGCAGTGCAGACTGCAGCTGACCATGACATAGACAAATTGACAAACTCGATAAACTCTCTATCTTTGGTCCCGCCATCGATACGGTTCGGAAGAGGTGGAAAGAATGGGGGGTTTGTTCATCCAGAGATGCACAACCCGCAGGTCAGCAAATTTAATCCTCACGCGTTCGGTCCAAGAGGTGGTAGAGGGAGAGCGAGGATAGCAACCGCGGTTCATCCCCGAGCTGGATCCCATAATGCACAGATTGGTGCGCCTCGCCCCTCTACAGAGGTTGACGTACAGCCTGTGACAGGGCCTGTATCGAGGGGTGCACCTCCTCGCGGAAGAGCAGGCGTCATCCATGTCGGGAGAGGTTTTAGAGGTCGTGGTCGCGGATCTTAGAGAGTGATGAAGAAGTGTTGATATTGACAGATATCACAGAGACCTATTCTGATGAAAATAACGTGCACGTGTATTACAAGCAATGTACAGCATCTCTTTTGTTATGGTCCATCATTCTATATGGTTTCAAGTGATGGGACTGCTTCCGGTAACTATTTTCTGCCGTGCGCTGGGTGTGCTAGCGAGTCAGCGGAGGCTAGCAAGTGTGAATCAATTGGTAGCCATGGAAGGCCACGCACCTTTGTGTCAGCAAGCAGAATATAACAGAGCAACTTGCATTTCTCGTCTTTCCAATTGTTATCCTTCTAACCATGGCCAGTCGCTAATCGTTTATGCCAAGTCAAGTGACTAAAAAAAGTACATCAGTGATGGCGTTGTCAATGACCTTCCAAATTAGGCAAGCATTGTATCAACAGAGAGACCCTGACCACTCGATATGAATTTTCAAGGAGCCATCGCTGGAGGTGGTGCTGTTCCAGCAAGCTGGTAGCAGGTGCGGTGCTGACTCTAATTCACATTTTAATTGACCATGGAGGGAAGTCATTGAAGTCAAGTGCGGAAGACAATAAGGTACGGAAACAGCCGATGTGAACAGAGTTTATGGGGTCCTGAAACACAATGCTTGTTGGTCCGGATTTATACAACTGTACAACACACGAATTGCCACGGTTGGTTTATAGGCCACAACGATAACTATTGTCCAAATGGTGGCCGTATACTACAGCTTTTTGTCCAGGCTATCCCTCAAAAGCAGACGCCCATCCAGTTACAAAACCCATCTAGTACCGTTGAGCTAGCCTCGCGTCTGCTAATCATTAGAATCATCATCCAACTCTTCTGATATCTTCATCTTTCTACTAATTCTCCGCAACGCTACCAACTCCATATATCAATAGACCATCTGCACTGGGATCACTACATTGCTTTTTTTGTCTCCATTTATTCAAGAGACCATAACTACCCTTCCGAGCGCGTTACTTGTAAGTCCCATGTCTCCATTCTAGACAACAACCAACTAATGCGCCCAACACAGAATAGACAGATGGATACTTCTGTGAAGATCTATTCCTATATCGATTCATTAAAACTATACACTCATTCCGAGTCTGTATCCATGTCTACTATCCCGTTCCAAGCTGTGCCACAGGATATTACGATTCGAGCAGGTCATCCCCCGAGATACGCCTTCCTGGCTCATCCCCCGCCCCCTAAAAAGCGTCCCACACAGCCACTGCCTTCCCCGCCTTCGTACGCTGGGGCGGCTGCTCCTTGCACTCCCCCGCGCATCCGCCCCCGCTCGAATACTTTTTCTACCATCACCGCATGGGCAGCCCGTGTCCAGCCTGGATCCCCTGCATCTATTTCTCCGCGTTCTCCGCGTCGCCGTCCCTCGATCGGCTGCGGTCGCAGAGCATCCATTACGTCCGCCCGTGGCTCATCGGGGTACTTCTTAAACGTTTCAGACACCCCTTCCACTGCCTATCGCAACGCCGCAACCCCCTCGATACAGAACTTTAAAGCTGACCTCACCTCTGTCGGTTATACTTCTGCCTTTTTGCAGTTCCCTAAGACTCCCATCGCGGTCCAGCCTCGCACTGCTGAGGCCGGGTACCAAATCACAATACCTCCTGTACCCGTATCACCGACACGCAAGTCTCGCGGCCTTACACGCTTACGCTCCCTGTCCGCACTGAAGTGCCACAGCAGATCCAAGTCCGCGGCGCCCTCGTCTCCTACAAAGATGAAGGCAAAGGCAGCAGCGTCATCTGCTGCTGTGGTCAAGCGCAAGAAGGCGAAGTACGCTCACATGCGCCCTGCACCTCTTGCCAATGAACTCGCGCTTATGCAGTTTGCTGATGGTGGCAGCATGGAATCTAACATCAAGCGTGTCATGGAGGCTCAGGCCAGAGCTGGTGCTGCCGGTGTTGGCGATATCCACCGCGATGGCCAAGGTGGTATGTGGTGGGATCAGGAAGAGGAATGGGAGTACCGCCATCTCCTCGCCGGCGGCGAGGATGGTGCCGCTCGTGGCACGGGTGACCTGGGATGGGTTACTTTTGGCGGGGACAAATCGTCCTCCGCTAACCCTGACGTGGATGAAAACCATCGCATCAGCGTTTCATCCCGAGACTCTGACTTGGATCCGCGCTACATCATCCAGCCCACTGACCATCTTGACACGGATGATCTTGCTGTCTTCGGAAGCGCTCCTGCTCCCCTCGCTACTCGCAAACCAGGAATGTCTGTCCTCGCGCTCCCATCCCGCCCTGGGCGCGCTGCCAAGCACCTCCGCAAACCCGACTACCTCTTGAACGAGGCATTCACCATAGGCTCTGCATCTCCCAAGAGCCCTCAGTCTACGATCTCCGCATGTGCAAGTGGTGTCGCTAAGCCCAAGGGCAAGGCGCGCAGACGCCCTACGCCACTGACGCTCGCCCCTCCCAGCCCTGCACTGAAGCAGCCGTCGAACTCTCCCGTGGATGCTGAGCGCACCCGTAAGAATTTCCTCGAGTCTTCGTTCGAGCCTGCATTTTTTCCTACCCCTGCTGCTCCAATCATGTACGAGGACGATCGTAGCAAACTCCCCGCGCAATCCAACAACGGCTCACTCAGTCTCCCCTCCAAGAAGACTCTCGCAAAGAAGCCGCCGAGGCTTAACATGATAGGCCTCTTCAAGTCCTCGAAAAAGTAGGAGGCGGAGTGTAGTGCCAGTCCATTCATGACCTTTCTATCTATTTTCCATCAATTCGAACGCTTATTGACGCTGATCTCATTGTATCTTGCTGAGCATTTTTGGTTACGATTTTGTAGCACTAGTGTTTATATGGAGTTGGATCTATAGAAGAATATTGGTATTTAGTCCTTGCTAGCTTGTATCCATAGAAATATCTTACCTGTCACACGTAATTCGAGATACCATCGGTTTCTGACCTTTTGATTGTTTGACTTTAGACAGCGGCTTATAATCCAGAATGCGACTCCGAATATAGATTAGCAACAAGTTCAGTGGCCAACTTTCCATCACGCCTGATTCCCTGTACGCCCCAATTTTGAGAAGCGTACCAACTTAATCTGGCAGGACTCATCATGATGCACCACGGTCATAAATCTCCTCCAGTGTGATTCACCATAAATTTGTAACACGCGTTCTATATCATCCCTAATATTTTAGCCATCGAGTCTAAGTTGAATAAATCTAGCTCAGCTATTTGGATCCACTCAACGGTCGGGGGATCTATATGCTAGTCCAAATATGGAAGTACTAAGAAATCTAGACCAGTAATAGTATGCGGCGCTTCGGCGTAACCGCTGTGACCTCCTTTCAGCCCGAATTTCTCAAAGCTTCGTACATCTCTCAACATTACTGATGGCTGGCGATAAGGAAACACTACTCAGCATGGGATTCGACCCAGCCCGTGTTGACTGTTCGTATTCTCTTGTCTCACAGGTCCCCATTTCTTGGCTGATTGAGACGCCACCGTGAACGCGTAGGGGCATTGAGAGCGACTAATAGTCGCGGGTTGCAGCCTGCTATGGATCACATTCTGGAGAACGAAGGGAAGCCTATTCCAGATCCGAGCGCTGCTACTCCTACGAGTGCATCAGGGAGCGCAGGGCAGCCTATCAATGTCGACGTCGACGACGAAGATGAAGACGAAGACGCCTTGCGACGCTTGATGGGAACTAAGGTTGACCCGGGTGCCACATCGAATAGTGAAGCAGAGGCCAAGGTTCGTTTATCCTAACTGCGACTTTGAAGTCTCTGTCTTCAACACACTCATTTATTAGAGTATCAAATGCTCAGAATGTGGCAAGACATTTAAAAACGCGGCGTTGGCTAATTACCATGCAGAGAAGAGTGGCCATGATCAGTTTGAGGAGTCTACCGAAGAGGTTTGTACCCCGTGGCGCACGTGCCCTATCTCTCATCTCAGATGACCCTCAGATAAAGCCTCTTACGGAGGAAGAGAAGCGGCAGAAGTTGGCTGAGCTCCGAGAAAAAATAGCTGCAAAGCGCAGCGTAAAGGCTCAACAAGAAGCCGTAGACGCCCGTGCGAATGAAGCTATCCGTCGCAAGTCTGGCAAGGTGAGTCTAGTCGTTGCCTCAATGATGTCTGTATTTCAGAACTTAAATCAAATAAGGATGTCGGGAAACTGAAAGATGAGCTGAAGGCCAAGGAGCTTGTGAAAGAAGCTGAGCAGAAACGTAGAGGTGATTGCCATGCGCACGGATTCTATCCATATTAATCCGATCTAACCGCGTGAGGTAGAGAAGCTTGAGGATGCCAAAGCCAAGGCCGCGGTAAAGGCCCAGATTGAGGCAGATAAGAAAGCCCGTGCAGAGAGGACTGCAAGGGAGAAAGCTTTACGTGACGGCCAGCCAATTATTGACGCATCTGCCAGTGCGTCGACGACTCCAGCAGTAACAACGTCCTCGTCCAGCGGCACAAGCGGGAGGGACTTCAAAGACACTCGTCTCCAAATCCGTATGGCAACTGGGGGAACGCCTTACACGACCACCTTACCAAGTGACGCAAGTATGTCACATCGCTTCCCTGCATACACAAATGTCTTGTAAACTGACACATCTTGCAAGCGTTACGTGAAGTCGCTGAGTTTGTAGCTGCCCAAACGCTTTCTGTCGATGTGGAAACAGTCACATTCGCCCAGCATTTTCCCAGGTCTGTCTGTCTCCTGTCGCGCTGTGTACCCAGTACTGAGGCTTCATGATTTTTCCAATAGGAAAACATTCTCTCGTGATCAGTTTACCAAAACACTAAGGGAACTCGGATTGACGCCGTCAGCGGTACGTACTTTTCCGAGTATGGGATTATGACAGGGCACATATTGGTTTTTAGGTCCTCATAGCGTCCTGATGCGATATATCGGCTGTGACTTGGAATAACTGTGATCCTTTCGGAAAGGAAATTAGCACATTGAAACATGCGGTTGTACACCACCGCAATGAATTTACTTTTGTATATTTTATGGACAAGGGATATAAAGTGACAGAGATGAGAAGAAAAAATAGTAAATCATGCTAAATGCGAGTTTAATGTGGGTATGCAGAAGAGTGTCCATGTCAACAAGACGGGAACCAAAACAAAAGCAAATGAAGAAACCAAGTTAATAATATTCAAAGAGCGTTATCGAACCGTTCACATAACCGACTGCAACTCTCCCAGACTCTTCATCGATCGCTACCTTGTTCCACAGGTCGTCGTTTCGTACCCGAAATATCATGGAAGCATGTGAACCACGTTGGCTAGTCGAGGAGCCTCCCGTAGCCGTCAGCATCCGTCCTGCAAGTCGCTGTCCGCAGTCGCTAGGGCCCTCCCAGTCTTCGGTATGGCTGTCAAGCCAGAGAACCGTACCATATCGTCCGAGAGCAACAGACGACGGAGCAAACAAACGCACTGGAGAGCCTATCGTCTGCACTGGAGTGGGCTGCACCAGGTATGGAAGGTTGTATAGAGAAGTCTCCCGCCCTGGGACGTATGCGGGATTGGGGTTGAGCACGAAATGGTGCAACATGTTCACTGGCCAGGGATAGATGCTTCCAAATCGAACAACAATGTTGATTGGCGAGGGGCGGTGGGAGCGTGCAGCATTCCAGCTGACTTGCTCTGACATATTGACGGTCTCTGTGAGCCATTGAAAGCTGTACTGTGCGAGTGGGTACGATATTGGCGCTCCCGGCGTTGGAATGATGTTGGGTCGGGGTGTGGTCGAGTAGAGCTCGACAGTCTGTTGGCGGACGATCACCATGTAATCGTCGCAGAGATGCATTGCTTGGCAGCGATCCTTCTGCCAATCATAGAGCTCAGCGACGTGCGGAGTTACATGGAAAAAGCAAGCCAACCTGTAATAGTGAGGGATTCACCAACTGGATTTTTTCACGAGGCTGATCGTTGATGTCCCATATGCTCACTTCTCCGCCGTTTTGTAGATGCCGGGTGACGAGTGTGCTCCCGCTGAGTAGGTGGATCTCTCTAATGCCGTCGATGGCACTCAGCGGAACGAATGCTGACTCGGGGTCTTCCTCTTCGAAGTTGATGGTGAGTATCTCCGTTCTATGATAGACAATCAGCAAGAACGTTAAATCGGGTGTTTCTATTTACACTCACAGTGCTGACTGCATCGCTATTATGGCTGGAGAAGAGGGATCGTCATTGATAATAATACCGCCATATGGCCCCTCCATGTGTGTCAGTTCTGCTATGCAGACGGGTTGTAGGATAGCAACGTCCCAGCATTGGATAACATATTTCATGGGTTGTGTAGTCATCGTGACAGAGATTAGCCAACGATTTCCTCTGCCAGGCAGAAACTCCATAAAGATGATGCGCGAATCTGGCTCGACGGGCTTGTAAAAATCAACTTCCCTCTTCGCATCCGGATCAGGGTTGGTCCAGTTTCTGCGAAGAGCGAGTGCACAACATGTAAGCCGCTCGAGCTCTAAAGCTGAAAAAGAGTCAAGGGATTTTCCATCGAAGTAGGGGATGGGGATGTTTTGCTGCTGGACAAGAGTTCGCAGAAGGAGAGCCCAGAGACTGCGCAGACGCGTGATAGCGTAAAAACTTTTATTAGTCTGGAAAAATAAAATCAGATTAAAAAATCGTATGAAACGAAACAGGGGCGCCAACCTGCCGTAGTGCCAGGATGCTTTGGATAGGAAGATGCTGGATTATATCGAAAAATAAGTCGAGAGGAATAGGGAGAGATGGCGAGCGATCCCATGAGCCGATATCAATGTCTTCCATGATAGACAGATGGTGGGTCAGAAGAGGATTGCTTTATGGTATTTAAGTGGAAAACGCGGTGATGGGAAAGTAAAGCAGGGATGTATGTAAGAGTAAGCAGCTGAAGGCGTGTTTTCAGTCCGATTCGATTGAAACGAACAATATGTTCTATGAAGTTCGGGTCTGCCGATTGCAACGTGTAGTAGACTTGGATTTGCCTTGCTGAAGGGCTTAGTGGGGAATATAACCGTGGCAAACGTACAAGTAGGGTAAGACGACCATGAGGGTCATACTTATACAAGCGATGCTGCAATAGTTATTGGCGGTGGTGATGAGAATTACCACCGACTGCCATGATAGTATGTGCTGAACGAATAGAGTGAGCTTCTCGAATCATGATCACAAAGAAACCCACGATGTTTTCTCCCTTTCTTGAGCCATGTTCCGCGTGCCTCGCCCTTCTAAGTACGTCCGTGAGAGGGAAGTATGAGTACCTTCGCGACGGCGATGGGGAAATGCATTTCTAGTTCACTCGAAAGAGCCGGGTAATATGAATATGCCGTAGTAGATTCATTCATAATGTTCAAAGTCAGTTTATGACCCTGGAATAAGTTGAGATATTGCGTCACTGGTCAGTCAACAAAACGTTTCTACACATGCGAAATTCGCGGCTTTCCACTAATTTATGCAAAACAACATATCAAAAAAATTTATCAGAAATTTCCTTTTTGAGCTTTCATGTTATTTCCATCATGTACAGCCTGGAATGAATGAGGTTAGTGTAACTGACGCATGTTATAGGTTCAGACAAACAATCCTTCACGGGAACGATGCTAATCCCTGTTCAAATGTTGGACATGAACCCCGCTGATTAGATTAGATTCATCCGTTTGCAATTAATTTTACTTCGGGTCCCATCGACATACGGCAGCATCAAGGGCCAACGGTTATAATTGGGGCTTGGTCATGCCACGCCATGTGCCCAAGCCTGTGTTTCGACCGCCTCAACGCCTACTATTATAACACTTGCTGACTTTGCAACATACAGTTAATTACCAGCAATCCGGTTCCAATATCGTGCGTGGTCCTGTTCTTATGGATCTGGTCCCATCAGATTTTGAATCTCCCCGTCGTCCTTCACTTGTGCGCGACCGCCCTTCTCGGCCTCCGTTGCCAAACGGACCACGCTTACGCTCACGCACAAAAAATTCAGTTGACATGCAAAGTCTCCGCGGAAGCTCTTGTACCGACGGAGGCTCGTCTGCAGTTACCTCCAGGTTGTCATCACCTGTCATCACTACTCCTCCGCACCTTCCAGGCCTATTGGACGAAAGCCAATTAATTTCCATCGATACCTCGCTCCCGCAGTGCTTGCCACAATTGGGCGCTTCTTCACACACACGCACGACATCAGACATTGGCGTTCAAGTTTCACAGAATTTTGCATCATATCATTCATCTCCCTCGTCGTCGCCTTCAGCGACACCTTCAATCCAAAAACAAAAAATAAGACTCAAATCAAAACCATCGATAGCAACATTCCTTACTCCTCCTCCTCTTCCACCCCCGCCTACAGTTTCATTTGAATCCGTGCAGATTCCATGGAAGGGCCTTCCCTATGAGGCTGCCCAATGGACATTCACCTCGGCCGAACTACAGGAGATAGTCTCCCGTGCTATCAGGTTAAGCGCAAAAGAGTCTTTCATACGCCTCCTATCTCTCCAAGCACTCGACATAGACATGGTAAAAGAAGCAGAGCGTCTCGAAGAAGAGCGCCTAGCAGCGCAGGTCAAATGGAGATTCGAAATGAACAGACGAACCATGCTAATGCAGGCGCTCAACTCATGTGCGAGTGTAATTGCCAACTCGGGAGAAAGTGATAAAGAGAATGTATTGGGAGGCTTGATATCTCAAGTTGCAACTTCTATCGCTTCGTGCGACTCTATTCTTGCATCCATTTTGCACATGTCAGATCAGCAGGCACAAATCTCGATGGTTCAGCGCCGACATTGGGCGTCAGCTCTCGGGATTGCACTCCGCAAACTAAACAAAGCATTCGAGCGCCAGGGAGAAGAGATGAAACGCGCGCTAATACGTATCCAGACACTCGAGGACGAGCTCGAGGAGGCCTGGAGAGAAGCGGAAGGCATGGCTGCCGAGATTGATGAGATGGAGCAGAGCGAAGAGGAGGACATTGAAGACATCGATGATACCCAAACACTGGGAGATATTACCATCAACACCGATATCGCACAAGTCATGGGTGTCACTGCTAAAGCTGTTTTATCCAAAGCTACTCTCATTTCCCAAGTAAAGCATGTATCATCCGACGCCAAGTCCATCAAGTCTTTCAAATCCGTAAAATCCTCCCGCAGTAAACGATCCAAAGATGGCCCAAACCGGCTTTCACGTTTCTCTGCAGCAAAGACACGTTCACGCACCGCATCCAATGCCAGTCTTCGTTTGCCTAAGGGGTTACGCACCCCGACGGCATCTCATATTCCACACGATGAGCCGCCACCGATGCCTGCACTTCCAGACGCATTACAAGGATGCTCGTTCCTTGATATGGACAGCGGTGCAGAGTACTGCCGCCCGCCAAGAAAACAACTACCTAACCGTAGGTATCTTTATCATGTTTCCATCGCTCTCTAACTTTGCATTACAGGCGCACCAGAACCAACAGTCTCCCTTCCTGAACCTCCCCATACAGCAGGTCTTCCTCCAACTGTCATTCCGTCGATTTGGATAGACGCCGACTCAGGCCCCGGTTTGCGACCGAACGGACTCGATCGTTCACACTCCATGCAGATCTCCCCCTCTTTTCGTCAGGTCCGGAGAAGTGAACTCGTGATAGGCCAGTCACGGTCCGATCCTGGAAACTCACCTGTGGAAAAGGTCGAGCCTCTTCTCGGCCGTACCAGCTCTTTGGCTGTAGTGAATAAACCACTGCCTGCGAACATACCTGTACCTGTCATCGATCGACCACTGTCAGCCGTAGACAGGCTAGTGTCTGGTGCGATGGATCGACCGCGTCCGAGCGTGGAGAGAAGGAGTTCTGGCTCTCTCAAGTTGATACCACTACTTGAAAGGTCGTCAGGAATCTCTGCGACTATTATCTCCGGTGGGAGGTATCACTCGCGCGGATTACCTAGTTACCGATCAACAGACACTATTTCTGAGGGCAGGACCCCGCCGCATGTAGGAACACCAAATATTGGTTAGGCCGGGACATGCCATTGGTCCATACGCACAGTCTAGGCACGTATGCTTTCGTCGTATGGACCAACCAACTGAATCTTTTAAATTAGATATCATTTAGATTCTATTTTTATGCACATATGTTCCTTCGCTCAATCTACGAATACCACAGGGATTCGCATGCATAATTATACGTGCTGTATAACACACTTACTGGCTTATAATCCTTTCTTGTTGTCTGTTACTGTTTGCACGGCACATATATATGTACTTGAATAATCATCCAGCCTAACGGAACATTCATAAAGACTAGTACTGAAACCAAAAGGATCTGAATCGCCGCAATGAAGAATCACTCCTGCCCAAGAGCAAGTGCGCCTTTGTTTTCTATTAAAGTAAACCATGCATCTTCCTGTCCTGCTTTAGTGGCACCCGCAGCGGGCGGTAGGTTGGTTGAACCTAGAGCGCCTGCTTTCACAATGGCTTTGGCGAGAACGGAGACGTGAATCTCCGCGTTGGACGTAAAATGCGATGCAATGCCAGTCACGTAGCTTGAAGGAGCCAAATCAATATTGAAATAGACTTTGAGAAAAGAAGAAGCGCACCCAGCTATGGTCTCTGCGAGCCTTATATGAGCACGTTGAGCTCCTTTGAGAAAACCGGGGCGGAAAACGATGGTGTCCGCATACCCAAGGCGTGCTATGCCCAGTTCTGTGAGACCTTTTGATCTAAAAGAAACAAATTAAGGAAGAGCGGGCCGTATTGATGCTTGCGCACCTCATATATAGGAACGAAGAGGACGGGTTAGCACCACCAGACTACATTTCGCATTAATTCACATCCCACGCATTACGTGTCTTGCGTTGAACTCACTGACAGATACACAACACGTTGTTTGTGTTCCGGATCATCAGTCTTTGCAGCCTTGCAGGCGTTCACCACGTACCTGCGTATGAAACATGAGATTGTTATCGAGTATAACAAAAAAACTCGACCTACTCTCTGTCAATTTTCTCAAACATGTCTGCGCTCCCTGCATTCGCGCGAGTCGTCCCAAGGGTAACGAACACCACATCCCATCGTCCGTCCTTCAGCCCTGCTTCTTGCAAGTTCTCAAAGTCGAGTGTTTTCTGCTCCAATTTACCCCTATTCTGGGGAAGGTCGGCTTCGGGGGTTACTCGTCTCCCATATTCGCCAACCTTGGACCATTGATCGCTTGCGAGAAGCTCACGGAGGAGATTTTTTCCTACTGCGCCTGTTGCGCCTAGAATGAGAGCTGTCGACATGGTGTGTAGTGGCCAATTTTTTCGGAGGTGGATACTTAAGTTGAGCTCGAACCCACTATACGTGGGTGTTCGGCACCCTGCCAAACACCACATAACATCACAAAATATGTCACCTTGCACAGGTAGTAGTGACGCGTCTGACGTACATGCTGGATGTGCTTTTCAGAAGCCTGAGGATAATGCGTGATCTGGGTCACCGGCCCTGTAGATAGACTCGTAGACTGGTCACGAGTCTACCCTGTAGACGCAGTGCGGGACGTAGTTTCTTCAGTATAGGATCTTCACCGACTGTCAGGTATCTCGCCCACGATGTCGACACATCTGACCATTCACTAATACGGAGTCCCATTTACAAACTGATGGTGTTCGTTCCCCTCCTGCTGGAAACCTAACTACGTAAAGGCTATTATTTGTGTTTCTCCCTCTTCTATGTCAGTGAACATTTATCACAACTTGCGCTGTCCTATCAACTTTAACGAGTTTCGTTTCATACTTATCCTCAGAGATCCTCAGTTCCAAGCCGACGGTCCAGAGGGCAGGTGCGGGTTCTGGTCATTCCCCTAGGTCTGAGTCATGCATACAATGAGAAGGTATACTAGCGATATCCGCTACTTCCAAGGTAGTACTGGTACTGTTCAAAACGTGAGGCTAAATGCAAGTGTCAAACAGCTGCTATAGAAGACGGTGTCGTCGTGATATGAAGCATAGTGTAAACCTTGTAAGAAACCACGAAGAAAAATGTCCGACAAAATTTGAGATCATATCGAAACTACTACAACTTCGAGAGAAGGAATAAGGGCGACGCACTCTGCTTGCTGCTCGCATTCCGTCTTCATTTTAGCGCCCAAAATTACAGTCTCCAGGGGACACTTTGACCGTGTTAGGAATGATTTGAACTCCTGATGAGGCCATGATACACCGTGAACTTCAAGTGTGTGTAAACTCGGGAGTGAGAGAGCATTGAAAAGGCCAGGTAAATGGTCTGGGATGGAGTCAACGATGTGTAAGGATTGAATTTGGATGTGCACGAGTGGCTCAAATATTTCAGTTTCACTGAATAGTAGGCGGATCACTAATGAGCAGAGGTTGGGACATAGCTGCAGCAGGTGGAAGAGTGTGGTAGAGCAATGTAGGGGAATCTCGACATTTGTCAAGTTAGCCCATACAGGCTCGCCAGAAGGCCAGAGCTCGAGCTCGAAAAACGACATTGTGAGCTTGAAACTGCGCAGAGTGGGCGGCAGTCGCGAGAAAACTTGCTCAGTAAGCGGCCTGACGACTACTAGCTCCTGGAGTGCTGTTAGGTCTTTTAAAAGGAGACCATATCGGTCAGAAAACACGCCACAATGTAGAGAAAATGATGAGATTTGATTTATGTAAGGTTGAAGAATGTCTCGTAGCTCGCTCACGGTCGATTTATGGGAACAGATGAGTGCCAACGAGAGCGGATGTCCTCGTGATCGCTTGAGCCATACGTCAAGACATCCCTGCCACCTTCTGAAGCCGCATATCACATTTAGCCTGCACCATAAACTAGGCGTGCCTACGGCAACCTCCCTCCATCGTCGACATATTCTGGTCAACAGGATGGGTGCCCGCATCAATGCAGGCGACGGATACTTGTCTTCCGGGAGACAGTGAATGAAAATGTGAGATAAGACTTCAGTTGGTAAGCGCCAAAGAGGTGATATGAATCGTTTGTGCAAAGTGATGGACGAGATGAGCTTGTCCTTTTGTTCAGTCAGCTGTCGGTGAAGATTGTTGATTTTATCGACGACTGATTCCAGACTCCATATGTCGCGCAAAGTTGCATCTAGCTGCTGCCGGCGGTCGGTGATAATGGCATTGATGCTCTGGTCATCGAGCTCGATTGCGCAGTGACTGGGATGGGGGAAAGTGGTTTGGGAGTATGGGGTTTCGAGGTCTGGCATCTGGTGATTGGTTAAGAACACATCAAATACTACATCTACACAAACAAACCATTGCTCGTGAACGTAGCTGAAGTCAATGATTATTACACTATTCGTAGAAAAGAGTGCACTGTTTGAAGCTTTGGCACTTACAATGGTATGCAGTGCACTAATGATTTCCGAGGCCGGCAAGAGATTGTCATTTTCTTCTGAGTTGGTTGTGTGCATGTTGCTTGCTAGCGCAGTGTAAACGGTCAATGAAAAACTGAACTCGAGGCTGAAATGCTAAATAAGTTGTGCTGGTTTCGGTTACAGTATAGAGGCACCACGTTTGGTACATATAAGCTTCCGTCATCGTGTATACGTACAAACTAACTTGTCCGAGTCTATTCAAGTTCAAAGTAAATATGGAAAAATCGGTCAGCTCAAAATACATCCTCCGTGGTACTTGGAAAAAAGTGTTCACACTGCGAGAGTCGACGTGGATAGAATAACTTAGTACTAGTGTTGAAACAATTTAACTTGCCGAACTATTAAAAGTGTATTCAAAGGGGGAAACGGTCAACTGCCCTACAAGTAGATATACATCGGTTTATATACTGTAGGGTAAAGGACGACAGAGATGGAAAAGATAAATGAGACTTTGAAACAGCTGTGACGAAGAGAATATTGCTTTGACGAGCGTTACACAGACTGACCTCCACAGATGAATAGCAGACAAAAAAAACTACGAGCTTCAACTGGTAGCGTATGATTATACGTATCAGATAACCTTTTGCACGAGTCCGAGAAATTCTTCTTACTGCAAAGTTATCTTGCCGCAGAGGAAACAACTACTTTGAGGGAAGGAATCAAGGCAACATATTCCGCTCGTTGTTCATCTGTCGCCATCACTCCACCGCTGAAGACCAGACTCTTCAAGGAACAGTTTGACCGTGCGAGCATCGCCCTCATCTCCTCGTGAGGCCACGGTTGTAAGCAAACATCAAGTTCGCACAACTCAAGGGGCGGGAGAGAATCGAGAACATCAAACAGGGCATGTATTTGCGCTGGTTGGATATAGCGAGCTTCAAACATGTGGAGATTTGGAAGTGTCAGAACGTCGAACAGGTGAGATAATTGTTCCGTGATGCTGAGGTCATGAGCGACGCGAAAGGATCGAAGATTGGTGTGTGTGAATGGTCTGCAGTCTTGTGCTCGCTGCTCGACGTCTGTAAGAATGGTCAACGAGGAGAGGTCGGGACACAGACGAAGCATGTCGGGGACTGCATCCATCTGATCTATAGCGACCTCGATGTTCGTCAGGTGTGCCAATAGTGGAGCGAAAATAGAAAAGTGGTAGAGAGTGAGCACCGGAAAAGTGATCTTGAGATTGCGCGTGATGATCGGCAATTGCGACACAGATGTTGCAATGCCCAGCATTTCAGAATGATCGTATGCACATATGGTCAGCTCCTGAAGTGCTGAGAAATTTACGAACATAAGTTCAGGCCAGGATGTCTTGGTCTGAGGGGAAAAAACGGATAGAGAGAGACGAAATTTGATTGATATAAGGCTGTAGGACGCCTCGTGATATGGTGTTCAAGTCATCAGGGCAGCACCAGATTTCCAACGATAGTGGAAGTCCTTGGGATCGCTTGAGCCACAAGTCATAGCAGAGAGATGTCGACCTCCAGCGTCTGTGCGAAATCTCGTTGCTGTACAACCGCAGCCTCTGCCAAATACTGGGCATTCCCACAGCAACCTTCCTCCATCTTCGGCATATTCTTGTCAACAGCACAGGAGCTAACGTTTTTGATGGCGATATTTGACTAGTTTCCGGGACACAGTGAATGAAAATGTGAGATAGGACTTCAGGTTGGCAAGCTCCAAATACCCGATACAACTCGCTTTTGCAGATTCGACTGGGCGATCTCATCCTTCTGTTCGATGAGTTGTTGGTGGAGATTTGTGACACCATCCATGACTATTTCCAGATCCTAGATCTGCTCTTGGCGTTCTTTGATGATGGCCCTGATACCAGGTCGGTCTTCAAACTCAATGACAGAGTTGTTGATATGATAAGCTATGCAGGAGTACGGGTCTGGGAGTCATCGTCAATAGCATGGCATCGATATATCAAAGCAAACATACGATCACTTGAATGGGCGAGCTTAAACAAATCCGGTTCATCATTATTCTCATATACGAGTGCCTATGAAACTTGATACTTACGATGTTCGTATGCAGCGCACTGATGATATTTTCAGAAAGACGGTTGCTGCCAGATTGAACCGCCGATTGCTTGGATATTAAACCTTGATTCGAGTAGCTAACACGACTCGTAGGGGCCAATGTTGAAACCGTACGGATGAAGTGGATGATGGAAGGGTAACAAGGTGAGCATGCAAACTCAGGAGAGTCGGATGACCAAGAATATATCCCCTATCATTTCATCGACTACTGTGTACCGCGTACAAACAAATCGCGTAACACATAGGATCTGTCACTATTTGAGTGAAGGAAAAAGGGTACCAGCAAAGATCATGCTCTCTAGGGGACATTGTGACCGTCAAAAGCGCTTTCAATTTTTTGTGAGGTTGTTTTGTATTACGAACCTCGACCGCGCGTAGATTGTGGAGTACGATGGCATCGAACTTCTCGATAGAGTCCAAATCCAAATTCAAATCCCGGGATATGCAAAGGTTGGGGGGCACGAATGTTTCTGAGGTCTCAATTGCCGTCAATATTCCAATCATCGTCAAGCACGAGAGATTGGGACCGTGACATAGACGGAGCGGCCTAAAAAGGAATCTAATCCGTCTGCCACGATCTCAACATTTGTGAGACCACCAGTTGTCAGTGAATATTAGTACTCACATATCTTCAACCGAGTCACGCTCCTGTTCGAATGGTACGTCACCCTCAGCCTCCTGCGATGCGAACTAGGAGCAGGCCAGATATCAAGCGGAATTTTTTTTAAAAAGTCTCGGAGGCGGCCTGGGCTCCGAGTTGACGCTGAACGTGCTCCCTCACAAGAACAAGCATACTGGTGGTGAGCAGCTTATTCGTGACTTAGCCCCTGGAGCGCTGGGACTCGGACTCGGACGTCTTTTAACAAGGGCTCAAAAACCATGATGCAACAACGGACAGTGTAAGGCCGAAGGAGGTTTCGTAGCAACAATTAATAAGATGTCATAGCAGCAGGTGAGTCCCAACGAGAGCAGACGTCCTCGTGATCGATTGAGCCATACGTTCGACCTGCTATCGAATGATACATCTAGCCTGCATGTCTTCCAAGAGACGACGAACGAAAAAAAAAATGTGGAATAGAACTTGAGTTGGCAAGCGCCAAAGAGGTGATTTTGTTTCCAGTCCTGAGATCACAGTGTGCAGAACTGCGTCTAGATTTCTTTTTCTGGCGGTCAGTACTGATGCCCTCTGGTTGGGATTGGGGAAAGTGGTTCGGGAGTCCAGAGTCTCGATGTCTGGTGGTGAATAACGTTCATCTTTTGATCTTTCCTTTTTTGTAAATATCAACCCCTAGGTGCCGCGACATTATTTATTTCAATGCTTCACTGCAGAATAAACATTCGTTTCGTCTTCAATAAACCATTACAGGTATCCAACACAACATAGACGAACGGCCACGTAAAGCCATCCATCGCTAAACATGAAAAATGAAAAAGAGAGGAATTACAGCTCTGTTCAAACCAGAGCCGGACTAAATCCGTACAACAAACAACCAAACTACAACCTAGAATAAAATGGCAGCAAGCTTTTGCCAGAAACCTTCTGGCGGGTAGTATGGCCCCTCTGTCTCCTCTGGAGTTGGAATACCCTGATCTCGCGCGTCAGATGGAGTTAAAGAGTAGCCGCCGAGATACTTACCGTAACAAAGTCCATCTCTTCTGGTTTCCAGACCTCGGTCTTTTTTACAAACTTATAGCCAAAGTAAAGAGCGAAGAACAGTGGGATGTTGATATCTGCGAAAGGTAATTGAGATCGTGAGTCTATCAGGACTTTACGGAATAATGAACAGACGTACAGGCAGTGAGGAAGCCGGAGGCGTTGAAAGACCAGAAGACTTTGAAGCCGTTGATGAGGATGAAGAAGATGCACCATCCCAATCCCCAGATCGCAAGCCCTGGCTGGAGGTAGTGTCAGCACTCGGCGGAGCCGCGTGTCGATAAAAGGTACGTACTTGGAGGCGGTTCCAGTAGTAGAGCTTTGTGCGGTCAATGCCTTGGTACTTCATTCCGCGGTCTACGTATTTTATGAGACACGGATTGGAGAGAGAGATAGGTGAATGATGGGCTTACGGAAGAAAATGTAGGTCAAGTTGATAGATCCCCAACCGAAGAAGCCGCCTACAGTTGAGAGGTTGACGAACCAGCTATTCAAACGTTAGTGTCAATCGTACACCACTTGGAGCACACCTACTTGAACACTGTTGCGCCACCTGACTTGATGTTCATGAGGGCGAGGAATGCAAACATGCTCTTTATACGTAATCAGCGCTCTGCAATAGTGCGATAGTTCTAAAGACGACGCACAGAAAACCCAACAGCGATAAGGGGAAGTCCAGCGTTCGTGCACCTTGCGAAAATCTTAGGTGCTTGTCCTCGGAGAGCAAGACCGTAGAGAATACGAGATGAACAGAAGAGGAACGAGTTTGCAGCACTGAATGCACTCGTCATGACTCCGGCATTGATGATGCTTGGTAAGACTGTCCGTGTCAACATGAATAACGTTCGAGTCCGGATAATTGTGAATGTTACCTTTAATCCCAGCATTTGTCATGGCAATGACATAGGGAGACTGAGCAGCAGTACCCGTGGCTGTGCGGGACGTATCAGACCTGTCCTGTAGAACACGAGTAGGAACTCACATTGGAGCAAGTTAGGATCATTGTAAGGAACGATAAGGCCGGTGATGAAGATACCAAGGATCTGCGCACACCCTCCATCAGGACCTGCATCATTCCAACCAAAACAACAAAGGCTTACATAGAAAACTAAGATACGGTAGAATACCCGGCGGACGGCTTTCGCGATATTCCGGCGGGGATTTTCGGTCTCGGAAGCGGCGCTATAGATCGATTTGGAAAATGAGTTTCTTTTGTTGGTGGATGGGGTATTGCTTACATTGCGACGAGTTCCATGCCTTGGAATGAGAATGATGCTTGAACAATGACGCCCAGAATGCCCAAGAAGCGGTCCAAGCCAACATGGTTTGGTTCTAGCCCAGCACCTGCGAGAATACCGGGATTTTTCCAATACTGCTCTTACTGTCAGGATAATAGTTTATTTCTAGTTGACTTTGATACCGACCTGGAAACCCAACCGGTGGTGATCTGGTGAACCACCAAGATCAATGATCAGACCAACAAGAATGAGACCAGTGATCATCGAGACTTGGAATAGCAGGTAAGACAGATATACCACGCCAGCATCAGCAATCAAGCTTACGTTTTATGAGTGAGAACACGAATTCCGCTAGTAGTTCATACTGTTAGTCGAGCAGTATCAAATGATAATGATTTCTAACCTTCGCCAAAATACCTAAAGGATGGTTGTGAGTATGCACTACACGCAGCGTAAACGGCACATACCGTACACCAAAAATGTTCGTTGCACAAGCAAACACAATGATAATTGCGGTGTAAATACCAGCGTGATTCGTCTACATGATAAAGCTTGATCAATATGGTTGCAAACTAATTGGTTCGAGTTGGCTCACATTGGAATCCCAATAAGTGATAAGAATCTGAGCACCCGTGATTTCCACCGGCACGGTTATCCTTGTGACGTGTAAATGTAATGCCAAGAAGACCGAAAATAGACATACACGTTAGTCTGTTGATCCATTAGTAAATTGTTTTGGACATGGACAAAGATCAGCTCACATAAAAGTAGTTCTGAAAGACAAATCATGACAACTGTCAGAAGGGCCACGGACTGCGAAAGAGTTGACATACCCATCCAACCTAGACACGAATCAATGAGCAATGGTGCTATTAAATGGAAGAAAGTAGTACTTACTGCGAAACCAAGTGCAGGGTCGACCCATCGTGCGGCTGAATAGGGCCAATCAGTGTCGTATTTCAAATATGATTTATCCTACAGACCGAAATGAGGGAAGGTCCCTGAAATTGGGGCATGAGACGTCATTTCACCGATGGAACACAGTGAGCTGAAAGGAGGTTAGAAGATGGGGTTAAAGAAGGGGTGTGCGAGCGTACGAATATGCCACTGAGCCCACGAGGGCGTATGCAATAAGGGCGCCGAGAGGGCCCGCACCACTGAGAGCACTCCCAGAACCCAGGAAAAGACCTGTACCGAGTGTTCCGGCTATCTACGCTCTTCGTAAGTTGACGTGCAAGGGCAATACGGTGACATGACATACGGCAATCCTAATAAAATCAACAAGCTGATTATAAGAAATGAAAGATAGACATACATCTGAACATGACGCTGCTTTAGTCGACGCTGTACCAAGTCGATAGAGGCGACATCGAACTGGTGCCTCCCGTCAGCAACTGCGTGAACTCCGACATCGAGTTGGTTCTTCTCGACGCTGTTAACATCATACTTGTGATCCTCGTTACTCATGATAGAGGCAACGAGGGAGATGGTACCAAATGATGGGGTATTCAGATGAGGGGGGTTTTCGGATGGAAAAAAGGACCTATTCTCGGTTCATGTAAGGCTGTTAAGTATGGTAGTAGGCACAGCGTGGTGCCAAGTGGTGCCTGATACGGATCAGAAAATATACGATAACAGGTAGACGTGTCGATAGGAAGTTTTACTGCAATTTGTTTACCGAGAATCAATGACCATGTCAACAAGTCTGACGACGTAACGATCAATGCATGGATTTTAGATGTGCGTAAAGAAGGTCGCGATTGCATGACTTTAGAGTGGAAAATGAACTTGTGATGTTCAAGTTGAACCGGAGGTCCCCGATATAATTAATATATATATTTAAGTTAAATTTAGAAATCATCTGAACCAACCCATTTTAGAGTCTAGACAGGCCTTCAGCTTGTCCCCCTTGTGTTGGTACGATAAACATACTGCGATAACAAGCGGGGGGTGGCGCAAGCACTACTACCTAGTGAGTACTAAACTGGCTATGATCAATTTGAGGTCGGTGAAATGGCGCTCCAAGTACCAAGTAGTTTGAACCGGCAAGTTCGGCAAGTTCCAAAGTCATTTCGCGATGTTATGATGCGACTCTCGGCTCGTCCAATTATCCGTTTTCCCGTGTGAGTTACTTCTAATGTGGAGATTAATCAAGGATTAATCGAAGGAAGTTCTTGCATTCCCCGCATCATGATGTTCGTGTTCAACGTAGCGGGGACTTTCTTCAACATGGTGTCACTGTAATCACCCAGCCTCCTGATATCCTCCGTGAATCAGATACTGCTCGTCAAAGTATATCAAATGAAGCCCGTGAGGAGCTATGCCTGTCACCTTCCCTCCATTCGCCGAATGCGAAACTCATGGACCTTTGGCAACCGGCGGGCGGTGCGCCGCACGACTGACACCTCATCTAACCCACTACTCCGCTCCAGCTCACCCACGTCAGGCGTCTCTAAATTAAACCATTCGGCTCAGCACGCGCACATGCACTCTTCTATCATCAATCTCACGCGCATCGCAATCCTCGCATTCCTCATCTGCTCCACCATCGCGCGTTCAGAGTCCAGACCATAGTGCGAACGTACTGACAATTTTCGCTCCACGTGGAGCCTATTAATGAATGCGAGAAGGTCGAGTTTGATGAAATATTTGCATATTGATTGGTATGGTGACGTGCACAGTGAACGAGCGCAGTCAGCTGAGCGAAGCGCTGATCCTGAATATTCAATAACGGCGCACGGCGAGCGTGAGCACAGTTGAAAAAAACTTGGAATGGTAAGTCGTTGCGCACCCCGGTTTGCAGTCGTCCCGAGTGCGGTCCATGGACATACATGGGAATGAGGTTCCCATCTTTGCTTCCTACTGCCTCTCTCCAGGTAAGAAATACTCCGAAATCAATTCATCGCGCGAATTTTTGGATTGGCTGAAGATTAGGCCTGACCAAGTACGCGAGCAGATCCCACTGCTCTGCAGCTGCTCGAATTTTGTTATCTCAGACATTTGTGAACTCCTTTCGTTTTTTTTTTGAGTTGGTGTAGAGATAGCGTTTCCATGGGCCACGTCGGTGAACCAGTGCACATCGATCACCGATTGATCACCGATCAACTTAACTATATACCCGGCAACAACCTCAGATAGGAAATTCTTGTTGGCACTCCTGCACCCGGTCTTCATATGTACAACCCGGCGCGCCGACAAAAGTGCATCTCAGATGAGGCCTTGAGGAGCAACGTGAAAAGCCATCGACAGCGAAGGAGACTCTAAGACTCCCAGCAACTTCCGGATGAGTCGGCAGCCGGACGCTAGGTCCGACAGCAGACCTTGAAAATATTGAACAGCTTATCATCAGATGACCGGACTCAGACTCGGCCGTAGCCAACAAGAGATATCGTTGACGTCATTTCTGGGTCTTCTTCAAGCAGTTCACGTAGCGGCATCGCATGGATTCTAGATGCGCGCGCGAATTCTCCGCGAAACCTTAGCCCCATCGATCAATAAGGTTACGATAGAACCTTTACCTGGGCAACGTACGTTAAAGTATCTTTCATAAAGGTCCTGTTCCTCGGATAACTTCAGACCAATCGAACGATGCAGGACAGACCACCATCATCTGCAAACTACCGGTCCGTTGTGACAAGCAAGACAGTATGACAGACTACCATCTCTGCAAGCTACCAGTCCATCGTGACAAGCAAGACAAGGTGGGACCACAGCCGACGAAGACAAGAGCGCGCCCATTTGACGAGGTGAACAATCACACAGAGGCTTTCTTCGAAACCGCAGACTAATCTAGATTCTAATACACACATGTCAATCATAATTGATGAGGAGCCTTTAGATTTAGTTTTGAAATGACATCCTAAACACCGCCGGAAGTCATCCAGCACAACGACTAAGCATGACCTCGACGCATCAATTATCTTCGTCCTCTCCAAGTACATGCACTGCTGCAGACGTCCCTTCCTCCCTTGGTAGTGGTGCATACCACTTACTCGCATTAGTCGTGTCTGACAGCTCGATGCCCTCAGCGGAAAAGATAACACTGGGCTGCTGCGCAGAAGACGCATTCCGCCCAGACGTAGAGTAAAGGTGCAGCAAAAAGACAGTGATGAGGTAGAACAGGAATGCAATGCTGTGAGAGAATTAAGCTGACCAGCATTAATGCAAATTCATAAAAGCCCCCACCTATACATCGACAGCACATATGTGACGTGATCTATTCCTTCCTCGTGAACAGCTTCGAGCTCCTCGTCCGTAGCAGACATAAAGAGTAACCTGGATACACAGTCAAGAACCAAGCATGATTGTGCTATAGTGGCAACATACCCAGAAGCAATTAACAACTGATAAATATTTGCAATGAGTAATTTCACAACAATCATCGAGGAATGATACTGACGAACGGTGGCAAGTGCCTAAATGTCCGAGAGGCATTTGGTTTCGTGGCAACACTGGCATCTTTGGGTGCAGGAGATGTCAGAGTATGTTCTGAATCATTATCACCCAGTGGAGGTGTCTCCGATAGGGATGAGGACGGCAGCTGTATGAAACAAAGTTCAAGGATACGTGCAAGGCCGGCAAGCATCAGCGAGTATCCAAACATGGAGTGAACCTGAGAATATGACCAGCATCAGTGTGCACGAATGGTGAATATATGCAACCCGACATAATCCTTACCTTCGTGGACAACATCAAAGCCTGGGCATGGTCTGACATAGCCCACCCAGTTAATATTATGCTAAGTGTTCATCAGACCATCGACCAGCGCGACAGAGTGAAAAGACGAACATGACGCCAGGGACGACATTTCTCTACATGCATAGACAAGCTCAATAATGCACTAGAAACGACTGGGTAGATACCTGATTATTCCGAGACAGAAAGATGCCAAGAGCACCTCCAGCCCACCAGAGTATACCAAGAATCCTGTGTAGGGATGATCGTTCACTCGACCAATACAATTCCCGGAACAGACGTACGTGTGCTGCATATCTTCCACACTCCATTCACCGCCGTGGTGCTCAGTAAATGTATTGACCATGCCCTATCACAAATTTAGCTCGAGCAGACTGTACGTCCATGATACACGCACCCAAAGCATAATCACCCAGGAGTCCCACCATTCCAGGCTGCGACCGCTGCGGCGGACCCAGTTGTCGCCGACGACGAGTAAGAGCGCCATGATCATACCATAGCCAATGAATGCACTTCCCTAGGGACTTGAATGAGCACTGTTTGAAAGGAGTCATCGCACGCGAACCTACCATGATATAGTGCGCAGGCCATTGTCCAGCCCCCGACTCCCCGGAGAACCCCCCCAGCGTGATGACGCCAAACAAACCCTGAACCCAACCAAGGATGGGCCATATACGTCCTAAAATACCATGGGCGCGCACAGCGTATGGCCGTAAGGTACGTTCATGAATATGAAGCTTAAGATAGATTCCAAGGCCCAGCTGGGCGAAGATAGGGACCAAAATCCATGATCCGATATGGGAGTGTGCGGAAGAAGGGAACCGCCGACCGCCATGGGCATGGCCGAGAATGATGCCACCAAAAGTTAGGGCAAAGGCGAGACTCTGTACGTAATGTTCTTGATCAGAATAGAACCGCAGGAGATGAAATGATGCCAACATACTTGTACGGGAACATGCCATCTACTTCGTGTAAGTCCGAGTACCATGCCTGCGGGGAAGATGAAACCCCATACGATGGCTTGGAGGGCGATATGTATCCAGAGAGTGGCATCTACTGGGGCATGTAGTTGTTCTTCTGTAAGGTCCGCTCCATGATGGTCGTGAGCAAGCACCGGTACCATGAAAGTGAAGACGAGAGGTGTCCATAAGAACAAGTCGCCTGCCATCACCAACGCTGAGCGTCCTGAACGTTTGGACCCTGATAAATATAAAGCGCTTATAAAATGTTTCGAACAAAAAGTAAACGAAGTGTGAAATGACACGCGTACATGTATCGATTCGGGTGACCCCTTCCCTGCATAAACAAACCACAAACAAATAAATCGTAGCGCTGACGAGGCTCCTCGCCCTATAAGGAAGTGCAGTTAGTGAGTCGATCGACATGGCCATATGAGGTGAGGAAAGCTGTTACATAACGTTACCCCTACATCCGTTCCCATCCTTCGGTTTTCCAATTTTTGTCTACTCACAATTTTCTTTCTTTCAATATGTTACAAGTTAGACAAATTCCTGAACGGCTGGGGAGAGTATGCTGTGCAGCAAACATTTGAACGGTGGAAGTCTTGATTCGTGAACAGTAGATAAACACTTTGTGGTCTGGCCACCCCTTGTATCGAATACAAGCCATGGAATGAGAACGTCCATCGATACCAGGACGTCCTTTGGCAAGCAACCGTTCATTAACCTCAGCCAAGGTATCGATAGTAAGATCACACCACTAAAGTGTCGAGATCAAGAGTGGACGACGGAATCGGAAGATCCGAACAAGTAAAAGGAACATACGTGAGAAGAGTAGTGCCGCAGCTACTTCATTACCATATGGATTGGCAAGTCGCACAAAAGTTGAACATTAGCGGACTGCTCCCACCTCGCAGGCAGGCGATAACTGCACTGTCTAACATCAGCAAGTTTTGTGCGACGAACACCAGAGAGTGGGTCAGCGCACCGAGCCAACGAGGGTGCTAACAAACTACTCAAATTTCTCTAGACGACAATGGGAAGCAAGAAGGTAAACGGTCGAGAGAGGCAACAGCACATGAATGCACATCAACAGAACGGCCAGAAATTGATGCGACACAATACAGTGAGTGAACGAGACGCGTCCCGCAAATCGCGCATGGCACGAACTACAGACGAACACAGCCATGTTCGACAACGGCTCGCGACAGCCAAGAACCAAAAAAAAATTGACGAAGCAAGCAGGATGGATGGAATTGCAGGGAATAAACCAACTTCATAGTATATGAGGTAGAGGGCGCATGTGCAACAGAATGCGACGACAACCATGTTCATGGAGGATTTTTGCAACACAATACGGTACTGTCAAAAGGAACATTGCACTCTGCTGGACGGTGAGGGCACGGGAAGAGAAATATAGGACAGATGACTTACGACAGGACCAGTGGAAAACAGAGAAAATGAAAAGTGTGAGAACCGGCGGGGGTTCAAATACAACGAAATTAGAAATAAGGTATTACCCACATCTTCTCTCCGATGCCATGGGATGAGGCAGGCGTGTCCGAACGTGAGTGTTTGCGTCGAGGCAGATGAGCATGCCGAGGGGAATCAGAGCAGTAGCTCGCAAATGTCACGTGTCACAGCATGGGAAATTCTCACCAATTTAATTGGCGGCAAGACAAAACCCAACCAGGGAAACGCCCTGTGTAATCGTACATAAAAATTGTTAGAGCAAGACCCTCTTCTTCCCGAGTCCTGAAATTACTGATGCGAAGAGCGCTGATGCTGACGAAACATGTCTACCGCCGAGAGTGCCATTCTGACAAGTTCGGTGTAAGGCTGGACTAGGGTATGACATGGGTTGACCCGGGTCATACCCGCACCCGACCCGCGGGTACTGAAACTTTCAGAGGCCTGCCCGTACCCACCCGGGTCAGAACATCACGGGTGCGGATCAACCTGGTCAACCCACAGGTGGTACGGGTCACCCGCGGGTGATCAAGTGTTGGATCGAAAAGTCGATACAAAGATATAGGTAGCCTTGTACCAAAGTACATTCAACTAATCAATCAATTTCAACAACATCAGCCTGATCCTTTCCCTTTCCCTTGTCGTTTCCCATCTTCCTGTGCATGATGGCTGTGGCAGCACTGAGGTCAGGCATAAGAGGAGTGTTGAACCACGACCCGACGGCAACCTGTGCTTTGAAGGTTTGGGAGTTGATACCGTGCTGAAGATGGTTGACTTGCAGGCGGCCGCCAGAGAAAGCTCGTTCAGCATCGACTGAGGAAGCTATGGTAGTATGAATCATTAGAGTGTGTTGAAATCATCCTTTGTAAGCTGACATACTAGGCGCAGACAAGAAATCGAGAGCCATCTGAGCTAGTCGAGGCCGAGTTTCTCGAGCGTTCTCCCAATATTGAAGAACTCCACCTGCAGCCAGGATCTCGGCCCTTGGGATACGTGCAGTGTCAAGGTAGGATTCGATCGAGTCTGGAGATATGACTACATCCTCGTCATCAGTGTCAGCAGCAGCCCATTTACTAGTACTAGTTGTAAGTCGCAACTGTGAGGGTGCGGAAATATGTTAGAATAAACTAACTCAAAGGAGGTTGCTTACCGGAGCTTGTTTTGATAGGCCCTGATTTACATTGGTTTGGACTGGTGGTGCGAGTGCTGCATAAGATTCGGTCCACCGCTGTGGCTTTGAAGTGACGTTTTAAGGAGATGGTGAAGTGGTCATAAGCAGCAGAGTTCCAACGAGCCTTGGCCGCTACTAAAAGTTAGAGGACTAATGAGTCCATGAATGAAACAGTGAAGGGGGGAAATACATATTATTTCATCATCTGTGTGGTCCCAGACATCGAGATCTGTGACCTCAGCCTTTGTTCGACGTTTTTTGGTGGGAGACATTAATACAGCAGGTGGTGAGACCACTATGCGCTTACGGCTGCCTGTGTCCTTGGCTGGCGAGGACACTGAGGAGTCGAAATCGAAGACATCGCCCGATGGTGTGCTCTGAGGGGTGTCACAGCACGACATGGGGAAAACGACGCTGGTATGTTGCAAACTTGTGATGCCCAGTGCAAGTTTTGCGACTTATGAGTGATGCCAACTATGTGACGTGGACTCGTCGTGGAGTCGTAGACACTGGAGACGGTAATCAATATGCATAATATAAATCTGAGACACTGTGGTTGACATTGCGTAGAATTTAGAAAGATAATCCATCGATAATCTGATGATGACGGTCAATGAGCACTGCCACACTTTACCCGCGGGCACCCAAGTTTTGCAGGCCCTCGTACCCGTACCACCCGACCCGTCTATCCACCCGCGGGTGGTGCCCGGGTGGGTACCCGGGCAAGCCTTACCCGTGTCATACCCTAATACGGATATAGAATTATAACCGTATCCTTTGACGAGAGGGAGAATAACACTTGTGACAGATGCGGCTCAATTGGGGACATAAGTATCCGAAATCTATCCCCTGAATTTGTGAGCGATCGAGTGCTGTAACGGTCAGTCACGATAAAATGTGACTCATGAATGACTCCAGTAGGGGATAATTATCCTCTCACGTGAGAACTTGATGAGTCCATAGTTTAATAATACTTAGTCTCTTTTTATCATGACCTGGTCCGACCTAACATCACGCGAGCCCGTCGACAAATTGTCAAAGGATGGCCTGGGGAATCAAAAGGGGCAGGTGTGCTATAACAATACCTCTATACCTCAACTGACTCGTCAAAGAATTAGCATATGCTATATAATACTGAGAGCATTTGGCTCGCGACTGAGTGACACCATCATGATGCTGCGGCTATAGCTGCCCGCCAATTCAGATCAATGGGGACTGCCAGGGAGTTGAGTTATGTATATCGCACGTGTTATCGATAAGGGTCGGAACCATACTTCAGTCGTCGATCTAGGAACCACACCCCAAACCTTACTTGACAGTTTACTGCAGATTTCATCCTGCACACTCAAAAAATAACCTTGCAAAATAAATCGTTGCTAGTGAGTGGTGTTTCACTCTGGTATCTTCTGTGTTTCAGGGTCATACCTGCACGACCCGCTATGACCTGGTGCGCCTTTCGGGCAGGAGGCCTGATATAAAATTGCGCCTCTGCTTGAATTTGCTTTTGGACAGCGGATTATATTCTCTTTCCCTGCCAATCGAGGACTAACCACTGTACTATGAGGCATTTCCTGACAGGCTTGGTGCTCTCAAGCACGTTTGTTGCCCGTGCGTGGGCTGGGCAACCAACTCATATTTATGGTGTCAATTTGGGTTCATGGTACTAGTGTTACTCTACCTCTCCGACAGACTGTCTAACTTAAGTGGTAACGCAGGTTAGTCCTAGAGCTATGGATGCTTCCTCAAGGTGATAAAAACAATGATTCATGTAAGTACATGTTCACTGAAAAAGTTTCTTTAGGGTGGGTGGATATGGGTGGACAATTATGCGGTGGAGATTGTTCGACGTGCATTTCAACCGAGTCGTACGTTCCTATAATACACTGTTTGCATGTGAAACTCGATTTATTTTGTGATAATCTAGGGCATTTGCACAAGCGTACCCTGACACTGTCAACGCTACATTCGCTCAACACTGGGACACATGGTTCACACATAGCGATGTCAACACACTGAAGATGGCCGGTATCAACACTGTCCGCATTCCTGTGAGTTGAGTTCAAGGCACACCGCGAACTTGGCTAAGCCGAATTGATCTGCTTTGCCTTTTCCATCCCATGCAAACTCGTGTGTGTTGTGCAACGCGTTCGCACATAGCTAGGATATTGGATTGTGGAGGATTTAGTCGATAGGCCGTACGAAACATACCCTCGGGGAGGTCTTTACTATTTGGTGAGAAGCTCTGTTGTACCTTAATCTTCTAGTTAAACCCAAACTTTTGCATCTAGCGCCGGGGCTTGGGCTGGCTGCAAGACGCTGGGATCCAAGTAATCCTGGATCATCATGCATTGCCCGGGGTTCAAACGGCCAAGCAAATGTTTACCGGAAAGTAAGCTCTCACTTGTTCACCATTTATTTTTGTTCTGTACTGAGGATGACTTTTACCAGTTGTACTACTGATGTTCAATTTTACGTGAGGCATTTTGTAATCGGTAAAAGCAATAACTATAATCCCTTGCATACAGACTCCATACAACTACCAGCGTGCACTGGTGTGGACAGCGGTCATGACTTCGCTTTCTCACTTGGACCCTCAGTTTGCAAATGTATTTGCGATCCAGGCAGCCAATGAGCCCATTAATGATGCGAATCAGACACCTAACTATGGCACCTGTATGTATCACTCATCAGAAGTTCGGTTATTTGCGGTCTTACGAATTCTGAATCTTCATACAGTCCAAGAGAACTTCGTTCAGATAGTCCGTGCTGTTGAACTCACACTCGGAATATCTGTGCCGTCGTCTAATTTATCGGTATCGGTATCAGCTTCCGTCTCAAACAACTTCACTGCTGCATTGAGTGAGACATCCTTGGAGACCATCTTCCCAGCGGAGGTGCAAGCAGCACTTTCAGAAGCGGTTCCAATTATAATGGGAATTGGAGCAACATACGGTCTGCAGACCATATTCGAAGCATCACCCTTCAAGAAGTCCGGTACTCCATTGGTAACGAAGTGAGTTTTCTACATGTTCTTGCTAGGATACATTGACAACGGCATGCAAAGCTTCATGGATGTGAATTGGCAGTACGACAACCCCTCTAACCCAGCTGATGTTGCGATTGGCCCCCAAGCTTACGACGACCACGTGTATTATTCGTGAGTGCGCAGTCAACTGCATCATATTATCATGATTAATTCTCTCTACAGGTCGGCCGTATGTCGTGTGCATGTAGCTTATTGCTTCTTGTTGACAATTTTATATAGGGAAATGACTCAACATCATACATGCTCAGTATCTGCAGTACCTCTTCTTCGTTGATTCGGTAATGGCGTACTCATTTGTGGTAAAGATTTTCCAGGAATCCAGGCTGACGCAGCACTCGGCAACTCTCCGCTCTGGATCGGAGAGTGGTCACTCGATACAGAGTTCAATGCCACGGACGCGTTTCTTTATCAGTGGGCTGACGCACAGAAGATGGCCTACAGTAAAGGTGCCGGATGGATTGTACGTGTCTCGTAGTGTTTGATCAAGACGTCACATAAAAAAAAATTAGTACTGGAACTTCAAGATCGAGATATCAAACCTTACCAATGGGAGTGCCCGTGCAAGGCAATGGTAAGTCAGACGCATACCAGGTACTTTATGAATGACCTGACGATTATCTAGGTCATACCTTGAGGGGTTGGAACTCGGTTTCTTTACCCAGGACCCCGCGGCGTACAACAATCCAAACGTGTGTGCTCCATACACGAACAGCACCTCGAACAGCATCTCGAACAGCACCTCGAACAGTACCTCGAGCAGCACTTCGCACGGCAACTCGCATAGCACCAGTTCAAGTCCACCTATATCGATCCCTGCCACAGGTTCAGGTTATCAACCATTCCTATATTCTATGTTCTTATTATTATTGATGTTCCTTTGAGCATGCCAAAATTTTGGTTCATTTGCTATCGCACTTTTTTTTGTACAACGGTGTAGAGGATAGGGCCGAACTTCTTCGGCAAGGACTTTGTTTATCATAGATTAGCATTTGCTCTCATTTCGCAGAATCCTTTATATGATGTGGTGGCATAAATTAAAGCGAATGACAAGTCACGATACCACTGAATTCTGGGTTGGGTCCCAGAGTAGCACAGATGTCACTACATATTTGCGACACCCCTTCAGACTGAAACTGTGCTCGCAACACCAGTATGCAATCATGGTCCAGACGATGCGTCAGAGAAATGCAACTCAACTCTTTATATGCACAGCATACGATAAGTATATTCCAACGCCATCCTCTAACCCTATCGGAGCAATTCGTAGTGGCGACGAAGAAGCAGAGGAACATCGTGAAAAGCATTACAAGGTCGCGGCTGCGAAAATATTCGACTTTTGCGAGATTTCGATGAAAAGTTGACATCCCTTGCCAGTTGAGGTAGAGACCGTGAATGTGATGGAGGAATTGGTAACTTAGCTATGGGTTTATTAGGTAATTTCATTAAAGCTCGAAAAGTCTATTTTCTTTCGACACGATTTCGAACAGTATCGTAATGTCCACTTCTCTGCTCGTTCCCCTACATGTTGCATATATCAGAACTCTTGGAGATGTTGGTTCTTCGATTCTTACTCAGTGAACTGATTTCTAAGCTCTCGAGCAGAACAAAAATGAACTGTCTTATCACCTCTCGGCTCACCTAAGGATGAACGCAGTGTACTGGGGCCTGACTGCTCTTTTGATCATGGGACATGGTGATGCGTTGGACCGTGATGAGATGATAGATTTTGTTATGAGCTGCTGGGATGAAGAGGCAGGTCTGTTCTCATCAAGAGATCCATGCTATCTCGAGCTCACATTCCGCAGGCGCTTTTGGCGCTCATCCTGATCATGACGCGCACCTGCTTTCTACTCTCAGCGCAATACAAATTTTGTTGATGCAAAATGCGCTCAATAGAGTCGATGTCGACCGCGTTGTGAAATGTGCCTTGTTTATCTATTGTCCAGTGGTTTGACATCACTGATATAGCTCAGTCATCTTATCTTTGCAGCAACCTTCTGGAACTTTTGCGGGTGACGCCTTTGGCGAGACTGATACACGATTTTTGTATTGTGCAGTCAATGCTCTCTCGCTTCTTGGAAAGCTTGATGAGCTAGACGTCGAGAAAACGGTCGCATATATCAGACGTTGCAGGAATTTCGATGGTGGATTTGGAGCCGTTGCGGGCGCGGAAAGTCACTCTGCACAAGGTGAGCATTCCGACATACATAATTTCAGAACGCTGGAGCGCCATAGTATTCGTGTGCGTTGCGGCGCTCGCTATTATGGACAGATTGGATGAGATCGATCAGCCGACCCTGTGTTGGTGGCTATCCGAACGACAAATGCCGAATGGAGGTCTTAACGGGCGCCCCGAAAAGCTGCCAGATGTGAGCTTCTGTACACATGACTACTCCTCAGTGTTCCTGATTCTCTATTTACAGGTTTGCTACAGCTTCTGGGTGCTATCTGCCCTTTCTATTCTTGACAAGCTCACATGGATAGATCCAAGTAAACTGGAGACCTTCATTCTCTCTGCGCAAGATACTGAGTCGGGAGGCATCGCCGACCGCCCAGGCGATATGCCTGATGTCTTCCATACAATATTTGGCTTGGCCGGTGCGTAAGATGGTCTAATACCAGAACCGACCTCGATCCATCTTCTCAACAGGTCTGTCATTATTGGGATACCCGGCACTAGTGGACCTTGACCCGGTGTACTGCATGCCTGCTGGTATCATTGAAAATTTGGGTCTCAGGAAGGGGTGGAAGGCTTTGCAGAGAAGGACTTCGTGATTTGCGCTTGGATTGGGGTTACATATGGCGAGAAATTTACTGGAAGAAGTGACCAGACTCTGACAGCGTCTGAAATTAGAATTTGTACAGTATTTTCCTGGATTATATATAAGTAAGATACGTAGCGCTGGAAGGCTGTTCTCGCACTCGGTCTCAGGCTAGTGACTCGGAACACTGAGCGCTAAACTCACTTATGCACCGGTGTCTGCACCTCGAAGAAATTTTGCAGGAAATCTTCAAAAATGCTGATTATCGGTCGTTGACGGTTCTCGTCAGGACATGTCGATTGTTCTATGACCCCGCACTGAATGTCATTTACTCTGATATTTCAGGACTCCAGCCGTTAATCGAGCGTTTATCCCACGATTTGTGGTCAACCAGCTCCGGCGAATTGGTGATTGTTTAAACGAAAGATCCTGAAAACTCCTCTGACTGGCTACTGTGTCTAGGTTATCCGAGGACCCTTACGCCCCCAGGATTGGGAAGTCTTTGCAAGCTATTCTCGCCGGGTTCGTAGCCTACGGCTTAGATGGTTTGAGAGCGATGCCAAGCTTTATCGCGCCCTTTTGTCGCCTCCCAATCCCTCGTTTCTTCTACCCAACCTTCGTACATTCACCTGGCACTGTCTCAGCACCCGCTCTGCTGGACTGGATGACATGATTGCTTTCATGCGTTTGCTCTTCTGCCACAACCTCGCGGCAGCGCACTTCATCGTATCTGAATATGCTCTTACTGCATTCTCTGATATTGGATGCACCTCGCTTAAGAAGCTAGTCATCCAAAGTCACAAAGTTGCTATCAGTGCAAATGTCACAGAAGATGCGATATGCAAACTCTCCGCTTTGAGATCTCTCACGTGCGGGGAAGTCTCAGTCAGAGCTCTTCATCGCTTGGCGCAATTTCCACTGTTGAGCCGCTTGACCATTTCGCTTGATAACGATATCCCATCGGCACTCAACTTTCCAAGGTTTCCATTTAGCAAACTTCGTTATCTGACGATCAATACTAAATCTATCGGTCCGTGCCTCTCTATGCTCAAAGCGACCAACTGGAACATACGCTGTTTCCACCATCGGATGGACGCGGGGTATGATCCCGCTGGACGCAAGGTGTTACTGGAACTGCTTCCCTTGCAGCTCTCGCACGAGTCCCTGAATTGTATTTCCCTGCAAACCGCCTCTCCTCATCAAGACGACGACCCTGCCACAAATCTCATTTCATTGAAGCCGCTTTTCATCTTCAAGAATCTGTTGATACTAGAACTCAACCTGAGCGGAGCTATCCTCCCAGAACTCGATAACGACGGCTTACAAAAACTCGCTGTTTCGTGGCCGCGGTTGCGGGTTCTCATCCTGAATCAGAAAGCAGGGCTGTATCGTGTTCCACAAGTAGATCTCACAGGGCTTGTTATACTCCTGGAACATTGTCCCGAACTACATCAGCTCGTCCTTTCAGTAAATGCAATCATCGACACTAAGGCACCTCCCACGCCTCCGATAAGCAGCGTGAGCAATAAGCTCATTACCACCATCAATTTTTCCAATTCGCCGATTACAAAAACAGCAGAAGTTGCGGCGTTTCTGTCTGCTATCGTGCCCAACCTCCGAGAAACGTTGTCTTGGACAGGAGAGGTGACCTGCCCTGCTGGGAGCGTTCAAGAGTATCGGAAGCGGTGGGACGATGTAGCAGAGTTGGTCTGTGTATTTGCAGAGGTGCGGAAGCAGGAAAGGGTGGCCTGTATGCACGCACTCAAGAGTGAAGTGGTGCGTAAATAATCTCCTTGTGCATCACGTTGCTACTGGCGTTCTATGGGCCAGACAGCAAAGGATGCTGCACTTCTTGGGCGCTTCTATTCATCCCAGAGTGCGGCTTGGGGCATCTGGTCTAGGTGCGCAGAACTGTATTATGTAGCACGAGACTTTCTTCGACACAATCGACAATCTGTATATTGGCTTTATGTACATACCACTGCATACCTCAGACTCCCTCAGGAAGAGTACTCATGGTAGACTTCAGACAAAGCGTTAATCAATTTGAATCCTTCATGAATATTTCTATGCATTTACTGCAACTGGTGGTCAGATAAAATTGGCCGAGTTTCATTTTCAAAGGCTTTGGAAGGTTATCGAAGGGACGGGAAAACTGATTAGGTAGTGCAGTCACACGTGGCCATCTCAGCAGGACGCGCGTCGCCTCTTCGCCAGTACAAAAGCTGACCTTGCCCTTTAACATTGATAACACTCTCCTTGCTAGACCATCATAATGGCTGACCCCAGCGGTGCTGCACCACAACCAGGTCCAAATGACACTTCTACTGCAATCCTGCGGCCAAAGAAATCGTATGTTACAACAGAGATCTCTATGACATACAACTGACGTCTATAGACCAAATCGTCTCATTGTCGACGAGGCTACTTCAGATGATAACTCCGGTATATATATACATATGAATGCTGTTGGGTATTTGTCTGATCTTCTTTGGACAGTTGCAACTTTGAATCCTGCGACCATGGAGCTTCTGCAACTTTTCCGGGGCGACACTATCATCGTGAGGTACGTATCGTGAACTCTGCACAACAAAATATCCTAAACAACGTGGCATGCAGGGGAAAGAAACGTCGTGACACTGTTCTCATCTGCCTGAGCTCCGATGATGTCGAGGAAGGTCGGATTCAGGTGAACAAGGTTGCCCGGAATAACTTACGCGTGAAGCTTGGCGATCTTGTCAATGTCCATCAATGTTTGGACATAAAATACGGCAAGCGGATACACGTCTTGCCATTTGACGACTCCATTGAAGGTCTCAGTGGTAACATCTTCGATGTCTACCTCAAACCCTACTTCCTCGAAGGTGTGTATACTTCGGTCGATAGTTATGGTCAACAAACTTATACCCCCCAGCATACCGGCCAGTCCGTAAGGGCGATACCTTCCTTGTTCGTGGCGGCATGCGGACAGTGGAATTTAAGGTCATCGAGACTGACCCCGCCGAATTTTGCATAGTGGCCCAGGACACTGTCATCCATACTGGTATGTTTGATTACGTGTCTTGTCAGCATGTCCGCTAAACATTACACAGAGGGTGACCCTGTCAAGCGTGAAGACGAGGAAGCAAACCTTGCAGATGTTGGCTATGACGATATCGGTGGTTGTCGAAAGCAGATGGCGCAGATCCGTGAGCTCGTCGAGTTGCCATTACGTCACCCACAGCTCTTCAAGTCCATCGGTATCAAACCACCTCGTGGTATTCTGATGTTCGGTCCCCCTGGTACCGGAAAGACATTGATGGCTCGTGCGGTAGCCAACGAGACTGGCGCCTTTTTCTTCTTGATCAACGGTCCGGAGATCATGAGTAAGATGGCCGGTGAGAGTGAAAGCAACCTACGGAAAGCCTTTGAGGAGGCCGAGAAAAACTCACCTGCTATCATCTTCATTGATGAGATTGACTCCATCGCTCCCAAGCGTGAGAAGGTACGTGAGGATGGTATTGATTCTGTTTTCTCTGACGGTATTATAGACGAACGGTGAAGTCGAGCGTCGCGTTGTATCGCAACTGCTCACTCTCATGGACGGTTTGAAGGCTCGGTCCAATGTTGTTGTCATGGCTGCTACCAACCGGCCAAACTCCATTGACCCTGCCCTTCGTCGCTTTGGTCGTTTCGACCGTGAAGTCGACATTGGTATTCCAGACCCTACTGGTCGTCTGGAGATTCTTCGCATCCATACGAAGAATATGAAGTTGGGCGATGACGTTGATCTTGAGCAGGTAAAGCAAACTGTCAACTTGTATGTCGTACCATTCCTGACGCTTCTATTCAGATCGCTGCCGATACACACGGCTACGTCGGCTCCGACATAGCTTCTCTTTGCTCAGAAGCTGCCATGCAGCAGATTCGTGAAAAGATGGATCTCATTGATCTTGACGAGGACACAATTGACGCCGAAGTGCTGGATTCCCTTGGTGTCACTATGGACAACTTCCGCTTTGCCCTCGGTACCTCCAACCCATCCGCACTTCGCGAGACTGCTGTCGAAGTGCCCACAGTTACCTGGGACGATATTGGTGGTCTCGACAAAGTCAAACTCGAGCTCCAGGAGACTGTGCAATACCCTGTTGAGCATCCCGAGAAGTTCCTCAAATACGGTATGTCCCCATCGAAGGGTGTCTTGTTCTACGGCCCTCCCGGAACGGGTAAGACACTCCTTGCGAAAGCCATCGCAAACGAATGTCAAGCCAACTTCATCAGCATCAAGGGGCCTGAACTACTTACGATGTGGTTCGGTGAATCGGAAGCCAATGTTCGTGATGTGTTCGACAAGGCCCGTGCCGCTGCACCTTGCGTCATGTTCTTCGACGAGCTTGACTCCATCGCCAAGGCACGTGGCGGCTCATCGGGCGACGGAGGAGGTGCAGGGGACCGTGTTCTCAACCAGATATTGACGGAGATGGATGGTATGAACGCCAAGAAAAACGTCTTCATCATCGGCGCCACTAACCGTCCTGATCAAATCGACTCTGCCCTACTCCGTCCTGGACGTCTCGACCAGCTCATCTACATTCCCTTGCCCGATGAGGTCTCTCGCTTGGCTATTCTGAAGGCAGCCCTGAAGAAGTCCCCCATTGCCCAAGATGTGGACCTTGCGTTCCTGGCGAAGCAGACTCATGGCTTCTCCGGTGCTGATCTCACTGAGATCTGTCAGCGTGCCGCAAAGTTAGCCATCCGCGAAAGTATTGAGTCTGACATCAGGAGACAGCGTGAGCAGAAGGAGAAGGAGGACGCTGAGGACGCCAAGATGGAAGAAGATGAGGAAGATCCTGTTCCTGAGATCACAAAAGATCACTTCGAGGAGGCGATGAAGTATGCTCGTCGGTCGGTGTCAGACCAAGACATCAGGCGGTACGAGATGTTCTCCCAGGTATGATCTCTCACTCGCTATACATCAATTGGCTGATCTATCTCTTTCAGAACCTGCAACAATCACGTGGATTCGGTAACAACTTCCGATTCCCAGAGGGCGCCGCACCCTCTGCTGGCGGCGCACCATCAGCGCCCACTGGCAACACTGGTTTCACAGATGACTCGCAGGATGATGACTTGTACGCATAGGGAATGTTTCACATGTCTGTTGTCAATAAATCATAGACTGCTCACCCAACCACTTTGTATATTATGGAAAGGAGTAATATTTGAAACCTCGGACTGCTGTACTAGTAGAACGGCTTTTGAGCGCGGAATTGCTGACTTGGCGATGAGACACGGATATTGCGAGACATTTCTTGACAGTTCTTATTCGACCCCGTTATTATTACTGAGAAACATGATCCCGATGCCTGAGTACTACCTGCACTGCGATGAAACATGAGCACCCAATTGCAGCCATAATCTGTTTTGGCTGAGCGTTGTTCATGAGCAGGATATGGCACATCTCACCCCATTAAAAACTGCGCCGCGCCACCAGATGTAATCACCTGTTAATAATGCTCCTGATATCGGTGGGCCTTAGTTGTACACGGTACACCTTGACTCAGTAAAATGAGTATCACTCGTGGGATGCCTATTTACCTATCAACCCTCCGAGAGCTTGGGTTCATATCAGCACAGGATCGAGCTGAAAGCAATCTAATATTTACCCATAAAGGCATAGGAAATGCCCATGCGGGCTCTGTGAACCGGTCACACATCTCGTTGCAAACGTGCTTTTAGGAATTGGCGTACCCTAGGTCAGATGGGTCTGGCGATAAGACAGCCAGAATCGGTGCCCATAGCGCTTGAACTAGAGAAAAAAGCGGTGAGTGGTATGGTTAGCCATGGTATGTCGACTCACAAATTCCAGCGCTGTACCCGTAAAGAATACCAATTACCACCACACTGGCTAGGGTGCGTAACCCGATCAAGGCAAAAAGTAAGACAGTGCCAGAAAACGTGGCAACCGTCATGACTCCTGGGACACCAAAGTATTCAACGAGCAAGCCACTTGTTAGCTGTCCTACAAAACTCGATGTGTTCATGATTACAAGCTGACAGTATCAATATATCTTCAGAAATGAGGGTCGTTGAACTCAACTGAATAGAAGGAGAATGTTTTGCTGAGACCATGCAAAGTGGAGTCGAGCTGAAGGTAGAATAGGGGATAGTAGAATCCAACAGCAAAAATGGTTAATCTAATCAAAACAAGATGAATTTACCCTTTGTTAAATCTGCGCGAACGTACCCCGCAGTTCCACATATATATGCGGAATCATGAGCACATTTCCTTGCGGTTGCAAGAAATGTTGTTGATGCCTTAGATGGGGGGAACCTCGGCTTGATCAGGAAACATGCTATGAACAGCAAACCGCTAATGAGGGCAGCGCTAGCCCTAACTCCATTTGCAAATCCAATGCGGCCATTCAGGGTATTGTTTAACATGATTGGATGCACCACAGCGCCTAGGCAAGCTCCTGAAGCGACGAAAGTCATCACCAATTCACGTCGTTTGTGAAAATACTGCGAAACAACAGCCATACAGGGGATATAGAGCAAACCGGCAGCGCAGCCTGACCCGATGCCCTGCGAAAGGAATACCTGTCACTATGATCAGCAACTGATCCGTAAGATGAGCAATATGTGCTTGCTTGGTAGTACTGATCAGGTTTGGCGAGTGACAGCATGAAAAGCGAGACTGCTTGAAGAAGAGATGCGCCTATAACCAATTGACGGCTTCCGACATTTCATACTTATGAGTACCATGCGCGGAAGACCACGCTGCGGATTTGACTTACACATATCCTCGATCATAAAGCTGCCCACTTACCAAGCCACAAATTTCGAAAAGAAAGGCGTTGATACTGCCGATCCAGCTAGAAGCAAATTAAAGGAGAAACACGGGTGCCGAAGGAGTAGAACGCACGCAATTGTTGAGGGAGATTGGTTCGTTATGTAAGTCCGACTATAGAAATCTTTCAATCAAAGTCACACCCTAGCTCCTTCTGTGAACATTGGATCTTACCTTGATAAACGCCAAACGACATCGTGTATCTGAAGACGTTCAATGGAACTGCCTCGTGAAAATAGCTTTAAAACTGACCCATACGTGCAAAATTGCACAAGAAAGCTATGGGAAAGGTTGATTGTCACAAGCGTTGGGACGGTACTCAGCAGCTATCTTACCCTCCAAATGCAGTAGCCCAAGCTCTAAACCCGCCTTCTGGAAAATAGTCAGGTGAGCACTCCTCTGGGCTGAGTGGCTTTTTAGAATCCGGGTCCTCGGTTGTGATGACGGGTAAGTCTATGTGATCCATCTCAAGTTGGCACTCGGAATGACAAAGCACAGTCGCAAGTGGGTCAACGTTAACGCGAGCCAAGACGTCTGCTGCCCGTACGTTTCAAGTTGAAAATTGGTTCCGCAGATTATCAAAGCCAAGTGAGTCTTGCCACCGGGTCCGGTTATGTCGTAATAAGCGAATTGACCAAAGTGATTTGGATATTTATGGATCTTAAATTTCATCATAGTATCACTCAGGCTGGTATCATACCAAGTCAAGCCATCATCGAGGGCCCTTTTGGGCCTGTGATTGGTACTGGGCTGTATATACTACTAGTAGTAGCCACGACTACTGGGTTCACTGTGGCCACGGTTGTCTGCATTCTTCCGGTACCGTTGCACCTGGGCGCAATCAATGAAGGCGTGTACAACTCCATTATTTCTTGAAGTTACATTGGATGCGGAACTAATATCTGCGGGCCTAGTGGATATCACGGGCGACATCATGTATTGAGGTCATTTGTAATTATAACCCTATCTGGGTTTACAAGTCCTTTCACAGGAAAAAAAAACCGCGTTGTTTTGTCTGGTAGCTTGACTTGCCATGATCGTCACCAGCAAGCTCTGTCATTGCGAGAAAACCGGTAAACACACCACAATCACGTTCATGCAGTTACCATGTTAAAAAGTCACTACAATACACTTCAAGCCCCATCAAGCTTCACTCTGTCCTGCCATGCTACAGCTAACTGACTTGCAATTGTTCGATCACGCTCAATTTTTCGTTGCCGCAACTTGTTTGGGTGTAACAGCTTTGATATATCATGCATACCTCTCTAGCAGAGAGAGCAGCCTCTCCTGTCCTCCGTCCCCTCCCACGTGGAGACTTCTAGGCCATCTCATACCCCATCGCAAGTAAGTGTCAATCTAACCGCAATCTTGGTTGTTTCACAATGTTATTTAGCGGATTTATGACAGTAGAATCATGGATTGAAGAGCGTGGTTCCCTCATCACCCTACGTGCAGGAATTGAGAAGTACATCGTTATTGGTCGATATAAAGTATGTCCTACCGTGGGCATGAAGTTCTGAGTACCAACACATAGTACACAATACAGGCTGCAGCAGAAATTATGGAAAAACACGGTGCATCTCTGGTCGATCGACCTCGTTTCATTGCTGCTGGAGAGTTGCTTGGCGATGGGATGTTGATTCCCTGTGTTCCCGCTGGCGAGAGATTCCGTCGGCTGCGCAGGCTCGTCTTTTTCTATAATGCGGAAATATCAATCTAACGGCTCTCTCTTTTCTTCGTTTAGAGCTATACACACTCATCTCCAGCCAAAAGCAGCCCAGGCATATCAACCGCTTCAGATCTCATACGCAAAGAACACTGTCATTAACATCCTCAATGATCCACACAATTTCCAGGATCATGCGCGATCGTAGGTCCCAGGTCATACATATAGCATGGCATTGCTGATCAACGGACTGAAGTTACGCAGCAGCAACGAGCATGAAAATTGCATATGGGAAGACCACGTCTACATCTGCGACAGATCCCGAAGTGAAATGTGTCACTGCGTTTGCCGATAAATTCCGTGCTGCATTGCATCCTGGCGCGTACCTTGTAGATTCGATTCCATGGCTGAAATATCTTCCTTGGTATGCGAGAGAACTACGTGACAGCTGTCGAGAGTCGCAGAAGCTCTTCATCGACCAACTCAATCGTCTCAAACAGGAGTCGGTAAGTATGTTTAATCAAATTCAATAATTGCTAGAATGCTCGATAGCAGGGAGGTGGCGAAGCTAGTCCTTCGCTCGGAAAATATCTCTTGGAAAAGAACAATTTCAACGGAATGCCCGAGCTGGAGATGGCTTACCTTGCTGGTGCTGTTTTTGCAGCTGGATCCGACACGGTAAGCTCATGCATCAATGCTTTCAAATTTGGCTAGATTCAGGCGTTATAGACAACTCTCGCGATATGCACAGTACTAATGGCGGCTGCCTGTTTCCCTGAGGAACAGCGTAAAGTTCATGAAGAGCTGAACGCGGCCATCGGGATCAACAGAGGTAAGATGATCGTGCGTGTGGTTGTGGTATTGATCCAAGAGCTGACTTCACCCTAGCACCCGCATTCACTGACAAGGAATCACTTCCCCGTCTTCATGCCTTCGTTTCGGAGGCCCTGCGATGGAGGCCGTTGATACCTATGGGTAATTACGTCCCGTCCTTCTAGTTGATGTCTATAGCTTACCTGCATAAAGGTATACCACATCGCACGACGCAGGTGGTTGTTTTTGTGGGCACCCTTTGTCATTCTGTCGAAGCTAGATCTGACAGTGTAAACAGGAAAATTATCGTATTCCAGCCGGGACAACGGTATTTGGCAATCACTGGTCAGCGCCCTCCATTCAAATATGATTGAGCTAATAGCCGTTCCAGGGCCATCTCTCGTGATCCAGACGTCTTCCCAGACCCTAACGCATTCAAGCCTGATCGTTGGATTGATACCGAAGGACGTATGAGAGATGATCTCAAGTTCTTTGCATTCGGCTTTGGTCGGCGGTAGGCACCTTCTTTGTGCGGCTGGTCATGTTCTCATCCTCTTCACTTCTAGAGTGTGCCCCGGACAACATGTCGCAAACAGGTAATGTTACACAGTTCATCCATACCCACGTGTTTTGATCAATGTGTGGCATAGCTCGGTGTTCATAAACGCGGTACTTGTCCTTTGGGCCTTCCAGCTCACGCTGGATCGTACGAAGCCGTTGGACGATATGGCTTTCATGAATGGCATTTCCCCGAATGAGCAGCCATGTACGATTGATTTTCAGACGAGAATTCCGGAGGCTGAGCTCAGGCGTATAATGGGGAGGGATGCTGGGGACATTTGAGGAATCAAGTATCTGGGCACCGGGCGTTCTACTTTCACTAGACTCGGAACCAGTCTGCTGTGTGGCAGCACTGTGGCTCCGTGGTAGCGCCGTAGCGGAGCCAGCCTGGTAACGATCCACCGCTTTTGCCTCGAAGTACACCAATACTAGAATCTCCTTTGATTGTCTACGTTTATTTCAACGAAAGGGAGAAGAAGACTGTTGAAAAAGTAAATCAATTGTCTGATACCAAAAATACCCGCGTCCTAAATTCGTTGTACACAAATAAATTTCACGTTCCGATGGTTGTTCCAGCGGGAATAAGGTTATATGCTAGGTTTAAATGCTTCACGTGATTTCGGGTTCTTCTCGAAGTGGTGGGAAGGACGGACTCCGAAGGAGCCTGTGTAATCACTCAATTCATGATTGGTTCGGACTCATCTTTATATTGTTTATAACGTCGTATATCTAGAGCACTTCAGCTGGGAATATCTGAGTCTCACCAGTTCACTGATGACGGTCGTCAGTCAGCAACATGCATCAACATATGGAGGGAACGACAGCTAACTCAGAAGCCAATGACTTCCCGATCTCCGATGTGATTGGTGCACTGCAAAACATTGTGAGTGCTGAGTTATAGCCTAAGGTGGTATATGGGAGTACTAATAATCAATTGCTTTAGTTGGTACATTCACGAGTGATCGTACGTTGATTCCGGCAATACCAGGTTAGTATACTATATCGACGATGACTACCGCAGATTCCAGACCTTGAAACCCCATATTCCACATTTCCTAATACCCACCAATCTGCCATCGGCCGTGGTGAGAGCATCAGCGCTGTCATCACCGAACGTCGGCACCAATTGAATGCAGTTTTGCAAGAGGTCTCAGGGCTGGAAATCGTCATGGATAATATGAAGGATCTTTACCAGCAGCTCCTCAAAAAGAGGGCCAAGATTATCCACTCCATGAACTTGCACAGGGGACTCGTATCGGCACTCTGGTGCTTTCCATCCGAAGTATTATCCCTCATTTTTGTCCATTGTCTCCCAGAAACCGAACACTTGTTGCCCTCCTCAAATTCGGCCCCCATACTGCTGACCAGAATATGCCGAAGGTGGAGGGAGGTTGCTCTAGGGACGTCCATTTTATGGTGTGGAGTACAGATTGTGGACATCGGTGACGAAGATCGGCAGCAAGCAGCCTTGTCACGGTGCTATGGCACATGGCTCAAGCGATCGCGAGACCGTTCACTCGCATTAGCGCTCAAGTGCTTCAAAAATGATGCGACCGACCTACGAAACATTCTTAAGCCTCACACGAGCAAAATCTTGTCTCTTCATATCATAATATTCGTCAACCCCTTCAATGCCAATCTTTTGTTAAATGATCTCTCGGCACTGCAGGAGCTTACCATATCCACATCTGATCCTTTGTGGTGCACACCAAGTATCGTACAATCCATCTCGCGACTACCGTCCACCTTGCGCAGGTTCAGGGTAGCTGGGCCATCCGCATTCGACTATGACCGCATACTATCTTGCAATCCCGTATGGGCCCATCTGACGCATATCGAGATCGCTATCTGTCAACCCAACCTAATCCTCCAGTTGCTCCAGCTAGGTCCCAACCTCTCCTCGATAGCGATTGGCCTAGGCTTTTACAACGAAGTTCCATTAACGTTTGAGTCATTCACGCACACGAACCTTCAGTCCTTCCGCATTAGTAATGCATCCCCGATGCGCATGGGAAATTTGTTCCCTGACTTGTTCAATGCACTCACACTTCCTAATTTACGCGTACTTGAAGCTCGTTATATACGGCCGTGGCCACACGAGGAGTTGAAGACATTTTTGGCACGGTCAAGTTGCCCTTTGGAGAGCCTGATTTTCGGCACTGGAGTTGCGGCGACAGACGAGCAGCGAGAGGAATACATTGTTCTCATTCCTTTCCTTGACATAGTAGTAGACCACAGGCGTGGTGGTTACTTTGGATATCGCCACTTCGAGATAACATCATGGCATTTGCGGAAGGAGACATGACCTGGTGTTGTACGGTTTTTGCGTAGGCCTAGCTACTACTAGTAGTTGTTGCAGAGTAACTTCAGGCATTAACGATGTCGTAGGTAGCATTCGTCACTAGCCTGATGTTGAGGTGTTGAGTCTCCGAAGTTAGTTGAAGCCACATCAGAATCAGTCTGCTAGATGCAGGCTAGCCACTGCCGCTTCACGGCTAAGAAGTCGAGGTAAATCAATCTATCATATACGTACAAAGTTCGAACTCAGTCGTACGGGAATCAGCCCTACACTTGACCATCATGTGAGGCAGCTTTCATAATGCGCCATGTGTCATCCCCAGGGTCGCATTTCCTCAGGCTGTCGTAGTCGTACCAAACAAGCACGCTATCCGAGTCCGCAACGACCGCTTGTTGTTCATACGAATAAAGCGCAGCGTTCAGAGTAAAATGCGTGCGGCTCGAAGAGATGATCGGCTTGTGACCAACCAAAAGCTGCTCATGGTTATGAGACAAATCTCTAAACTAATATTTCGAGGAAATCTCACTGTGTCAGGAAACGTCACCGGTCTTCTAAAGTTAATGTTTGCTGATTTGAGTATGAGTGAGACGCCCTGACCCGCGAGCATCGCCTTGACACGGTCCTCACCCCCGAGAACTTTTCCGAGGGCCATGAGCCATACCATGCGACCCTAGCCAAGCTTCAGTACATACGAACTTTGGCAATAACCTGCACATGCTGACCGATTCGATAAATCGCACTGTATATTGACAGTGGCAGATTCGTGAGCGACCCTTGTAGTTCCTGTTCAAAGAAAATCGGAACCCTTACGGTAGTGTGCATTGTTAACGTGTCTATAGTGAGAGAGATGATGAACCTGCCCTTCGACGTCTATAAGGTGCCTACCGAAATGAGTCATGGTGCCCCCATGCAATACTCTGCTCCCATAACGACCCTGAATCATAACCCATAGAAATCAGCTTAGCTCTGGCGTTCTCTGCCAACGAGCCAACTATAGTGGGGTCGCTAGACTGGGACTGGGATGGTGTAGGGTCTGGAAGTGAGGGAGAATCCGGGGATTCAGGACCTGCCTGTCCTGGAACAATATGAAATGGCGACGACGGGTCTCGGAAAGCATCTTGAAGAGACTACAGCAAGCAGAATTTCAGACTCACACGAGGATAACCACCGAAATTTTATAAATCACCTTGATCGATGAGCCACTCAAGGATGCTGTCTGAGTTAAAGAACGCGGTTGTCTAGAGCGCAGAAGAATGCGTGCATGTGCCAATGCGCAAGCCTCGAGTCGTTTCGAAGAGAACATAACTTGAAGTAGTAATGTCGGCGCCAAATACAGGATGAAATACAAATAAATTTCCTTTTCTGGCAGGTCAGTACACAGCCTATATGATTATCGACAGTTTGCCCCCGGACTGTCACAAGTCTACAGCCTGAGTACTGCAACCGCGCACTGAGGTAGCAGAATGACTGGCAGTCTCAGCAGGTCCGACATACTCACTTTTTCAATTAAATTTTCTGAATCATATGGATCTCGGCTGATCGATTTTTTTTGTCAGAGTGCTCTATCTTTCTTTTCTGCGGTTTTCCGAGGTCGCTCTCAGCTTTAAGCACGGTAGCCTCGGCCCTCAGTTATCCGAGTCAAGTTGGTGACTCGCCGCATGATCTAGTATGTGTCCGAAGCTCGAACTTCGAGAGATAAACTCTGCGCCTGAAGTTATTTTACTTATTTGTTCTGCAGTCCACCATTTTTTGACCAGCTGATGATACGGCGCCCATTGATATCCCTGCAAATTTCCAATTTCCCCGTGCCAGTGCGTTGAAGCCGCCCGAATTCGGTTGATTTTCTGAGATTTTGTTATCATAGATCATAGAATTCCTGTGGTGATCATTCTGGCATTTTCCTGTCTGAGTTCCATACTGCGGTTCTGCATACAAGGGTTGCGATGAATCAAAGCGCTTCTCGAAGCATCCATTGGACAGACTCTGATATCATGCGGTGCGCGATAACGATGCTCTAATCGATAACGCTGTACAAATCTGCGCATAGAATCAAGTTAAAAGCTCGTATCCTGTGCTCTTCAGCCAAGCCCTTGTCTGACCAAATCTTCACATCATCCATCGGTATTATAGCCCCACCTCTCATCTACTATGAAAGGTCACTGACGATAGCTTTTAGCAGTAGCCTTCGGACGGCGTAGACGGCTCAATGCACAAATGTCTTCAGATCGCAGAGTTATTCGATGTCGTTTGCAAACGAGTTCTTGCAACTGGGCATCAGGGATCCCTCGCAGCTCTCTGTAGAACTTGCCGCCTTTTCCATGAACCTGCTCTCGACGTACTTTATAGATCGCTGGAAAGTCTTCATCCACTGCTTTTTTGCATCCCCACAATCGTTACCATCGGAAATAAGATCGTGAGTGCTGACTCACAGCGGTTCGCGACAGTATGCTGAAATAACGTATATGTAGACTACGTTCAAAGAGTTATGCATTTCGGACTGGCAGCGAATGCAGTACTACGCCAAAAGAGTTCATTCACTCAGGGTCAATGACCAAGAAGAGGTAGTCATCGACAGGACCATCCTACATGCACTAGCTACTTCACCCTTCGCACCTCTGATGTTTACTCATCTCAAACGGCTTTGGTGGTCTGATAATTCTGCAGATGCCTTACCACTCCTGTGCTCCTTAGTCAACGCCAGGCTGGAATGGCTAATTTTGCATGACCTGGATCCAATGCTTCTTCCGCATGTTATCCCCCACATCAACTCTAGCAACTCTCTCCGTGTCGCATGTTTCCCCGCGAAATATAGTATGAGGCACATAGACGTGCTCCAGAGTTGGCGTAACTTACAGAATCTTGTCTGCGGTCTAGTCAATGATGCCACGCTTTATCATCTCGCAACATCTTCGAAGCTTACGCATCTAACTATTCAAGTCGATGAGAAGAACGACTACGGTGCCCTCATGAAACTGGCCAGCCAACCAGTATTTACCACCCTTCAGGGGCTCGACATCACCGCGACTCATACGTTACACTGCATCCACATTCTTGAAATCGCCGAGCTACCATCGCTACGCTCCCTCCGTATTCATTCGACGGAAACGGGCTTAACAGATGTTGAGCTGCATCAGTGTTTCAGCATAATCTCATGTCACTGTCCAAGTCTTAGGCATCTACGGATGAAAGAGCTACAAGTATCCCCACCTAAATTCCCTGTCGGTTATACCATCACGTTTGATACCATGAAGACGCTCTTCTCCCTGTGTCATCTGGAGGGGCTGCATCTCGACACGACCTGCACGCTTTCCCTCAACGACAACGATCTTGCGCAACTGGCTGGCACGTGGCTGAAATTGCGTATACTTGAACTGGAGACCGAGAATGGCTGGCGGCAACCAAGCAAGATTACTCTGCAGGGTTTTGCAGAGTTGTTGCGGCGTTGCCCAGTGTTATCGGTAGTCGGTCTTGCTATGAACGCCTGCGCACCGGATATCGACCATCGACGACCTGGAGGAGGAATACGCAGAAATGGCCTAGAAACCTTACGAGTGGCTGATTCAAAGGTCACAGGCCCATTGTCCGTCGCAGCGTTTTTGTCAGATGTTGCACCGAACGCTGAAATAACGGGCTACGAGATCGGGTCTGAGATCGGGTTTGACATATATGGGACGTTCAATACTCGGATGTTGTATCGAGAGAGATGGGAGGAGGTTTCCACGTTGCACCCTCTGCTTGTCAACTTGAGGAGGCAAGAAGGGGTAGGTTTGGGATCGGACGAATAATCCAGAGACTGAGAGTAGTAGTAGAACATGCCAGATCCTGTTTTAGCTTGCAAGTGATAGCCCATGGAGCAATGATGTTACGTCTGTTACTTTTTTACATAGATACATATGCTGACATATGCATGTGTTGATTCCTCTTGACGCTGACGCTTGAAGCTTTCCAGGGGGTTGAAGTGGAGCCTTTTGATTGGTGGAAAGGACTGAGGTGACATGTTCATCAAAACGTAGCGAGCAAGACACGTAGCTCTCGTTACAGTGCTTAATTTCGACTGCCCCACTGCCCCAGCCTAGAGGCTTTTTAGTAGCTGTCACGACGTGTCACTGGCAAATGGGATTACAACGCAACTTCTCCTTACCGTAACCTTTTTCGATGCAAATGTTTAACAGCGTCGACATTTGGGTCTGGAAGTTGGGAGTTTTGGCTTAGAACCTAGCAGATGTTTGCTTAATTCGGGTTGGAAGGTCGGTTTTTTTGTCTGTGCGGAAGAGTGTTGAAAGCAGATTAATATTGCTTATATATAAGTTGACTGCGCCGCTTACTCTGGTTGATCGACAATAACAACCGATAAAATCAATGAAATACTAATATGAATGATCGCCATTGACAGTTCTCCACAGAGAACATTTTTTCTTCTCGGCGCACGCGAAGTATGTCGAGGTCGTTCGAATCAGCTCACGATACGCATGAGGATCTCAAAGACTTACCGCTGCTGGTAGCGGTTCTCCAGAGTCACGGTAGCCTCGGACCGGCATGCTACTTCAAGAAATGATTGATGACTAATCAACACGAGGCGCTACATCCATCCATGAGTAAGTAGTCGGCGTTGGGACGTAGATTCTGTCCGACAACGGTACCATCAACTACAATGCATCCATGTCTATTGGTTTCAGAGATCCTTGTCAATATCTTTGCAGAGGTCAACGAGCGCGACGAAGATGAGGCACCTAGGACTTTGGCTGCCCTTTGTCGTACATGCCGCGTATTTCGGGAGCCTGCCATGAAAGTCCTATGGGCACACCTTGGAACTTTAGTCCCTCTTATCAGATGTATTCCTTGTGTCAAGATTATCAAGAGTAAAGGAAAGTTACAGGATGATCTCCCGACTTTGGTGAGCCTGCAAAGTTCGTTAACGTTGCTGGGCGTCGTCTGAATATCGCCCACAGGGGCTCGAGAGAGAGATGTCCTCTACAGACTGGGATATGTTCCTTTCGCATTCACGTCTTGTACTCACTTGTGGTTATTATGTTTCAAGAAGAGACAAACATCCCGTCCTCAACTCACCTTCACATGATATTGGCGTAGACATCTTACGTGCACTATCATCCCCTCCACCTTCCTCCACCGTTTTCCCTCATTTGAGGAAGATCAGATGGACTGACTCACGCAGAGAATCCATCCGATTTTTTCGCCTAATACTGACACCTGCTCTTGAATTCCTTGATATGTCATCTATAACTGACTCGGTTTATTCTGTCATAATCCCTTCCATCAGCGATGCTTGCCCGTCCCTAAGGATCATGCATCTTCCCAAATGGCCCTTTCTTCACCTTCCTGACATGTTCAACAAATGGCCAAATCTTGCCTATGTGACCTCCGGGCCCCTTGCGGATACTACTATCCAAACACTTGGTCGGCTGGCGCATCTTGCAAGTATGGATATTTGTCTCCATAAGTTGCATGACATAAGGTCACTCGTCGAGAATCCTGGGTTTTCTACCTTGCGCCGGCTCGTACTTCGTGCGTACAACATCAACCTTGTCACGGCGTTCATGCGGCAAGTGAAGTCTGTTCATCTCCGCGAAGTGAAGTGTTATCTACCGCACGGAACAACTGCACTGGGTGTACAGGAATGGATAACAATCCTCCTGGATCGGTGCACGCCAAGAAAACTAGAAATTTTGGAGATCGAAGACTACGCTGACGCTGGCTCAGAATTTCCTGATCAATTCACGCTCACCCCTGACACACTTCGGCTCTTGTCCCGCTTTCGTGGACTCACAACATTGGATCTTGCTACTGCATGCACATATTCGTTGGACGATACCACCTTAACGCAGCTGGCAGTTTGTTGGCCCAATATGCAAAATATTGCGCTGGGAACGCACTGGGGTTGGAGGCAACAGAGTGATGTCACTCTGAAAGGTCTGTTGTCTTTAGTGCGACAATGTCCTCAGCTAGAAAGCATCGGCCTCGTTATGAACGCTGTGACTACAGATATCACATCTCAGAGACCTGGGGGTGGTGTTCGAAGACCCAAAGTCACGAGCCTAAATGTAGGAGACTCGAGAGTCGGTGACCCGCTGGCGGTTGCCGCGTTTCTGTCGGACATCTTCCCACGTTTACTATCAGTTGACGCGTTTAACCATTTGGGGGGCAGGCGGAGACCAATTCCTGCTGCGAAGGAGCACGAAGAAAAGTGGAAAGAAGTGGAAAAGCTTTTACCAGTATTCTCTAACGTTCGCGCTCAGGAACACCACCTTCCTGTGGGACCGAGACGGAAGGCCTTCTTTCTTGAGGAGCTGTATCTTGCTTGAAGAAGCCTTTCAATTAATAAATGTATTTATGAAGTAAAGGTATGTGATACGTGGCAGACTAGAAGATATTCTGACTGATCAGTGACGAGTCTGTTCTTTAGCGTGTGCACATATGCACGTGTATTATTGTTACTGTTCTCTAGCAAGCATATGCATATACGCACGTGTGTAAATGCTCGTGCTCATGCTGGCAGCTGATTTTATCGTAATTTACCGCAACGTACTACTAGTACTACTGGGGATCCGCGAATTTCCTATTTCAGTGCGTACTTGGATCTATATTTCCTATTCTGTAATATACGCTTCGTTTGAAGGGCTACATATCTGCATACTAGCACGCCTGAGGCAGTACTTTTCCACGATCTTGTTGTCGACTACTCTTCAGATGCTAAGTGAACTATATGCATGATGATCAATCGAAGTGCTAGGCAAGTAGTAATTCGTTGGCTTCGGGCTACCTGTGACGACCTGTCTAGATCGTCGATGCGTTTCCATCAGGATCGTATCACGGACCCGCTACATCGAGGCCATCCGTGTTTCAACACGTGTGATTACATCACAAACTAGTCACTATGCCGTCCGAAGGTTCAAGAACGAGAAACAGCCCGATTTACTACGGGAACCTTGTATTCAATTCATGGGAGCCTCATGCTTACGGGACTCTATTTCTGGACAGCATTCCACTATGTGTATATAAACAAAGGAAGCCGCCGTGCTAGCATTCCAACGCCAGATCAACCTGTTCCAGTCGAGGCAAAGCTGATATGACATCCATTGTTGCTGCCCTTCTGGCTGCTACCGCTGTCTGGGCATCTCCACCTATCAGCACGCGACAGAGTATTACGCCTCTGACAACATCCCAGATCGACCAATTCACTCCGTATACCTATTATGCCAGCGCAGGGTACTGCACGAACACGCAGACGCTCGCATGGGACTGTGGCAGTGAGTGGCCACATGCACCTACTCGACCGTGTTGTTGTCTGATGAGTCTGATGGATGATGTTTGAACAGCTAACTGTGATGCCAATCCGAAATTTAAACCGGTTGCCTCCGGAGGTAATGGTGACTCAGTTCAGTACTGTGAGTATTATTGTCCCAAACCTCGAGTTGAGATATTCTCTCGATGACCGAAACCAACAGGGTTCGTCGGATATGACCCAACTTTGAATACGGTGATCGTCTCTCACCAGGGCACCAACCCCTCGGAAATGTGAGTCACTTCTTCTGGCTCCCTGAAACTTTGTACTGATGTACGTTTTGCCAGTTTGCCTCTCGTCACGGATGCCGACTTCTTTTTGACTCCCTTGGATCCGATATTGTTCCGGGGTATCAGCTCGGATATTGAAGTCCACAGCGGCTTCGGGAATTCTCAGGCCAGGTGGGTGCTTAATTCTGCATGAATGGTTATACTAGCACTGAGTGATTCCACAAAGTACTGCCACTGATGTCCTTGCCGCCGTCGAATCTGCCATGTCCACCTACGGCACCACGTCGGTCACTATGGTCGGTCACTCTCTTGGTATGGTGCATTTCTCGTGCTGGATTTGGCCTCGTATTTATTAAATATTCACAGGTGCTGCTATCACACTGCTTGATTCTGTATATCTTCCCCTCTGGCTCCCTGCGGGAACGACTTTCAAGACCATTTGTTATGGCCTTCCTCGTGTACGATCCTCCCTGGGTTTTGTCACCGCTCAGCTAATTTTTTCTCAAATAGGTTGGGAATCAAGCATTTGCTGATTATGTAGACGCAAACCTCCATCTCACGCACATTAATAATGAAGAGGACCCAATACCCATTTGCCCCGGTATGTTTATGGGCTTTGTGCATCCTGCAGGCGAGGTGCACATCGAGGACTCGGGTGAATGGGCTGCTTGCCCCGGTTAGTTTGTATATCATTCGGTCTCATGGCTGGATGCTGAATAATTGGGCATCAGGGCAAGACAACCCAAGCACTCAGTGTATTGTTGGTGACGTCCCCGAGATCTGGGATGGTACGTATTTCATAGCCTGATTATTTGTATTGCTGATAGATTGTATAGGTGATGAGTCTGACCACGACGGGCCATACAATGGTATCTTGATGGGATGTTGATCTGGCCCGACTTCACCTGAAGATGTCTTCTATTTTGTATGCCGCATGCATTCTCGGTGTTGCACTTTTCTCTAATGTTCGGACTTCACAAGTTCATTGTGATGCAATATATTTATATGTATGTATATACGAGAGGCGAGCATCAACGTGGACGATCTATGCAGGGCAGACAGACCGGGAGACGCCGATGAGGAAACGGGAGTGCCAAATATAGAATTCGAACTCGAGGACGCAATGAACTCTCATATATTGCTCTAAGAGGCACTGAGCGTTGATGAGCTGAGTGCCAAGGGAGCAAGGAAATGTTCCAGATGCAATCACAGGTGGTGGAAAGTGCGACGGTGTCGCCGCAGACGGCGCGAAAGACTGCGTATGATCAGATGGAAAGACATACCGAGCGATGCTCTCGTTGTTATCAACCTTCGCGTCGGTCATGAAATCCATGCTGGACTGTCTATATAGTGGGTGGCGCTCAGGGTGGTGAAGTATCGTTGCACTCAGCATATTTGCTCATATCTTACAGACCATGATGCCATCCTCGTCAATGATGGACTTCCTCTACTCTTCCATTACTCTTGCCTGAGCCAGGTCAAGCAATTTAGCATGCGTTGCGGTGACGGAATGGGGTCGGTCATTTGGACCTTTGCCAGCAGTGATACCACAACGTGCAATCTTGTCAGGAAGGTTCGTAGGCTGAATTGAGCTGTTAAAGGCGAGAAGTCGATCAGTAAAACGTTTCGCACTTCCGTTTCCTAACAAAGCATCAAACAAAGAATGACTGCAGCTACGCCCAGATGGTATTGACATTGAACCTGTTGTTGTTTGCATCAACGTCGTAAATATCAACGATCATTGCAAACAACAATGAGCGATGTCACACCCACCCGATAGCACTGGCAGCGAATAGTGGAGTGATGTGGAGCTCAAGCGGGCACGCACCATGGGAGTCACGCGATTGCTTCCGCGGGATCGACTGTTCACTGGATCTGATGTGTAACCATGCAGTCAGCAGTTCGAGTCTCGACCAGAATGAAACGAGCTAATTCCGCACCGCGTCAAGAGCCTCCGAAAGCGCGCATGTACGTGTGCTACTACCCTCATTCGTACATTGTGGGCAGGGCTACAAACGAGCAAAGTGAGAGAATGAAGGACTGAGATCATGGGCGAAAGAGCGAAGCACTAACTAGCCCTGATCGAAAATCTGTCAAGGGGAGGTGAGCCAGCCTCACAGAAGTCCAAGGGATATTGATCCTAATCGGGTCCACAGGAGCAGTTATTTGCATTATGCGAGGCCCACCGTCACGATATTGACGCACCATGAGTCCGTGACGGTGAAAGGAAGTGGTGGGCAGGGAAAAGAACAGAACTTGACGAAGGATGCGTCGAGGATTCTACTGGAGGAAGAGCGGAAACAAGAGACGGTTCAAGTTGTGCCTCGCTACGTAATAGAGAGACCGTCGGAATTTTTTGAAAACACAGTGATATGTAGTCATCCGAGTCCTTGACAGCGTGACTACCTACTACAAAGAACGAGGGTGATGACGGTCCATCAGTGATTAATGCTACATTATAGCCGCATATCAAAGACTTCAGGGGACAATTTATCAGAGCTGATCAGGTTTCCAAGGTCTTTCCGAGTCATACGTTACACTGCAGGTACCTTATGGTTTGGCAGCCGAACAGTAACAGGTCACTTCGAACTTTGGTTCGGTTCTTGTGTGGTCCAGTCCACGGTCCAGGTGTTGGCTCGGCGTTAACTTCCTCCATCCATGAGTTAAGTTGTCATTAATTCTGTGCCACCTTTGCCGTATTCAAATAAGGTTTCTTTTTATTGACCAAGTTTACTTGGTATGTTGTTACTGGCATTTTCAACAAGTCTTCGCTTTGACGCGGCGCAGTGAACAATGTCGCAACTCATGCATCGGTTTCAACATTTTATTCTTGCAAGATTCAATCAAAAGCAGATCTGGACCTGGCTAGAGTATTCGAGACCTGGCCTAGAGCGCTCCAGAGCACTCTAGAATACCTTTCGGATGGAATTTCACTGGTTTCCCCGCTGTGTCACCTCATCGTACAACCCTTCAATACCGACTTTATCATGCGTTTCGCTTCGCTGGAATTATTTGGGGTTCACTTCGAGTTCAAGCCTCCAAAAACCGAACCTGACCATTCACAATGAACCATTCGCGATGGCTCTGGTTCGACTATTTTGTTGACAGTGAACCGGACCGCGGCAGTACTAGACATTATCATTCATACACTCGCCTCGTAATCGAATCAGTTACAACATCCGAAGACGACCGCTGATGGCAACTAATAGGCCTTAATCTTATGCACAGGCATTTTGCCGAGCGGGGCTGGAGGTCTTGATATCTGCTGTCAGTGAGGTAACGCACGTATCTTGTTTTCGGGAGCAGAAGTACTTCGGAAGGGTATTAAACAGGGTACCTACGACTTGTCTTCACCAGTCCATCCACGTTCAAATCTGCCCGCTCTTTCCATGGAGCATAAATCAATAATAATCGAACAGTACCTTCAGGATTACCCGGCTACGGTTGCCACATGGGTGGACTACCTTCCTTCTAAAATACGTCCTTACTTTTATCTTGCACGAGTCCACAGACCCTCTGGAATACTTTTACTGTTCTATCCATGCGGTAAGATCTTTGTGATGAAGGCATTTTTCATTCGTGATCTGAATGACTTCAGCATGGTCGGTCACCATGACCTGCTACGCACTCAGTGCGCCGATGGCGACAGCGTGGACCTATCTTGGATTTTTCCTTGTAGCCTCCCAAGTGTTCTGTGCTACTGGATGTATCATCGATGACATGTGGGACAAAGACATCGACGCTGCTACCTGTGAGTTTTCCTTAGTCAGTTACTCGGCAGCTCCTTGTAACATCTTCATATAAGCGCGAACACGCAGGCGACCCTTGGCTGCGGGTGATATCTCGATGTTCCAGGCATTTCTGTTCCTTATTTTGCATCTAACCTTTGGCATCTGGTTGTTTATGCAGTTGAATGACTATAGGTGTGTTGCTTCCCCTTTCTCGAATTATTATTTCACTGTCTATATCATCCCTCGCACCCCTCTTTAGCTTGGTTCTCGGACTCTCCTCCCTAGTCTTAATTATGTTGTATCCTACCATGAAGCGGGTAATCAACTGGCCACAAGCTGTGCTCGGTAAGTTACTACCAAACTGCACCACGGACTGCTAATATTTATTGAACAGGCATGTGCTTCAGCTGGGGATCATTTTTGGGAACCGCTTCTGTTGCTGGAACAGTCAACTGGTATGTATATATCCCCTTGTATATGGGGGGTGTATGCTGGACCATCGTGTATGATACTTGCTACGCCCGTCAAGTGAATCGATTTCTGCATCCTGTCCTCGCTGGCTAAACTAACCAAAACCAGGACAGAGATGAAGACATCATAAATGGCATCCACTCGACAGCAATTATTTTTGGGGACCAGGTCCGGCCTATTCTCATCATGTTCTCCTTGATTGTTTGTTCTTTGCTGTCGTATGCCGGGATCCTCAACGGAAATGGTGTCCCATTTTTCATTGGCGTGGCCCTTGGGGCATTTTATCTTGTCCGACTCTTCGCCAGGATCGACTTTGAAAACAAGGAGAGTTGCGATGCTTGTCTCATCAACAACACTTGGTTCGGCTTCTGGGTTTGGGCGGGAGCTATGGTAGATTATGTTGTGAAGATACAGTTGTAGATGCTGTCACAACATATGTACATGTTCTTCGTGCGCACTTCCTTTTATGTACTTCATCACTCATACACGTTATCTTTTCTCTCTGTCTCAACATTGTCTCAACAACTTTTTATTCTTCTTCCTTTGGAATCGTCTCCCCTCGATCTTTCAATCGATGATTGAATCTTTCCTTCCTCCATTTCTCTATTTGCTTGAGAGATGCTATCAGGAAGGCTATGCCTTTGGTGCCCGGAGCTCACGATAGTAATATTGCACACTTCCTTTCCCTCTTTTATATAATGTTTCCATCGTTTCACGCTCTTATCTTTCACTATCCGTGTCCATAGAATAACATCACTCAATGAATGGAAATGGACACAAAAAATGGGTGATGTCCTCGCACTCTCTTGAGATCCCAGTCGCTGTTGTGGACGCTCACTCTGCGCCACAGACGTGCATGTCCGTACAACGCCAGAATAGACAAACGACTGTGTCAGACGCGGGAGTGATAGGTTTATCTACCAAGACAAGATACAACGAATTAGCACTCACGATGATTTGTATCATTTCCAATTTCAGATCTAACTAATTAGCAGAATGGGTTGCAGGAGAGCGCTCTCCTGCAACTCACGTTCGTGTCATGATCACGTGCCTTATGATTTTCCTTTTTGAACTCTGGAGTCTGGATTGTCTACTACTACTAGTACCATCGATCCAAAATGACATCCATCGTCAAATTATTTGTCGTATCCCCAGACACCCGGTCCGAGCGTCGTTTTGACCTCCACGTTACCATCGAGCAGCTCAAGGTTGTGTAGTCCATCTACCATGACACGTCTTGCAGGACACTGAATGACCACCCCGCATATCATCGCGATTCGTACACACCATATAATAATCAGGCAAAACTAGAGCTCATCACTGGCATCCCCGTTCAGAATCAGAACATATCGCTGCACAATGGCGATGACGATTCGCAGGTCGTCGCGCAGCTGGATGATGATGCTAAGCCACTTGGATACTACGGTGTTCGGGATTTCCAGACGATCAAGGTATTTTCCGTTCAAATTTCTATAAAGCGATCGTTTATGCATAAGGCGACGTTTGTTACAGGTCGTAGATACAAATCCTTCGACGTCATTTACGGGTCAGCTCTCCGATGTATCGCAAGTAGAGAAGTTTGAGCTCAGTGACGATGCATACGCACAACGAACCGGTGATCAATCATTCATTCCTTATTCGTTACCATTCAACTCTGATTCTCTTTATTCTGAAGACTCCGTGTTGGCTTACAAGCAAAGACATAAAGTAGGGCGCTTTGCGCCTTCTTCAACAGAACCTACTCCTGAACCTGTGGTCAACATCCCCATCGGATCACGCTGCGAAGTGGAATCAACAGAACCGGGGTTGAATAAACGCGGTGTAGTTCGGTTTGTTGGTCAGACTGAGTTTGCTGCTGGGCTTTGGGTCGGTGTCGAGTATGATGAACCGATGGGCAAGAATGATGGGTCGTGAGTTAAAACCCTCGTACTATTTGTCGATGCTTATTTGGGTATCTAGCCTAAAAGGAGTGCAGTATTTCACATGTCGCCCGAACTACGGGGTGTTCGTGCGCCCTGCAAAAGTCACAGTCGGCGACTTCCCTGTGGAAGAGATCGACTTCGATGACGAAGAAATTTGATGGGGTGTTGGCGGTACTCATTGGGATATATCCACCGAGGATTCACAGTTATCAGAGACTCATGATTAGGCCCTCAAGGCGTATCGAGACCTTCACCCTACTCAAATGCTTCAGACCGGCCAGCCTTGACAGCAGTACGGACTGACCCTAGTTCGTGGGACTCTATTTACTCTAACAATACAATCGTTGTTCAACGTAGCTAGCGGTCATTACGTCGGTGAAACCCGATATTGTCTATCCATCTTAATCAACGATACTGAGTTCCCTCAAGCGCGTCTTTGCAAACTCATCCTTATAAGTGTTCCATATCCTGTATTAAACACAACTAAGCTCGATACAGACGACGAAGGGGGCATGAAATACCCACCTGGTCAATTCCTCGATATACATCCGTTGCACTCTTTCGATCTCCTCCAACGACGGTTTTTCGCAGCGTTGAACATGGATCGGCCGGCCGACTATTCAGAAGTGAGAAACCTGGTAAACTATCAGGTAAGAAATAGCACTCACTGACAGACACAATCCGTCGTCGGTACGGCATCAAACCCAAGTTATCTGCAGCAGAGATAATTTGAGGAAAGGTCACCAGTCGAGTAAGTTTAAGACTCACAATTCAGCATACCACGCCCATGAAAAAGCGGAAGGGTAAACCCAAACATGTTCTGGAATTTCTTCTGCAAAACATATATGGTAGTGCCCTTCTCGTTCGGCATTTGATTATATATCTGACGAATAAACGCTGTCGACGGTGCACAGTAGCGAAAGAGTGCATCACTCACATCATTCTCGCCAAATGAAAACACAGGCACAAGGTCTGCCCTGAAGGAATGTTTCGATTTCATTTTTCATAAAGCCTTGTATCAGCTCACCCATGCTGGATCGCGACCTTGATGAAACCTAATCTACAGTACACTTGTTAGGCGCAGCTCGTATTGATCCGGTAACGAGGCTTACCTGCGCTTCAATGTTAGATCGGCCGTACCAGGTCTTGCGCTCAAGCTCTCAGCAGCGCCTCCGACTACGATAGTGATTGCCTGACCTGGGCCGCTGGAAAGAATGTTGGAGCAAGATTCTCGTGAGACACTGCTGATCCCAAGAGACATGATAACCTCGCGATATAAAGGAATGTAGAAGTTATTAGTGAGCGTGAGTAAGTGTGGCTTGATGCCGGGAAAAGCTTTGGAAAACCCGGTGGCTGATAGAAGATATTTGAGATATTGGTGTTGTGGGTAAAGAGAAACTCGCCTTCAGTGGCGAAGGTGGCGAGTGCGCCCCTGGTGTATTGGTAAGAAGCGCGCAAGTACACAGAAGAGAATCACATTTACATTCCAATTATGCCTGTTTAAATGGCAAAATGAGCGATGTTGAAAACGAAAGGGAAACAAGACTACCATGAGGATGGTACCCAAACACGTAGGGGCGATCGGCGGGTAGGTCGCACTCCTGCATTGAGCATATGGTTGAATATTCGGGCGCAAATTAGCTCAAATCACTGCCATACCTTCAGGAGCCTAGATGGTGACGTAAACGGGTGTATCCATGACACACACGAAGAACCACACTTACGACGCGGGGTAATAGTCTGCAAAATACTGCCAGATCTTCAGGGACCGGAACCATGGAGCGAGTCTGTTTCCGTATGCTGGGCTCTTATCTACGCAGAAAATCCATATGAGGTACATGACCAAGAACGGCCATAGTGCTGGTACGGAGCTTGGGTGCGTCCATTTCAGCGAGTTTAAGGGATATTGGAGAATCGCAGCACGCACCAGAGCATCAAGAACGCAAAGCAGGACATGACTAACAACACCGACCACACCGCAACGACCATTGTCTGCAGTCTCCTCTTCCGCGGTATCTTGGTTGGCACAAAGCTGTATTGGGGAGAGATACGGCGATTCAAGTCATGGAATAACATAATACAATCAGCCAGCAACGTCAACAAACTAGTATCTGATACGCACTCGATGCTAACATGAAGGGCAGCTACAGGACGCAATGGTGTACCAGTCAACTTCGTCAATCGCCCTCTGAGAGAAGATGCGGAAATAGTTCTCGAGAAGGCTGTCAGATCATGGCCTTTGTCCATCCCGGCTAGTCCAAGACTTATTGGGCTCGGTGTTCAGCAGGCGACTAAATCTGCGTCTTGGGCTCTTGTTAGATGTGTTGTTCACGTGACTGGATTTACCTTGTTTGGTTTCTTCAAGTGGTGGTTTGCCAGTAGACTCATCAGACTGTCAACTATGCTATAGTATCAATCAATTAGACACCCAACAGCCAACCGCTCAACGTTCAATGGCGAGTCGTTAGGTCAGAAGGTGAGTTTTCTAGGCCTGAACAACGTGTCAAGTGACAAGCAATCAACTTGAATTGCGTCAAAATAATTTCACGTCTATTCTAGTGTATGCATGCATCTAATGCCATATTGACGATGACAAGACACCGTATTTTGAAGCTTGAATCACCGTGCTCCAAGCCTTCAACAATGCCGAGTTGACCAGCCGCTCTGGCGTGCTCATAAGCCACGTCATATTTACATCCTCCTGTCGTTCGATAAGTTGCAACTATCAAAGCTGTTGACCTGGATATGCAGACGATAAAGGGAGGCTACGGTGGACATCCAGAGTTTGTCGTGACACTAGGCTGTCTGCGCCTATGACTCGGAGTTTCTGCTACAGACACTAGCAGCGAGGATTTTCACTAGTCACTCAGCGTTGGCGCCGCCTTGCATATTTTGGCCATAGAGTTTAGACTCCGCTCATGATGAATAATACCCCTATTTGTGTCAAAATTTTAACTCAACCTTTTATCCACAGCGTCACTTCATTGCGTCGTCCATCCAACTAAGTTCGGTCAGAAATTTCCAGCGAACAAAACCAACATTGTAAATGTCTAGTTGTAGGTGGTGTCTCGTTAATTCAACATTCAATCGCTTCTGATGCAGTCACAACCAATCGTATGTCTATTCTGATATATTTGATACCATAATATTGACGATAACTAGACGCCAGACATTAAAACTCAACACTCCAATGACTTTGGCGCTGTCAACGCTAATGGCCAACGCCTCGTCGACAAGCAGGACAAGTTCATCCACTTCGTGAGCTTACACGAGGAACTTGGTCCGGCTGTCTCTCGTTTACCAGTCGAACTCTTATCCGAAATTTTCATTCACACACTTGCACAATTCGATGAATTATTGCCCCCATCAAAGCTACGATCTCCTATGCTGCTGACAAGGATATGCCGAAGGTGGAGGGAAGTTGCTGTAGGCACGCCAGGTTTATGGTGCAGATTGTTTAGTGGGTTTACAAGTACCCACCGCATGCAGCAGGAAGCCTTCTGCTACGACACATGGCTCAAGCGATCGCAAGGACTTCCACTATTGTTGGCAGTCACACGTTTCCCAGATCTCTTGCTCTTGACTGGTCTTCTTGAGCCTTACATGAATCAAATATCGTCTCTTCATATCGTTTGCTATTTCGTCACACGCAAACTTTTGTTAAACGACCTCCCAGCACTTCAAGTGCTTACCATGGATGGGTACATCGATTTCTATAGATTTAAGAGCAACACTATCGCAGAATCTATCTTAAAGCACTCATTCACCCTACGCAGTCTCAAAATCAGTGCACAAGCATTCTACTTCGTTGACGTCGACCCCTTCAAGAATACCAGATGGCCACACCTTACACATGTCGAGATCACTGTTCTCCACCAGAACATATTCCTCGCATTACTACAGCAGGCTCCCAACCTCTCTTCAGCCAAAATCATGATATTTTCAAGCTATAACATGCCCCCTGGACCTACATTACCGGCAGAGCCATTCACGCACGAGAACCTTCAATTCTTGGACATTGAATGTAATACATCGGTCACATTACTCCCCGATATACTCAATGCCTTGTCACTCTCCAATTTACGCCACTTTAGAGCTGCCTTTGCATGGACGCAGTGGCCTCACGAGGAGTTTGAAGCATTTTTAGTACGGTCAGAGTGTCCTCTGGAGTACCTGGAATTTGGTGATGGAAAGAGGACAATGCCAAAATTAATCGAGCGGAGAGCAGAATATTTTGCTCTCATTCCTTCTCTTGTGGTGCATTACACGAGGCCTTCATGATTTCTTGGACCGTGTCGCGATTAGAGAAGTTGCAGCAGATGAACAAAGCTCCGCGCAGAACAGTTCCATAACTTCCCATATGCCTAGGGTATCCATTGTGCTAGCCCACCCTAACTACCTTTGCCTTTCCACACGACGAGAGACACGTAAATTTCTCGACATAAGTGTAGGTATTCTTATGAGTTCCAAAACGAAATTGCTCTCTTGTATATAGCGACAATACAATTCATCCATTACATTGATATTACTACAATCTCAGGATGAATTATCTAAGTAAGCTCCCGACATAAGGGACCTACCTATTTTGTAGTGGTTGCCGGTGCAACTGTTGTACTTACAGAAGAACTGCCTGTATTAGTGGTGCTCGCGGCCGAAGCGCTAGAGCGGAAGTTGGCGATTGCTGAAGCGATTGCAGCCGCGTTCAATTGACTGGGGGTTGCAGATGACGAGGAGGGGGAGGAGGAAGAAGTAGGAGAGGAAGATGATAAAGATGACGACGGAGAAGATGAAGTGATGGAGGCAGATGGCGATGAAACTGCAATCGGGACGAACTCGATTTCTAGTGAACCCCTCACGGGCTGCGAGGGCGATGTCGCTTGACTGGTAGTCACCGAGCTCATAGGGACTGCTTGAGAAGATGACGACCCTGAGACTGAAGCAACGATAGCGGCGTGGACAGATGGAGAGGGCGGCATCGATGACGATGTTGATTGTGTGCTAGTCGCCGAGTTCGGGGAGGTCGCCTGAGAAGATGACGATCCTGGGCTTGAGGCGACAATGGCAGCATGGACAGAAGGAGAGGGTGGTATCGATGATGATGTTACTTGGATGGGGGTGGAGCCCATGGAAGTTGCTTGTGAAGAAGACGACCCTGTGCTTGAAGCTGCTGCTGCAGCGTGGACAGCAGGAGAGGGCGTTGATGTCGATGTCGAACTGCATGCTGGTATTGACGAGGATGACGAAGGTGTCATGCTAAGTGCAGCGACAGCGGCGATAGGGCCTTCAGAAGCGGATGACGAATATGAAGATGGGATTGCAGTGGTGGTATAGACAACCGTCGTGGTGATCGTCGTCGTTGCCACGTCATCCGTGCTCGAGTCAGCAGCATTGGTAGAAGGCAGAGGGGCAGAGACCGCAGCATTGGAAGGTCGGAACACGAGAGTCACGTTCTGTGCTTCCGGTGCAATCGATGAATTGGTGGGCTGAGGTGCAGACGTGGAGCTGGTGGTAGACCCGGCAGATGACATAGTGTTGGAGCCAGTAGGAAAAGAAGTTGTAGTATCCCGTTCAACAAACATCGCATGCGAGGAAGTGCTGCCTTCGCTGTTCGTCCACAACGGCTTGATGACACCAGTAGAGGGATTATACTCGAAAATCTGGCTCTTGTGTGAATCCGCGGCCAATAAGGTGTAATCGACGATAGGCGCTACTCCGTTGGCATATGAGTAATCCAGGTTTTTGACGTCATTTTCGGATTGCGACGGGCGGCACATCTCCATTATCATTGGTTCAGGCCCAGATGGGTTTGGGTCAAAAGTCGCGCAGTAAAGGGAATCGAAGATATCGGTTTGAACCATGACGTGCTTCGTTGTATTTGCTATGAAGATAATTTAGTTCGGTAATAAAACGAATGCAGGATAAATACCAGGGTCGTTGAATGAGCTGTCATTAGCGTCGACCAAGTAGAACTGCGTCCCGTTGGTGCTTGACGCATTGAGAGGAATTGAACCATTACTAGCGTGACTACTGGTCGAGTTGGTCGACGTAGTGTTGGTAGAGTTATACATCGAAGAATCGAGAGCAAGAGATGCGAGGTGCCGGCCTTGATCTCCGCTCTGGAAGTGCGGTTATAAGAACGTACAAGTGAGGGGAGAAGAACTCCATACCACAATATCAATGATTCCGGAAACAGGATCAGATATACCGCGACGGCCCAGCCTTCGTTTTAAAGGGCGCTTGGAGGCTGCTCCCCTGGAGACTAGATAGTTATTTCCATCTGCACCATGGACGAGAGCAGACGAGCGACGAGAGAGAGGAGTAGGACGACGTGAGGATGCATCACGCAGCAAGAAGGGCGGATGAACATCATCACCATGAACATGAGCGAAACTATGATCCAGAATTCCGGCCAGCGGGTTCAATGGGTCGGAATCTGAAAACCTGAAGAACCTCTACGGTATTGGTAGGCGTCAGAAGACGTCAGAAAAAGACAAGCTAACTTACCGAGTTGGGAGTATCGATGATCGACTTTCCTTTGTCCTCGGAGAGTTCGTGGGGACCATGTCCAGTAGTCAGCCTCGGAAGTGAAAAGATAGTGCGGGGCTTATCAGCCTCATGCGCAGTAGCGATCCGGTTGCCGCTGGGATGGCTTGCAATATACGCAGCGTCGGCAGGGGGTGGAAGCACAATAGCGATGATCGTACAGATGCTTGTGAAAGCAACAAACTGAGATGTGAAGCGCATGATGAAAATAGCGTACAAGGAGAGGATGCGGTCCGGCGCAGCGTTAAAAGAAACAAAAATGGTAGTACGATGCCTATCGCAAGTCTGTCGTGCAACAAATCACCAGGATCTGTGCGATATGAGAATGAGATGAAAAATATACATATTTCGGAAACATCGAGACTTTATACCCTGCAGGAAAATAGACATATGTGAAACACTGGACGTCACCCACCACGCAGGAAAGGCGTATGTTAAACCAGTCTGAATTGAGATCGTGTAACGACTCGCAATGGGAGCTGTTAGTCATGTTTACAATGTCACTGGCAATGGCACGTCTAGAACCGTCTCAACATGCATTCTGGATGATCAGGACTTCTATACACCGCTCATATCATTAATGTCATCAGTTTCAAGTTAGGATGGAGCGACGTACGTGTCACAAAACTATGCATTGACTTGAAAATTATATTTGCAGCATGCCGCCTGCATGGGATTACAGTGACAGTCAAATACAAGTTTGCAAAATCCCAAATATTAAATTACATAATACAGCTCGTAGTTAAGTTAAGCAACAAAACTTTGATTTACGAACCATTCCAGGTAGACTGGTGTGCACCTCGACACTGGACAAGTAACAATGTACTCGAAGAATGTGACCTTCGTTAACAGTTGCCAGATCTTGAGTAAAGCGTGACACTCGAATGGATCGTTGACACTCACCGGCACTACCCGATTTTTGATTATCCGGCCGAATCTAAGCGAGTCTTGGACGCTCCTGATCGTCAGTGGTCGACTGGGGTTCAATTGGCAATTGCCAGGCCCCAGGAGGAAGGGCTGTGGCTGAGTCCTCATGTTTTCAGTCTAGGCGAGACCTCAAACGGCCACCCAAATTCAGACGAAGACTAGTTCACTTCTTAGGGGGTGGCGTGACGATAAACGCTCTCCCAGAACAGGCGAGAGACTGGAAAGGATCCATGCATACAGTTACAGTACCTCCAGTGTCCTGATGTCCATCAAGTATGTAATAGAAGCCACGTCTTTAACCTGTGCAATAATATTACGATCAGATGCGATCCTTTTAAATTCTCCGTCGCGCTGCCGTGCTAGCAGAAATCCACTAAATGGTAGCCCAAGGCGAACAAGCAACCGCAATGCTTGTGAGTGAGAATCCGAATAAATAGACTCAGTTTGTGCAGCGGACGAATCGCACGACGGAGATTCGGGTAATGACCAATTGTCCACGCTCTGCCTATCGTCTGCAGTGTCATGAAGCCCGAGTAGATGGCGATCCCATGGACGAACAAGCACGATCGTCTGCCAGGCGGGAGGCGGCCTTGCCGACGAAAACTGAGAGAACTTGTCTTCTGTGGTGATCTGCAGGTTGCGAAGCCCGTCTGACTTGAGTTCATACGTATATGTTTTCTGGTCATGACCTAGCTTCCGCCTGGCTTCTGTGATCGGGAATACAATGCAAGGCAGATGCAACCGGTGGTGAGCAAAGCGGGCAGCGCTCAGGTAGTCAAGTGTCTGATATAATTGCGAAGCCGGCTGTGGAGCTACAGCACCTCGCAGCGAGGAGACCGATGACTGAATCTCTTCTTCAGAAAGAGATGGCAGCTTGCATGGTGGATCTTCATATGAAGTGATGTCGGCTGGTAGACAGCTATTGAACTCTGATGACTTTCCGACCCAGTCCAGGGCAGTAATATCACCAGACTGAGCTATGATTTCCTGCAGAAGCCGCCCGAGCGCGTTCTGCTTCTTCTCAGTATAATCAACATGTAGGCGGACGCCAAAGATACCGAATAACGAGTATGCGATGTCTTCTTGCAACGTGGTAGTACGCGTCGACGCCCACTGAAGTTTCTCTCGGGCATCTCTCATCTCGGGATGGAAGGCCACAACGGCCCGTCGGTCTATGCCCGTTGCAACCTCCAACTCCTGCATGATCGCGACGGAATTCTTGTGGTTTGGTGTGCGATCGTCGAGATAAAGAGTCCAATTCGTTTGATAGAAGAGAATAACTTTGGGAGCGAGGAATTCTTGAAGCGTCCATCCGCGAGTGCTCCAAGCGCTCTTTGCTAGCGCACCAGATTTTGACAAAGGCGGAACATCTGAGAGGTATACAACCGTGAGCGCGGAATGGTGATACCAGGCGAACATGGACTTGATCGATGCTTGGAGCTCAACATCGGTGTTCTTGTCAATACAGCATGTGTCGCTCCATGCCCAACGATACCCCAAATCATGAGCAGTTTTGCAGAACGATTGCAACTTCTTTATGCCGCTAATTGGATCCAACTTATAAATGTCCTTGCCCTGGATATCCTGCAGCAGCGGCTCCTCGCCTTCCCATTTGTGCGATAGCATAACATATTGGAAGTATGTCATCACCACTTCTTCGACGCCCTTCATTCGGAGATCTTGATGTGTGTTTATTGATGACACAAGCTCCTGGTACTCTATGGTCGTTTTGAAAGTGCGTATCTGCGTCTCTCGATCGCACAAGAGGCCGGTGGTTGTGTCGATTACACGCAGTGGAGCATTGTCAAGTTGAACGTCAATAATTGTTCGGACAGCACGGTCCACCTCGGATGGACTAAGATACTGCTGGTGCAACTCTGCAAAAACAGTCAGAGAATGTCGACACACGAGTTCTGAGGCCTACTTTGTGTCTTAGCATTTTCGAGAGGTAAATCATCAGATAGATCAGAGACGGATGTTGTGGCGCTCATAGGCATGCTAGCACCAGACGTCGGTGAGCGACTGGGCGTCATTGGAAGAGGAATGAGGGACTGCCGGACAAACCGGCCACCCCGGAGGTAGTACTGTACAACAAATGTTGCCGCCTTGGAGTAGAAGGCATAAGAGTACTTTTTTACCAGCGTCTCCGAAAGGTTGCTGACATTCTTAGCCAAGCGATTGTCGAGATAATCGACGATTTCCAAACATTCCTCCGTTTCCTCATAGACGCAGCGTGGTTGGTCGCAGAGGAAGAGAGCGAGTGTCAGTGCTCCAAGTGCTATCGAGGAGGAAGGATATTCGATAAACTCTCGGTAAAACAGAGTGATTTCCATCAGGAAACGTGCAACATGCTGAGCCTTTTCTTCAACAAATAGCTCACAGTACGTCAGTCTTAGCCATGCTTCTGCAGTCGGATGGCCTAACGTCCACTGAATGGTCTTGAGTACATGACCTTCCATTTGAACAAATGCGGACTCCTCGTATGTGTCATGACAAATCTGTGCGAGTTCTTGCACCGTCGGAACGCGTTTATCCACATCCTTGAATTTGGCAGCAATCCACAACGCTACGCAGCCTAAGAGTTGATAGTGCTGAATGCGCACTATTCGCAGAGAGATGTAGCGGTCCACGATATTGAGAGTGAGGTATAATGTTTCAGGTCGAAGTCGGAAGGTGAAGTGAATCTCAATGAGGAAATCAACGAGACATGGGCGCATGGGCCATTGGATCTCGGGTTGCTGACTCATTGACTGTAAGGATGACATGGTGTTTCGCTATACCAGAGGATTAGGCCGGCAGTAAGCCAGTAATAAAGTCGTACAAACCTCGTTCTCGTGCATGTGTGAGCAGATATCTTCCAAGTATTCCTCCTCCAGTAAAGTGGATTGCCTGAGAAGAGGGATAATTTGAAATTGACGTTGTAGCTGTTGCAACAATGCTACCTTTCCAGGATAAATGGTTCGGCGGGTTACAGAAGGAGGACCGAGATGGGATGTCTTGTGATGTTTCGATATACCTGAAAGCGACGGCCATTTCTTAGGGTCCACAGCATTTCGGGAACTTCGGCGAGAAGTCGTGGAAATATCTTTCATGACTGAAATAGCAGCAAGTTAGAATGATCGAAGAAATCGTACGACCAATAGTGGGTCTGAGGGGGGTAATTGAGCGCAGAGAGGAGACTCTGCATCAGCAATAATTTTATCGAACGAGGCAGGAGAAGACATGGTTGAATACGTGAACGCCTCGAGCGCTTACAAGATGAAGGAAGAGAAATGGCAACAACCGCATGACGGCTCAACGCCGTACGTTTGTTTGTTGTCAATGAAAGGCATTCAGTCTGTCGCAGCATACAGACCTCGAGGGAGTCGATGGCATTTGGAATGCCTGGTCTCACAACGTGATACCAGTGGGGATAAACAATATCAGACTCACTGGAGTTATAAAATAATTATGCAAGGGCGGACAACTTTAAAAAAGTTATCGTGAAGTGAGGATAATGGTGAAGAGTGGTATGTGGGTGGAGACTGGATATGATCAAGTCGTGGTCAGCGTTGATAGCCGTATCTTAAGAGCAAAAATAGGGATATCGAGAGAGGGTGTACTATACAAATAAAAGTCTCCTTGAAGAGAAGACTGAAGAGTCACTAAGGACGCACAAGCGACAGGGCTAGAGATCTTTAAGATGGGTTTTGGAGCCTGTACAGCAATTACACTGCAGCGGAAGTAGAGCTAATCACACCTGAGGCGCAGTCTCAGGAACTTCAAGGTAAGTTCCTTACAGCTAATTCCAAAACTCGGGAAGTGCCGTTGGCGTCGGCGGAAATGGTGGGTCACCTTGCTTATGACTGTTAGCAATGGATAGAGTTCATTTTCTGTGTGGTAATATAGCAATTAAAACATGGAAAAGGCATAAAGGTGAAATAACCACAATGTCTTTAAATTCTCGACCTCGAAGGAGTTGATTGGAAAATCAATCCAGTTCAGGTGTCCACCTCGCTGATATTAGACTGGCGTCCAAGTCATGGGAAAATCCTAAGTAACTCGCCAGGCTGCTAAGCATTTCAGCCTCTCCAAGTCCGGACCAATCGAGGTTCCAGATAACGCTTCAAGTTGGAAATCTCACCTTGATTCGTGCCGCGTTGTGAGAGTCCAAAACCAGTATTGATGTCAATAGTAACTCCGACCTATCACCAAAGGAAATTATTAGGGTTCCTATTATAGAAGGTATATGATTCAACAGCGACCACGATGAGCACAGCGAGGCTGAAGCGCAAGCTCGGTGACCTAGGAATCGATACCTCCAGCAGAAAGGCAAACGAGAACTTCTGCCTTGTGCGTAAACTTTTTTCCATCCCCACAGCTGGCCAACTCTCTGTGATCACCTCAGATCGGCACCCCGCTGCCCCCACTCGAAAAGTCAAAAGACACAGGCGAGTTCGTACCATTATGGAAGCAAGAGGTGAGCTTTTGTGCGTGCGTATGGTCTTGTTCCAAACTTAAGATATCTTCCAGGTGAGAGATGAGAAGGGTCGGAGAAGGTTGCATGGTGCTTTTACCGGCGGTTTCTCTGCTGGGTACTTCAATACAGTGGGTTCGAAGGAAGGTACGTCCTTTGAGAGAAGTCTACACGCAGCATACCATTTAGCACTCTACTCCAGGATGGACGCCGTCAACATTCATATCCTCTCGATCCGACAGGGCCACGAACAAGAACCGCCCTTCCCGCCCAGAGGACTTCATGGACGAAGAAGATATCTCAGGAATGCGTGATGACCAAAAGCTGGTTGATGAGCATGAGCAGATGGATTTACTGGGAGGCACACAAGACGAGATGAGCAAACGTGATGTGGGTGCCAACGACAAAGAGTGTGTATCATTATATCCCTTCATATGACACATTGCTTATTAGACCCACCTCACCAAGCGCAATCACCCTCGCACTTGAGCAGTCTCTCCTCCCAGCACCAAAGGACTCTGTAGGCGCTCGCATTCTGAAGAAGATGGGTTGGCGCATCGGCCAGGGTATCGGCCCACGGATAACATGGCGTCAGCGTGAAATATCATTTGGCCGTAACCCGGACGTGACTTCCGATGACATGGATGAAGAAGCGAAGAAACACATGTACGCCCCTCGAGACACGCCACTAATCATCGTCGAGAGGAAGGATAACTTTCATGGTTTGGGATATGACCCTGGACTAGGGCTGCATGCGAGTCTTGGCGTTGCGCCTGAGACTTCCAAACAGTCCAATGGTCCACGCTTAGCTGGTGCGTAATCTTGCTGCCGTTGCTGCGTGCGATTTTTCACCCTGACCCGTGGCGACAGGTGGTTTTGGCCTTGGCGCGCTGAATGATGCAGACGACGATGACTTAGATGTTTATGATCACTCCCAGATTCACGGTAGGAATAGTCATGCATACGATGCGAATGATGTGCACGATGAGGAGCATGTTGTTATGAGTTCGCGATCGCAAGGTGCACGGAATTTAGGAAAGGCAGCACAACCTCAAGTGGGTCACCATCCAAGGGAACTGAGACATTACAGTTTAACTTATGAATTCTAGAGACCTTCTACTGGAAAATTGAAGTTTCGTGATGGGAGACAGCCTTTGAACGGGTTCATCATATCTGAGAAACCCGTGGCGGAGGACTTTTGGTCAGTAGCTTTTGTTGCACGTATATTGCTTATGGTGGGATATTTACAATTTCCAGCTTCCCAATACCGGATGTGCCAAAAGATTGGACGCCAAATCCCAAACGTGTGTGGGAGGGGGAGAAAGCTAATTCAAAAGATAAAGAGAATGCATCTATACCTCCTCCATCTCAAACTCAGTCGCACGCCCAATGGAAAAAAGGCATCTCTGCGAACCAGGTTTGACAAAATTATTCTCCCAAAGAACTCACGTGTTTACATGCTATGGACAGCGGGGAGCAGCACTCGGTGAGACACCCCTCCCTTCTGCACCCAGGTCCGTCTTCGAGTACATCTCCAAGAAAGACCAAGAACGCATTAAGAACATCGCTGCAAGTCGCTTTGCGCCCCATTCCACATCGGATGATTCCTCGCCAGGTCCCTCACTCCCTACGCCTCCCACGATGACACATACCGAGCCCCATGTGGCCCAAGCTGCCCTTCACGGTTTCCAGCCCTTCACGAACGATCCCTCTAAGCAGGCCAGGTACACCGCCTATCTCCATGCGCATGCAAATCCCGGCTCAGGCGCAACTCCACCCGCACAGAAACCCGGGCAGTCAGCCGAGGAGTTCGCAAAAGAAATAAACGATTATGCAAAGTCAGCTGCGCTATTCCGCCCCGTTTCTGGAGCCATGGCTGGGCGGTTTACAAGTGCTGCTGTTCTGGATCTCGGGCCGAAGATCATTGAGGGCCTACACACGCCTGCTGCACAGCCGGAAGAGGGGGCGGACAGTACAGATGTGGCGGAGGAAACGCCGAAGGAGGAAGTCAAGGAAGAAGCTCCGAAGGTGCATGCTGCTCGACTTGGCATGTATGGTGTTATGACGCGCGAGGTGTGTACATGGCAGCCTGCAAGGCTGCTGTGCAAGCGCTTTGGCGTCAAGGAACCAGACCTTGATATCCCTGTCGATGCCTCTGGGCCGTCAGCACAGGCTACGGCGTCTGAGTTCACAGGCGCGGTGCCAGCAGACGGAGTCGCGGGTGCAAGCACGGAAGTGACGCAAGTAGAGGGTAGTGGTTCTGGGAGTAGCAAGCGCGATATTGCGAATATTGGCATGGGGGAAGATGATGGGCAAGGGGATGATGTGCTCACTTATGAACGTCCCGGGATGGATATTTTTAAAGCAATCTTCGCGAGTGATGATGAGGAGAGTGACGAGGAGAAGGATCGCATGGATGATGTCGATGAGGTGGATGAGCCCCCTGCCGTATCTGCGCCAGCTGGACCATCTAAACCAAGCCCGGATGTCAAGCCACCACCAGCGGATGGTATCGTGGAAGATGTTGATCTGGCTACGTTCAAGCCTACCTTCATACCCAGAGGATCCAAACCGAAAGACGTGGAGAAGAAGGAAAAGAAAAACAAGAAACAGAAGGGTTCCAAGGCGGGCGTGCTTGTTTCATTTGATGTTGACGAGGATGGCGGGAACCCGTCGCTCGCGGCTGCGCATCAAAAACATCGAGATCGAGATAGCGAGAAGCCGAGGAAGAAGAGACGGAAGGATCGAAAGGGGGATGAAGGTGAGGATATGTGGGTTGAAAAGCCTCCGCCAGATATCGTGAAGGCACTGCCTCTAAATCTGTCCCCTGACGAGGGCAGGTCAGAATAGTGACCAGGGAAGCGGACCTCCTCGTGCTCGTAAGAGGGCAGTTGATTTCATGTAACGCTATTATGCTGCTACTAGGCTATCTGCGCTATATATACAGTTTCAAAAGTTAAGACTAATTTTGGTGGGTACTAACTGCGTTTCTTGCAACACTACTTGAAATTTCGGGCTCACAAACATGGTCTCACGAAGAAGCCAAAGCATTCTTGGTACGGTCAACCTCTCCCTTATTTTTGGCGCCAGAATGGTGACAACGGAAACAGCGAGCTGAATGTGTTGCCCTCGCTCCTTCCTTGGTCATATCGCATTTCATAATGATATCGGGTTTTGCGTATTTATGCAATGGTCTTTATCTTTACCCTGTCTTCTATGCTAATAGTATTAGTGTTCGTCCAGTTGTCGACGATAAAATAATGCTATCAACCTGAGACGTACAAACACTCTGCGGAGACGATGGAGCAAACGATTCGAAGTCTTGTTGTCATCTTTGTAAAGCGACTATGGACACCTGCATGTTACACAACTCATGCATATCATAACTTGGGAACATAAGTAGTCTATCGAAGGGTTGACAAAGGATAAGTATAGGCTATAGGGCAATCCCATTATCATCATCTCGTCAACTATGTACATAACGACTGTTCGAGTCTGTTCAAGTTAAAATCCGAGCGTGGAGGGCATAGGATTCGTCACTATTTTGAGGGATGGAAAAAGAGTAGCATATTCTGCCAGTTGCCGATCCGTTGTCATCACCACACCACCGAAGATCAAGCTCTCCAGGGGACACCGTGACCGTGTCATAAACGCCTTGAATTCTTCATGAGCCCATTTTCCTAAATTGCGAACTTCGAGCACGCGTAGATTGGGGAGCGTGATGTCATTGAACAGCCCAAGGATTTCAATCACGGACATCTGCAAATGGAAATCCCCGGATAGGCGCAAAGTTTGAAGTTTGGTGTGCTTCAAAGTTTCCGAAGTTTCCACCGCCGCTGTGAATATTCCAATCATCGACAAGGACAAAAGATTGGGACAAAGACGGAGCAAACAGGGGAAGGAATCTAGTCCCTCTACTGCGACCTCAAGGTGTGTGAGACTAGCCCAGGCGAGAGGTTTGAAGCTAGATAACACCTGGAAGTTGTACCACAGGTCCAATAACTTGAGAGTGCGCATGTTTGGCGGCAATTGCGCGAAAGCTTGTACAGGATTAGAACTGTCCGTGTATACAACCAACTCCTCAAGTCCGCCGAAGTCTGATATCACCAGTGGAAAGGAGCTGTCACCAGAGGACAACCAAACACACAGCGACGATATTTGATTGACGTATGGCTGTAGTAGGCTTCGTAGCTCCGCCCAGTTATTGTCGTCACACTCAGCGAGTGTCAATGATATCTGACGTCCTCGCGATCGCCTGAGGTAGGCGTCATAGCAAAAAGCTCTCTGTTGCCAGTTACCGTGCCCGAGTTTTAATCGCAGATTGCGCCATAGACTCGGCATGTCCACAGCAATCTCTCGCCATCGTCGACATACTCTTGTCAACAGCATGGGGGCCATAAATGGCGCGGGCGTCAAGGCTGCCTTTTCTGGTATGCAGTACAGGAAAATCTGAACGATGATTTCCGTGGGCAAGCGCCAAATAGCTGATGAAAATTTCTTGTGAGAATTGTTGGACTGCACAATCTTGGCCTTCTCTTGGATGCGTTTCCGGTGACGACGGCTGACACGGTTTTGGCTTGTGACCCCGTGCATAATTGCATCCAACTGCTAAAGTAGATGTTTATTATTACGTTCAAACGCTACACCTCTAAAACCAACCACTTACAATGCTCTGCGGGGCACTGATGGTATACGAGACCGCTGATAAATCGGCGTTTGATCGCATCTTAGCACGAAAGAGGATGAGATGTTGGAGATGGAGGTTCAAAGTAATTCTAACGTGCAGCCAACCATCGCGTCCCTATTTAAATTAAAACAATTCACAAACCACAGGTCCATAGCAAACACACCTTCTTATTGTAGTTTTTGATAGTGGGTCTGGTAAAACACGAGCCATCCACATCTAGAAACCTTGCATTGTTGCAAAGGGTGTCATTGGGAGCGCCTGTGGAATATGTGGAAGAGTTATCTCGATCGCCGGTAGCTTCAACACACTCAGTCTGTACTACTAGGTCATCCGAGGCCTTTTCTTTTCTCATGTAGATCATACTAAACGTTATAGAGCAGCTTTGTCGAGCTGTGACCTTTATTTCGCCTCATTTCAGTATCATATTTTCAGTTTGATAGGTATGAAGGTACTCACAAAATCAGGCTTTTGAGTCTCCTTCGCACCTCCCCACATTCTTGAATCTTGATAATGACACACCTGAACTTCAACAGACTCACGCTCTTGTTCAAAAGGCAAACAATACATCATCCTCAGTTTCCTGTGGTTTTGATGCGACATCACGGAAGTGAAATTAAATGGAAGTGAATTTACGAGTGTCTCTCGGGGGAATGGTTGAAAATGTGAACCCTCAGCAGAACAAGTAAACCAGCTGTTCATTGCCTTATTCCAAGACTCGTCTAGTAGGGTACAGGTATACCGAAAAAAAATACTCTGTCCAATGATCGTTACCGGCTCGCTAGCTCGGTTTGCTTGTTTGAATCACAACGTCTCGCGCTTCGTTTTTCCCGTAGGCTCTGTGGATACTATGGGAAAATGTCGAAAATGATGATGAGAGTCTGTGGAGAAATTTGTATTTCACTTCCGCGCGTACACTGCGAGTCACGTGACCGGAACGGAACTGTTTATCAATATCTGCAGGTAGCTTGATTCCTATGTGTAGACCTGGTCCACCTTGACCAAATATTGGTTGTCATTGCCCCGTCAGCGCCTCTAAGCTTCTGAGTGCAATGTGTGCCTCTATTTGACCTTTTTTTCTCGATTTTGCTCGGTCTTGCCATATCTGATAATCCGAACCGTAGATTCTACCTGAGACCCTATACAATGTCTTCTGTCCTTCAAGGTATTACGGTTTGACGCTGCTAGCGATTGCTATGCAGTGCATTGAAGAGCCTACTAGCCATTCTAATATATATATATGTATACATATTCGTGGTGGATTTGTATACATTGTGCATCGCACCGCCTGCTCTTATCTGATTAATACTGTCACTCAAATCGACCCTGTTGAAGAGATAAATTGCTGTGCTTTATACGACTACATTCTTGCCCGCCAGTCTTTAACTTTTTGACGCGGTACTATGTAAATATCTTCAGGGCGACCCTCCCCAATTTCTACCCTGTGACTGACAACTTGCCTGTGACTCAATTTACTCCAAAGACTGATGCCATCCCTAGCAACTCTCGAGAATCTCAGCATTCACCGACACCCTCGACAGGCACTGGCAGCACAGTCGGGATACCTGTCATCATTATACCCACGTCAGGTTCGACCCGGAATTAGTTGCTAGTGACATCGAAACCTGGCATACCTCTAATGTAGACCCTATATAAAACTCAACAAGTCTCCACTGGGTGTCGTGTGATTGCTGGGCCTTCGTCATTATCTGTGCTGAAATACTGCTGGGTGCTTATTTGCTCATGTCCCTATTGTCCGAATTCCTTTACGACATCTGGGTGCGAAAGTAGGTCGGCGTCTCTCGCGACATCCTTTTCTTGTCTCACACTTTCGTCGAGAGCGCTCTCTGCAGCTGGCCACACTGTGCTAGTCTACGATTACTTTCTTTCTCTCAATGATGAAGTGAGTTCGCTGCTTGACGTATATAATAGTGAAAACATAACATTGGTTCCAGATCCAATACATTTGGAGCGCCCCTTGGACTATCGTGAAAGTCATGTTCCTCATCAACCGATACGGAAACCTTGTCGGGCAGACTGTCATTCGGTTGGAAGAGGCTGGCGTTCTCGCAGTGCTCGCACATAATTCCCAACTAGTATGTTGCAGTTTTACAAGTAGACCGTTTTCCGGGTCATTGACCTTTGGACCAGTTCTGCCAAAGGTTTGCCATCGTCACCAATTACTTTATGGTGCTATCTTCAGAGTCGATTCATAGTGCGCGTGCCTCATTTTTATTGTTGCTTTTACTGAGAATTAATACTCAGTACTTGTGCTCATGCGTGCTTGGGCCATCTGGGGAACTCGGAAGCGCTTGACGAATATTCTTGTCGGGAGCTACGTGATCTACGTCCTTATTCTGCTCGGAATCACTATGCTTGGTGGAATACATGATTCTCGTAGGCTGCCTCGTTTCCATTTCGTGATTCTCTGATGTAGTTGCGCTTGGGCAGATGAGAATTTCCGATACCTCAACTTGGTGGAGATCTGCGTGTCGGACATGCCAAGTATGTGATTATCATTTTACCTCGTCTCGTCTGCAGACTGATTGATTACCACTGTAAAGAATATATGGTTAGTCGGTAACTATATAATTCCTTATAGAGATCTCATTGGCCCTATTACAACGCAAGTGGCTCGGCTATTTCGGAAGGTTAGCATGTTGTGTTACGTGTTCCCAGGACGTGCTGAAGACCATGAAGCGTTATTCTCGATGCAGTAACCTTTGTCTTGACAGTGCGAAGTCTGTGGAGATATTCCAGGGAATTCCAGTTTCTCTACCCTTCCAACCTCCTTCGTGTACTTCTTCGAGATGGTGAGCATGCTCGCGCGGATCTGGAGAGTCCCGTATGTAATTGACCATAACTAATTAGCAACTATCTTTTTTGTTGTGAGTGAACAAGTCAATAATATCTCGCCTCTGACGACAAGGACCAGATTAGTATGTTCAACAATTCCATTATTGTCGCCTCCTGGTGAGACTCGCTCTAACTCTCAACTTTTCAATCTGCTTATGTTATGGTTTAGGACTGTGTACGCGAACGTCAGTGTTTCCTATTTATAAGATATTTCTTCTTCCTGGGTGACACAAAACAATTCAGAGTCCATATACTTTCCTACCTAAAGGGTGCGTCTGTCATCAATTTGATCTCGTCACTCTACGTGAACTTATTGCATACAGGTTTTCTGGCCCGTTACTTTCAGTGGTCGGTCAGCGCGTGGTTCTGAACCTGAAAAGTCTCCCAACACGTACCTATGCGACGCATGAACTCAGTCGTGAGGTGGACCGACAACTTGAAGTATTCGAATTCGACGAATGCTGCTTGTCACCTCAAAATCGATGTGGTCTTGATGATGCAAAGGAAGCATGTTGCTCGTCACCTCAAGGTCGAGATGGCCTTGATGTGCCAGAAGGTGGAATCAGGGAATGTCAACCGAATCTCACGTAAGTGGTTGCGTGTTGTCAAAGAGATACACAAGTAGGATTGAAGAAATCAGATTGGGTGTTACATAGATTGCAGATGTTTATATTTGGTTTATATCGGAACTCCCCTCCCTTGTCCACATAACTTACTTGTATTTCTCGCAATCCGGACGTATGATATTGGTCGGGACCGAATGTATACGGTACACTGTACGCTAGAGTTCGGCCCTACCGACTGACACCTTGCTCTGTGGCAGGTTGTTTTATTTTCTGCACACCTATTTATTCAATTTTATTGCGAATGTACTATGTACCGTAATGTTCCTCTCTCACCGGTCCAAACCTAAAACCACTTGCGATGAGTGAAGACCTTAGACCAGATATCGATCCTTCTCAAGCCTCCAAATCTAGTCGGAAAATGTTGCTGAAAGCTCTGTACGTGGTCTCGTGAAATTTATTGGAGCCGTGGCCTCCGGTTTGGCCTTGGTTTCCCTCGCAGTCCACTGTGCGACATAGGCAGCTACGGCAGGTGACACTGATTTGTGATTTTGACTGCTGTATGACCTCCACCATTTCTCAACGAATTTGTTTTAGTTCACTAATTGGAGCCTTATGCTGGTATATTTTTTTACAAAAATCATGAAACAGAGGTCCCCGCAACATCACCTTAAGGAAACATGTTCAGGGATCGAAATATAGAATTAATTAATTATGGCATAACGTCTGATCTGATGCTCATTTTTAATATTATGTAACACAGTACTAAGACCTATTACATAATTGTTCATCTTGGATATACTTATGGATTCTCCGTCGGGAGTCACGTGCCGTCGGAAGGATACATCGCTTGTATTGATGTATTAGGCTGCATCAGTTAAACTCAGACCCAAGCGCAACTTCTGTAGAACAATGTTCGAAGGCGCGAGTCACGTGACCCAAACGCAAAACGTTTACAAATACCTGAGTTATTTTCAATTACATAATGACCTGAGCCTTCATTATTAATTTATCAGGTCCTTAGTAGGAACCGCCTTCAAGCTCCCGAACCCAATACTTATGCCGAGATTTGTCTATTTGACTTTTTTCTCGGTCTCCCCATATCAGATAATCATTATCATTTCTGCGGTATACATCAAGGTACTACGGTCGACGCTGCTAGCGATAATGATAATTGCTATGCAGTGCGCAAGAGCACATATATACATTCATGGTAGATTTGGATGTCGCACTGCCTGTTCTTATCTGATTATTCACTACTGTCACTCAAAACGAACCTGTTGAACAGATAAAATATTGCCGTGGTTTGCTCCAAAGAGTGATGCATCCCTAGCAACACCTTGGTCACTGCTCGCGAGATCTCAGCATTCACCGACACTCTTGACAGGCACTGGCAGCATAGTTGAGGTACCTGGACGGCTGGACCTGTTATCATTATACCCACGTCAGGTTCGACCCGGAATTAGTTGCTAGTGACATTGAGACCTGCCATGCCTCTGATATAGACCCTATATAAAACTCAAAGGGTCTCTACTGTGCCTCGTGTGGTCGCCGGGCTGAAATACTGCTACGTGCTCGTTTGCTCATGTTCCTACTATCGTCCGGATTCTTTTACAACATCTGGGTGCGAAAGTAGGTCGGCGTTTCTTGCGACATCCTTTATTGTCTCATATTTTCATCAAGAGCACTCTCTACAGTTGGCCACATTGTGCTGATCTACGATTACTTTCTTACTCTCGATGACGAAGTGAGTTCGCTGCTTGACGTATGATATTGAAAATATAGCATTGGTTCCAGATCCAATACATTTGGAGCGCCCCTTGGACGATCGTGAAAGTCATGTTCCTCATCAACCGATACGGAAACCTTGTCGGACAGACCATCATTCGGTTGGAAGAGGCTGGCATCCTCACACATAACCTTCAATCAGTATGTTGCAGTTTCACAAGTAGACCGTTTTCCGGGTCATTGACCTTTTGATGCACCAGTTCTGCCAAAGGTTTGCTATCAGCACCACTTGCTTTATGTTGCTATCTTCAGAATCGATTCATAGTACGTGTGCCTCATTTCAATGATTGCTTGTACTGAGAATTAATACTCAGTACTTGTGCTCATGCGTGCTTGGGCCATCTGGGGGACTCGGAAACGCGAGACAAATATTCTTGTCGGGGGCTATGTGTTCTACGTTCTTATTCTGCTCGCCATGAATTTGATCGGTGCAGTACATGATTCTCGTAGGCTGCGTCGTTATTTTCTATCTTGTGATTCTCTGATGTAGTTGCGCTCGGCCAGATGAAGATTTCCAATACCTCGACTTAGTCGGGATCTGCGTGTCGGCGATGCCAGGTATGTAATTTTGCCTCGTCTTGTCTGCAAACTAATTGACTATCCCTGTAAAGAATATATGGTCAGTCGGCAACTATACAATTTCAAGTCAGTGTATTGACAGAAATCCCATCGGCCCTATCACAACGTTAGTGGCTCAGCTATTTTGGAAGGTTAGCATGATGTGTTCCATGATTGCAGGGCGTGCTGAATATTTCAAAGCTTTATTCTCGATGCAGCAACCTTTATCTTGACAGCGCGAAGTCTGTGGAAATATTCCAGAGAATTTCAGTTTCTCTACCCCTCCAACCTCCTCCTATTACTTGTTCGAGATGGTGAGCATGCTCGCATGGATCTTGGAAATGTCTGTAATTGACCATAACTAATTAGGAACCATGTTTTTTGTTGTGAGTGTATAAGATGATAACATCTCACATCTCGAATAACAAGAACCAGATTAGTGTGTTTTACAACGCCATGAACGTCGCATCCTGGTGAGACTTGCTCGAACTCTCAACTAATTCCATCTGCTTATATTATGGTTCAGGACTGTGTACGCGAACGTCAGTCTTTCTTATTCACAACATATTTCTTCCTGAGTAACACAATCCAGGGTCCATACACTTTCTTACCTAAAGGGTGCGTTCAAATCATCAAATCGACTTCGTCCCTTCATGTGAATTATCGCACATAGGTTTTCCGGCCCATTACTTTCAGTGGTCGGTCAGCGTGTGGTTCTGAACCTGAAAAGTCTCCCAACTCGTAGCTATACGACGCACGAACTCAGCCGTGAGGTGGACCGACAACTTCAAGCATTCGAACTAGAAGCAACCTGCTTGTCACGTCAACGTCTAGATGACCTTGATGACCCACAAGGTGGGAGAGAGCATTAAGTGGAGTCAGGAATTGTGAATTGAATCCCATGTAAGTGATTGCATGTTGTCAAAGACATACACAAGGAGGATTGAAGATATCAGAATCGTTGTTTCATAGATATTTGTACCGATCATCGAAGGTTGCGGAACTCGCCTCCGAGCCTCCATATTTTATTGGTATTCCCCACAAGTGCTTGGTATTAAGAGTCTCTGGGCGCATGGTATTAGTCGGGACCACATGTATACGATGCATTGTACATATTAATATTATAATATTGCTATCTGACGGTGATCACCCTGCAAAAGGATCAAATCTGTGCTCCCCTGATCAGCTGAACCCCCTGGTCGGGAATAGACAAGAAAGGTTATTTTCTATGATGACATCCTCCAGAGTCTGATGGCTATGCCGAAAAAGCTGACAGTATATTCTTAGATTCATGACCAGTCTGACCAGATGCACGTCTTTTGAGAGTAGGGGCCTACCATATTCTCCAATATAACAGCAGGGACGAGTCCCTGCCAGTGTATGTGACGTCACACGTCAGCGACTTCAGGGTTGAACGTTGAATATTAATATTGAATCCTTGGCTAGCGAAGCCCAAACTTGCAGGGCGATCATCGAAGGTTGCTATCACCGAGATTTGAGCTTCTGTCTTCCTATATTCCTTGTGGATCCTACCATAACTTGTGCCTGGTATGAAGGGTCATTGTACATACAACGATAGTCGGGATTCAGAACAATTATGTCTGGCCTACTGTATGTATGAGTAATATCTTGCCATTCGCTTATCCTGCAAGTATTGAAATTTTGAAACCAAGCACTCACATTGCACTCAAGAGGAGATAAAACACGCCTTTCAACGTGCTCGGCCTTCTTTGGCCGGATAATATATGAAGGACAAGTATTCGGCGTCCTCTAAAACTAAATGGTTTGGCCCCTACCGGGTATTTCGTCACCCGCAAACCCCTGTTGGTGTACGTGATGCGCAGCAGGTCCCTGCATGATGAGGTCAGTGACTTGATTAATCCAATCCCGGCGAACGCCCACAAGTAGGCCATCTAGGGTGATGTTTGGCACGCGACCCCCAAAAAAAAGTCAAGCTCACAGCCTCCTGCCTATACACATTCCTGGATCCGAAGGTCATTCAATCGCCAGTGCCTAATCAACCCTACTTGGGCCCGCGGGCTGGTCCACCTTAACTCGATATGGGCAATTTGGTATATCCGTGGAGGGATGGCACAACACTGTGTCAAAGCCGCCAAAAGAGTCAAGATCAGGTTCTGAGTGTTGTGCCTCGCATCGTGTATGAATACTAGTAGCCACCAGTAGATCAACAAATAAGTGTGATATCGAAAACGGAAGATCCTTGGAACAGGGTCATCGTCGTTAGTTTTTCCGAGTGCTTCAATTATGGGATCATGAGCGGATGGGCCTTATCGAGGGAAAGGAAGTGAGAATCATTTCCGTGTGTCTGCAAGCTCGTGTTCATCCAAGCATGAGGAACGCACGCTAGAGTGCTATTCCGATACACAGGACTTCTATGATCATGATGTTCCTATAGATATTGAGTATACTTTTCTAGATACCATCGCAGGAAGAACTATCTTCGACGGCAAATCGGGGGCTGAACGATACTTCGTTGCTTCCACGAGTATTGGTTCAAGACAACCGCGTGTTTTGAAAATCTACTGGAAAGGTGCCGATGTTATCGAACTTCTTGGAATTTATATAGATCCGGTGACTCGTGTAATGTTCATGCTGCTGAATGCCAGTGCAGCCGGAATTGGTCTTCATTGATCTCTCGTTTGGAAATGAATGACGTTCGTGTCGAAAAACAATATCACGATGGAGTGCACATAGTTCTATAATCCGCCTAGCGGGACCGAGGTGCAATGGTCGTGTTGGGGGGTGAACTTGACGTGTGGTTCCGCGCTGGAGAGATTCTATTAACATTCAAGCGCTAGCGCTCACCGATCAAGTGAAAAGCCAATGCTTCCGCCACGTTACACGAGGAAGGCAAGAGCCGCAGCGGTGGAGCCTGTCCTGTTACAACAGCAGGTGGTTCCGCACGAACAAAATACAAGTAAACATAGTAAGCCTGAGGGCCGCACCCGTGCCTGGCTAGGTTTTTAGTCGTCGTGGATGGTATAACCAAGCGAAGGAAAAGATATCGAATAGCCATAAAGATGCAGCGATATGAACAACTCAAGGAGGACATGCTGCTTCCCCCAGTGCTCGTTCTTGTAGGTTGATCAAGAGAAGGAGTGACATCATGGCAACATGCTAACTTGGTAAGTTAACACAATGGATGATTAAGTAAGCAAATAGCGGTACAGCTCTCGGCTTGTCCCCTCGGAGGCTGTTTGCGCAAGACTGGGCATTATAGCCAAGGACGCTAATTGCATACTACCGTACGCCATTTTTTGCCACTTCCTAGTTCATTAGAGCTGTCCTTTCGTTTCACATAATAACCGGCTTTTTCTTCACGAACGCATCACGAAAACCAGTGCTCATATCGCCAACCGATCGTTACTGAACGCCTCAACTTCAACTCATGGCCCAGCCTTACTATGACGGACACCCATTAGAAGAGTATTTGACAGGTGCAGTTGCTAACCATCCTTGTGGATCATTGCTCATCTTTACTTCACCGCAGACTCGGGTGAAGCTCCCGAGCAAATGCCTGGAAACTGGCCACTTTTCTCAATACTCCAGCACTCATTCACGGAGTCGCCAGTAGTCTTCAAGTACAGTGCACAAGTCGAAAAAATTTGTTTCGGTATTTTTGGCGCGCTTCAGGTATGTTTACTCTTCGTAGTCATAACACTGTTCCTGAGCTCGCGTATGTTATTATTATATCCTCGGTCAATTCATCTTTCTTCATTCACCTGCAATGTCATGAAGTTTCTCAGCTCTCTCTTCACATCTGACCGTATTTCGAAGCGCACACGAGCTTTCGCTGAGCGCTTCAAGTATGGTGTCATTACATCCTCCCTCCTATCCCCGGGTTTCGCAACTACCCCCGTCCCTCATCCACACCGCCGTTCGTTTTCACCCCAAATTCCTGGTAGACTCTCAAGCAACCACAGCAGAAATACCAGTGGGGCTGAAAGCACCGCTACCGAGCAAATTTCCCTAACGGTACCCGCCGAACCCGCACCACATGTATGGCCTATAACACTTTCTATCACCCTTGCTGTCGCAGCGCTCAGCGCTCAATTTTACGCCTTCTTTGTTCTGTTGCTTGTTAGCACACTGTATTATATGCACGTTCACCAATTGGATCTACACTCTAAACCTGACATCATTACACCTGTGAGCCTCACATTCACAATTTATAGGCAATGGACTCACCGCTCTTTTTGCAGTCCCTGGAAGCACTCCAAAATTTAATCACAGCGGGTAAGGTGTGGGACGCCGTTGTCCAAGACACCCTCGAGACCCTAGAAAATGAAGAGCGAAGGTAATTGCTATGACATCATCGAAATGTGTGCCCTGACTAGGTCCTGCACAGCATCTTTCACGGACCATCCACCCCGATAATGACTTTTTCGTCACTTAGGGTGGCACTATCAACTTCCCTACTCACAACCCAAACTCAATGTGACAACGTTCGTCAACTGCTTTCAGCTATTGTATCTCCATCCGAGCTTGCGCAGCTTTCGGAGATGTATGCCCCGCCATCGCCTATGAAACTCACGTTCTCTCTGAATAGCGATAATCACCGGCCGCTTTCTTTGCCTGGATCTCGGCAACATGACAACTTTACTTCCATCCGCGATCACAAGAGGTCAACGTGGAATGGGTCCTACTCTGCTCTTGCACAAGCAGGAAGTCCTATGTCCCACATTGCAAAGAGGAGAGAAAAGCGGCGATCAGATCTTAGCGCACTACTTGGTGCTGCGTCACCATCACGACGAAGCAGTGTCAGCGCGCCCACAAGCCCATCAGCTCACCAACCACTTCTTGATGTGGTTGAGGAGGACGACACTCACCTCGGGGCTTCATTGCTACCAGAGGGTGAGGATGATTGTTTTGGAGCTGCTGCTCTTAATCTACGTCGAAAGCATCACAGTCAGGGTATGAGCAAATTTGGGACGTCATCCCGGAATTCTGCTGTGTCTTTATTGAGAAGTAACTCTGACTCGAGGCACCTTTCAACAATGTCCCCTGCCTCGAAATACACAAGCATGCAAACAAGCCGGCATCCGCTCTCCTTTTCATCGTTGAAGCAGTCACTTCAGAGCGCGCTTGCCTCGAAACGATATGCATGCTCTCATCTATTAGCTCTTCGGTTTGAAGGGGACGAAGATGATGCTTACTGGGAGGACGTGCGTTCACTCATGAGCCTCCTTACGACAACATTAGTCGATGCCTCCTCGAGACTTACTGAGGTTCTGGACGAGGTGGAGGAACAGGAACAGCAATTGAAGGACGTGGCTGCGTCAGACTCATCATCCGACGTACAAGTTGCCTCTTCATTACCATCGCCTCCACTCCCCACTTACCCTCTTTCGCACTCGATATCCCAAATCACATCCTTTGCGCCACTGCCCAGTGACCTTGCACGGTTTGCAACCCACGTCGATGCTATTTCTTCCGCTCTCGACGATGCACGAGATCATCTCGAGCAATGTGTAACCTCGCTGAAAGAAGAGACACCTTTCAAGCATTCTCTACAGATGTCGACGCCCTCCAATGAGGAGCCTCTCAGTCACCCTGCTCTTCTGGCTTACGAACGTCTGCGGCGTGAAATTGGTCTTGCCTTGCGGGAATGCGAGCGCGGCCGGGAGAGACTCACGAACATCTTACTCCCGCCAACCCCCTCCCCAGAGGAACCAGATGACCTACCCACCTTGGCTCTCGACATGGGCAGCGATGACTCTGACAAGGCCGATGAAGCACCAGGCATGGATGCACAGCACGAGGACATTGGGCTCACTGTAATCTCACCATCCGGAGAGACGTTCGATGCAGATGACGCGTCGTCCCCTCTGCTGCTTGCTGCGTCATCACATCATTTGCCTCCACCTGGCATCGAGCAGGTGTTTGAGGCTGATACAGGGAACTCACCGGCGTTCACGCGTGAGCGGTCGAAGATGACGAGGGAAGAGCGGATAAAGCTTGCGAAGGCACAGCGGAAGAGTGGGGGTGGGGGTGATGAACATGCATCCAAGATTGAGCGGTGGGGGCCAGGTGGGGAAGTGGTACAGGAATTGAAAGACGTAATATGGAAGGTGGGAGAGCGGCGCAGACGGATGACGGAGGATCAGTTGAGGAATGCGGCGTCGTCGATACCAGCGTCTAGTCATGGGAGCGTGACGCCGATAGAGATTGTGCCGCAGGGAGCGGTAGGGTTGTAGTACACTGTTTATATAAAGTACATACTTTAATTCGGTGGTGTGCACTAATGTAGTGCTTTCGGATTTAGAGGGGTTTGAATGCTGACCCAGCCGGTCGTCCATCTGATCAACCTGTCAATTTCTTGGGAAAAGCAAGCATAAATTTCTGATCGCGGGTGATACAATAAGTGATATGCAGGGAACTGGTATATCTCTAGAACGAGTCCCAAAATCCATCCCAGAATTGCAGGTCTTTCCCCTGTCCCTCCCTCCATTCCTCTCGTAATATGTGCTGCCCCTGCACAAGCCTAAGCTCTCTGCCTCTCATTCGTTTGAGCTTTCGCGTGGGCTCAGCTGCGTCACATTCATCATCAGTAGTCTCGCGGTCTCCAGGCGGAAGCTGCGCTGCAAAGGTATTGGTGAACTCAAGGATCGAGTACGTCTTGTGCAGAGCAGCGGCAACGGCTAATGACAATGGGGTTTGTGTTGCTGAATGAAGTTTGCCTTCTGAAGGCCTTAGGGATGGGTTGAAGTGGCCGAGAGTTAGTGCGGAGAAGAGGTCGCCTACTCCGGAGAAGTATCCTGGAATCAGTGGGACGAGCCTGGAGTGCACCGTTGAATGAGAACTTGACCCTATTGTGCGGGATGAGGAGATACAGAGGAGATAAGCCTGTTGGTCATCCGTGGAGGCTGCAGGTTGCATGGTTTCAGGTATGACATCGGATAACCATGGTTGTAAAGGGATGGAGGAAATAACGACGTGTTGAACGCGCTCGTGTAGGATGGATAGGGCGTTACGGAGAGCGCTTAGAGAGAGGATTGGTACACCGGTAAGAGTCCTTTATCATATCAGATACCATTAATATATCACGAGAATACGCTCACTCGACTTCGAACCAGTTAGGAGTGATAATAGTCGCCAAAGAAAGCATCTCCTTGTACATGGGTATTACATCTTGTGAGACATAGAGCGTTCCCGAGTCGCCGAGTACAGCTGCATTTGGGTCATCGATATAAGAAAAATTCTGGAGAGGTGTTGCAAACATACTGTCCATAAGGTATATGAGATGCGGGTTACGTGTCTTGAGTTTTTGTGCAAGTTCTTTTACTACTCCCAAAGCAGCGGCGTTTGGTATATAACCTGTGAGAAGTCTGCCGGGAGACAACAAGCCAACTTCATCCATCATCTTAAAGATGGCCGTGAGTTCTTCTGCAGATGTTTTGGTCCCACCGAAGCGTCCATAACCTACACTCAAAAGAGATTTATTGCGAAGTGACGGTGGTCCAAGCGCTAAACCCACCGGTGTGATTTGAAAAATTCACGGTGTTGACTACCTACTAGTAGGTACAGTTAGAGTATGTTGGGCTTGAGATGAAAGACGTACATCAACATCATAGCCCATGCATTGGAGGGGAAATACGGCAGCCTTTCCACCCACATATCCATATGCGACGTGTGACTGGACGCTCAATATCCGGTCGTTGTCGCGGTCGTCTGCGGGTTCACTGCTTAATGTTTAATTAGTCGCGGAATTGAAGAATTCAAACATAAATCACGGACAAGTTTGTGCCATTTGCTTGATTGGTCTCTGGCATTGATTTTATGACCATCCTCGCCTCGTTCGTCGTCGAATGATAAGCATTACGAGTTCTCGGCACTCTAACATGACTCGGACTCACATGAGCGATCCGGGATGCCCGTAGCGCCCCGCCAGGACCGTACTAGATTTCCTTTTTTGTAAAGGCTCCGCACCACGTGGCTGAACAAATGGGAGGGGCGTGTTCCGTAGCATTACTGACGTTGGTGGAGAGCTTAAGCTGTTGTTGTTTCAATCATAGGACTCTGTGGTATGACTGACGGTACAAGGTTTGCACTTTTTATCATCGTCATTTAAAACTCTCAACCTTTCTCTCATTGTAGACTCCGTGAAACTTGGAAGGATGCACTGGATAGCTCTGAAGTCACTTTCCGCCAGCTCCTTACTTCTTATTCTTCGTCGGAATGGAGACACATTTCTTTAGCGAGCGACTCACCCTCGCCAGGCAAGGGGAAGGCACGCGTCTCCCCAACTCCTGAGCTCACCGACGTCGTCGTGCACCGCAAAGCTACCAAGTCGGGTGAGAATGTGTATAGAGTTGTCCTCGACGTCTCAATTACCGACCAATCTGCTCCTCTCGATGCATGGAAGTCCGTCATTACCACTCCGGAGCTTAGACAGGAGTGGGACCCTGCGGTTGAAAGCGCGCATTTGGTGGAAATGTTTGATCATCAGACAAGAATATCAAAGACTAATTTTACGCTTGGCTGGCCTGCTAAGTGCGTGATTTTTATGTTTGTTTTCGAGTTGTATTGATTGTTATGCCAGTCCACGGGATGCTGTAACAATTTCACGTCTCTACCAGGATACATCTACGATAATAGATATTTCTACGTCTTTACCACGCTCATCTGACGAGCCAGCGTACTTGAGGCCATCGCCCCCATACGTCAGATCACAAGTCGCATGTAAGTCGTATCGTTGTCCCATTCCCGCTTCGCTAATAACTTTCAGTGTTCGCTTGGTGTATCCAGTATGTTCAACCATCCTCAGCCCCACAGCCGCACTCCCCGGCCGATCAAATCAAACGGCGTATGTCAACATATATGGCGCAGCCACGTCTTCGCATTACGTGTTTCTGGCAGCACGATCTTCGCGCGATCTGGAATTTTGGCTCTGCTTCTGGCGTGTGCCAACAGCTATGCACGATGATGCTGGGTCTGTATAAGACCGTTCTAGCGCGTGGCTCTCGCATACCGGTGCTTGCAGGACACGGATATGGAGTTAGCATTGAGAAGATACGCTTCCAGCTCGACAGGCAGGCTCTTTCCATTGAATATGTGATACACTCGGAGGAAGAAGACCATGTAGGGGAGACAGGTCAGGGACTAGATGTCATTAAGGAACACAGGCGCCTCGTACGCTCTCTTGAATGCGTACTTCCATCGAATGAAGGGTGGGATGTTCAACTAACTATGAAAGGCTCCTCTCAGAAGGTTGAAAATCTCCCTTGGAACGCCACTGCCTCACGACAGAAGCCCTCTTCTTCCATTGTGGGGAGTAAGCCACCGGAACTAACGGTTCTCCGTATATCCCATGCGCCTCTTCCTGACGATCATTCAATAATCAAAGTTCGCGCGGTTATAGAACTTTCTGCACCATCCAGCGGAATCCGGCTTAATGGGCTTCCGCAGACCATTCAACTTCTCGAAGAGCGCGATCCGTTATCATTCGTACGGCAACAGCAACAGCAACAAATTCTACAAGATGCTACCAGTGCTGCGGATGTGAGCTTCCAAACGTCATCTTCAGTAAGCTCCGTTGCATCGAGCTCCACAACACCTACAAGACCACAACTGGCACCGTCTATGACTGAGCGATCTGTGACAGCCGAGAAAACGATATTGTCGCGCGTGAAAAGGAGTTATATATACTTTTCGTCATTATTGCAGGAACCAGAAGCGAAGTGGAAGCGGAGTGAGTAGAACTCATTTTCTGCTTCCGAACTAGTACTGAGATGTCTTGCAGCTACGGAAGCACGTGGGGTGTCAGTGACTCAATTAGATTCTATTGATCCGACCCTGGTAGTGTATAGAGCAGAAGCCACTTTTGTCGGCCTTGGTTTATGGGACTTGTACGGCGCGTTGGTTTCGCCTGGTGCTAGGGTGTTTTGGGACAAGCAACATGAGGATGCAACGCTTCTCGAAGATGTGAACGAGTTGACACAATTGTGGCACTTCAAGACCAAATCTGCGTGGCCCGTACAGTGCGTAGATTTCACTTGCTATCACTATGAATTACTTCTGACTTGAGTATAGGGGTCGAGACACCGTGCTCTTGAAAACTGTCTATAAATCTCCTACCACAATCCATGTCTTCTCATTCTCGGCCGATGACCCGTACTTGTTCCCTTCCATCCCTCCTCAGGACCCGACTCTCATTCGTACGCAGGTTGATCTCCAAGGATGGGCCATCGAAACTCTTTCTCCAAGCACCACCCAGCTCACCTTACTTGAGCAGTCAGATCCCAAAGGATGGTCAAACAAAGCAAGCATACCACAGGCTATGATCTCTGCTCTCGCTGGCGTTGGGGACTTTGTCATCAAGTGCGGCGGTCCCCCAGTAGTGACGCGACTCTCTGGGGCGAAAGCTAATGACATGAGATATGATCATGAGAGGGGGGCCTTTCGCGTCGAGTATGAAGGCTTAGAGAATCGCCGGGCACCTACAACCATCACGGAAGATTCGGGAAATGAATCAGCCGTACCCGCCAATTCTCGCACGATGCACACGATTGAGTGCGAGATCCGTTGTGACATGGACACGTGGGCATCTGCATTTGATGTTGTCGTCGACCCCCCTCCGCATAGCATAACAGCCCTGCGCCGTCACCGACTATCCGCCGGCGGAGGAGGGTTATGGTTGACGCTCACGCATGATGCTTTGTTCGCTGCAGATGAGAGACTTCTGGCTATCGTACGCCGCGGGCCGATGGGATCTGGGAAAGATAAGGGCATGGTGATGGTCAATGGGGCACGTGTAACTGTCGATGTCGAAGAACTTCCTGAGCAGGAGATTAAGGCACTTGCGAAGCGCAAACGCATCAAGCCTATACGCATTCCGCTTGACCAGCCTCCAGTCGTGGGTGTCATTCGCCGGCGGCGGGCAGAGTGGGACGCAGACGGCGATATTCCGAACAGCTCAGATTCTACCCCCAGAAATGCATCACCTGAACCCTGCGAACCTACGAAGCCTGCGCCAGTGTCAACGTGGTTAACATCTCCGAAGATCACGAGTCCGCTTGCCAGCTTTTGGTCGACTGCAGTGGAATCAGCGACGATTACGACACAGCAAGCAGTTGCTGCAATGGCTCCTGGAGACGGAAGTGCTCCGTCTGCATCGCGGGCGCCCATGCAGCATGCCGCAGAAGCTTTACAGTGGATGCGAGATCTCCAGTGCGGTGGTCCCGATGCAAAAACCGGGTGGGTACCGCTGGGAGACAAGGGCATGTCCGTGCATCGCAAATTACTCACGGACATCTCGCCCTCAATCCCCGTGCATAAAGGCGAGAAAGTCATTGAGGGAGTCTCCGCAGAAGAGGTTGCTGCTGTTGTGACAAATTATGAGTGTCGCAAACAATGGGATGTCCGATTCGCTTCTGCCTCGATCTTGGAGAGGTTTGGGTCGAAATGCCATACTGCGTTTGTGGTATCCAAAGGAGGGTTTCCTTTCCGTGACCGGGGGTTCTTCATGGCATCTATCATGGCTCGCTCCAGGCTTCCACTCTCAAGTTTAGACCTCACACCGGGAGAGACGGGTCCGTCACAAGACTCTCGTTCTGTCATATTTTGCGTGTCCACGTCTTTCAGCCCACATTCGGCTGCATCATTTTCTCCGTCCAAGTACAATCCTTATGCCCTGCCGATTGGGCGGACGTATATCGATGGTTGGATGTTTGAGACCCTCGATCCATATACCAAGGAGAACTACGCCATTCCATCAACGCGGTGCACCAGAGTCGTTGCAGTGGACTACGCAGGATCCATACCGGTAGCAGTGAATTCACTCATCAATAGCGCCCTGCCTAAGTCGATACTTGCGGTGGAGACCTACCTGAAGGCCAATTCACCCATGCCATACACGAGGCTTCCAGCAGCAGGTGTTGTCCTAGCGGAACAGAGGGATGGCACTAGAGTTGAGGCTCCCACTTGGAGATTGAGGAAGAAGGACGACAATCGGAAGTTGATCTTATCGACCTTCGACCCTACCAATCAAACTCATCGTAGTATTATGTTACTCACGATGGCCGGCAACATATCAGGTAAACCTGATGATCTCACTCCTCGGCCAAGCCGAGCGGGTCTGCCAACTCTTATTTCTACTGCTGAGGCTCGGTCCAACAATTCAGTAGAACTCCCTACATCCCCTCCGATTCCTTCAATTGTGCCATATCCTCGCAAGACTTCTTCAGCTTCTGTAGGCTCTACCTCTGAGCCCTTGAAATCCTCCTCCTCGGCGTTTACGTTGAAGGGCGAAATCAGACATTCCACAGACCTTCTCGTTGCTGAAATCGTTGTTGACTCAAAACTCTATCCAGTGGGCTATGAAGTACTCATTTCATCTCGTCCACGAGACAATGGGAAGTTTATCTCCCTCGAATCCTGCCGCGAGGACAACATGAAACTGGTTTCAAGTGCAAGTACAACGGATCTGCCTATCAGTTCAAGCGTATACACCATTCCTGCTTCGCCACTACACTCATCTGGACTGAACGCTGATCGACCACCACGACATCTCTTAAGGTTGACTTTGCCTACAGCCCAGTATCAGGTGTCTACGGTAAAAGATCCACTCACAGGCGAGATCAGGACAGCACCTCCCAAGCCTCAGTGGTTTGATGATCTGCATGAAAAAGGGTTTGTGGTACAGGTGGAGATTAAGCCTATCATAGCGCCTGTGAAGAAGAGTGACGGTGGCGTGATTGTGAAAGTCGGCGGCGCGAATGTTGGAATTGCTAACGAGAAAGAGTCATTAACGGCACTTGGACGCGATGAGCTCCAGGATGACCGGGTCTCTCGTATGCCTATACTGCAAAGGTTTGTGATAAATCGTTGTTCATGCACGAGCTGCTATTGACGCAGGTTGTTAGAACTGCGGACGATGGAGACTCGTTCCCCGACGAGCTCAAAGAGCCCCTGTCCCGTGCGGATGAACTCCTGGATGATGGCGCTATGGTCGCTGCTATCGATATCAACGAAGATCCGGAAGCACTGGAGGAGAGTCGACCAAAGGCGGAAGTGATCGAAAACGGGCCGCCCTTGGTAAGTTTCTTACTAAGAATATGATGGCTTCCCTAAGCCACGATGTTATAGGATACCCCCGAGAACGGTATTGTTACGCAGGTTCTGCCGCAGCCATTATCAAATAGCGGGTTGTTTGGATTCTTAAATGCTTATCCCAATCCGCTGTCTCGCTGGACCTCATCAGCTGTGAAGGAGGCTGTTTCACCACTGCCACAGTCTGTTTCATCTTCTCGTCGATCTTCTCAAAGTATTCCGAAGCTGCCTGGTGGGCTATCGAGGTCGGAGACGGAGAGCACAAACTCCACGACGACAACACACATTGTTCGGATGCCGACCACATACCCACTGTCGACTGTTCTAATCATAGCATTAATTGCTTTTTTAATTGGATCGTTGTTGCGATCGCTTCTCTCACCTGCAGACTTCATTTTCGTCGTAACAGATCTTCAGGATGCCGAGGAGGGGAGCGCGGGGTGGCGGGAGATCAGACGTTTGTTGGAGGTGAAGTATATTGTTGGTGGATGGGACTTTCAGATTGCAGTTGTTCGGCGACATTGATGGAGATTTTCGATTCATTAGCTGTAACACTAGAACTCGCTTGTATCGTATGTGTTCTAACGTATATGTAATGGAAGGAAGTCGAACGTTGTGCGTAGACGTGCATGCGGCAAACGGCGTGTAGTTTTTTGGTGGCAAAGTCGGCGACAATTGGAAATTTCCCATCTAGTATGACCTTGCGCCTCTCGTTTGGCACGAATTCAATCTTCCCATTCGCCTACTCCTTCTTCCTCCGCCAGGTAACTTCGTCGCCGTCGTTGTCGACGACGATCAGACATATCTTGACACTGTCATTGTCGTCCTGTACTATCTTTCGTTTTTCCCTCGTTCGTTGGCCGGAGAACCTGTGCGCTGTCTGTCCAGCTTGAGCTGCCTTTATATATCTTTGCAGCTTACACAGCTCTAAAGTCTCTACCATCGACTCTATTTTCCACCCGTCAAACGCGATACGTGCGCTCTCTTTTGCTGATCTCTTAAACCCCTTCTTGTGTTTCTACTTTCACTTGTCAACCTGTATCGGAGCTCTTCATGGCCACTGGCCCTCCCGGATCAATGCCTGCGCAACCTCCTGCAGGCGAACCCTCTCCCCCTTCGTCGGATCCATCTTGGGAAGGGGACAGGATGTTTGTCGCTGCATATCTCATTTCCTTGTCCTAACTTAACTTGTTGGCTGCTCACCCAGGTTCAACATTTACATTTATGATTATTGCAATAAGCGCGGATTCCGTAAAACAGCTCGCGAGCTACTGGTAGAGGCTGAAATACCACCAGACTCTGCTCCCCCCATCAACGCACGTCAGGGTCTACTTTTCGAGTACGTCCTCCTCGACTTCTTTATTAAGCGCTCGACTAACCCAGTTTGCGGACTCCAGATGGTGGAGTGTTTTTTGGGTACTTTTCACAGCAAAAAGCAACGGAACAGGAACGGATGACGCTATGGTTTATACGCATGTACGTGGGACTGTAACGTTTTTAGTACCGTACCGACCGTGACCTCTGAACCAGCATCAGCTACAGCAACAGCACCTCAGAACGCACAACGCACCCCAAATGCGGCAAGCGCCACCAGCGATGAATCGTTTCATGAACGGTACGCAAAGACCTCAAGCATCGATGCCACCAAACGGCCAGATGCCTAACGGTGTTGGACCTGCTTCTTTGCCAGGTAATCCAGGCCCAATGCAAAATGGCGCTCAGGGTCCCATGGCATTCCCAATGAACGGTCCTCAAGCTAACGGTATTCCGATGTCATCGGGCGGCCCTCAAGGTCAACCAGGAAACTTTTCGCAGCTACTACCAGGGCAGCAGAGGCCCGGTGGCCCTCCAAGACCAAATGGCGCTGCGCCTCCATTCCAATCCCCAACGATGTCTCATTCTCCCCATATTACGGGAGGCAACCCTGGTTCCGGACCCCAGCATCCACAGCCCCCGATGAATCAGCTGGTGGGTCCGCCCGGCCACCTCACTAACCTTAATCGTCCCCATGCACCCTTCAAATGCTTCTCTTGGCTCCGCCCCTCAGACACAGACGCCGCCATTTCCGATGGGACGGTCGCCCAGTCGTCCTGGTACCCCCGGTCAAGGTGGTATGATGCAACGCAGTCCATCGTTGGTAGCCCGTCAGACGCCATCGAACGATCCAACTCTAGGCATGCTCAACCAAGAACTTAGCCGTTTGCCTACCGAAGTCGTTACGGCGGTCAAAATTGCAATGTTTGGCGATAAGGACTTGCACTCACTTAGCTTTCAAGATAAGGTACCTTCGTCGTCATCGCTATCATGAAAATTTTATTCACGTGAATTATCCAAATTACAGCAACGAATTATGAATGAGGTGCGGCAGCGGAGCGTGAAGGCATCACAACTCGGCCCTGTTTCATCAAACTTGCAAGGGATGGCTCCGCCCGGGCAGCAACGCCGACCTGTTCAACATCCAACGATGCAGCAACAACAGCAACAACAACAACAACAGCAACAACAACACCCACAGCGCACCATAAAACGCAACAGCACGTCACCTGGAGAAGAAGTACTATTTCTTTTCCTGGCTTAATATTACAGCGAATTAATTTATGAAATTTGACAGCATGGCACGCTCCCGAATAGTGAAAACTCGCCTCCAGACAGGAAGCGGCAGCGCCGCACACCTCCCCCCATGGAACAAACATCATCCATGGGCCCCGGGCCAGGATATCCGCACCCGCAACAGCAGGGTATGCCAGGCGGGCCACAACAAATACCCAATGGTAACATGATGCGTCCAGCGTCTATGCAAGGCGCCCCCATGAATAACTTCCAGCCACACGGTGTTCCACCGAACATGGGTAATCCTGGTATGGGACTGCCTATGGGTGCTCCTGGTAACGCCATGAGCCCGGGCATGGTTCCAGGACCAGGTCATAACATGATGATGACCAATGCCAGTGCAGTAAGTCGTCGATTTGTATTGCAGCCTTGGCTACCCCTCAACTGTTCTGAAGGCCTTGCAGTACCGACATAGTATGGCCGCAACGACCAAGAACCTATTAGCAGCGGCCACTCCTGGTGTTTCTGAGCAAGGTTTCCATCCTGTGCAAGGTCAACAACAGTTTGTTGGTCCCCAGAACAATCGAATCGGCCAGAATTTAGCTCAAGCCAAACCTATGGGTGGCATGGCGCCACCCGCGTCACCAGCTATCGGTGGTCCCATGAAAGATCAGAAGGATGTTAAGCCCATGATCAATAACCCTTCAGGTATACCAGAAGGGTCACCTCACAACGCTCCCGCTGCTCCAGGCCAAGGAGGGCCCTCATCCAACCCTACGGGAAGCGCACACGGCACTGCACCCCCGACTCCAAATACCATCAACTCAAGCATCACGCAATCCCCTGCTCCGAACGGGACATCTTCAGTACCTCCGGCTTCGAATCCCGCGAGCCAACCACAACCCAATTTATCAGATCTACCACCTAATTTCATGTCTTCTTCGGACTTCATTCAATCTATGTCAGCATTGGAGGACCTAGACCCATCCATGTTTCGGACAGACTTTGAGCAAGACTTCCGTGAATGGTTCGATCCAACCGGCGTGGATATCAAGTAAACGGTGGATGGAAGATATGATCTTTTCGGGTTTCGGATTATGTGTTTGTTTCACTCTTGCTTTTCGAACGTTCTTACCTCAATTCTTACGTGTACATGTTTTTTTTTTGCGCTGACCCCCTTGTTTTCTCTCTCTTCGCGCGGAATCACGATGTCTTATTTATTGCAAAAACTGCAGCGAGCAGTGACATCTTGGCTCCTCCCAGTTTAGATAGCTTATTTTTGTCGTTGACTTGTTGCGATAGTTCCGCTTGCTGTTTGTTACCTCGCTCGGTCACCCTCTCTCATCTTGCTGCATGTATAACTAATCTCATCATGATCTACTTCTCGCTCATCCGTGTTTCACACTCAGGGCGTCGTCGTCTCTTTAAGATCTGCATAGTATGCTGCATATGTTGGACTATTCTTCACACAAAAAAACTCACACGCACAGACGCGACACACAGACACTCCAATACTAGAAAAATTAGTACTGCACCATTGCATGATCATTCATCAAACTCATTGATGCCCCAAGGTATCCAACTCTGCGCGTGTCAACATTGACTCTGGATTCACCCTTCCAATTTCGGACCCAAGCTCGAGCTCCTGGAAGCGCTCGACAGTGTCAGGGAAATCTGGAGGATTGCGACCATCAAGGAGAAAACGGGCTATTGAGTTCCTCGGTTTGGTCCTCTGTTCAATTCTCGTGGATGGACAGGGACTTCCAGCCCTTCCCCAACCTTTCACTGCATCGACCCTCTATCTGCAATCCCAGCCCTGCTACAACTTGTAAGTTCAACACTAAGAAATATATGCGGCTGCTGACAAGCTGCTGATGTATCATCAAAGACTACTTGATTATTGACACTGGTACCTCGAACACATGATGGGCTAGCGCCAACAAACAGTACGTGGAGACCAGCACCAGCATCAACACTGGTGCGCCTGTGACAGTCATGTACGGTTCCGACACTGCCTACTTCTCTGGTATGTCATTCCTCAACAGTCATTTGGTGTTGCTGCTACTACATCGGGCACCTTTAGCGGAGCTGATGGTATCCTTGGCCTCGGGCCTATAGACTCCAAGACCTACTCACTTCTCTTCTCGTCGACACTTACATCAAGAATCCACTCAGCGCGATTATATATTTTTGACACTAATACTGGCATCTTTCTGTCCTTTTTGTCGCTCTTGTCCACCAGCTGGGCCTCAAAAAAATTTGAGGCTTCAAGGCTGTCCGTGCTGGCAACTTTCCGTCTTCTTTTCTCACTCTCGTCCACCAGCCGGGCCTTAAAAAGATAAGGCTTTGCTCTCAATGCTGGTGACTTCAGTGCGTCTCATTAGCAGCCTTGTTTGCAATATAAATTGGCCATCACTCCGAGACCTACTCACTTCTCATCGCTCCATCTCGTCCACCGACCAGACCTTAAAAAGATTCGAGGCTTTGCTGATGCTGGTGACTCTCAGTGCGGTTTTTTTTTGCCCCTTGGACTCTACTTGATTGGCGTTTATAGAATCCTTCATTGGGAACCTTATCTGCAATATAAATTGATGATTGAATCATGTCAGATCTAATAGTGCAGTACTAATTTTCTACGATACAAGAGTGTGTATGCGAAGGAGTGATTATGTGTGCGTCTCGTTTGTGTGCGTATCGCGTCTGCCATGCGTGTGAGTTTTGTGTATAGTTGAACAGATCCAGCGCCATCATGATGGTACAACACATTTTCGGCAGTTGGTAGTGTACAGACGCAGAGGTATACGATCATCGACCTACTGTTACAGGCTGTACATTCGAAGCGTCACATACTGCGACATCCATCAACCAAACTCGGAGTACCTGAATCACTCATAATTATAGTGTTGGGTCATACCAATTTCCCTCAAATGCTGTGAGTATCCAAGGCGGCAGGTTTACCAAAGCAACCGTAATGGACGTTTGAGATGACTCTCATGATTTTCAGGTGCCGGAGGGGACAGCCTGAGCCCTTCCAAACAGAACATGCTGCATGTGTAACTGCCCTGCCTCCAAGAAATTCGGCATTGGGCGCTGCAAGCGCTCGAGCAGAGTACAAAGTTGACAGTTGACGTGCCTGCCACGGACAACTTTCTCCCCGCAGCAGTCCCCTCTCACTTGTGACTCGTGAAGCTTGGATTGTATGCCACTCCAATAGTCATCGCGTTCAGATACTTGGACTTGCATCAATTCAATGGTATTTCCATCGAGCGTCCAGCACAAAGAATCTGTACATCTTCTTTCTGTTCATCTTGTCTCCTCGGCGGCAACCTCTCCCGATGTTGCAGATAGTGTCAGTACATCTTTGTCGGACGCATCTGACTTACGCAGCCCTTTCGCACAATTGGGGAGTGTGCGGATATTGCCAAGCGAATCCACTCCCACGTACGTTTCCGCATCGGTTTCTCCCAACTCCGAGTCAGGCCCATATTTTTCGCCCTCCAGCGCTTACAACTGGCAATCAGCTACTTCGCGTATTGAGTTGCCACGACTTGATATGAAATATCTCCGGAGTGCATCTGGCCAACTTCCCATCACGCCTGATTCCCCTGTGCGCTCCTCCAATTTTGAGAAGAGTACGGCACATGGTCAGGATCAGATAGTGTATGGGTATCTATCCCCAAGTGCTTCTGGTCCAAACGGCATAGTTGTCGAAGGGAATGTCAATTATGAGGGTGGATTTGCTAGTGATCTCTCTGGGATGCTTCCCACGCCCATATCTCCCAATACGCAATCCGGAAGGTGACAATCTGTTTGTTTGAACTTTCCAGAGTCTTGCTAATACACGTACAGTCCGACGACCCCTGTCGACTTGACAAGTTGGATTACTCGTAGTTATGGCCTTGATCCCATAGCTGGGGGTGCTTTTGGCAACGTCTGGAAGTGTACTTACGATGATGGTACCAGGTGCATCCCGGTTCGTACAGCATGTGAATCGATGACAAGGATATCCTTATAGGGTGTTTCAGGTTGCTGTCAAAGGCTTCAGATTCCAAGTTGACAAAAAGACCTCGAAGGTTTGCCAGAGCACTGCTCGCCCATACCCACGGTCTGATAGTTATGTGTTATAGAGACTGAGGAGAGAAATGGGCATTTGGAGAAGACTCAATCACCCGAATGTCATGGAATTTATGGGTTATGCTTTCGGCTTTGGTATCTCGATGGCCCTTGTTGCCCCTTGGGCTGCAAATGGAACTTTGACCGATTGCCTGGAGAAATGTTGGTCGATCATCACTATTGCTGATCAACTCAGTTTGGTATGATCGTATCATTTGCATTTGTCCTCTATCTCTAACGGTACTGTTTGCTCAGTTGGACGACATCGTCTCTGGTCTCACTTACCGTCCGTGTCTTTTTACTTGTCTTTAATTCATTCTGAGTATAATTCTACAGTACACTCTTATCCTAATAATCCCGTGACCCACGGCGATCTCACTGGGGTACGTAACCACCTCCCCCTACTTAATCCACGAACTCATGTGTTCAAAGTCTAATGTTCTTATCCTCGGGGACATGACTGCATGTATCGCCGACTTTGGACTATCAAGCATGCTCGGCGACCTGCAGACTGGTTCGACGTACCTCGCAGCCACCGTTATGTATCCAGGCGCAGTACGATGGACAGCTCCCGAGTTCCTCCTGTCAGATGACGTTCAGCCGACGACGTGCAGCGACATCTACTCCCTCGGCAGTATCATGCTCCAAGTAAGTACCCAAAGCCATCCCCAGCGTTCAGCAAAGTCGACGATATGTTTATCTGCAGGTCTTATCAGGCAAAGTACCCTGGCACGAGATCAAACGGGAAGTGATCATCATACAGGAGATTCAACAAGGAAACACCCCTCGCTGTTCGTCCCACTCTCCTCTTGTCAGTGAACTATGGCCGTTTATCCGCGAGTGCTGGTCGTTATCACCAGCCTCACGACCCACGGCTGGCACCGCCCTCGAATTTATCCGAGACATTAAAATTAGATTACTCCCATTCCCTGTAGGTGGCCACGACGCACCTGATTCTACCGCTGCACACCCTACAAGTAGTCCCGGTCCATCAAAAAGGCCACGCTTGACAATAATTACGTAGGTGTTAGACTATAATAACGGAAGCATTCTTCGGTGCTAGAGGTGATGATGATGGTGACGATGATGCAGATATATTTTTCACGAACAGGCATTCAGGACTCCTTTCGTTTATTCTTGTATTAACCATTGCCAGTGCATGGCCCCCTCACGCAACTGTATCGTAGATCTCAAGGGACACGAAGGCTGTTTATAATATACTATTTGCACGCACCCGCGTGCGTTTACTCCTAGTAGTACTTACTAGTTTTGTTGTAGTCATTCCTTTACCTGGTTTGGGCCCTATGGTATCGGAGTTGTGTCTTGCTGTTTAATGTCCGTCTAGCCATTTGCTTGCAATGCAGCTGCGTATGAATTAATACATAGTGTATACGTAGATGAGTCACTTGCCAACAAAAAACACGAACACCTCACGCGTTCCGCGAATTCCGGTCATCGCATCGCACGAAGCCTTGGCACTTTGAAGCTGTGCATGAATGACGCTAGCTGAAGCCCGAGTTTAATATCCGAAGACTCAGCATGGTCCGCAGTGAACACTTAGACTTGGCAATTCATCATATGTGATAGTTTCATTACACCCCACCGCAGTCGATGCGGCGCCATGTAAGGTAAAGTATTACGACGAATTGATAATCGGGTGGATATGCGAAGCCTCCCCCATGTTCCCATCAGAAAAGCAATAACAAATCGAAGAAGGGTATCGAATTTCTAAAGAGAAAAAGGAACAAGGCGGGGCACTGCAGCAGCAGCACCACCAACAATAAGTCTAAAAAAAGGAGCGATTGATGTACTCGTGTCTAGAGCAGCGCATACAATATGTACCAGGGAGTGTGAGCGGGTATGTATAGGATTGGTCTAGTACGGATGGAGCGTGCGTTATGGTGTGGCGTATGGCAAGTAGGTGGCGTGGCGTGGCGTGGAAGGGAAGCAGGTCTCCTGGCGTAGTAGTGTGGCAAGGAACTCGCAAGTGTGCCAGGTAGGAGGAAGGAGGGGGAGGATGTGATACTGATAGAAATATACAGATAGGTGATAGGGCCGGCGAGATCGATAATAAGTTCTGAAGCATACGATTTTGAAAGGAAGGGGAGGAAAGATAGCAAAGGATAAACTAAAAAAAAAACACGCAAGCGTGAAAACGGATACAAGTAGCAGTCGCAGGAAAAGCAAATCAAAGTGTAAAAAAGGAAGAAAAAAAGCGCAACATTCAAACACCAGGCATGAATCCCAACGGCGATCACCTCCCAAACCCGCTCCCGCTCCTCGGCCGTCCCCAATTCGCAGTAAGCCCGCCGATGCCAACACCCCCACCGGCACCGGCACTAGTACCAGCGTTCTGGGCTGTAACCCATGTAGGCGCAGAATCGCTCCTCGCCCTTTGATGCTGCTGCTTCTTCTCACCACCAACATCCATATCCAAATCTAGATCCAAACTCAAATTCATCTCCCCCTCAATATCTTCATCTCCCCCCATCGAAGCACCGCCAAGTCCAGAGACAGACCCGCCTCCCATAGGAGAAACCATCGGAGATCCACCACCCATCGAAGACCCAACACTGCCCACGCTAACGACACTTCCCGTCCTTCTCTGCCTCTTCTCCCTCCCTCCTTGCTCTCGCATCCCGTGCGCGTCTACATCAGGAGTGGGCGTGAGGGTGATACTGGGTTGGCGCCCGTGTCCGTGCCGACCGAAGGCGGAGAACTCACTGGAGGTAGGAGAGGGGGTTGATGTGTGCAAGGCGTACTGGGGGATGCTGAGCATTGGGACCGAGGGGTGGTGGTGGCCGTGACCATGGCCTTGGGAAGAGTGCGAATGCGAGGGAGAGTGTGAGGGGGATGGTGAGGGGGGCGAGGTGATGTAGATATTGGGGCTGTGCTCACTTGGGATTGGGCTTGGAGGTACTGGGGAGGGGGAGGGACTTGATGCGTTTAGGGCGTTGAGTTCTTGAATTAGAGTCGGTGATACTATGTATAGGGTTAGTGATAGGTTGAAATGTGGAGAGAAGAACATACCAGTTCCGATTGCGTCGCATAGCGACCTTACAATTCCGGTCAATTTCTCCACTTTCCGTCGTTCACGGCGCATCTCGGCACCTGCCCAATTCATCCAAGCGTCGCTTCCTCCCATGCCCATACTGTTACTAGGCCCCATGATATTGAATGAAAACCCTTCGTCACTGCCATCATCATCATCATCATCTCCCCCGATATGTAACTTCGGGGGGGAGTTACTAGTAGATTGGGATAGTGTGTTGGCGATGTGAGAAGGGACGCGTCCACCTAGACGTGAGACCTCGCGCCAAAGGGCCTTGTTCTCGTCTCGCATGTCGTTTAGGAGACGAGCGACTTCGCCAGGGAGTTCGACGCTAGGGGTAGATGAATTTTAGGTTGATGGCGGTGATTGAGGGGACTTACCGTCCACGTTCACGAGGATCAGGCTCAAGAGCTTTACGTTTAATGGCGTCCAAGAGGTCTGGACGTGCGCGAAGGAATTTGGGATGGCTGAATTCCCAAGTCTGAGATGTCGTTGATGTGCGTTGGGCGCGTGGTGTCTGTTTTACAAGATGTTAGATGGTGAAGGCGAGTGGAGATAGGTACAGACTCTGTTGATTTTGTGAAAGCCGTACATGTTGAGTTGGCGTACAAAGCTTGAAAACTGTGGGAGTGTCAGTGGTTTGAATTGTAGTGAAGAGGAAACAGACATTGTTGTGTTTGAAATGAGAACCGAGGATGCTCCTGCTGAATTCGCCTACGTTTGAAACGACGAAACTAGAAAGAGCGAATGAGCTAGAACGTGAGAATGATGGTATAGTACTGACCTTGTTCCGAGTTCAGTCCATGCGATGAAAGACTGGCTCTTTGGATCGTTGATCATCCTGTAGATATTGAATGATAGATATGAAAGAGTGGATTGAACGCACTGATAAAGCTTTGTTACAAAGTTATTGGTGCCCATTGGTTTACCGATGACGCCTAGACTAGGACCTGTTGTACTAGATTTTTGGCCTTCGTCGTCGCTGTCGGCTTGATCTGGGATTGAATAAGATGTTATGCCATCGGGATCATCGTATGTCGCGTTTATATCGATCCGATGTTGGGGCTGTGAACTAGCCGGTGTGAGCGGACCTTGTGAAGAAGGTTCGCTCATTGAAGGGGGCGATGAAGCTGTTGTTGTTATGATTGGATGCGGAAGTACGTGTCCTCCATAAGAATGAGAGTGACCGTGGCCATGATTAGTCGGTGGAGGATGAGGAGCGGTGTTTGTGAGACTTCGTTTACGTGGTACACTCTTTTCTACTACTAATTCGCCTGATGAAGTAGAATGAGATCCTGTACTTGGACGACGTTGAGCCAGTAAGAGAGATGAGTCGTCTGTTGGTTCAAAGTTGAATTGAAATGTAGGAGGTTGTGGACTGAGATGAGCCGGACTGAAATTTGGAGGAGATGTAGGTGTTATAGGAGATACACCGTGATGAAGATGTGAAGATACTGAAAGTGAACTGAGGTTGAGCGTTAGATTACTACTAGTTGGTCTTGAGGGAGATTGTTGCTGATTTGGAGTGTAATAGTAACCCGGTGAAGGCGACACGGGTGATGAAAAACCAGTAGAAGTTGTCGATGACCATTGTCTCGGTGATTGTTCTTGGTTTGAATAATCGTAGTCCATGTTTAAAGTAAGTAAGTAACAAGTGACAACCTTGGTCAATCCTTTTAATCCCATTATGTCATCCCAAACGTGTACACAGCATGTCATCTTATCCCCATTTAAGCTAGTTAATTATTAATCCGAATATTGATCCCTTCACCCCACATGCATGCCTGCCTGCATTCACGACCTGTCCACTCCTTCACCTTGGACATGATACCTCAGACTGGGGACAACACTTATGGCTGTACTTCGGCCATTAATGGCACCTCGCTCAAGGCGGCTAATAACCGGCCAAAATTGAAATAACAGACTCTAGTACACTCACTATGTGCGTTTTCCAAACCATGAACCAGCTTCTGGTATAGCGATCTGCAGCCGATAACACGTAATCGCGGGAGCGCCCCACTAGTAAACCTATCATCTCGACTAGCGATCGATTGGCTATTCCGCGCGCGTCCGTGTTGATCGTGAAAAGTGGCAGTTCACCTGCTCCCAGGTAGCGTTAAAGTTGTTCTCCGAACGCGCAGACTCAGAGATGTCACGTTACAATGAACTTACCTGGCTGTAGCACGAGTGAGTGTACCTAGAGACTAGCGATCGATTGGCTGTTCCGCGCGCGTCCGTGCTGATCGTGAAAGCGGTAGTTTACCTGCTCCCAGGTAGCGTTCAAATTGTTCTTCGAAACGCACAGACTCAGATATGTCACGTTACAATGAATTTAACGGGCTGTAGCACGAGTGAGTGCACCGCGCCAGGGAGGGTGAAAACTGCTGGTAGCCCTGACGATCTTGGGCTTATAGATGACTTTTCTGGATGTCTGCCAGGGATCATAATTAGTTTTCAGATGGAAAGATTCTTTCAGAAGAGAACACGAGTAAACCGCACAGGACAGATGGACACTGCCGATAATTTGGTTGGTTGCTGTTCGAAAAGGTGAAAATGAATCGTATGTTTTCAAGTCAGAATTGGTAGTTCATCGGCATAGCCCATAGCCGCTGCAAATCCAATAGCTATTTCAAACTCCCCGGGTGCTTGTATTCAACACCGGTAAGAACGTATTTGTCGATGAGGCAGCCGTTGAGGCGAACGAAATTGGGTCGTACTACTAGGATGGCGAGGGGTTGATGATCGCGGAGATCAGAAGCTCACCGGCAAAACAACTCATAACAACTCGGTTCCCTTTCGAGCCTGTAATCTTTTAAGCTAGCATACCACGACAACATGTCAGGCCTGAGTGGTATGTAGGCCATCATGATTTGATATTATATGGTTCCGCATCCAACCGAACCAAACCCTCTAACTATGGATTTGCAGTGCCGGCCCGGGGGTACTAATATCACGATTGGGGTGAGCATTTTAAGGTAGTCCTAAAAATTACTGATATTCTCGAAATATTTTCGGCACTGTCTCAAGAAAAAACAAGTGTTGTCAGAGTTCCAGTGTGCGTAACTTATGTTATGGTGCAGTCAGTGACTTGTAGTATCTTCTAAATATCATAGGTGTGCTATATTGAAATACCGCATACAGGTTATGTTTGCAAGGCTAAAAAAGACTAGCGCTGTGCTAATAATCACCTCTCATAAATAGCATCAACGTGTTGAGTAAATTTACTTTCCTGTATTCCTTCTGACTAGCGGCATACAGAGTCTTCCATCACTCTCAGTGTCAGGTATAGTGCGTATTCTGCATGTCTACCTGCTTGTCATTCAAGTCCAATTAATTGCACCCCTGTGTAGGGGTAAGTTAGATCCTTATCTTGTTGGTTCAATATGACAACCGCAGCAGCCGCTGTGATTTTGTTTAGAGTTTGATCCTCTGAAGCTCATCACTGACTAGGTTTCCAGGAAAATAATTATAATTTCGATGCAAATGTTCACATCTCTCATGCTGAGCAGTGATATTGACTAGACTGAAACGTGCCGCAAGTCATTGTCATCATTCGGTCATATGCTTATATGCCACGCACCAGGATCTAGGAAGATATTGTTTTTGCTTGTTGCCTTCTTCCTGGCCAGAATATACATGACACACGTTTCAGGAGGTAAGTTTGAACTACGGACAAAAGAATCAAGTGCATCATGTTCATTGGAAGTTACCAGAAGAACTTGTTCTCTCCGAGTCTGGCACCATCAGTGCCCTTATGAGGGAGATATCCGTTCTTTGGCATCATAGGCTGTGTACTCCACGATGTGTGAGAGGTTCTCGCACCGCATCTTGTTACTGTGAAACGCTTCTGTGAGTTGCGACAATTCGGAAGGACGTACCGTTAGGAGCCGCTTCATGGTGTTGTCAGTTGATACCAACGTACGTGTCATACTTTGCAAGGTTATCTTTTCCCACTGAAGCTATGCAATCGCTGAATTTGCCGCTGCTTCTTGCCTCAACCTCAGTATCCTCTCCAAACATCTCGGTATGTCGGCCCGCCATGATATCTATTTGAAATCACTGTTCATCATTTTCTACGTAACTCAGCTGTCACGGAGTATTCTGTCATTCCATGGTCATGTACAGGTATTTGTTTGTATGCCAAGCTCATATCTGACTCAGATGCAGGGACCAGCCTGACTATTACGATTGCTTTCCAGGAATGTGGCACATCAGGGGACCAGTGGAATCAACGTTTTGCACCCTGTAGAATTCATCGGTCCTCCGATGGAGCTCTGTGTCCACAAGAGGTTCTCCGAGTGATTGGCGGTTGCCAGGAATGTGCAGGGAGTCGGAGAGCATGCTTGGACTATACGTTATACATATCCCAAAAGTCCATTTATATATCTAGCATCCACTTTGCTTAATCATGCTACCTCTAGGAGTCTGTGGTGTGCTTCACAAAGTCGTCGAAGTCCACGGTGATGGACATGGTATATATAATGTTCGGTTGACACCATTGCAAGATCCCAATTTGAGTTCGAACAAGCTCTGCCCTACTTATTAGTATATGAGATGCTGATAAGGTTACCTTTCCCCCTGATACGAAACGCGCACCCCAAAAAATAATACAATTGCGTTCTGCCAGCGCCCTTCAAAGAATTCAGAGCACAATGAATAATATTATGTAATAATTTGGAACAAACAAAGTTGTGCTTACTAACCCTATGCGGTGTTTGTTGGGATTCAGTGCAGCCAGGTTTCTTTCAAGGGCCCCGTCCATACGAATGTTATTAGCGCTCTGCAGGTCTTAAACAACTGAACCTGAAATAACAACAGTATATTTACAGCATGGACAACTCACCTCTGCCACCACGACCGATACACATAGACTCGAAAATGCAGAAAGGGCAACGCGTAGGAGATAAAGTACCAGTCGATGACACCAATAAAGCCAGAGTAATTTATTTGATGTAACGTGCCATGCCTGAAACTTACTATTGTCTAGGCACCAGCTGTACCTCGTGGAAAGTTCAAAGAAAAGTGCGTTTCGATTGCATGCATCCCCACGTCGGCTCACTATTTGCCAGATTTCAAGTTTTGAGAGAACGCTTTGATCAAGTTGTAGGGGTACGTATCTTAACCGGAGCACTCTTCAAGCAGTATGTTCAACTCTACTAGGAACGCGAGGTACTTGAGAGAGATCTTGAGCTTGCGAATGCACGCATGCGGAAGCTTCAGGCTGAGAATGAGTGCGCCCGCTTTTGCTTTTTCGGCCTGCGTTACTGACATGCTTGGTTATTTTAAGCTTGCTTCTTGATGCCATCAATCTTACAGTTCCAGCAACCCCTTCCCTCATGCATCTCACCCGCCCCTCTCCGACAATATATCCACACCCCGCAGCACCTCCAATGGCACTGCCCCCATCTCACCACATGAACGGGCATAGCGTTAGTGTTTCCCATGTTAACGGGAGGTATCGTCCAGTCGATGTGCGCTCGCAAGTTATCCCTCGTCAATATTGTCATCTCTGATCTTTCTTCTGATAGCCACGTGACATCACACCTTCAGAGCGGGGTCGTGATTATCGGGATATTCCTCCTGAAACTACAGGGAACGGGCGCTTGTGAATACGAACTAAATGCGCGACTTTCGATTGGAATCAATTCGTAACCCCAGCATTCTGCCACGCTCGTCTTTGTGCCATTGGCTAACGAAGTGTCGGTTCTTGATCCCCGCTTATTCGGACTGCTAGAGGGAAGACAGTGCTTCCTGCCGGTATAGGCATGAAACTTAATGATCTTACTCATCAGCTGTCAACTTGATCGATTGCTTTCATCTAGTGATCCATCAATGCTACCATGCGTATCAAATACACTTGATTGATCCACACGGATAACTTTTGATAGATTGTTGTATAAATTTTACACCAACAATGTGAACGTCTCAATATTCAACGTTCAACGTTAGCCCAGCCACGAACACGGCATGACTTGCCTGACGCACATCATGTCATATTTACTTTTGTAGGCACAAGGGCGGCCTGACAGAACCAGGACATCGATTGACCTCTGCTATTTGTCGCACCTAGGGGGTAAATTAAAGCTTGGTACGTTCCGTACACATAGTATTTATAGAGTCTTCGCTGAACCTCATCTCTGCTCCCTCAAGACCCATGTAATATTAGTGTACGGGCGCTAACATTAAGGGCCTGGAATTGACGCGAGCCGCCGATAAGATTTCATTCCACATTTTCGAGGCTATAAAATGCCGAAGAACGTTTGCCACCAGGGCATGATATAGACGGTCAATGAAACTTCTAGTCATGACGTTACACCCTTGTCGGTCGTGGGTCCGGGCGGAATGGCTGTTCGCCGATAGTTGGCTATTGTTGGCAGGGGGGCTATTACTAATGCCGACATGAATTGAGTGCAAACTGCGATTCGGTGCTCTCTTTTACAATTTTTATACCTCGTGGAACACCGCCTACCATGGCTTTACAAGGCGCGAAAATTCTGCGCCTTATAAGTGTTGTACCTCAATGATCAGTGGCATTATCAATTTGAAAGTGTCATGTCGGAAGAAGAGGCTGTCAGTGGCCTTCGATGGAATGACTATATTTCCGGTTCGTCAGCTTTGAAACGATTTACGATGGAACAATCATGCTGATTGTTGAATCCAGTGATAACTATTACCGTTGTATCCTATGAATACCGTCAGTGACCTTTGAGATTCTTGTACTTTTGCTGAAAGAAAGATTATCTAGTTCTTCACTTGGACAAAGAGGTGATAAAGCACTTCTTTTATGACGATCAAATACTTATGGCTGTGATCGGTGTAGATCAAATATGTCTGGGTCAGTGTCCAACCCCAAATCTGCGCAATGACACTAGCGTGGAAACTGACTAGATCTCCAGCAACGCCCATGGTCACCGATGTCATATCTTTATCTCGTTGTGAGTTTAGTGCCGCAATGGTACTGCATGATCTTTGATTTTCTTCTATACTAGGTTCGATATCTTGGACTTTTCCTTGCGCTGTACGTCGTTGTATCCTTCAAACGGTAGATTGTATGTTGACATTGACCCTAGGCTTTGGGGTTGTTGTGTGTAATGCTTTGTTAAGTTAATCATCATTCGCTGATTAGCTCTAGGGGGAGGACTGTTGTATATGCCTGAATCAGTGAGTGTAGCGATGCTTCCTGTCTTCACAGAGTTTTGGTTGACCCCCATGTTTCAGCCGTACGTCTTGCTTTCGATCGAAAATCGGTTTCAATAATTGTTGATTTCTCATCTATATAGCTGCAAGTATACCAATCTCAACATGAACTGCCTTCACTCATCATGAAAATGAAATAGGTCACGGTCTTGTCGTTCTTATGGAATGGGGCTATTCCGCATATAGTTGCATTGCAGAAGGTAAGTGATGCATGCCGCAACACGTTGCGCGTACCGAATTTGCATCTACAGTCATTCTCATTTGGCGTCTTTATGCGCTGTACAACTGTTCAAAGCTCCTTCTTTGGATCCTACTGGGGTTGCTCCTACCCATTGTTGCCGTATCACTAGCAACAGATATCTTTTTATACAGTCAATCCAGCATCTTCTCAGGTAGGTGCATGTTTATTGGCGTTGACCAAGACCTAATCCCTGTCTCGTAGTACAAGAAATAATAACTGCAGACGCCACGTACTGCACGTTTTGGTTCAAGAAAAAGCCTTGGCTTCTGGCCTTTTTCTCTATCCCCATGGTGTGCTATGATATCCTCCTACTTGTTCTCGCGGCTGTAAGACTCGTAAAACACCTCAAAGAACGGAAGAAGATCAACGTGAAGCCTAACACATCTGTATCTATCATCGTTCGACTTCACATTGTGTGCTTTGCGCTGTAAGTCCCATTTCCTTTGTTCTAGCGTGTTCTGAAAGTATTAATCGAATTATGATAGGAATTTGATAAACCAAATATTTTTGGTGGTATTATGGGCTGGTACTCCAGTATGATACTTCTGACGCCTTACAGAAATCAGCTCATGTCACCTTTTATCATTCACAGGTCTCGTTGGTGAATATCTCAGAGCTCATTAACAGTACCGTGCCATATATTCTCGCGCCGCGTCTCACCATTAGTATCTGGGATACTCATGCTTATCGCAACTGCGTATATGTCAGTAGGACATTTGAGGATTGCGGGTGTTGGACTTCGCCGGTGCTATTTGAGGAGCATGAAATGAGTTCTGAGATAGAATCAAGAGAGTGGTGACGGGATCACCTTCGGACAAGCACTACGACCAGATCTTGTTTAGGCAAGCGCGGGACTAGAAGATACTGGAGTAGTGAGTGGGATATTATATTTTGTCAATATTAGAGTAATGTACAAAAACTTGCAGCGCATATATCACGATGGTTTTACTATGTTGTACGTACTGTCCATATGCCATAGGGCTTCGGCCTAACATGAACGGACAATAAACAAAGATTCAAAAAAGCGATATCGACAATACTTCGGATAACCGATCCAGTATTGGGAAAGATTAGATTAGGTCTACCTATAGGGGATAGATACTATCAACAGTCGGAACACACATGTATGGTAATAAAATGTGTAGGGTACCCACCAGGGAATAGACTCTGACTTTGCCTTTTTAGGACCACTCAGCGATATTCGACTGTGTTCCGTCCAGAGCCAACGGTTCTGGAGTGGATACTACCACTCCTGCACTTCATGAATCCAAGCTCATATACTGTCGTATGCATACCTTGTTTCTATTGGCGCTGGTTTGGACACTGAATCTCTGATCCTGACACTAGCACTTGATATTGATATTTGTATCACTTTTACATGGATCTGATTTTGACCGAGTGTCACGATGAATGATGCGTGGTGTCAGGCTCGGAAGGGTCGAGGAACTCGATGCAAGCTGAGAGTTGGTGTCTGAACGGTTCATGAACGCAATTTCATGGGGGAATCACGTCCTGTTGTAACTTAGCAGTGCTATTGCCATTATCAAGACAGTGTCTGCGAGATCAGGTAGGGTTGAATAAACCTTCATATCACGGATTTTTCCTGAGGTCAGGGTTATCATCAAAATATTGCATAATCCACTGGAACACCTCAGCTTCAAGTCTAGTCTTGTGGAATCACAAGGTTGCGGCTATAACTCCAGCTTCTTGGTCTCGACTGCACTAGCTGCTGCCAAGAGGTTTTAATTAGCCCTCTTCTCTCTGACAGCAGGTTTTCATATATTTGATTATCAGGGACGTTCAAAGTTGGGAGTACGTTCCCACTGTGCAAGGTTCGCTATACGCTACAAGCAGTGTTGTGGGCAGAAGCCCAAGTGTGTCTGAGCCTCTGTGCACGCCAGAATGTCGTCAAAAAGTCCAAGGGTCGTCCTACTCGAAAAATCATCACTGACCACTTTGTCAACAGAAAAAAGTTCTGAATTCATGATGCTAGGGAAACGCATGGGTACGGGTAACACCGCGGTTCTATGCTGAAGGGTTTGGCGGGCACGGCACAGTGTAGGATAGTTATTAGTCACGACGATGGTTCAACGTCAACGTTGGCGGTGTTTGGGTGGGTAAGACTTACCCAGTCAGGCTGACCCATGTACTAGCAATATTGATTCTCTGTGCTCAGAGTGATATTCATTGTATCGCCGTCGATATCATGTACAATCTTCTTGATAATGTACCCGTGGTGTTTTCCATGTTTACAGGCCAGTGTATCTCTGTGGTGGGTGTGACGACTTTCCGACCTGCGGTGTTACCCGTGCGGAAACCCAAAGAACAAACATCCCAAACACTATTCACTTGACATAACCTTAGTAAATGAACTTCAAAGGTCTTTTGCATAGGTGTCTTCAGACTCTTCACTAGATGGTGATTCTCACAACCTGGACGACGAATTTTATTTTCAAGGGAAGCCATATTGATTGGAATGAACTGGAGAATATCGAGGAGATTTACGTTGTAGCGGTGTTCCAGTTCGAGCAAAAGGGGTCTCATGGTGAGTGGGTTTAGTGTCTCGATGTGCACGAGACTCGAGCCTACCCCTACTAGCCTCCCTTCCAACCGTAAACCACCCTTCCGGTGGGTCACGGTCACTGGACGCAGCTGGCCGGTTCTCATCTTGCGGTTGCAATCATGTGACAGGTCCTGCACTCTCATTAGATATATAGGCTCAATAGTTAACCCAAACAGACCCACAAGGTCAGCGCAGTTGGGGTAGCAGAGGCTCAGTTGCCCCTTGATGAGAACTTTCGCAGGTTCGGAACCGCTGCCATTCCCGCCATCCTAGCGATCCTCTTTCTTTAGCTAACAGACTCTTATCCTAGGAGACGGGTGACTGCAGTAGGTGTTAATAACGTGGTCTGCCTCGCGATGCTCTGCTGGACACTATGGCTTGGGCCTCGCTCATCCAAGCCAGTCATCTAGAGAGTAATATTCGATGGTTTTTAATTGGCTGACTACACTACTAGGATCTGGCAACTCAGGTACCACATATAACAAGTACCTCGTCAACTTCTGGACGAAATTAAAGTGATGCATACAAATACACGCTGAGCTTTTCCGACCTGTGATTTCATTAATTTGTGCACCTTCAAGTCTCCCAAATTAGTCGAATACTCGCAATATGCCACCCGTGCGCAATTCTGGTCGCCAACATGCTTGGCATATTATCTGACGGGTTCGTTGCAGGTACACCTAGATAATATCGGAATCCCTGCAGGGGCCTTACCGAAGTATCATCGACAAACGGGCGCCGTGCGGCCTGTGGTTTGTGCTTCATGTCAGTTCATGAAGAAGCATAGAAGTTGCATCACAGACATCCTGCGACGACCTATTTGCCAGTGCGCGCTTCCGCAAAACAAAAATCTGGTGTGGATTTCTAAGCATTGACATCCGAAACGGCATCGCGGAGATATAGATTTTCCATACGAGTGAAACACATACTCGCGGCATCCAATTGCCTTGATCTTGTAGTATGCGTGCGCACATATGGATGTTCTGAATGATGGTAAAATTTATCTAAGCTGAATCAGGCTACCATATGTTGCATAGATGCTGACGACAACTGCAAAAATGTTCCAGACCGCTGTGGCCAGTTGACCCATGGACGCATGGTTGGAGTAGGGGAAGCTCGGGCTCCTGGCTTTGTCTTTGCCTTGCTCGCGGCACGCAGGCACAGTCGCGGGACAAAAGAGAATTTGGAGTCTCCGTGCAAAGACGATGCTGGATGCTCAAAATCATAATTCTGCCGATTTTTGCCAATCTGCCAATTGCTGAGAACTCGTACTAAAATATTTCTGCCCCCGCAAGGGTTTAGTCTGATTTAAAGTCCGACGATTATCCAAGGTTACCATGTTTAGTAGTGACCATCATGGACGTGGGCCAGGCGTGGCCGCGTGGGCGGTGGTTCATGTGCGCCCAACTTTAACTTGTCCCTATGAGATGAAAACTTACCATCGTTCCCGGCCTGATTTGTGCTTCCTCAGGCTGAAAGGCGGCGTCGTTATCCATATCAATAGTAAGCGCTTTATAGACCGATGTTGAAGGTGCGCAGTTGATAAGACTTCACATTCTCTAGGCTATTATAAGCGTCATCATGACGACTGGCATACCGTGCGAGTACTGGCAGTGAAGAATCCAACCAAAATATAACAGCTACTAGTATTCTCCGAGTCATCAGTCTTGAATTTGGGTGTGATGTATATTCGTTGATGGAGAACATCGACTTGGAAATCAACAGGAAGCGCAGGTAAACTCGGTACTATTTCCTACTACATTTTTCATTACATCTAGTTCCGAATCCTAGTGCACCAAATGAAGGATCCGGACGAATACCTCAGTCCCCACGACTCGGAGGCAATCGCGAGTTGACCTGAGGAAATTCTGTGCCTTATCATAAGTTACTCCAACAACCCTAATCCTCTTCGAATTCTCCATTCCATCTGCACAGTGCCATGTCGGAAGAAGAGGCTGCTGCTGCCGCTCTCCGCTGGAATAACAATGTGTCTGGTTCGTCAACTCCTTAACCTGATCTGTCAACATCAGCGTGCTGAACATCGATTGCAGTAGCAGCTATCGCCCTGATATCCTATGAGTACCGTTAGTAGTCTTGGTGAATCATGTACTCTTGCTGAGCGAAAGATCATCTAGTTCTTCTGTTCAGCAAGGAGGTAACAAAGAACCTTTTTTCTGTCGGTCGAGTGTTGATGGTTCTGATTATTGGCATAGATTGAGTATGTTTGGGTCAGTGTCAAGCGCCTTATCTAGACGATAAACCTAACCCAAAGATTACCTGAATCTCCAGAAAAGACCGTGGTCGTTGATGTCATGCTTGTACCTTGTTGTGAGTTTCGCCCTGCCACAGTGTTCAGTCAAAGGTACGATGCTTTTTACTAGGTTCGATATTTTGGGCTTTTCCTAGCAATGTATGTCGTCCCCTCACACTGTACACATCATGTTGACATGTTTTCACACTAGGGTGTGCGCCTGCTGTATGTGTCACTAGCCTACGCCAACTCGGGTCATCGTTGACTGACTTGCACTAGGGGGAGGTCTGTTGTATATACCTGAATCAGTGAGCATACGCCTTCTACCGTTCAAGAACTTTTACTCAATACATCTCTCAGCCGTACGTTACCAATTCATTTCACATCGAACTAAACCCCACCACTTGTCCTCTTATCTAGCTGTACGTATGTCATTTTCAACCTGAAGCGCATTCGTTCATCGTCCAATTGGTACAGGCTACGATCTTATCGTTTTGATTGAATGGGGGTTTTCGGTGTATTTCTTCTTTGCAGAAGGTAAGATATACATTCTTATCCCGCTACACGTACCAATCCCGTATCTGCAGTTATTCTCATCTGGCGTCTTTATGCCATATGCAACCAATCCAAGCTCGTACTTCATGTTCTGGTGGGATTGTTCTTGCCTATCGTTGCCCTCTCGATAGGGACAGACATCTATTTGTACAGTCGACGCCAAGTGTTCTCTGGTAAATTTGTCCCTGATCTCTTTGGCTGCAATCTGACCCGCTCATTCCATAGTGAAAGAGATAATGACTCTGAACACCAAGTACTGCACTCTTTCCTTCAACACAGGACCTATGCTTGCGATTTATACTTCTATCCCCATCATGTGCTATGATATCTTGCTCGTCGTTCTCGCGGTCATCACCCTCGTGAAACATTATATAGAACAGAGGAGGATCAAAATGAAGCCTAATACCTACATGGTAATGATTGTCCGGTATCATATCATGTACTTTGTCCTGTAAGTTCCGCTTCGTCCATTGAGTTCTAAAAGAAATAATTGCATCTCGCTAGGAATCTGACAAATCAACTCTTACTAGTGATATTATGGGCTGACATTCCAGTATGAATTTTCCAAGCTATGCAGAAATTGATTGACGCATACATTCACAGACGCCAGCCATGAGTCTCTCAGAACTCTTCAACGGTACAGCGCCCTTTATTCTTGCGCCTCGTCTTATCATCAGCATTTGGGATACGCATGCCAATGAGGAATGCGTACATGTCAGCACGACGTTCGCCGATTGTGTATGCTGGACTTCGCCACCGAACTTTGAGGAGCAGGAGATGAGTCCTTGCGTGGAGCATCCTGAGTCCACGTTTAGCATAGAGACGGAGGGCATCGAGGCAGAGACTGCGTGACACTGATATCTGTATTTATGAATAAATTACTTCTAATGATCACCTATGGTTACAAGAAGTGTGTCCTGGAATATAACCTTGCAGCGTTTAATTAGTTATCCTAGGCTCGGTCAACCCTACATAGATCCTGAGGATCCTGAGTCTGCTTGCAAATTCTTATATTTAAACATGCATGTATTCAATTTCATTTCAAGTCTGGCATCACTACATATATATAGGTTTGCCAATCAGGATATATTCATGAGGTTCTGAGGTGGTGGAATCGGTCATAAGGTTACACAAGACTGGAACGACGACGATAAAACAGAAGATAGCAGAACTGCAGAAGGATTACAAGGCAGGCTAGCTACCCATTAGTACATACAGTCGGAGATAGTCAAGGATACACCTGATACTGGATATATACCAAGATTTACAAGGAGCAAAGGAAACACAAAGAAAACGCAAAGAAAATTCGAGAAACAAAAGCAAGCATAACTTTGCACGTTCACTGGATTTCTAAGCATCTTGACACTGAACAACACCCTACAACAAATGGTTACCAAGTCAACCATAGACCTTGAAATCATATTTCTATTACTCACCTGTTCCTGCACACCTTCCAACTCTTCCACATCATCCAGGCCCGCCTCAGCAAATGCTTGAAGCTGCCTGTCCATTTCACGGCTGAGATCGCGGGTTGCGTAGGATCGCGTTTGAAGACCTCGAAGGTTCAGGACTAGGCGCTGACCAGCTACTGAAAGTAACGGAGTCGCAAACCTACATGTAAAATCTTAATTGAATGTGATGGGGTTGCATTATGGCGAACGCACCCTTTACCAAGAAAATATAATGAATTCTGTAAATCAGTCAGAAATAACGACGGTCCGCTATAAATAAGGAATACCTGACGTTCCCAAATGCAGCCCTGGACACCATAAGCCAATAGAAAGAGTAAGATTATGAACAAGTCTCACCAAGAAATGACTAATCAATGCATTACTGAATATACTAACCTATTTGTGTTGTTGACAACGAAATACATCATGCAAATTTTTTTACGCTCACGATGAAAAATAAGGTAGCTATATAATTGTGATTAATTGCGAACGAAGTGCACCACAAAGCATGCTCACCGTCTCGAAAGAGTACATGGAGAAGACTAGACGGGTAGAGTTGCTGAAATTCCCTTGAGTATTTCCTGAGACTTCGCATCGTCAAGACGAAAAGTACTGTGTCGAGAATAAAGCTTGGGGGATGTTCTTCAGCAAGCGTGAGCACGCAGAACAGAACATCCTAACCTTCCGACGTAAATTAACCACTAGCGTTATATATTAGTGATGTCCATGAGACGTCCGTCGATATACTAAACACGATGTAAAAGCAACTTACCACATATTCTGTGAAGTAGCAGACTATTAATATGCTGTAGGAGTCAAATGACAATCACTTACTAGGCATTTTCGTCACGCAAACATGAATCGCTTGGAGGAACTCGAAGTGAACTACCGCAGCACAACTATTTTTACGAATAAACATAAAAACGGTACAAAATGACTCACGATGATAGGCATGTAAATGGAACGTTGCGCCAACCAAGAGCATAACGATGTAGCCCACGTAGCTCCAGGCGAGGATATTCATCACACCTCTTCGAGTTCCCCAGATAGCCCATGCACGCACGAGCACGAGGACTGAAAAAAACCAAGACCCTCAAGACCTGCAATTGACTATCGAGCAGACGTACGTACTGTGGACCGACTCGGTGGATATAAACATAAAGCAAGTAGTGAAAATTGAGAAGCCTTGACAGAACTGGCATAAAATCGGTCACTTGATGTCTACTCACAAAATTACAACACACCTCTTGAGAATTATGTGCAAGGAGACCAGCTTCTTCCAGCCAGATGGCAGTCTGTCCAATGAGGTTTCCATACCGGTTGAAAAGAAACAAGATTTTGACAACCGTCCAGGGGGAGTCCCAGATGTAGACGAACTGCAACCAAGGGTATATTGTGAACATCAATATGATGCATGTCAGCTAATAAACTCACTTCTTCTCTGAAAGTTAGAAGATAGTCATAGACTAGTAACGTATGGCCAGCTGCGGAGAATGACCTAGACAATATTAGGTGAGAATTCAAAGATGTTGTACGATATATAGACATACTTCCGCACCCAAAGGCCTTCCATGAACTGGGGAGACAGAGACATGGATAACATGGATGAAACAGTTACAGAGGTAAGATCGATCTAACAACGAACGGGTACTGCAAACAGACCCAGTACTGAGATCCAAGAGCTGGCACACTTTAATAGGGTGTCCAGACAACCACAGGCCATTCTAGCTCTCAACTTTCACTGGCAATGACATGGGCAACCAACGTAATAGATATGTAGGGGATAAACGAAGTTTGAACCTAACCTGAGCGAGCGGTAGAACAATGACAGAACCTTGGTGAGCGACAAGACTGATAACAGTCACCAGCACTGGCAGTCCCTACAGTGGGTCGCCCTGAAGACATTACGATAGGCTAACCATGCGAGGTGTTTGGTAGGCGTATAACATTTACGACAGCGCTTAAATTGAGGAGAGTGAGACTTTTTTTGTACATTTGGCCTGGGAGGTTCCATTAGAGTAATGTCGAACGGTGTACCTCAGGCCTGACGGGTAATTCTTATGTGTCCACCAGTGAACATATCTTGAATTAGAAGACCAGGCGCTTGCAAAAAGGGCGGTCTGGAAAGCGATCAAAGATGATAACAATACAAGCAGTGAAACTGAGAAAAGCTCTTGGTGAGCAGTACCAGAGTAAGAAATAGGTATCGACGAGGAGAGGCTCGTTAACCGGCAAGTAAAAGCACATTCAAGCATCGAATGATCCTTCACAATGGGTGAGAGGTGGCGCAGGGTAGTCGGAGAGCGTGAAAGAGTAAAGGTGTGTACGTGACGGGTTTGAGGCGGGACCTGACAACCACATAAACACCAGCAGGCCAGCATGCACAGAGAAATATAAGAGAGCTGAAAGGCAACAATAAGATAAAGTAGGTGACAGATGACGGGGTGACGGTACAGTTCGAAGACCGTAAAGCAGGAACATGAATAAATAGATTGGGTTTGGTTGCGGCGGCGATTAGATACCACCATAGGCATCGCCTTCTTCGTACACGGTGTATACGGTATCGGGCCGCTGGGTATTGGAGATGTCTCGCCTGCGGGACGCTGGGACCGGCTCAGGTGCAGACGCCGTGCTAGCGGTAGCAAAAGGATCCACAGCGTAACCAGGAGATTGTGCACGAGGCACAGCATCCTGTGTATGATAGGTTTCTTCTGCTGCATTGTCATCAAACGGGCTAGGCAATAGAGAATCCGAGTGCTGGGGTGGAGCCATAGTGGAATGTAGGTCACTGCCCAGCTGACGGGATATATCGGCATATTGGGCAGCTTGGAATGGAGTTACGCTGGAACGATCGAGATTGACATAGTGAGCCTGAGGATCGTTAGGGATGGGGTATCCTGCAGCGGATGATTGATGAGATAAGTATGCCGCACTGGACGGTTGCCTAGTAAGGTGACTGTTGATCCTCATGGGGGGTATGCGGCACTGCCATTTGAGGATGCAAGGTATCACTGTAGGCAGCTTGTTGACCATAACCACCGTAATAGTTCTGATAGTTGTGTTGAGCGTTGAGTGCAGGGGATGCGTTGTGACGTTCGATCATGGTTGGTGGACGGGGGTTGAAGGATGGCTCTGGATCATCCACAAGGATAGCAGACTGACGTTTGAAGGCTGAAGCGCTCCATTCGTCTTCATCAGACTGGCGTTTTCGGCGCTAGAATTTAAAATGAGAAGACGAAACGAATCTTCAAAAATAAGACATACGATGCACCACGTGATGAGGAAACCCAGTATAGCCACACCGGCGAGGCAGCCAGCGATACCACCTACGACTGCAGCAGTGTTAACAGAGCCTGAAGAGCCAGCAGTTGAAGAAGGAGTTGCAGATGCGATGGTTCCGGTACTAATGACGATATGAGTTGGCGATGTGAGCATGGAGGTAGAGTACAAGGTGAATGCTGCTGCTGGAGGGGTCTACCGGATAATCAATAGTCTGTATGTGTAAAAAAAAAAAAAGGTTAGATACTGACGGTGGACAGCACAGTTTGTGGGGCTAAGGTTGAGGACGTAGATGAGGTAGAAGTGCTTAAGGAGGTAGCAGTGCTTGAGGATAGGGTTGACGAGGAGGTGGATGAAGAAGAGGACGTAGTGGGTGCAATGGAAGGGGAGGATTGTTGGGTAGAAGTAGCTACAGGGGCGGAGGTGGGGGTGGGGGTAATTATGGTTGGAGTCGAAGTAGTGCCTGGGGCTGTATATTGGTTAGCTCATTTCCGTTAAATTGCAAGTACTGTAAGTGAGCTCACTGCCAGAATTCTGTGCAGCTGTGGTCGGTGCACTACTAGTAGTGGGAGCAGAAGTCAAGGCAGATCCAGGAAGACTTGGACTGAAACGAGCGATCAAGCGCATGTAGTTACGCCTCTCCAAGTCCTGATTTTCATACATGGTTAGTATTGGTTTTGGCCGTGTTTTTATAAAGAATGTAAGTGCAAAAGAGTGAAATGATCCTACAAGAGGATGCTCGCGAAGACGTCGGACGAACGAGGAGTGAAAACATTCAGCATCACACACAATTGTGGTCACAGTCACACAGTCACACAGGTCAATGGCCCTCGTGGGCCTCGTCCGAGAGGCTGATAGTGCGCAGGACCGCAGGTCGAATACCTGGTCAAAGTCTACTCACAAGTTCTTCTGTCAAGTCCACCAGGTGATTAATTCTTTAAGCAATTAATCGGTTGTGATACGCGGCTTTTCACAGCAGCCAGCTGCCACCCACAGTCTGTCCAAACTGGACCCAGCAGCCACTACATAAGCTCCAGCCTGTGCCTGTCTGCCAGCGCTTATTTCTTGATTATGAACGTCGATCTTAGAGAAGTTCATACTGGTAACGAGGTTAGGACACATGGTATTTCCGGTTTCTAACCTAAGCTTCACCCCTTCCTGGTCACCCAGAAGTCTTTATTTCGTTATAACCATTAAGGTTCGGCTTTAAGCAACCCTTCTCGCCACACTCCCTGCTATCGCATGTTCATCACATGCCACATCGTTTTTCTCGGTTATTTCTCTCTTTTTGTCTGCTTAGCACCGTGACTCTGGTAGTTTCCGCTCAACAGCAAGTCATCATTGGGAGTACCAATCCAGATATCGTCTACCTTCCTCCACTATGCAATGTTTCAAATATAGAATGCCTTAGTGCATGGCAGTGAGCGTTTCATTCTTACCACGAACTGGGTCGTTAACTCTTATGTCAAGGCAAACATACATTGACTATCCTAGCATTAATGGAACACCGGTAATTGTTACTAGCACAACAGGCCCGATACCACAAACCGGCAACTTCGTGCCCCAGTTGTTTTTGACCTTTAGAGGTGTGTCATTTAATTCCATCAATTTACAACTATGCTCATGCTATGTAGCATCTACGCTATATCTGCGCACATCTCCCTTTTCCAACGCGACCGTCAATTTCTCCCTCACCGCTGATCCGAGCGGCGTCACAATTACAAAACAGGTCAATACTAACATCAGCCAGATTATCATCGCCGAAAACCTGCCCGAGTCACAGACGACAATATTAGGGCATCACTTTCCTCCAAGAGCTTTCTCCCACCCGTTTGGACGTCGAGTCGATCACGCTCAACGTTACAAATAACAGGTAAGCACTCTCTAGTCTTTGTCAGAGAGTGCGCCAAATACCGCGTATGTGCAATAGTGCGACCTCCTCTTATCTTCCAATACCGTCATTACCCACGTCAACTTTTCCTCCGAGCCTTTTACCATCTTCAACGACCACAGTGAATTCGAATACCAGCCAGCGAACAGGCATCATCATCGGTGCGACTTTAGGCGGGGTGCTTGGCCTTTTAGCCATATCGACAGCAAGTTTTTTTGTTTATTGGAGGTGGCGAAGACGACAAATTTGGCGGTCGGAGGTAGATGTAGGAATATATCCAATGAGACGACGGACGCCAAGGACTTGGTGATCGTAATATACCCTACTTATATCGAGATTTCGGATTTTGGTATGAATACTGAACACAGTAATTTATTGTATAAGGGACTATATACTTCAGACTGAAGTGACTTTCGAAAGTGAGTTGTTTGAGCGTATAAACGTATGATAGGTAGCTGGTAGTGACCATATTGGTCGAACACAGCCATCGCGCGCAGTGCAAGACAAGATCATATCTATTCCACCGCGATCCCAATCGCTGATTATAACCACATTTCGTGCACCGTTTTAGAATGGACTCAGAAGCACCGCTCGTAGTCGACAACGGCACGGGTGTAAGTCTTTATTTGAGCCCTTCTTGACGCGCCCTCAATCATCTCAATCTCACCCGCAGTTCGTCAAAGTAGGCTACGCAGGGTCGAACTTCCCAGAGCATGGTGCGCAAGCCCTACCCAAAGCACACACATACTCCAGGTCAACTAATCCCATCATTCAGTATTCCCTTCCGTCGTAGGCCGCCCCATCCTGCGCGCAGAGGAGCGCGTGGGCTCCGCAGTGATCAAAGACATCATGGTGGGCGACGAAGCCGCTGAGAACCGCAATTATCTCCAAGTAACGCAACCCATGGAACACGGTATAGTGCGCAACTGGGAAGACATGAAGCACCTCTGGGATTACACTTTCGACGAGAAACTCAAGGTCGACCCACGCGGCCGTAAAGTGTTACTCACAGAGCCACCTATGAACCCTAAAGTCAACCGGCAGAAGATGGTGCAGGTGATGTTTGAGGAGTATGGCTTCCAGGGGGTGTATGTAGCGATTCAGGCTGTGTTGACGCTGTATGCGCAAGGTGAGATCTCTTCTGTGCTGTATGATGGTGCTGACTGTTGGTGCAGGTTTAACAACAGGCGTAGTCGTCGACTCGGGTGATGGAGTCACGCACATCGTACCTGTATATGACGGATATGCGCTCCCTCATCTCACCCGACGCTTGGATATTGCAGGTCGAGATGTCACGCGGTACTTGATCAAGCTGCTGCTCATGCGCGGTTATGCGTTCAATCGTACTGCTGATTTTGAGACTGTGCGTGAAATAAAAGAGAAACTTTGCTATGTGAGGTGAACGTTGCGATGTTTTGTACCATTTCATGCGATTCAAATATGGGACTACAGCTACGATCTTGACCTCGACCAAAAATTGTCGGAAGAGACGACGGTGCTTGTAGAAAGCTACACGGTATCTCAACTCTGTCGTCTATCGTCGTATTGCTGAAGCTTGTTTAATACAGCTCCCCGATGGCCGAACAATCAAAGTGGGCTCAGAACGTTTTGAAGCTCCAGAATGCATGTTCCAACCACATCTCGTGGACGTCGACCAGCCTGGCGTGGCAGGTGGCTAAAATCTCATCTCTCCCACTCCACTCATCTCACTCTTTCACCCAGAAATGCTCTTCCTAACCATCCAAGCCGCGGCAGTTGACACCCGAGCGGAACTTTACAAACACATCGTTCTCTCAGGCGGCTCAAGCATGTACCCAGGCCTCCCGAGCCGACTCGAAAAAGAAATGAAACAGCTGTATCTTACGCGTGTGCTGAATGGCGATCCAACGCGGTTGAACGTATGTCTGCTTCCTGTTTTTCCCTGTCACTGACATGTCGCCTCTCCCAGAAATTCAAAATTCGCATCGAAGACCCTCCTCGTCGGAAACACATGGTGTTCCTAGGTGGTGCTGTTCTCGCTGACATCATGAAGAACCGTGCAGAATTCTGGATATCAAGAGAAGAGTGGTTTGAGCAGGGTATTCGTTCTTTGGATAAGCTAGGACGTGGAGAGAATTAACCAACGATGGGTATGATAACTTACGATGGACTTCCGGTAGTTTTCTGATGGACCACCAAAAGTACGGTTTGTTGGTAGTTATATACTCCAACGGGAAATGAAAAATAACTGCCCCATGGCTGAGTTGGTCACAGCGTCCGACTGTTAAGCGCAATCGGAAGGTCGTGAGTTCGAGCCTCACTGGGGCAGATCCTTTTGCCACTTGGAGTACTGTATAATGAACTGCAAATACTCCCCTTTTTCGCCGCAGCTCAGATCATTTTCATGATGACAACGTGGCAAGCATGCCTACAATACTGGTAGCGACATACCGACCTCGCAGAAAGCAAACAAGAAGAACCATGAATAAATTATCTATCGTAACCAGGGGTAACGTATACGTGACAAGTCCCTTTTACTCCAGGTATAATACTACAAATTGTAGATAAACCAAGCACTTTGATCGCCCAGACCTTTAGGTTCATCCTCAGAGGTGCTACACTGCCGCCTGTCGGCCTTTAAGCGGTTCTGATGCCAAAGGTACGCGAGGGTGGTGATAGAGAACACTACCATGCCCACTGACATAATGATGAAGGTGATCGTAGCTTTTGTATAGTCGGGTGCGGGTGACAAGGAACCTAAAAGCCAAGTGGCCAGGATGCCACCAGAGTTGGTCATAATGAACGCAATAGCGACCGAGGTTGCCCGTCTGATGTGTGGTGCGCTGTTGTTTGCTACCCAGGTGATGATCGGCGGAGCACCGCAGTACGACCCACAGACGGTCAGGAAGAGTGATGCATAACGCACATGATTTGATTTGCTCGCTGGCAATGATCAGATGATTTGTCAATGCAGGCGCTGGCAAAACCCACCATAAAACACGATGAATCCGACAAGGTTACAAACCGAGAAGAAGATGAGCATAAAGCCACGGCATTTGTACCGATCCGATATCACTGCGGTGATCATGGAGACTGAAAACATGATAGTCAGCGTCTCGATCACTGACTGGAAGTAGAAATCAGCTCACCTACAAACGCAACCGCAAAGGGTGGCGCGCTCATCAGCTGTGCTTGAATACCCGTGTAACCCAGGCCGGCGACGATTGTGGGCTCAAAGCTAAAAAGCCAACAAGCATTAGCATGAATAAACTTGGAAGTACCATGGACCTACTAGGCAAGGCCAAGCAATGTTGTACCTGAAGCGGGATTCACTCAGTACACCTATCTCCAGCAACGCACGCTTACCGATGAAAAACAGGACAGGTGCCAACAGCCAAACGTGAATTGACTGGAAACACCGAATCACCTCAGTCCAACTGAAGCTATCGCTCTTGTCGTCACCAGCAATAGCACCATCCTCCCTCAATTTAGCCATGACATAGTTACGTTCCTTCGTAGAGAGGAAGCGCGCGGTGCACGGGGAGTTGGGGAGGGTAAAAAAGGCTGTCAATCCAAACAAAAATGTAAAGATGCCTTCCTATTTGAGAGGATGAGCCACATCAGCAACATAACGAAGATGGAAAGCTACCGACAAGAATGAAAATCCAAGCCCATCCAGGCCTCCCACCTATCCCGTTCATGTTGATTATGGCAGCTGCCAGCAGACCAGAAAATGCGCCGGAGAGCGACGCAGATGCAAAGAACGTGGCAACCCTGTCGACACAGAAATCAAATATGCTCGATGGTACGAGGAAGCCGCATGACAGACCTGATCTGCAATCTCTCTCTTGGATAGAAGAAAGACATATAAAGCACAAGACCAGGGAACAGACCACCTGATGTGGAAATCGGACAGTTCTAGCAACATGTCGCAGGGAGTAATTTACAAATACCATACCTTCCATGAGACCCAAGAAGAATCGACAGGCAAGCAGACCCGAGTAACTCTTCACCATGCCTGAAATAGTCGGTGGATTAGCTGCTGCATGACAATACCATGACGACTAGACTGACCCTGCATAGTTGCCACGAGGCCCCATATCGTGACCATGGTTGGCAGCATCCACCGTGGTCCCACATACTGTTTGGTGTTACCGTCAATCACCCATATGACACCCGTAGAGAATCATAAGATAATACTTGCCTTCAACAGCATGTTCGAAGGGAATTCTGCTGCGATGTACGGGCTAGAAAGCACGCTATGTCAAAGGACATCAACTTGATAATATTGCGTCCTTACACATATGTCATAGTCAGAGCGATACTGTACTGCAAAAAGGACAAGTATCAGAACAGAATACACCACCTATGAGACGGCCGAGCTTTACTTGGTGATTGGTCATCTTGAGACTGGTCTGCATGCCAGCAACCCGAGCATTTGCGATATTGCTCCGGTCCTGTTCGCCGATCCTATTGGATGTGGGTTCATAAATGATACTAGGCATTACTCACAAGGAAAGAAAGGAGATAGAAGATAGTGCAGACGGGGAGCACCCATAGGTCCAACTTCCTCCAGACAGTCCCTTCAAGGATGATTTTCTCTGCGTCTGAGATTCCTTCGAAATGGTCGACGTCCTTCACCGTGTCTGACGATGGGTCGCCGTGCAGAGTCTTTTCCATCTTGAGGACGTCGTCAGAGGTGACCCTGATAGCGGTGACTAAGGAAGATGCGATATTGAGTTATCAGGAGGAGTCGGATTTAGAACTCATGATGAAGGCATATTTATATCAATGCTCTCCTGATGCGAACTTAAGGTGAAACGCATCTCTAATTATTCCAAGGATGTCAATTGCAAAATACTCCGCGTGACTGTAATGATAGATTGATCAACATCAGCCGAGGCCCGAGTAAGCGGTGACATGTCCAAATGGATAAATTTCAAGTGTCCACATAGTACAGGATTCAGCTCAGCAGCGGTTGGTCAACGTAGTGTTTGGATGGAGTGCCTCTCAGAATGATGCAACGATGCGACATGGCAACATGTTTAAAATAGTTCTCAATGTCAAGAAGTTTGTGCCATCAAAGTTAAACAGCGGGGTTAATTTTGCAACACATCTTCCAAAGCCGCTTCGCGCGAAAACTCTACCTATTATTGACTTGCAAATAAGGTATATAATTCAAGCTTGCAAGCAGGCCAGCAAGCTGGTCAAAAGCTCATGTCTAACGAGCACCCAATATAGGCACTCCCGTCTATGCAGAAGTTATTATACGTAGGACCTACCCCAAGCCAAATCCTTGTAAAGGTTTCGTATTACATCGTTCATGGTGAGGGTTATGATCCTGATGGAAAGTAAATGTGGGAAGTAAATGTCATGCTCAGGCGGAGCGTGGAGCAACTTACGTGTGAGGAGTGATACGCAGGAAGTGTGCAAGTGAACCTTCCCATCAATTGATTCAGCTTTTATAATCACCTCCTGGCCATAAGCACATACCCTTATACCAGCCAAGAACTCCCTCAGTTTTGAGGGTTCTCCATAAACAATCTATTGGACTCTTGTACAGTGCCCCTACGACCCTCCCATCAGGTAATTTCGTGGTGGGCTGATTGTACATTCTCGTAAGTGCCTGAAAGTGACACGTCAACGGTGAATTCAAACAAAAACAAAAATGGGTTGACTTACAGTATCGGCGGGCTGCATGACAAGGCACTACAAAGGTCATTCAGGGGGGGTATGACGGCATACTCAAACGGGGACATACCACGCAAACACCGGAAACCGAGCTGCTCGCAAGGAACGTCCACACACTGTCACCGGGAAGAATGGCATTTCCGACGAGCTGGTTCTTAGTCCAGTTATATGTCGGTAGTTGAACAGATGAGCCCATTGCTGTACGAAGAATAGCAGCATCCATGCCACGGAGGTAACCGCGAATACCCTCGGTCCGCCATATTGTAGCCAGGGCATCGAGAGAGTTCTTATAATGGCGTTGTGTTCCTATAGGAAGGGCGGGCGAGTATGCCTTGAGACATATTAGTCACTGGTGGATGGCTAAAAAGTCTGATTACCTGCATACGAGCCTTTACGAGAAACAAGGGATTTCCGATTATAGCTGTGTTCAAAATATGTAAGCAAAATCGTTTATGAGCGCATAACAAACAAACCTCCAACAGCACCACTGGCTGCACCAGCCACCAAGGACGTGATAGGTATCTGGTCTGCACTCGACCAACCGCATACACGATTGATAGTCCGTCGAAATGGCTCATAAAAACCTGCAGGAACCTCAGATCAAGGTACAAAACTGCTTCACATGTCACTTACTCAGGCGAGACCCATTCAGTGGAATCTAAACTTAGAGTAAGCATTGAATCTTATCATCAAAATTCTTTACTTGCCTGATACGCATACTATAAAACATCCTCGTGAGAAAGGTAAGCTGAAAATTTTTGAATCGTCATACCGCTACACCTAGTCCGCGTTGCATACCGCGGATACCTTCATTTCTCCATGTTTTTATCATTGCGTCGAAAGCATTATTGTACACCTTGAGACCGCCGCCCTTGGCAAGCTCTCCTTGCAATTGCAGTCGAGTCTTGGCTACCTGTTTTCTCCAGGGTAAGTAATAGAGTCTGCGCACTAGTTCAAACGCTAACCTCAGCGGGGTTGGATATTGTCACCTGCGTTCATGCATTTAGCAAACCGATATGAGAAGTAAACAAACTACTAACAGCTATACAGGCTGCCAAGCCACCGCATAGAAAGCTTTCTGTGGTTGAGAGTTGACGGGCACTGGTGGACATGGTTGGTACCTGCGGAAGAAGTAGCAAGTTTTGATGGCGCAGCTAGCCTTGAGGAAGTGAAGATTATGACTAAGAGCGTATAACGAGAGATGGAAGTACCGAACCCCATTAGCAGTGCACATCCCCGAATGCCAACAAGATTCAATATTCAGCGCTCAGCGCTAACCTGAAAACGAGTAAAATCGCTTTTGGTAATTTATTTTCTTCTTGATCAGACTAAATAAATCCGGTTGCGTGATGGATGGTCACACGTTTTGCAGGATTGTAACAAACAATCACATTTTCGCCCCAAAAGTAAAGATAGTATTTGTTGCTGGACATAGCATCATACGAGCTCATCCTCCGACATTGTTCGTCACCGCGGCTACATGCCTCCTCCACATGGCACACACCGCACCGCATCCAAAAGTACTAGTCCTGCCTTGCCACCCGATCATCGGTGACCGGTTTTTACGGAAGTCGCCGTGACTTGAACTCCATACGCCCGCGTGGTCAGCCGCTTATCCCATTTCGTGACATTCAGTAGTTCTGTTACCATCATGATACATCAACCGTAAACTCATACCATCATGGTGCTCATCATAAAAGCATAGCATTTAGGTGGTAGGATAAACTGATTTGAACCAATCTGATCCTCAGTCCTTCTGATCATACTGATGGAGTGTGCTGTACCCTCACAGTGTCCGGCTTAAAGTAGCAATGTCCGCTCACTGTACACATGCAACTTCAAAGATCCCGACTAGGTACGTCTGATATGAAAGCATACTGTCGTCATATCAGCATGATGCTCCTGATCACAGTCGCACTTTGTTTGAAAGGAAGTTTGACTTCGAGTGCTGGGACCGCGGGACATTGCAAATTCGTTAGAGAAAATCCCATATACAGGAGGGTCTATTCCTGTGTTTCGCTAGCTTCATCAGAACTCTATATGACGTATTAATAAGGCGGTCGCGAGAGTTGCGCTACTGGTGCATACATTCTCCCCGCCCATGGCTGTAAATCCCAACGACACACTCGGTGCTCTCCAAGTGGGGGGCGCGATCATGGTGTTTTTGTTTGGAATTGAAACTTTGCAGACCTATTACTACTTCAAAAGATATCCGAACGATCGTCTCTGGTTAAAGCTACTGGTGAGTATTTCAACATTTACAAAGTATCAGCCTTATGCCTCTTAGGTGGTCTGGATATGGTGAGCAGATCCTTTCAAATCCATCCGCCTCCTAACGGCTGAATGCCAGGCTGGAAGAAATCGGCCACACAATCTCTGTTTTAACTGGAATGTATCTCCTTACCGTAACAGAGTTTGGTGACCCAGACGCGCTCGCCGTGACCACCATGCCGATTGGCTACGCATGGTCAATCGTATTCAGCGGCTCAGTGGGATCTATCGTGGAGGTATCACGTCGTCTTCTCAATTCCCAAAACTTGCCGAGTCTTATGTGAAAAATACAGATATTCTTTGCGCACCGTATGTACGTGCTGTCAAAAACGTTGTATCTACCATCCATCGCCTGGGCTCTTGCGGCATTCCGATTCGTGGGGAGCATGATCGCGGCGTCCAAGGTGTTTGGAAGCATATCTTTATCCGTCTTCTCGACAAAATGGCGGTGGTTGATCACCGCCTGCTTTGCTGCAGGTGCTGGAGCCGACCTCATTGTCGCAGGAGGCCAGTGTTATTACATTTATCGCGAAAAACGCATTGCGATGGGACCGTGAGTAATGAGCCGGTCGCCATCCTATTATAAGCTAACCGATTACAGGACGACGATGAAACTACTCGACCGCCTCTTGACATATACCGTCGGTAAGAGACAAATCGAAAATATTTTCTTCCAAAAATGAATCATCTTGCAGAAACTGGCCTGGTCCTAAGGTACAGTAGTATGCTGGAGACAACAGATTCGTCTAACCACCAACACTAAGCATGAGCGCAGTTGTCATTCTCATCATATGGGGTACAACTCCACATAGCTGTGAGAACTTTATCCAGATCATATAACTTTAATCTTGCTGATGCATTCAGTCTGGTGGTTTGGCATCTTCCTATTTTATACAGAGGGTAATGACTCCATTCTCATCCCTCTGCAAGCGCTTATCTCTTTGTTCCTTAGTTTTTGCAAACTCTTTGATGGCATCGTGAGTGATTTAGGACTGCGAATCACGAAAGAGTGGGGAACTCAATCCTTGTGTAGTCTGAACACTCGACGGGTCCAGGACGATGTTGTTGGTGGAACTGTCATCAGTCTGCCGCGCAATCCACAGATCCGTAGTGCAGATCGTTCCGTAGGAGACGTAAGCGCAAGTTATGGTTTTCTTTACAGCCGTGACGTTACTCATTCAATATGTAGCGCAACCACCATTTCATGAGAGATCTCTCAAAGTCTGAATATGACATGGACATCGAACGTTATGAACTCCCACACGAGATCTCTTCCAACAGTTCTGCATACACACGTGATCAACGACAGGCGGTATGTTTTTCCCTCGTATCCGTCTTGTAGGATTGGTTCTCACCACGAGATCAGACACATCCATCAAATATCGCTATTTCAATTTCTCGAGACGTTTGCGTTAAACACGATAGGCTGACGGAGTTGGACCGTCAGGCCTCTCAGGAATAACGCTCTCGCCGGCGTGTATCGTTACTTATGTACCAAGAGTACTGTTATTTACAAAGACAATGATGTATCACAAGAATAATTATTTGCAGTCATTTTGAGTAGATGTGATGTGATGACTTTCTCATTAAGCAGATGATACAAATATAAGTACAATAATCTCAGGAATTACATTCTGTACAAATATAAATCAGCACATACGTCGTGCTGCTTGTCCTTAGTCTCGAGCGAGAAATCATTCGAAAGTTTGCCAGCCGTCTTCTACACTTCGCCTATGCGCGATTATGAATATATCGCAAAGTCAGATAGATAAAGACTAACCCATAAATTTGGAGCCCATGGAAGACAACTTTGGACCGCGACCGGTAGCAGCACCAGTGCCGGTGCCGGTGCCAGCTTGACCACCGCCGACGCCAGAGTCTTCATACTCATCAACATCACGCTCATACCCGCGGCTACGGCCGTCGCCGATGATGCACTGGTCAAAGGTATCGTCGTATCCGCCACCAACTTGGCCGGCTCCGAGGACATCCACGTCCTGACCGCCGCGATTACCGGCCATTCCAGGATCCGTGTCGCAATATTCATCGCCTTGATTTAAGCTCTGCTGATCTTGTCGACCGACGCGGCCTTCATTTCCATTTCCTGTGTATCCACCAGCCTGGCCAGTCCTGCTGCCCCCGTATGATCCCGAAAGCGTGGGGTCTCCCCCGGGCACAGTGCGTTGACCGCCGATAGGGGCATCATATTTTGAGGAGTCGTCAAAGTCCCCTCAAAGATATTAAGTCTGTCTGGGATTTTGTAAACAAATTCGAGCGACATACGTGACCGTTGGTTTCCTTGATCGTAAGACATTATTGGTGATTGGGTGTTGTGGTTGAGAAGACGAGAAAAAATACGTAGAACCGGGGGTGTACATATGCCATGTGGAGCTCAGGTGGAGCGGGTAAACGTGAAAAGGGTATTTGCAAAATTGCAAATTTGGTTTATCTAGCCCTTTGTCGACACTGAGCAAATGCCATGCTACTTTATGTTCCTGAACAAAGATTTGATTCCAGTGATTGAAGTTACTGTTGTGTGTGGTTAATTGAGTTCAAGGACGGGGATGGAGTGGGGCTAAGCACGAGGAGTCAAAGTTGAGGTACAGACTTGTGTCCTGTCAGTGGCTCGCTTGGACTCAGAAAGTGTCAGGAAGTCTGTCAAAGCCGCTGCACGATGTCACTATCATCCCGCACAACCTCCATGCCGCATCAGAATCTTTTACCTCCATTTCTGATCCCTGCAAGTCTCTCACGCATGCTACTACTTCCTCTGTCCCGCCTAGGGTATAGCACGGGTATACCCGCGGGTCGGAAGATCAACGTTTCAACACCGTACCCGTAGTATTACCCGCGGTGTTGCATTCACCCGCGGGTACACAAACAAAATATAGTGATGTCACTACGTAAAATAACCTCACCCAACGCTCTCGTCCTCTCGTTTTCTTTTCTTCAGAGACTTCATAATCTTAGTAAGGTCACTTACCGAACTTCATTACTCGTGTGCATTCGATGAGTATCATGGACAGGTTGTTGTCCTTTTCGAGCAAAAGCAAGACTGATCCGCTCCCGAGCCCTTGGAGTCCTGGAAGGGGCGGACACCTCCAGCAGGGAGTTTGCACTTGCGTGCCCCACAAGGGAAGAAATGAACTAGATGTCCATCGAGATCCTAGACAGTCACAGCGTCAAGCTTAAAAAACGAATAGACTGCTGGATGCCAAGTTTTCTTGAGCGCGTCTGTGAGTGAAAATTAATCAAGGTCCAAGCAGACACGAGAAATAAGTCCACGTACTTAGATCAGCTTTGTCATCCTGTTCGGCGGCAGGAGATGCATCATTTTCATCGATATCAATCACTTCCGGAGCAGCGGAGTGCAACTCGGAGGGGGCTGCTTCGACCTGTGGAAGGATAAGCTTAACACGTTTTGCAACATTATCCGCTATGGACTGCAGACTCGACGATGATACATCTGAAGTTTCTGAACGTGTTGTAGTAGACTCGGCAAGCGAGGCCGTGTCATTGGCAGTAAACTGATTAACCACAATGATGGCGTGAATGGAGTATCGAGAAATGTACTAGAGTCTGTCCTCACTTTACACCGTTGAATCACCGAGTTGTTCAAGCAGCGAGAGATAGGATCGAAGCAGCAGGTCATGGGGAGCCGTTGCAGACTTGCAGTCAACGACCTCCGAAAAATAAGGCTCGTAGTTGGTGGTGAATCATGTCCAATATATAACGTCGTAAGGTCGCGAACGCGCCAGTTCCCGACTTCGCCGACCGGCGCCCATATTCATCGTCGTGTGTGGTATTCTCTTGGTCGATCGACTCTGGGCCGGGCAAGTCATGCGTTCAAAGTGCGAGCTAGCAATACAGTCAGACGAGACGCGAAAACGCTGACATAAGAAATTCCCGATTTGCGTATCTTTGTCCTGCTCGGCAAGCTGTCTTTAACCGACTTTTTTTTCCAGTTCATGGTCGAATGGAGCGAGCTAGAGAGGGTCGACAAACTCAGCGACAAAGGCAATACACCAACTACCTTCATCGAAGAGATCGATGTGCTCAATCGAGGCTCAGAGAGTGCGCCAGGGTGGAATATCGATGCACTTTTGATGATGGCCTCAATGCGATGGTCAAAAGTTATTTTTGCCATGTCGAAAAGAGTAAATGCTCGCAACACATCTTGCCGACTTCTTCCATTCTGCCAATCGCCGTTCTGCCACGAAGCCAATTATTCCTTTCTGCCCCCGACATTAAAGTCTGAACTCCTTTGGAAGTCGGGAAACTGCGAAGAAGTTCGGAGATAGTGCGGCTATACCCGTGACCCATACCGTGCTAACGTGTAGGGTATGACCACGGGTGCCACATCTCGACAGCGTACCCGTGACCCTAATACCCGTGCTATATCCTATACCCGCCTGCCAACACCATATTATTGTCTGCAGCTCCCAGGCTACGGTTGTCATATCCTTATCCCAGGTGACTGACGACAAGCTGACAAGGATGACAAAAGACAGGAATATCATCAGGATGACGTAGACATAAGGTAGGGTGGTCGTGATGAATCAGAGTGATTAGACTTTCTAACCGCTCGGAACTGAAATCCCGATCACGAGTCCAAACTTTGTCACCATTAAACTCTCGGCGAGGCCTTTCACATGTCATCTCAACTGTAAATGGAGTGCCAAACGCCATGTTTCTGGTAGTACATTGAATCTATTAATTACAGTCACAGTTTGAGGGTAGGTATGCTGCGAGCCCAGCGCAATCTATCTAGACATCTAATGCCACTCGACGCTTTTACGAATTTTACACTATAACAAAAATATTTCGGTTGATCATGAGCTTCACTGCCATTAAGAAAAAAAATCCTAGAATATTGAAGATCGCCGCAAACACGATCATTCCAGAGTAGCCGCCGTGTTGGCTTGCATAGATGGCACCTCCAATAGGACTTCCAACCAAGGATCTGCCGGATAATAATTAGGCTCTCGTCAAAAAGCAAGCTGCAACGAGGGACCTACGGAATAGACATAAAAGCGTAGGACATCCCAACGCGCGTACCAAAATTTTCTGGCGGTGAAATTTGTGCTGTAACAGCGACATCCAATCCCATCGTCGCGCCCGCAAATAAGCCGTACATCACAGCGAATGCCGCTAGGGTTGCCGTGTCATGCGCAAATAGCCACAGCGCAATACATGAAATGCCGGCTAGTAGAGCAGAGGGAATCATGAGGTTAAATCTTCCAAGTTTGTCCGCGAACCACCCTGGAACAATGCGACCGATAGTGTTTGTGGCATTCATGATCGCTAGCAGAGAAAACCCGAGATTTTGGGATAAGCCCTGTGCTTGTGCGTATTGGACAATATAAGTGGAAGGGATAAATAAGCCTGTACGTGATTTAGTAATCAGCATCCATCACTGCGCATGACCCTATGATACTCACCAAGGCATATCAGAGCGTATGCAATACACACCATCATGTATTTTGTGTCGCGGAATGACTTGGTGTCTATCCACGGTGTGTTTTTATTTTTAGGCAAAGGACTCGAAATTGTGAGTGTTGCGATGATGCAGCACGCGAGTGCAAGGAACCCCTGTATCCGGACTGCCCATGCGAACCCGACAGTGCCGAGGAGGCGTTGAAGCAGTAGAGGAAACACGGCACCGCCTTCAAATATAATTAGAGTCCATTTATAGGCAGTTAATTGAAGGGTACTTGCCTGCACCAGAGCCACCGAGGACGATACCACTAGATGTGCCTGCAAAATGGCGGAAGCGAGCAGTTGACGCGGCAATGCATGGATTATACCTATATTTTATGATGAGACTCATCCCCAGGACAATGAGATAAATTTAGGCAAAACTCACACCAGTCCGGCCCCCAATCCAAGTAGAAAGCCTTGAGCGATCATAAACTCGTAGTACCGAGTTGCTAATGATGTCATCATTAAACTGAGCGTGTATATAAGCGTCCCAGATGCTAGCAACGGGGTGGGCCCATAGGCGTCGAATAAGCGACCGATCAATCCGCCCTTTGGTGACAACATAAGTGAGAGCTTATATTCAAAGTGGTGATCTACTAACAGAGAACATCATGACCCAAAGCTGGAGTCCGCCGATCCAGGATATTGCCGAGGGTGAATAGGCGGAAAGTTGATGCTCGGCATACCATGCCTGGTAAGTTCCGAATGAAGACACTTGCCCCATGGTCGCGAAACTTCCTAGGAAGCCGCCAAAGATTGTGAGGCAACCTAGAAAACCACCTTCAGCCCATAGACTTGTTGGAATAGATGTCTGGTTATGGTGTGCTTCGGGCCAAGTCAGGACACTGGAGTTTTTTGATTCGAGGTCCTGGCGCTGGGACTCGAGGGATGATGAGGGATCATAGGGTGCGCGTGCGAGTTGGCCAAAGATGTTTTGATGCTTCGACTCTGAGTCCTGACGGGAGTCCAAGGACGGCGTATGTGCAGTTCCGGTCATGGCTGATTGGGGGATATTTTGTTTCGAGAGCAGCAGGACGTGCGGGAAGGTGTGGACGGACTTGAGGTCTATTAGTAAATGAATGGTAATATCATAATGAGTGTCTTACCTCGGTCGGGTACAACGGATTGAGGAGTTAGTGTTCACTTCCGAGTCATTATATGTAGTTCTGTAATTAAGTGCTCGCCGCATGCGGTAATCGAAAAGCAAAATAACAGGATAAAATTCTTATGGGGATGCATTCACAGCTATTCATGTGAGTGCCCCATGCCCTGAATCGGATCCGCGAGATAGAATACCAGAAGCCCTGCTATGTCAGTACAGCGGTTAAAAGAAATAGAAATACACACTGGATCGATCTTAATTATTGTAACATGACCGGTTGGTAAATAGACCACATGGTGGATAGCCCATCACCATTGCCGTAACATTCGAGACGCGATGAAAGCTTCGGGGGCCATTATTCTTAGAATGGAGAGCGGAGAGTCACTTCAATTTACTCAGCATACTTACATCGTTCCACATGATTACTTTCTTTGTTTGAGTCAGAGGTCAGTGGTCAATGGTCTGGCACACCGCTCAGGCGCTAAGTTTTACAATTCCGTTGATGGCGGAGTGCCTTGAGGTAACCCGGTGATTAAGATACTGCAAATCTGATAAAAACTTGAATTAGTATGGTTCAAGATTTAGTGATTGTGGTCAGGCTCACGATGATTGATGTAGTGAAGACAAAGCGATGACTGATGCGGTCATACAAAGCACGAGCTTCGGGCCGTGTCGGTGCACTTCGAAACCGCTTACTCAATAGCTTGTATGAATTCAAGAAGTACATATTTTTTAAATATAGGATCTGACTTGCATGCACTAGGATTAGAGTATGACGTCTGGTTGACAGGCTAATTAGCCGCACGTCGCCATTTTCTCCATCGAGACTCACATCATCATCATCTCATCATCATCTCATCATCATCATCTCATCATCAGGCCGGTCTCATCATCCGAGTCATTCACTGGGTTTCCAGTGGGCGAATTTGAATGGTTTCAAATATAGACCTTCAACTATGTATATTAGATACTAAAGCTCCAAGCCTCTGTCGACGTCAGCATTGTTTAGAATATCATGGTGTTCTGGGTCCAGTAGACACAGATTCACCCAAATTGACAGTATGTTTTCGGAGGTACATTCAGAGCGCACACGTACGCGGGAACTAGCAGCCATCACAGTGAGCTCGCATCGCAGCATACACCGCGGCTCTCTCAGGACACCAAGCCAAATCAAAAAATCTGTGCACCTAGATACATATGATGTCTCGCCCTACAGCAAGTGGACTGCCAGTTTTGTTCTAGTCCCAGCTGCATGAAATCTTCACCTTGTAAGATATTACTGGCGGATCTTATGCACAGCTACATAGTGATAACTCCGGAGAGTCGTTACCATCGTGACATCAAGGGTATACTATGCTTTACTGGTAGTACCTTATGGTGCCACGAAGTGTCGGCGGTTAAATGTCTGCAGTAAAGGCTGAGATTACATTTCATCGAGTTCAGACCCGTCAACCAGTTTGGTGTTTCTATTCGTAGTACGCGTGATCACATGCGCTCCCAAAAATTCTTTGTACCGGACTCAGAATCCGATTCGGCCGACCCAAGTCAATATCAGGGCTGCGTCAACGTGTCCAGTTTAACGCCGACCTCATGTGACGCGCCAAGTCTCGCGTCGCGCGTTACGACATGATGGCACCTCTATCATTTATGGCGCCATTAATACCTTGGATTTTGTTTTGATCATCAAATGGCTCCCACAGCATCATGTCTCCGTGCCCTTTCTCGCCACACACGAGCTATTCCGAGATCGTTAACAAAAACGTCATTTCAGGCCGCCAGCTACTCGCTGTTGGCGCGTCAACAGCCGGCCCAGAGCGCGTGGGTGGTCAATCAGCACGTGAGTCAGAATAGTCGATCGAGGGAAAAAAGTATCATGAACCGCTTCAGGTGCCTAAGGCTATCAGAGGGTTGAAGACGCTCGACTTTGCTGGTTCAAAAGAAGTCGTGTACGAACGCAGTGATTGGCCCCTGGCAAAACTTCAAAACTATTTCAAAAATGACACGCTAGCCCTTATTGGCTATGGATCACAAGGACATGGTCAGGGCTTGAATGCTCGTGATAATGGTCTGAATGTGATCGTTGGCGTCCGCAAGGATGGAGAAAGTTGGAGACAGGCAGTAGAGGATGGATGGGTTGGTTACCTCTCAAAAATGCAAATAATTTTTGACAATTTTTGGTATAGGTACCCGGAGAATCGCTTTTTTCCATCGAGGAAGCCATTGGCAGGGGTACGATCATCATGAATCTACTCTCAGATGCAGCACAGTCATCGACATGGTCTCATATCTCTCCTCTCATAACGAAGGGCAAGACACTCTACTTCTCCCATGGGTTTTCAGTGGTATACAAAGACCAAACAAATGTGATTCCCCCCAAGGACGTCGACGTTATTCTAGTAGCGCCAAAAGGATCTGGTCGCACCGTCCGAACCTTGTTCAAGGAGGGCAGAGGCATCAACTCCAGCGTCGCCGTTTTTCAAGACGTAACTGGCAAAGCAATGGAGAAAGCCGTAGCTATTGGAGTCGGTATCGGTTCTGGCTACATGTACGAAACAACCTTCGAGAAGGAAGTGTTCTCGGATCTGACTGGTGAACGTGGTGTGGTAAGTACGCTACCATCGATCTGCATGCATACGCTAAGATCGAGCCTCTCTTCTAGTTGGCAGCAGCTATCCGTCAGTCTATCGCTGTCATGCCATTGATTGTAGTCTGACTGGTTGGCCATTTACAGAGGGATTGTTCTGCGCACAATACAAGGTGCTTCGTGCAAATGGCCATTCGCCTTCAGAGGCATTCAACGAAACCGTCGAAGAAGCCACTCAATCCCTATATCCTTTGATCGGAGAAAAAGGGTAAATATCTCTATAATTCTGGAATCACGAGTCATCAACTTATAACTATCTACAGCATGGATTACATGTTCAACGCTTGCTCCACCACCGCCCGACGAGGAGCCCTCGACTGGGCGCCGATCTTCGAAGCAACAAATCGTCCAGTATTCGAAAAGCTTTATGAAAGCGTCAAGAATGGCACTGAAACAAGCAAAGTACTCGAATTCAACGGACGCTCCACTTATCGCGAAGACTTGACGAGAGAGTTGAAAGAGATCGACGATCAGGAGATCTGGAGAGTCGGAAAAGTCGTCCGTTCGTTGCGTCCTGACTACAAACCAGCTGAGCATTGATCTTCGGTATGATGTAAAAACAAAAAAACGCGGCGGTGCAAGCGCGGCCAGGCAATTTTAGGTTGTATCTCTACAGCCGATCCAATTTTTTTTTTTTTGGGTTTGATGAAGTCCTTGGGAAACAGACTTTGTGAGAATTTTATTAGTACCTATCAACCGCCGGCGTATGACGTACCCATTTTAGTCACGATGTCGAATTCGCAAGCAATGAGTCTACACTGCGACGAACGTGCACTTCTGAGCCTTCAACTGTGGGTAGTAGAATCAGTGAGTGTTTGTCACGGGTCGCGGAATGATTCTGTTCTTTTCTTGATAACGTTAGCAGGGATAGGGATCACCGGAAAATCAGCGACTGCATTTTCAAGAAGCCCAGTGATGGAGCTAGACTATAAACAGTAAGTCTAGTAATACGCTGGATCATGACTTTTGTTGAAACATTGACGATTAAAGAATGGAGTGTGGCAGTTATGATAGTAGTTGATGCTACTGGGATTATCCCCCTGTCATGGTAGATTGGTTCACCCTATCGAAGAGGCAGAGACTCCCAAAAATCCAAGCACTGACTCCGTCGTCATCAACAATAGAAGTCACGGTGATGACCATTTTCGATATGTACGAGGTCACCGAGATCATATCGAAGGTGATAAGTGTTTCATAGCACATGTACCCAGGCTATTGCTAGATCTGATTGGCATGAAACGACCTGTACAGTACGCATGGTACCGTATTGGCAATCAAGGTCGCCGCCGGCAAAGGTCCAAATCCTATGAATGCAATGTCAAATACGAGGGGAGAGATCAACTTTCCGCGTAAATGTAATGCAGCGATCTCACAAAAATGAAGCCCCATAAGATAATGGGAGTGAGCATATTAATTCATTTTATTAGTAGGCCAATCCCATGCCTTGCCGTGAAGGAGCGACTGTCTTTTGGCAGGTAGATCTAGAACAGTCTAGAACCGACCTCGCCGGTATAGAGATATCAGGCCCAGGGGTGGATCTGAATTATCGCAGACCTACATTACATGCCAACCGGCGCTTCAAGTGTTGCAACTCCTTAATTACCAAAGGTTCGGTACTGAGATGCACAAACCGTATGGTGCAAACCCGCATGAATGTCGGTGCAGTAGCAGGACTACGCCAACCGGGGTTGCTGCACAGCCGAAACCGCGGTAAAATCAATCCTACGCATCGGACTATGAGCTTGATCTCCGAAATTTAGAAAAATTCTGCGACGAGTGGTGCAGCTGCGTAGTATGACAACATATTGCCCGGTCGATGAAGGTAGATTGAGGTCACATGTACAATCTCCTATGATGCTAAATACCTGCATTCCATGTCAGGTTTTCATGCCAAAATCTCATCCCCTTCCACATCGCATTGCTCTCCCATAGCGTTGTACATTGAATGTCATTGCGACCTGTGGCATGTTTTCTCGTCCGTAAAATTTGATCCATGTGATATGTCACTGTGTCGTGTCTGGAATCAATAGCTTCGCCAAGACGTCTAGGAGAGGGTCCTACTCGCGTGCCTCGGCGTGTGACGGATGATGCGGTTTCCGTATTCTCATTGTTGTCGTTATTGCAGGCTGCTGGAACGACTGAGTTGCCTGGTTGTTGTGTAGCTCGAGACACATCTTGCGCAATCTGGTTGGGAGTGTGATCTGACGTTGTGAGCCTAGTAGAATTTTCACCATCCTCCCTGCCGCATACTTTTCCAGTTCCAGCAACTGGTTCTAAATGCAGAAGAGGAAAGTGCAAACGGTTCCTGGAAGCAAATTGTAGTCGGGTGAGGTCGATGGCCGGCACAGGAGGAGAGTCTTTGAGACACGCAACAGAACTGGCACCGTTCGCGACGAGAGCATATTCAGGGGCATGGTTTTGCAAAGAACAGTGAAATGATGACCCCTGAGAATTATATTTCGACACAGCTTTGAAGGGGGAAGTAAAGTGACGGGTGACGGATTGCGCGTCATTGTCGGGGGAGGTATTTGCGACGCATATATCGGGTGTAATAACATGAGTTGATCCAGCGTCGTGGTTTTTAGTGACCGCGGAGTCGTGTGCTTCTGTAATCGTGATGTCGCATAAACTTTCTGCTGACGAAGACGATAGTCCCAAGGAGAGCATACGACGTTTATGTGGACGTCGCGGGAGACTGTCTCCTGATTCACTATGCAGTGCGCTAGGGTAGGCGAGGCCGTCTCTCTGGCGCTTTCGCTTCCGGAGGACGTTCGGCGGGACGCGGCAGAGAGGTGTTTGGGGCTTAGTCGATGGCACAAAAGGGCCAGATACCCGTTGTGGATAGTGAGGGGATACTACTGGGATGAGTGTGTGATCTTGGATTTCCATGCGGCTAAAAGGTGGTCCAGCATCAAAGCCATCTGTGGGGAGGTACATGAGATCCTGAGGTGGTATGAAGTGTGGCAGGGAGATCTCAAATAGGCAGATAAATTAGTAGTGTGACATGATAAGCAGATTGTTTGACGACCAAGAAACATAGCCTGAGACGTAGTAATCGTACCATCAAGTATGTAGCCCACGACTGGAACACGAAACGAATGTGCGACGCAGTGCAAAATCCAGCCCACATGTATCACCTACGGAGAGCCTGCTCAACAAGAAAAAACTGGAGTCAAAGAAGCAGCTCACCACTACCGATCTTCTGCAAAGTATGCTTGTCCACTCATCTTCGCGACTGACGGCAAAAAAATAAGATGCGGCAGCACCGGTTCTTCCAGAATAGATTCTGCCTCCGTGAGTCACTGTATCAGGTAGATCAGTTAGCTAAAATGTTCTACGATATCACCTAGATCCTCAGTGGTATGCTCATAACGTACACCATGTCTGAATAGTTTCTTTCGGCACTCGCATACTAAAACACGCTTAAACAAGAGTCAGAGGTGCAGAAAATACACCAGCCACTATATTGGAACCAACAAACCTGTGTCGTTGAAAAGCATATTGGTGGAAAGAAGAATTTAAGAGAGATGCTTATATGCGTCCAGACAATAATCGATAACCCCTGGCCCAAACTCCGCGACTAAAGATCTTTCGGAGTTTGAACTTGAACAACGTCTCTGACCGCCATTTCCAGAATTTTGACAGAATTATCTTTCTCCGAACTGCGAAGTTCCTCGATGGGCCTTCAAAAGCAGCTTTCATGGACCGGTGTAGTGTTAGGCATGCATATTATGGTACACCAAGCTTGCGTGTATATTTTTTTGCCAGAAACAGGGACAAGGTTTACTTATACCGAACTCATATTTGCAGTCGGTCAGGCCATCGAAAAGATCAGGTGAAGATCGACTATCAATATGGGAATTATACCACGTTGAAAGAATCCACGGTCCGAGTCGTTCACAAGAAAACATCAGTCCACGAGCAAGATGACTATACTAAACAAGGGTTCCCGATCACGACTCCAATGGTTTCCTCGTTCCCGAAGTTGATCGAAGTGAGCCTTCGTTCGTTAGCACTGTGCACAATGTTCGATTGCCGTTGTTTGTACGTACATAGATCCATATCAATAGAAATTGCTGATGCTGGTCAAATAAAATACGACCCGCGCCATAAAAACAGCACCAAATGTATGACCATATGCATCAGAAATGGTTCCTCTGAGCAGAGGCAAAAAAGGTCGTATCCGAAAGATACTTCAGTTATTGGGCGTGCGCATCGCAAGGCTGGTAGCTACGAGCAGGTCCAGCATGAACTTCCCTGACTGTCGTAGAAATCATCACAAAGGCCAGGGATCACAGGATGGAGACGTACGGGTTGAACTACAAGAACACCATCCTTTGTCAACGACATGGATGTAACACGATATGTCGCTACGATAACGTTCTCGGCATTCAAACACTGGCAAGAGCTACGTGATGAATGCTGCGACATCCGACCTGCTCCTGTACGCACCTCCATCGCAGTACTAAACAGCCCTGTGGTCGTTTGCCAGCGATACTCTTCATGATCGGGACCCTTGAAGAAAACTGTTCCATTGAAGGCCCCACGTTTCCTCTCCATCTTGATCGGCTGTTTGACACCAGTCATGGATAAAATAGTAGGCCCATGGTTGACTTCATCCAACAGTGGTGGTCCATTGTACGAAGACTGAGCTCGACAAAGCAGGGGACCATCTGGGCCACGAGCGTGCAGATCAAAAGTCCAGTACATCGAACACCGAGTGTTCTGCATAAAATATCTGTAGCAGCGATAGACAAAGTAAAAAGAAGAAATAGAGAATATCCTCAAAACTCACAAAGTTGTGATCTTGTCTTCCCCTTTGATAATCTTGCGATTGCCAAACATACTGCCGAAATTGTATATGTGCAGTGCAGTCGGTCGTTCATTGGATGTGTTGAACATGTGCAATTACCCGAGCCTGAAATAACAGTGAGAATCAAGTGTCCGCTATGCACTCCTCTTACAGAGCGTATCCGGCGAGGCGTGTCTGACCAGGGTCTTTTAGGAAACAAGGACAGGACATCGCAGGCTTTGTTTAAGAGACGAGAATTTCTATTTCCAGAACATCGACTGCATCCGATTATCACGTTTGAGAGCTATTTACGGACTTCTTGCGGGCCATGGGCATATGGAAAGCTCCGTAAACAGATTTGAAGACGAGATGGGAGACAACAAGGCTTACCGTTTTCAGCGTGGTCAAGTTCCGAAGTTCCACGCGCCAAAGTTTGAGTGCGAGATGCACAATTCCTCGATAACGAGCGCCGTAATGGTCCAAGAGCAGCTTAAAGGAGTATATCTGTGATTGAGCGCACTGAAAAGTTACTAGTCCAAACCCGTTGACCAGTGTCATATGTTTATGCATAACTGAACAGGTCCGATACATTATCTGACTCTGAGTCTTGAGTCTCCCCATCCTCGATTCCAGCTGTTGTGCAGAGTAAAGAGTACCGACCTTCTCCGTGGGAGTGATGTCCAAATGAAATGAACTCAACAGCATGCGACAGCTTTTTAGCGCAAGGAATCGACCCAGCACCGCTCTGCCAAATCATCCCCCGAAGTGACTCGAAACTAATCTTGAGCGGGTTAACCACCATCGAATCATTTAAGAGCTTCTACTTGGAAATTAGGATCACCTAGTGCCAAAAAATCGTTCGAGATAGAAATCGGTCTAGTCCTCTAGTCTAGCCAGTAGAGGTGGGTGCGGCTGTGTCGGGATGTAAATGAAACCCGGTCCTGTGTGTTGTAAGACTGCACGGTGAACCGGTGATCGATTCTCTTCACAAGTGTTAGCTTCTTGATGAATGAATCAAAAGGCATGCTGCGCAATCAGCTGAAATCGGAATCACTTGTATAAGCATTACACAAAGGCAATAATGAAGACACCGCACGCACCAAGTTGGGCGGACTATGCTGTCCTAGAACTCTCAGGCATCAGATAGTTATCCCAGCTGGAGGCGTTGCTTCCTTTGGAGATCGTCCGGAGATGAGAAGATTTCAAGTTTGCCTTGTACTCTTGGTTGCCAGAAAGGTATAAGATCTGATGGATGGTGGACTTGTGATTCCTCGTGCACAATAACGAATATAAGCAAGGCTTCGAATCTAGTAAGTAGCACTCAGTACTAGGAATGCATTGTAGAATGGACGTCTGCCGAAAACGTAAATTGAAGCTGGGCATCAAAGCGAATACGTCCAATGTCTACCCAGTATACGGATCCTGCCGTCACATAAGTTGTCTTCCAGCGCATTGCCTGCGCATGTTATCTTCCAGTGTAGGATCTTCTAAACGAACTTCATGAAGCTTGACGCAGATAAATCCAATGGATGGAGATCTGCGCGAAATCAACTAGCTGCCGTATCGGAACGTTGAAGATCGTTAGCTGCATCCCGGAGTCGTAATTGAGGCGGATTCTCAGCTTCAAAACCCGAGATTTTTCGGGCCCATGCTAGGTTTGGTTTTAGGTGCCCTAGTACTAGTGCTAGCAGCCAGTAGTAAACTTTTCAAAAAGCCAGGATCATCATGGAATTAAGTTCGACTAGTACCAAGCAATGCACAACAAATACCTCATATATTTTATCTATTTTTGCACACAGCCAGACGCTTGGAGAGAACGACGGAAATCGATGGAATCTGAACAGTTGTACGAGTGTCGACAAATGGTGCATTACTCAGATGACGCTAAGCCACGCAATATCGAGTGGTCAGATTTTTGCAGACTCAATTGAATAGATATCTGGTAACAAATTGACGGATAACAATGTATTTTGAAATGGGCTACCCTTTCGTGCCGGCTTCATCCCTCTTGATGATATACAGCGCCTTACTACTGCACGGGAGTGAAATCACATTCGAAATCTCTAGGCTAGGTCTGGAATGTCCTAGCCAGGTCCAGATCTACTTTTGATTGAAATTTTGCACCAGGTGAAATGTTGAAACCCCCGATGTGATAGTTCTGCGGTCACAGTATAATAACACAGCATCAGCGCTGGTCGTTGTCAAACAATTGGTACTTGTATTTATATTATATTGCTGCATGTTGACGCGCATGGGACGAGCGGGGCGGAATTCTGAGATACCCCATCCCTCGAACTCTTCCTAGCCCCTTTTGGATTCCGCCCAAAACAGCTCACTCACAAACCGCATTCTCCGCTTCTGATGTAGAAATTTACGAAAACCGAAGATCTATGTGCATTGCACATACGTTAACCTCACCAACCGCGTTGCCGGCCACCTTTCCCCCACTTTTCAATGAGGAACAAAGCCATGTATTCGTAAACCTCTCTATTCGCGCCTCTGCGAGTGATCGAGTGATCGCTACTCGATGGAGAAAAGTCAGTGTTGTACTACATGAAATGGATTCCAGTGGCGAACCTGTCTGTGAACATCCTGAAACGGAAGTTTCTGACTTGAGCTTCTGTGAACATATCCAACAAGTGAGCTGTGTTCGCAAAGTGGACATTATCATCTCCACTGCCGTGAATAAGGAGATAATCTATGCTCTTGAAGCCCTCTACATCTGAAATGGAGGCGTTGACGTAACCTCCAGGATTATTGTCAGGCAAGTCCATGTACCGTTCTGTATAGATGGAATCATATAGTCTCCAACTGGTCACAGGCTAGACATGCTAGTGAGTGCAATGACTTTGTCAGTGAAAGATACACATACGGCCACAGCCATGGCCAAAGTGTGGATACCGGCATTTGCTTCGGCGACCTTGGAGGCCATGAACCCGCCATAAGACTGCAGCAGTCGATTGATATATTGGCCACAGAAACCAGAATATGACCCACCCATCCCCAAATTCCAATACGTTTCGAGTCGACATAGTCTTTCCCAGCCCAGATGCTACTAGATATTCAATACCGCATCTTAAAATTTCTGACGCTCCGTACCGTGCAGCATTGATTTGGTCCTGGGTCTCCCAGAAGCCAAGATTATTCCTTACTGGATTGCGCAGGTGCCGCCCCTTGAATCCGGTCCCCCGACCGTCCACGACGACGACAACATACTGGAGTGTGCAAGCGAGATAGTCATGCCAGTCTCGTTTATACTTGACATCGACTTGCTGACTCTCTGGACCACCGTACCTGAAAGCATCAGAAATAAGCCCATGTACTTCCAAAAAGGCACGGTACAGACACGAAGAATAATACTGGGTACTTCGTCCGCCCTGAGTCATCCATGCGAGGAGGGCGCATCTCCTTTACATTTAGTTCTGAGGGGCTGTATAAAGTTTCGTCGCGAGAAGAATGTATCAAATAGACTAACCAAAGCCATCACTGTCTATCGTCGAATATGTGACGGCGGCAGATTCAAATTCAGTCAGCGTGGTATTTAATGCAGAGTTGTCCGTCAGAACATAATCGAAATCTGGATCAAATGTGTAAGCGCTAGTTGTATTGATGATGGATATTGAAGATGGCATTACCACTGTTGCCAACATCGACGATTCGCTGCCATGGTGCAGCTGGTCCGTTATAATCAAGAAGATAAAATCCGGCTTCAGGTGAAAAGCTGGCACTGTATGAAGAGGGTATTGATTCATCTGTGAGCGAGATGGGCTCCACGGATTCTGAAACTGATGCTGAAATTGGGACTGAATATATGTGGCGTTGAGTTGATGACCGCGCGGCTTGGAAATATCTTTGGATGAGATATGGGCGCAATGAATCATTTAGCGCCGACGGGAATTAAAAAAATATTAACTTACATCAATCCTCTTTGCGTATCCACCGCTTGGATACCCCCTGTAACTTCCCATGGGCCGGAAGTGAGGAAACGTGGAGTATTACTCTCGGCGGGATCGAATAAAGCAATATGGTTGTAGCCGTCGATTGGTACTATATCTAGATAGGCAGATGAATCTCCTAAGCGCAGGCTGTCTGGAACAGGGAGAATATTCTGGGCCTGCAATGGGCTTTTCAATGAAAGATTACTAAATAATGATGCGGGTCACTTACGGTTTCAATCCAGCCCTCGTCACCTTCCTCACCGCCACTACCAAGCCTTCGGACTACCGTTCCGTTTACGATGTCTGCATTCCCCATGTCTGTCAAATCGAAGTACACGACGCTACCATTGTCCGCAGCACGAGTAACCTCTTTAACGACGAGAGTCGATTGGCCCACCCAGGTGACATCCATGATGATACTGTTAGCCACAGGGAAGCGACCTTCCCAATTAAGCTCAGAAGTATAGATTTCGGCAGTTGAGTCAGAAAGTGTTTCGGATGATTCGTACTGCGCGACGTCAAAAACATGCACGGAAGCAAGAGGGTTGTTGTAGCCTGGTTTGGGGTATTTGATGACAACATCTTGGGTATATGGAACAACAGTATAAGAATCATCTGTGGGATTGTAAATCGGGAACCGAAATTCGTCAACTTCGGTCTCATCAAGATGCAGAAAAGCAATCTTGGTCGAGTCGGGAGACCACCACAGCGCGTAGTCACTTGAGAAAACCTCTTCTTCATAGATCCAATCAGGTACACCATTAAATAGAGATGCATTTCCTGAGCTGGTGACCCGAATGGGGGAGGTAGAAGCACTGGTGGAAAGCTATCAGAAGGCTTTGTTCTACAAGCATCAAAACGGCGCTTACGACGGAGATGGGAGTATGTATATATCGTTGGCAGCAACGAATGCGATAGATTGCCCAGTCGGTGACCAAGTAGCATAAGAGATTACTGGGGGATGAGTGGGCGGCACCAATGGGTATGTTACTTTGGTGTTCAGGTTATGCACGTAGTAATTGCCAAAGCTCGAATGACGCCATTGCTAGAAGTTGCACGTCAGCATTTCAGGATTATGCTTATGTGGAATCTTGACCTTAAGATGGTCGGCCTTCACCAGTATATACGTCATATCCGGCGAAAGCTTCCATTCTGACCACATAATAATGTTCCCGTCATCCTGGACAGCGCTAGAGTCAAAGCGTGATGACTTTAAAAAAGGGAGCTTACGTCCTTGATATCCGTGATGGAGACAAGGTCAGTCGTTTTATTACTTTTCAGGTCAACAAGCTGAATCTGGCCATTGTGGAAGATAGAGAAAACTCCGTCGCCAGCTACGAAATATCTCGGTGAGGGCAGAAGTTGTTTGTTGCCATCACTGACCTTCTGGAACCCAGTTCACACCCTCCCGTGAAGGAGAAAATGTTCCATTAAATATATGGTCCAAGGAAAATTTCCTGACACCTGGTAATCGATAGGTTTGTCCGGTGTAGAGAGATGTCGCGGCAAACAGTCCAATCGAGGCAGAAAGAAAAACCAGCGATGCCAGGGAGATGATAAGGTACTTAAGGCTAGCGGGCCTCTTTGATATCAACGTGAGCAAAGAAACGAGAGCAATGTAAGTTATGACTGACTTTGTTCCCTCCTACTAGTAAGCCGTTTCCCGGCTCTGCGTCACCGAAGAGATTCGGGTCGTCCGAAAGGACATGATCCTGCTTCTCAACAAGACCCTCGCTTTCGTCAGAGGAAGGCGCGTCGAAAGGGCCTTCTTCGTAGTACACAGAAGGTCTAATGGCCAGGTCTGGGTGTATTGCAGCAATCCTCGAACGAGAGTCCAGAAGCCGGCTACTAGCATTTAAATTGTCTTCGAAGTCCTCCTCATCACCCCCATTGACATGCTCGTAGGACATGCTCGCACGCCAAAACAAAGTAAGAAATAACTACCAACTCTCTTGTAGTACGACTGTGCAGTGAATGAGAATATTTGAAGTTAGCCGATTAGTAAATCAAATGTAAATGCTAAGCATGCTGATTACATAATCACCTTACAGGGAAGCTCAGGGAGCTTGAGTCGCCTTCTGCAGACTGAGAGTTGAAGCCGAAGCTTGAAATTTGTGAAAGTTGATTTTAGTATCATAGTAACGATGGCGGCGTCATCTCGGGCATCGAATACTAGCTGGGACCCAATTCTCATCATATCCCAGGCATGTTCTGTTCTGTTCTGTCCACGTTGACCTAAACCGTCTGCCTCAGATTATTTCAATGCAAACACTCCATTATCTAACCCTCTCCATCCTCATTCCCCCATTATTGTCCGTCTTTGCGGAGGCTGGCGCACTCGTCTTTGAAGGAGGGGCAACAAATGTCGGTGCGTCCCATAAACACCGAGTCATGAGCTAGGGTTGAAGGGGAGATCACACCAGGGATGATAATGGATTGGCGAGAAATGGCCGGACGTCCAACAGTACGCGGAATGCAGGGAGAAGATAGGTGGGACGCTTACTATGGCGCTTGGAGCGGTGGTAAACAACTCGGTTCCGGGTGGGAGGAAGGCAGGTGGAACGGATGGACCGACCCTATGCGAGGTTGGGTAATAGCATTCTCATGGATGATCGCATCATTTGCAGAGTATGTGTTCAATAGTCTAGGATGCTTGCAAGAAACTGACCATACTCAGCATATACTATTTATGTATTCTCATTCGACGACCGCGTTTCATCTTGGACTTCGCGCTAACACTCGCCTTCAGTCACCTCGTACTCACGACTTATTACTCGGCTTCAATACCCACCTCATTTTTCTTCTGGCTCATCATGTTCGCATGGTCAGCAACCACTGTAATAATTGCGGAGCAACTCTGTGTGAAGAGAGAGATGGCCGAAGGATTGGTTATTTCTCCTCCGAGGGACGAAGCCGATGATTTGGAGATGGGAGAATTGCTTCGCAGAGATTAAGTGAGTCCCCGTGTATTTTGTGGCCCAGCCGCTTGCAGTACTGGTCCTAATTGAACTGAGGCCCCTTTGGATATGCAATAGCTGGCGATGTCCAACACCATCTAGATCTTGACAAGGTTTGAGTGGCGTAGAAGATATCACCAATTTGTTGAATGCTTAGCCTTCTGCAAAACTCATTACCGCGTAGGTGAGCTAAACAAGTTGCAATTTGAAACACTTGGCGAGGTACCTAATACCTGGGAGTTTGAGGTCAGTTAACTTTGAACTTACGCCACCGATGGTTCTCTTGTTTTGAATTTCCCAAGTTCGTATGGCCCTGTCCTTCATCTTGATCCGGTCGTCGGAATACGAGGTCCATACGTCGGTAAGCGGTGGACTTGAACATGACTCTCCGAAAAGTTTGCCTCTTCATTTCCGCTGGATGCTCGGTCCGCCCGGGATCCTTTGTTGTATCGTTACGCCCGCATACACACAGTCGGCTGTATTTTTTTCATATTCCAGCATGTTCTGCAGGTAGTCACTCTTGAGTGATAGCCGCGGAAATGGCGTCGCTATCTTTCTTGTTTGAAGTAAGTGAGTAATATGACTGCCCACTCCAAGACATCAGGCTTATTTGCCATTAGCTTTGAAGCTAATGATGTGGCAGCTTTGCAAGCGATGAGCTTCCGACCTTAGTAAACCTGCATGCTTTCGCATGTCATCACGCAATTGCTTGTGGATATGTTGCAAGTGCAAAAGTGCAAATAATTATTTGTCTGTTTCATTTAACAGCTGTTCACTTGATTTCTAGTACAAAGTCGTGCGCCAGTGCACTCACATAAGATTTGTCATACATAGCCTAGGCTATTGGATATCCAGAGTACCGATATTCTGAGCCTTTATCTACAATGACGGCTGCGAATGAGATATTCAAGATCCTCCATGCCGACACGTCTCTGTCATTTCTACCGCACATGACTTGATATGACTGGACCCAGATCCAGAAGAACTCCCAATTTATATGTCAACGTGCCTCGTGCGTGGTACGCATGTTGTGGAGCTCTGACAGGGGCTGGGAACATATTATGTGGTACATTCAGGAATCATATTCCGGAAAACTGTGTCACTTGTGTGGTGGCGATGGGAATATGACTCCCTCGATTGAGTGGGGTGCGCGGTTTGCATATTGCTGAGGTAGTAGGGTTACCCGTTGCATTTATCAAGATCATAAACTTTAGATTTCAAAACAGAGGCGATCTCGTGACAGATAGCTTTTGACCTATTGGTCCAGACAATACTTTCAGATGATCGGTCAAATCGGTTTGTGAAATTGTGAAGCCTCGACTCACCAGCCATAAAAAGATTTACTCTTAAACACCGGTCGCGAGTGAATGCCGGAGGGGGCATGCCTGGGCATGCGTACAACTTTAGCTTTGCAGCTGAGAAAAACAGTGATATTTGTCTCTCTTTATGACCGTATTCTTCTTGTCTAGCCATTTCCGACAACTAGGCGCAAAATTGATGGAGTTGCGCCGCCTGCCCTTTGCCCACAGGTGAGACCCACTACCAGTCTGTGGCGGCGGCGGTCATTGGATAACTTTGACGCTCGCGATACCTTTTGTAGGAACTTGGCTCCTGTCCACCTGCTTCGGCCGCCTCGTCAGGATTCGATGTCTTCGAATCTGCTGGCAGTGCTGGCACTCGGAGCCAACTCGGAGCTGCAATTAATTCTAGGGGCGCAAAGCTGCTGGATTTCATTTCATATGATCCTACCTTCCACTCAGGGGGTTTCCCCTGTGGAACTTGTGGACGAAAGGTCATAGGCTTGTCGTTGCTAAGGTCCGAGACCTGTGAGCCCAAGCGATTTGAACTCAGAACTGAATACGAGCAGCATGCGTATTACTCTTCGGCCGAATTTGTCTCACAGGTAGGTTCGGGTCCAATTACGAAACCGCGGGGTAACAGAACAACTTGGTGCTTGTTCGGTTTGTATGCTGTCATAAGATTTTGTGATCAGAAGGCTTTTCACCACAGTGAAATTCAAAAGACACGAGCTTACAAGGAGCTTGGAGGAGGAAAGCCAAATGGTATGTTTCCACGCGAACAGCCACGATGCGACAAATGCTAGAGGTCCTGAGTATCGTTAGACCGAATAAGCGAAGGTCTGTGATTGCTCCGCCACGGATCGCAGGATCTATGGTGAACGCCGCAACCTAAGTTATCACAGCTGAGGCTAATTGAGAGACTCGCCTGGAGAGTGTAGCAGACCTATGATGGACGTAAGGTGCACACATATGAACTGGATGTTGTGATGGGGATGTGCCAACCTGAATTGTTTGCTTACTAGCGAAATTTATGTGTGCTCTTATCTTGGTAGCCGCCCTTTTTGGTTGTCCGCTGCCCTAATACTTTTTAGATCGCACGCAGATTTATTATACTCGCTTTCAATCGGGGAAGCAGTTATTAATCCCGTCAATTCTTGTACAGTCCGCTACCCTGTATTACACGAGGCGCCAATAAAATACCTTTAAAAGGCCTTCCGTACCGGGAAGAAGTGCGCCTCCTCCTACTTTCTCCATTACCCTCATCCTCCATGGACGCACTCAAGAGTATGCTGTCCCCACTGGGAGTGGGCAGTGCTAATGCAATACAAGACACTCTCGTATGTCGTGTCCGTTCAAAAGCAATAAAGCTACTGACGCAACATGTTTAAAACAGAAACTTGTCGTCATCGGCGGGACTGTTGAGACAGCCAGAAGAGCTTCAGCAGGAGCTTGGCATACTTTCCTTGACTGTACGGAATGTTCGAGAATTTCACGGACAGTAGCTAATCTTCACTGCAGCCTTCTTCTTGACGGCACACTTCAGTCAAGAAGACTATCCTTACGACTGGTAAATTCATCCATCAAAATCATGATTGAGTTCTTACCTTTTTTTTTGTAGGCTTATGCATTGGCTTTCGAAGGTGGGTAGAAATTCGAACAAGAAAACTATGAATGAAATTGACGCTAAGCCCCAGCAACCGGCCTGGGGACGAAGCCGTGAATTTGAAATTACCACCAGGACTGTTGGCCGCAATGGTCTCACGCAATCAACGACAGGTGACCTAGATGAGGAAGATGAAGAGGAAGATGAGGATGCTCTCGTACACGGACGACGGAAACGCAAAGTGGCGTTCATGCCAAGTATAGGTAAGCTCCTGCCGCATATAGGTTCCACGTGGTTAAATGTTTTGCTAGATACGACTCACACCATTTATTACCGTGGCCATTGGCTTCGGGTATGCCATTACTATTCGGTAATGTCCTCGGAACACTGACATATTTCTGATAGATAACAAGGACCAAGCGCTATCCGGACTACGGTCATGGTTCGGCTCTGAAGATTAGGCCAGTTCTTCTTTTATCAATGTCTGCCAACATGCTTATCTCCTTGCAGTGTGATCGCTCGCAACAATGACATCTTAAAGAAACTTGTCCTCGAGGCGAAGCGGGAGTATGAAAAGGATGCCGAACATCGCGTCCATATTTTCATGGCCGATACGTGAGTCTAGGCTTGTCATTAAGGTACAACCGTATCTCATTCCGTTCCAAGAACCTACGGCTGTTGGCGTTGGAATGGAGCCCGTCAGAAGCGTCCTATGAGCTCCATTGTATTGCAACCAGGAGTCAAAGATATGCTCTTGGCTGATTGCAAAGACTTCCTGTGTTCTGAGGATTGGTGAGTGAGCTCTCAGATTCAATTTATTATCAGACCATCAATTGCTTTTTTTAGGTATGCTGAAAGAGGTGCGTGAGATGCTGAAACATTGAAATCGGATCTGACGACATTGCAGGTATACCGTTCCGCCGTGGATATTTGTTGCACGGTGTTCCTGGAAGGTTTGTATGATTCATGTTCTCTAGTTACCGGTACTCACGCTGCATTGGTCATAGCGGCAAGACTTCATTGATACATTCATTGGCGGGTGAATTAGGGCTGGATATCTACGTTGTCAGCTTGTCATCAAAGGGGTAAGAGTGGCTTGTCACTGAGTAACCGATTGTTAACGTTTGTCAAATTCAGGATGAGTGATAATACACTGACAACATTGATGGGTCATGTACCATCCAGGTAAGGTTCTCCGTTATCCACGGTCAATTCTCGGTATTCATTTTATTCTTATAACAGATGTATTTTGCTTCTTGAAGATCTGGATGCCGCGTTCACGCGCTCTGTCAGTCGTGATGCATCATCAACCGGTGCTCCCACAGCATCTAACACCAATAGCACTACCACTGAGACTAACGATGGATCAACATTGAGCTTGAGTGGACTTTTGAACAGCCTCGATGGGGTCGCCGCTGCAGAAGGCCGGTAGGTCATCACGACTCCCTCTGACACCCCGCCACTGACATGTCTTATCGCAGACTCCTTTTTGCTACGACTAACCATATTGAGCGCCTTGATCCAGCTCTTAGTCGCCCAGGACGCATGGATGTCTGGGTGAATTTCACACATGCGACAAAATGGCAAGCCGAGGGCATTTTCAAGTGTTTCTTCCCTTCGAAGCCTGCTGGTGTCGCCACCGCATCTCCATCTGAAGAGGACGTTGACACTTCGCAGAAAAACCTTCCCCTGCCAAAGCGCAAGACGCCCAGTCACACTATTCCTGTGCTTGATGAGACTGAAATTTCTGAGCTTGCTAAGCGTTTCGCAGATAGTATTCCCGAAAATGAGCTAAGCGTGAGTTTTTAGAACCGATGGCAATGTTTGCCTCTGATGCTGTTTCAGGTTGCTGCCCTTCAAGGTTACTTGTTGAAGAATAAGGTTCGCCCACGCGAATGTGTTGACGAAGTTGCGCAGTGGCACGTATACATACCTTACGAAGGGCATCACGAACTCAATTATCTTACAGGGTCGTCGAGGAACGCGAGACTCGGGAGAAGCTCAAGAAGGAGAAGGCGGAAGTACGTATGGGTACAATATCTGTGTGACGTGTGCTGAATTTATTTCAAGCGCGAGGCGAAGGAGAAGAAAGAGGTAAGTTACTGTGATTTGATAGATCTTGTTGCGATATCTGACCATGGGATAGGCCGAGGAGAAGGAACGCAAGGAGGTATCGTGCTTAGTCCCGTTCCGCTGGATGATGTCACTCACAAACCTATTCAGAAAGAAGAGAAGGTTGCTAAAGAGGTAACGTTTTATCAAACTCAATTATGCACGTCCTGATGGTGAGACAAATTATAAAGCAAGAAGAAAAGGATGCCAAAGAGAAGACCGAGAGGAAAGAGCGTGCGAAAACCAAAAAGGCTCACCGCGGCGAGACTGCCTTGAAGTTAGAAAGTCCCACCACCAGCACCACTTCTCTCACTACGACCGAAACAGTCGTTGTCCTGAGCACCGCTGAATCGTCAAGTTCTGAATCGGACAGCAGCAACGGCGGTATTGAGGCAGACACTGAGGAAAGCATAACCTCAGAGGAAGAACCCGACAAGGCCGCCGATAGTGCGGAATCTGGTGATTCCGCTGTCAAAGATAGTAACCATTCTAAGGAGAAATGGGTCGCTGTTAAGGCTGATTCATAAGTTGAATGATTGTTGACACATTGCCTTGTTAGAACCCGGGGGCTCGCACTTATCGCTATTTTGCATCTTGGTCCGTTCTGTGACGATCGCTTCGAGGCTTGATGTGACGGTTTAGATCTCGCAGTATTTACGCAATCTGATATCTGGGTGCACGTATACTACTACTTGGTAGTTTTGCTATTGTTAACCTGCTAGCTAGTGCACTGCCAATCGTACATGATAAATAGTGTTTCAGTAAACCTGAAGGAGTTTGAAGCCATGATAATCGCGATACTCGATAAAGGTAAAACTAACTAACTATATGGGCTTCAAATTGACTTCGGAAAGTGTTTTGAAGGCTTCTTTGTATGCATCCAACAAAGCCTTTACCCTCGTCCGCTCCGCGACCAACGCCTCATCCTCGTTCAGCAAATCCGCAAAAAGCTCATGCTTGTATAGAGATGCGACCAATCGGTTTTGCACTTGCTGCGAGGTGTAATTGACCAGGAAGTGCATAATCGCCTTTGGTATCAAATCCTGTATGCTCTGGCGGACAATCGAGAAGTATGATGCAATCAGAGATCTTATCAGTGACGTCTCCATCTCCTCTCGCAGAGTGATTTGGGAGCCAGGTTCAGAAGATGAGATCTAAAACCGTGTCATAAATTCCACATACAAGAGGTTTCCGTACTAGTGCACAAAACACTTACGGCTTCGATATGTCTCCCCAAGCTCTTCATATCAAATGCGGCGTTATTGCCATCAAGCGTCCGCTTGCCGGCCATAAGACCGGTGGGGCCTGAGGTCTCCGCATTTGAAATGTCCCTACCTGTGGGCACCGGCGCTGGACTATGCGATCTATCCACGGTTGATCCCGCAATCGGCCCTGGACCGTTCTGCCCGAAGAAATAGTTGAGGAACGTTTCTCTTGCAGTATGTGGTGAAGTTCCTGGTGCTCCTGGCTGCGTTACTTGGGAATGCGCAGAGGAGTGACGGGGACCCTGAGCAGGATGTGGCTTGGATAATGATGCTTTCGCAGTCGGTGCCGAGCCCGTAACTCGGGTGCGGTCATGCAGTGTAGAGGACACGGAGCGCCCGTCACGAGAAAGCACTCCATTTGTTCCCACAGGCTCCTCGGCAGCAGATGACTCGTCGTCGTCTTCTAGAGCGGGTACACCATTTATAGGTTCGTTGCTTTGGGGCTAACAGCAGAAGAAGCGCATATTGAGACCATTAGAATGAAGCAAAATCAGAAAGTGGTGCGTACGCGTGACGGTTGCGCAGGTTTGGGAGCGGGAGAAGTCGCAGCTTGTGCGGCAGCCGCGGAGCCCGATATGAATGCAGGGTGGTTGGTGTTGATGTATGCAGCTTGTATCTCGATCAGGCTCTGTGCGTATTCTGATGTAGGTCCGAGTCGTTCTCTCAAGAGTTCTGACACACATTCAATTAGCTGGGCATGAAGGCGGGGAAATCTCTCTAATTCCTGTTGTGGTGGAGTTTGAATAGGTAAACCAAGGTTAGATAATCCTAATGACTCACTACGCTTGTGCAATTATGGCAGATTTTGACAAGCTCTTCGTACACCAACTCTACACATCTCAGACTAGGCGACTCCAGTAACTTGATCTGCGGCTTCACTAGCAGATCAAAAGCAGACTCCGGAACAAACAGGCTTGGACGAGGGCCGGTTGAGTTTCGAATCGCAGTTCGAATATCCTGGTTGTCAAGATTCGAGGTTGAATCGATAGAAGCAAGTGCGTGCCCAAAGACGTCATTAAAGATGTAATATATGCGTGCTCCGCCCGAGAGCTCTTTGGTCGAAATGTCGACCTTGGTACCTTCTATCGACGCAACGAAATCATGTGCGAATTTATTCATCAGCCGTAAGATGAGTCCGCCTTGCTGTGTGGCGCTGAGTTCACGGTTCGCGTATCTCAATAAATGACCTACCTGGTTCTTGTCCCCATAGATGGCAGCATCACCAAAAGAGTTCAGTTCCTGCTGTGCTTGTCCCATGAGCGTGTTGAGGCGAGCTTTCATGTCTGGCAGCTTGTCGCGTATATGATTCATCAGCACCTGGTTCAGGGTTCTAGCAAGATATTTGGTGCCATTCTTATGCGCGATATTCCGGTATGCAGCATGACTGCGGAAGAACTCGGCCTCTGAATCTAGGGCGTCGGGCAAACTCTTCTCTGAGTTGATGTCCTGCTGGCTCCGATTCACAACCCCAATAAAGCCTAACTTTAGCGGGTAGACGCGTCCTGTAAGGATATCGAGCGCGTTGGTACCGGCGTCCATCAAGTCCAGCTTTGACAGTACTCCAATCGTTCGACGTCCTTGCGGATCAACGGAGCGAGCCAACTTTAATGCGTCGGAGTTGGCAAGGTCAACATTAGCAGCGGAAACAGCTAATATGACACTAAAGACAATAAGAAAGCGGCATCACAACAGCGAGAAATCATGGCCAACCTATTGGGTTTCGAGATATACTCCACCACGAGCCCGCGTATCTGCCTCTCAATATCACTCGGCTGGTCTCCGACTGGAATCTACAAAGGTCAGAAGTACCTAGAACAGTATTGATATGGACATACCTTAGTCAAGCCAGGTAAGTCTACCAATGTAAGGTCCAGGACATCAGGACTGTATATTTTGAGCGAAATGGGCAATTTGCTGATGCCCTTATTCTGTCCAGCGACTCGGAACGTCTCCTGCTCTATCTCTTTCCGTATCTCATGGTAGTCCGTGAACCGCTTGTCGATATGCAGAAATTGACCCCATTCCGTATAAGTAGGAGCTGCTGGATCGGGTGAAGGGGTATGGATAAGTTGAAGGACAAGTGGACGGCGGGTAACAATGCCCTGCCCACGCGGAAGGAAGTCGCGACCAACGATGCTAATAAAGGTACAATAAATAATATTTCAGATGCCATGATTACCACATACTTTTCGAGTACACTTGATTTGCCCGCAGACTGACTGCCGACCTACAAAAGAATTTCCGAGTAATGCTTTCGGTATAGTATGAGCATTAAAATGTACGCACCACGACTAGCTGTGGCATATCTAGTTCGCCGCCTGCCCCTCGACTAAGTCAACACAAACCCTAACCGCATAATCTTTCACAGGAACTCACCGAGGTTGCTGAATGTGTCTTGCAGCCGGTTGACGAGCTTAATAAGGTCTGAATCCATGATGGCTGTTTCCTTCTGCGCAAATCGTTCAAGGTCGTGAATGAAAGGAAAAGCTGGCGAGCAGCGGCACAAAGAATTGTGAATGTACGTGCCGAAACACGTGAGGCGTAAAGGCGCGTCGCCACGGCCATTTCCTATTTGGCCGCGTTTGTCTTTATAAGCATTGAAACTCAAGCTGAACTTTTTCAAAATTCTAGTTTTGTGAAAGGGCCGCACGAATAAAATTGGACTCGTATGATGATAGAAGTTGGTTGTATAGAAAAACATGCTACTCTATCATGAATTACCTAGCTGCAATTAATCATTGATCACCAGGTATACATCTAGATTGCTTTGCTTTTCACGAGCTCTGAGAAAATAAGACTCAGAATGCAAGGACGAATGGAGAACGACAGATTGGGACTCACGCTCGATCTCTGCAACTGCACTAGTCAAGATGTCTTTTTGCACCTTCTCGTCCTGGAGGTCAGCCATAACCTTGGCAATCACGCTCTTTGCGAGCTCAACCTGTTCGCTCTCCTTCTGTTGCTGCTCGTAACGAACCCAACTGTCGAGAACAGATTTCACCTCAGAAGCAAGAGCGACCTTCTGTTTCTGGACGAATGCATCTGACTCCAGCTGAGCGGTCTCCTACTCACGAAAAAAATTACTAGACGGTCGTTGATCAAATGGGTAATTGTTGCTCACCTTCGAGAGGGCAAATAGACCTTGGGTCAATGAGACGACATCTTTCATTTGCTCGACAGAGTTGATGCGGCTCTTCACTGCCTGAGTGTGTTCCGTTCGCGAGCTTTCCAAAACGTTTTTAATGCGTTCAATGTGACCATTTGCCCAGTCACGGTATGGTTCCCGAATAAGCTAGGCGAAAACAGGGATATGGGAATTGTTAAAGGGCAATTACGACGAACGTACCTTGGCGATGTAGGCAAGAAGAATGAAAGTACCAGCAGCAACAACGGTCTCCTCGTTCACAACGTAGAGCTCCTGCGAGATAGCAGTTGCAACAAGACCGGTGCCGAGAATTGCAGAACCAGTCTTAGTGATTAGACTCGGCGAGGAAGGGAGGGTGTTCAGAATTTCTGCTGCGCGCTGCTCAGGTGGGGGATTCGAGCTCATTGAGCGCCTGCGTAGGTATCGTTAATAAACATATTTCTTTGGAGACCAGTGTCGAACGTACGCGTTGACAGCCCGAGCAAAGCCAGGGAGGGCGCGTGGCCGAGCTGTAGAAATTGACCAGGACTTAAGCTTAACATACAATAGCGGAATTTCCTGAAACTGACCAGAAGCCTTGAGCGTATTGACCGCGATCCTGGACGCCATTTGTGATGCAGATTGAACTACAGAGAACGTCGGGTGCCGAAGTCTGGATGAAGAGGATGGGAGACCGTGAGAAATAAATATTCCGACTTGACACGATACCTCCATGCTTGAGGCGCACTTTCCGTTACCAGTAGCAGCCTCTACCAGTATGGCGGGCTGCAAAGCCATGCCTGGCGTAGCAAATTGTTCTCGCGTGTAAGTAATGCAACCCTTTTTTACTGTTCAGTGGCGCACGGTGAAGACTATCGGATATCAACTGGGTCTGGACCGGAGTGGTCTAGAGGCTGGTTCATGATCATCTCAAGTTCTTCAGCGCTTTGTTCATAAACAGGCTGGGAGAAGATGTCGGTGCGGTGAATGATCCATTCGTGTATCATATCGCGCAGCATGTAAGATTGGATTGTATTTCCCTCCGATTTGATGACCGAGTGGTACTTATCTACCTGAACTTTGCGACCCCCGATAATTAGGTAAACCGTCGTGCACGTTGTACCTCATCTGGTCAGAAGGTTGAGAGTCGAGACCCGCACTCACTGTGCTGTCTGGTCGGTGTATGTGTCCATATTCTCACGTCTGGTTTCTGGAAACAGAAGCCTTGATATCATTATCCTACGTTCCAAGTGGCGACCATTCAATCATGTACACTGCCACGTGGATTCGAACTGGCATGTTTTACCCATCTTCCTTTCGAGAGAGAGATTGGACTGATAGTAGATAATGCTAAATGTGAGTGCACTGTGTTGTTACAATTGTGAAGTATAAAGTCGGATATTGACTGGCAGTCCTCTTTGGTAATCCGGTTGGATAGGCCCCAGTGTTCGACATGTCTTTTCTATGAACTGTCACTCTTCTTCGTCTCCGGTGGGCATTATCCTAACATGCTTACCTTGCTTTAATTCCCTCTAACCCCCTTTGCACTGAAAACTATTTCCGTAGACCATATTTACATTTTTTTGATGAGTTGTTCCGCATCAGGGAAACACGTTGTGCTCTAATTGAGACGACTTTTCTGCGGAGGCTTTGCAATGCCATCCGATATGGAAGATTCTTCGTTTGGTATTGAGAAGCATATGTGGAGCTAAATCCTGTCTTGGTGTATGAAGGTGTATGAGCCAAATAACACGCATGAATGGGTTCTTTATACCATACTTAACAAAGCGTCTTTCGAAAATGGTACGTTAACAAGCACTGCTCATTGAAACTGACGCCCTCTTCTTCTGACAGAATACTATTAATGCTGTCTTCCGAGAAGCATGGATCCTCAGTCAACCTCCTTTCTGAGAAACATGCATGTAAGTTAGAGTTCAAGAACGTATTTGTCGATGGCTCCCGTGGGGTACAATTCATAGAAAACGTATATATGACTCGTTTCAAACCTTGCTGTTAAGTTTGTTAATCCTTTGTGTCCGCGGGGACTAATCTAATCACAATCATGTGGTATCATGTCAATTTCTCACCACAGCATGTCCCTGTAGCTTTCGCCGCTGGCATTTACGTCTAGTAGAACTTTGTGGGAGGATTACTGCTTGGCCCGAAATGGATCGTACAGAAGCGGCTTGGATTCCTTCTCTGCGACACCTCCATGAATTAGTTTCTCATGCAGTTGCTCGCATGACATATTGAAGCTGCCGATAAACTGACGAAGACGGCAATCAGGATTTTTGTACAGGAATATGGCCTGAGACGTGAGGCAGACCAGTTGTGAGAATTCGCTACCACCATGTACACACCTACCTGTCGGTACACTTCTGGGTGTTCTTTGAGCGCTATATCTGAGGACGAAGCTACCAGTACGCCAACGAACAATGCACACAAGATATGAGTGCAGTCAACAGCACAGTCCAGGTCACAATCCACAATTCTACATTTTTAGATCAATTAGAAATCTGCCAATGTATATTATTAACACGCATTTAAGGTATCATTGCCAAAGTATTGACTATGCAGTTTGCCTGACATGCGGCCCATATTTCGTCATGGCGAAAGTATGCCTGCAACAGTTTCGTATACTGCAAATGTAGCCATGTTGACTGGAATCGCCCTGGGATGAGAACAATCACAAATAATAATTTGTACGCAGCGCACTCAGACAAACTTACCGCAGCATAGTCGGGCTCAACCCGCGAAAAAAGCCTGCAGCCCCACCTGTGCGATATGAGTGCTGGATTGTCGATATGATTGTGCGATATGGGTTATCATGATCGCCTGTAGTCACTTTCGACCGCATTATGTTTCGAGCTTCTACAATCTCGGTACTCTGCATCCGCGTCTTTACAACGTCCATCGGAAATGTCGGAAGCCAACCAAGCACGCCTGCCACCCCTCCGCTGACAAATAACACCCAAAGGGGTATGGATCCTTGGCTTGAGTCTGACAGCGAGGTGGAATCATTAAGTCTAAGAGAAGGAGCAGTGAGGTATCTACTTGTGGCCTCGTACTTCCCCATAGATGTCAAACCATGGTCAATGGGTTATGAGGACTCTTACCCCCAAGAAGTATGCACCATATCCGACATCGCGAAGGGCCGTAGCTGTGAGACCACGAAATAATCCCTTGAGACCATGTTCTCGATGAATAGTATATATAAGTTTGCTGACTGAGATGCTTCCCAGTCCGCTTTCCAACATGTTTTGCTGCCTGATTTTAATAAGTTCGATAGGTGCAGAAAAAAATCTAATGCATCCGTTTGGCAGCAGCTAGTATACATATATATGAAACCACCGTGACTCTGGTCCAAACAGGTACCTGACCTACTTCTTGTCCAAAAATCGCTCACCCTTGATTACATAATCGTCCAGTTGTTGATGCGCGCAAATCCGTCCTTACTACTTGCCTCATTGAATTAGAGCCATGCAGCCTGAAGCCCCTCATACACCACCATTGCGTAACGTACAAACGCTACCGCCAGATACTGTTGCAGTCTCTCGTCATACCTCGGGAGCAAATTATCGCACGGGGGATCTGAAACTAGGCCGCGCCGCTGTTCTCGCAGATTTACAAAGGTATCTGCAGGTTCCATTCGATTGCCTCTTGAAACGCGTTGGTGCCTTGCCTCCCTTGCAGGATCTGCAGCGCATACGCAACAACTTGACGAAGAGCAAGATTCTCACTGACGACGAAAGTGGCTTGCGATGGACGGACTTTACGCCACCTACCGCATCGAAAGGGTCTGAAGAGAACGTGTTTGAGCCCCTCGGTCGCATCATTGATCGAATTTTGGCTGAAACCCCGAATCGCAGAGCGTCCTTTGCAGCGAACCCAAACGTAACACCACTCTCGGAGCGCAACAATACTTCCAGGCCTGATGGATACCTTGTACTTAGCAAGGAAAAAAACAAGCGCAAGATACATTGGTTCGATATTGCTGTGCCATTCGAGGCACAGGATAGAGAGTCTCTTCGAGATGTAAGCCGTTACAGATTTTGTTGACGTCCGCTCACAAAGCCTGCTCTAGGACGAAGAGAAGATAATCTGGAGCCTTCACAGTATCATGCGCGAGGATATTTGTCGTCGTTTTGCGTTCGGTATCACAATCGAGGGCACGCAGTTGAGACTGTGGCTCACCAATCGTGCATTCCTTGCGGTTACTCAACCTATCAACTTCTTCCAGGTACGCAAACGTATCCCACTGTGTGTCAAGGTGCTAACAGGCCTAGAACGTGGATAGTGTTATTTCGCTCTTTTACGCTCTTGGATCTGCGTCTGCATCTTCTTCTATGAAAGAGCTCGGATGGGACCCCACCGTTAAGCGGATCCACGATGGGGAGAAATTCCGATACAAGTTCACTATCAGGGATGAAGTGTTCACCACGACACGTGAACTTGCAACCTACGGCGCAGACTCTATGGTTGGGCGTGGAACTCGCGTGTACGAAGCCACAGACGCCGAGGGAAATAAAGTTGCCGTCAAAGACTCATGGAGAGATTTTGGACGTCTATCGGAGGGCAAGATACTAGAGAACATCTTGGCTTCATGCGCAGAGAGGCTGTCGCCGGAGGAGTTGGTGGATGCCAAGAATCACTTCGTTCAAGTCCGGCTTTGGGAGGATGTCACGATCGATGATGCCCCAGACGAGACGCTGAACCTGACAGTTGCAGAAGAGCATAGCCATACAAGGGTGTGGGTGTCCATTGATGCCAATCCCATCCTTTCCGCAACACCACATTTACCTAGCACAGGCGACATACCCGACTCAGGTCGGCCGTTTGACTTGCTTTGCCCGCACTTTGACAACCCTCGGGACAAGGACACTAGCATCCCACGCAGAGTCCATACTCGCACTGTCTTCCATGACGTCGGAGTTGCTCTCAAGGATGTCACCTCTTTGGTCGACATTCTGAGTTGCTTGTCCGACGCGCTGAAGGGTGAGCAAATCACTGTCCATCTCCTTTCCTCTGTCGCTTATTCAACCTTAGCCTTGTATTATCTGCACAAATCAGGTTTTGTTCATCGTGATTTCAGTGTTGGGAACGTAATTCGGGTCGGGGGTGTGGGGAAGTTGGGTGACTTCGAGTACGCGAAAAGGATAGATTCAGATATTTCTCATGATGTCCGAACAGTAAGAATTTTTGAAGATGATCTGTTTTGCTGCTAATTCGTCTACAGGGAACAAGGCATTTTATGGCGGTGGAAGTAGAAAGTCAGAAATACCTTTTCTTCCCGCGCCTCCCATTATCCCAAAGCGGTACAACGGACGCACCTCCATTTCGCATGAATTTCCTGCACGACATCGAATCTGTATGGTGGGTTTTCACCTGGGTCTTCTTCTATCACACGGACATGGGAACGGCAAACAGCCACGATTCTAATGTCTTCGATGCACAAACTCAGTGGAACCAGTACCACGTCGCCTTCCCTGATACGATCGGCCATACGAAGCGCCGAGACTTCTTCATCGACTATGTAGAACTCCAGAAGACGTGCCAGAAGTGCATTTCAGAAACGTGCCAGAAAGTTTGCAGTGATATTGCTTTTTTCGCATGCGATATCCAGGGAAACTATGTGACAGCGGAGAAGGAATATCCCTTGCTAACGCTTAGCGACATTCTTCTGGAGGATATGCATTCAAAAGCTGCCAAATATCTCCGAAAAGCGCAATGTTGTGCTCAGAAATTAGGTATAGAACTTTGTCCGCTCCCCGACCTCCTGAAGCACAAGAGGTCCAGACCGCAAAATGAAACATCGCTTGCGCCAATAAATCAAGGGAAGAAGGCTCGAATGACTTGATTTTGACTATGTGTACAAAAAGGAACTGGGAGATGGTAGCCTGGCGTCTCTACATGTTATGAATTTTTGTAGTACTCAATTATATTTAGAGCTTCTGTCTGGACTTGAAGTCGCATTTGTGAATTATCGCTCTTTCCTCTCCTACGGTACTAATCCCTGATGCATTTCTAGGTTCATGCATCCCTCCTGCCTGATGCATCGCGTTTCCTGCCCTTTGATGCATCTTCTTACCTTACGGTACTAATACCTGATGCATTTCTAGGTTTATGCATCCCTCCTGCCTGATGCATCGCGTTTTCTAGGCTAATGCGTCCCTCCCGCCCTTCCTCCCGCCCTTTGATGCATCCGTCTCACAATATGGCGCATTGCTCATTGCGTCCCTCCCGCCCTTTGATGCATCCTTCTCACTGATGCATCACGTTTTCTAGGCTCGTACATGGATCATGGCGCGACAGTCGAGGAGGTAAGAGCTGTACGAGAGATCACACTGAGAATCACAATCAAGGCGGGCGTCCGCTTGAAAGCCGAAGTTCCCAGCATTTGATTCAATCGGCTACACATAGCACAACTTCCAACCACATAAATGTGTACACGGAATCAATTAACATTTGGAAGGTCGCATATAACGGTCGGACAACGGATGAAATGATTACGCTCGGTCCGACTTCGCCAGTCACTCAATCGTACTTGAAGCAGACGTGGCCATCACTAGCAGGAACACGCTGGCTTCCTTCTATTGGGTCTGCATGTGCACGGGAGACTATAAGATCCGCACCCAGGCGGTAATGGGAATTCTTCATTCACCACGAGGATGTCCGATATCGCGACTCCTGAGTTTCTCAACCAATTACAGTCTTTATATCCTGCACCAACAAGATATGTCGACAGTGGCTGGTACCTAGCTGCCGCAGTAGCATTTAGCTCGAGCAACCGCCCCGAAGCCGTCCCATGTGTACTCCGCCATGCGCTCGACGACCTCGAGAAACTCCCTGACACCTCGGATGAAGATCGCAGGCTGCTTGTGCGAAAGATGAGGGAGGGTATCTTTAAATCTGGCTTGCTCTCAGGTTATCCCAAAGTCAATATGCCATATCCGGTGACGTCAATGATCTTACAGCTTCTGTAGGTCATCCACGCTCTTATTTCACTATATGAGGCCACCCCAAAAGAGTTTCGGGACACTGAGCCTATGCGGTTAGTGTATGAGTTATCCTGAATCCTCTTTTCCCGACTTGTCGTACAGAGACCCCACTCGATCGAAAGAGGAAGTCGCTGCTGCTGGTCAGGCATATTTTGATTTGCAATATGGTGATACTGCAACAGAAATTCAGGCCATGCTTCGATCCATATACCCAGACCTCGGTATGTTCCCAAGGAGAATTCTTTCTGAATCAGCTCATGAATTCAATCACTAGAACACTTCACGATCACAGCTGGGTACGGGTATGTGCACTCCTTCTCGAAAGTGATCTCACCCAAGGAGACGTCATTTGCCATTATTGCTGCATTAATCGCAAACGACACGCTCAGTCAGGTTGAATGGCAGCTCACTGGCGCTGTTCGCAATGGCGCAGCAGTTGAGGAGGCCAGAGGTGTAAGAGAAATCGCACTGAGAATTGCGATGACGGTGGGCGTCTTGAAACATAAAGTTCCTAACATTTGATACTAATCGACTGAATCAATGTGTAAATAAAATCAATTATTCTTTGGAAGGTTGCACATGCTGTTTGGACATGGGGTGGTTTTCACCGATGGTGGCACAGCTCGGTTCGTCATTTGATACATATAGTTGTTCAGAATTGATAAGACAGGCCATAATTGCTAGCGCCTATTCTTCATTCTTGTAGTTCGACATAATTTTCTGCAGAGCACGTTGAGCCCGTCTTCTCGAGACATAACGAGCAAGGACATACCGGGGAACATTCCGATATTGCCCTGCGGATTCTTGCCTTGCCACCACCCTTCACCAACCGCCTCGATTTCAACAATCCTGTCACCCACAAGGAACGATATTTCATTGTCCTCGGTAGCTTGATAGCTGAGAAGAAAAAGGGATTAGATCGTAAAATCACTTTAGGAAACAAACCTACTCGTAAAGAGCCACTGCTACAATACCCTCATCGGTAACAGAGACCTCGGGTTCAGGTTCGGGAGCGGGCGGCGTTGCCGGCTATTCGTGCATGAGAAATAGAACGTGTTGTTCAACACTGGATTTACTTACGGCTGGCGGCGGCGGAGGTGGTGGAGGTGGTGGAACCTCTTCCTGAGATTGTTCTACAATTTCCACATAGTTTGCTGTGATGTGGTTAGTATACACCTGGTGAACTGAACAAAAGACACACTCACCAGGGAACAACCCGCTCTTCTCACCTCCTTGGCTAACACCACTCCACCAACCTTCATCGATCTGTTCGATCTGCTCAATAAATTCGCCTTCCTCCAAGTTCATCTCATTATCTTCCGTAGCCTAGCATAAAAATTGGGATTTATCAGATTTTGTAAAGAAAAAGAAAAAATTCAATCATGTACCTCATAGTCATACAGTACCACAGCACAGATACCATGACCCGCAGGAGCAAGCATTGGCTCTGGCTCTGGCTCCACACTCAGCGCCTGCATCTGAGCTACAGGTGGCGGTGGCGGTGGAGGTGGTGGTGGCGGCGGTGGCTGTAGATAGAATAAGTACTGAAACACTCAACATCATTTTATGCTCACTCCTGCTTCCTCTTCTTCCAATTCAATGGGCGCAGGCGCAAATGGCGGCGGCGGCGGAGGTGGTGGTGGCGGAGGTGGCGGCGGCTGTAGATAGAATGAGTATTGAATCACTTAACGACATTTTATGCTCACTCCCGATTCCTCTTCTTCCAATTCAATGGGCGCAGGTGCAAATGCTGGTGGTGGTGGTGGTGGTGGTGGTGGTGGCGGCGGCGGCGGCGGAGCAGCCTCTTCCTCTTCTAGTTCTGGTTCTGGCTCCGGAGGCGGAGGCGGCACAAATCGTGGACGCGTCGAAGCAGGATGAACCGGTGGGGACTGGTGCTGCAGCAAAATGTTAAATGTGAGTTTTCTTGCCAATATCAACAACACTCACAGGAACCACAAATTCTGCCTGAGGCTCAGGCTCTGTAGCACTTACTAATGCAGCCCCAGCCGCACCGATAACTGCACCACTTACGGCTGCAGCAGCAACTTTGGCACCAAATCTTCCCTGTGTCTGACTGCCGCTTACGCCTGTAGATGTAGGGCTTTGCCACGAAGCCTCTCTACTTCTTTTCTCTTCTTCCTCTGCTTGTTTCTTCGCTTGCAATTGACGTTCGCTCCAAGTGAGTTTCTTTGGTCCACCAGCAGCGGATGCTCGGGGCGGAGGAGCTTGTTGCTGCTGCTGCTGCTGCTCGAATTGTGTAAACGGATTTTTCAGCCTGCCTGGCGTGAGTTTGACCGGGGTCCACGCGGTACCCTGAAATACATATTACAAAAGGCCACAGTTGTAGATAACATCACGCTTACTACTGGGGCAATACGATCTTCTTCTACAGGTTTAACAGGAACATTGGAGGAAAGGACGGCAGGTGGGGTAGTAGGAGCTGCAGGAGTAGAGCGTGCAGGGTTCGTGCCAACATAAGACTGCAAATGCACAGTTAGACATGATTTGATATGAGAATCTCAGGCTTACGGAAAAAGCAGGCCTTGGAGCGCTGGGTATGGCCGGGGGACGTGAGGCAGCAGGCGGAGGCGGTGAAGGCGCGTCTTCCTCCCAAGCATCAGCGGGGGCTTTCCCTGTACCAGCAGGTCGTACAGAAGCAGCGCCACCAACAACAGGGCGCGGAGCAGGTGGGTATCGCAGGCTTAGAGAATGTCGATGTCGTAACAGGTTTCGGTGCTGAAGGCGCAGACGATGAAACGTTCCTCGGTGGCGGCTGGACGTTGCGCATGGCAGCGATGTCGGGGCGCCCGACAGGCGTGTAGCTCGTACCTACAGGGGCGATCGGTTCGAACTTGCGCGCCTGCTCGTTGTGCGCTGAGTATTTTGCCCCAGACGCAGCCTCGACACGCTTCATTATGAGCGCAGGTGCGACATCGGACTGCGGCAGGAACACTAAGATTACTCTGATATAACGATTCTTCAGATGCGGTACGGACCTCGTTGCGAGCACTGATCACAACATGAGAACCGCGAAGAAACTTCGCAACAGCACCGGAGTGAGTGTGGAATAAACCTTTCTTGGCTTCTGGCACGCCATCTCCACACCAGTTGATTTGTACGAACTTGGCCAGTTTACTCTGAAGGAGACAAGATCGACTCGTCAGAATCATGCCGAAATGAACGTACTGAAAGCATACGTTTGGATCTATAACACGCGCGAATGCGTACTGCATCCTGCATATAAATCAGAAGGGGAACTGAATAAAGGGACGATGTGCCCATACCGTCCATCTGAGAATTCCTCTTCTAGTTCCTCAAGCCCACCATTGCCAGTGGCCTGTACTTTCAGGTCATTTCCACCCTTGTCATATGTGTATATTACCCAATCTATGTTTCTGCCAGCAACGACGTTTTGGTATGCCTCGCTGATCTCTTTGCTAGACAAGTTGACCTGCAAGGACATCGGAGGTGACTAAACAGAAGATTGAGCATCACCTAGCACGCTGACGCAAAATGTCTCACTACTATACTGATCAACGCAGCTCTTCGACTGTAAAGCTCTGAAGGACAAACTGGTGATGAATTGATGATGAAGGGACGTTTCAGGTTTCTGGGTCTGTCCCAATTCAGTGACCCGCAGTTGATTTCTTAGCACGTGACCGAGACGCGTCTGTTGTTTTCACTGGTCGTTCGAAGAATATCATGGCTTTATTAGGCTATACAGTGCAAAACGGGAAAAACCGACCTCCGCTACCACACCAACACAAATTATGTTTTTACATCACCCCATCCCACCTGATTTGTACCCAAATTGGTGGAATTGCCTCCGTTTGAACCTACTAATCTGCAAAATGACTGAAATGAACACTTAACTTATGCGCATTATGGACACTTACGAACACTTATGACCTCACTAGCGAACTCACGTGATTGGTGGAGATGCTGAACAAACCATATCTGGCTGATAAAACTCGAGCAGTTATCTTTTGTTACTAAGATGTGATATGCTCAAAGATATGATACAATATGATACTAGATGCAATAGGTTGATACAATTGCTACATATTGATTGAGCTGCTGTCTACACAAACTCGGTACTGAATGTATGATAACTCTCCTTGTCTGCGAAGGTATTCAAAAAGAAACACTCATAGGTTTCCAATGAAGTTGCAGAGGACACATCCTTGGCCACTGTCTTGCCATAAACTGGTATCAATTCAATCGCGTGTGTTACATCTGTTACTCGCATGACAGCTCCCTCCCTATGGCAGTTACCATTTTGATCATGCATATATGCGCGCTCTACAGTCCACATCGCAAGTTCGGGACAATCAGTAGGACTGGAAATGAAGCAGAAATATTGGATGTAGAGAAGTGGGTCAGAGAGATACAATGGCAGTTCCAGGTTGGAGTTTTGTTGGACCACTGGTTGAAAAATTAGTCAAACTTGTGTGACATGACTTGCTGTATATGTGATATCAGTAGTGTTTTTTTTTTTTTTTTTTTTTTTTGGAATCCTTGTTTATTGTCCTGTGGGGCGAAGCCCTATGGTGGACACTACCTATGAGATTGGTCTGTACTACATATGTGATAATGATGGGTGTAATCAATGCTATGCAATGGTCCGTGCTGCTGCAGGGACGGTGACGCCATCTTAAGGTGTTGTGTTAGTGGTACATTATATATTTTTTCTCCTCCCCTCAAGTATCTTCCTTTCCCTCATCCGCTCTTCCTTTTCCTCATTCCTTTCTTTCAGGAGGGTTGATGTCCCCAAAGATCCGTTCCATTCTTCTGGTGCATGCTATGAACTTGAGTGTCACCTTGATTCCTTTGGTCTCGCTGAGAAGGTATTTGACGTTTAGCTGGCGTGGCCCTACCTCCATGCTCAGGGCGTTGCACTGTCTGGCAAATTTGGGGCAGACTAATAGGAAGTGGTGGATGGTCTCTTCGTGTGCATGACATTCTTGGCATGTTGCTGATGGCGCTCTCACTATGCGGTGGAGATGTTTGTTGAGGGCAATGTGGCCGGTGTGGAGGTGAAAGATCAGCGTTCTGTGCTTTCTTGGTAAATCTTTGATCTTGCTAGCAAACTTTTTGGATGGGATGGTGTGATTGATGGATTGGAGGCGATTGAAGTGGGGGGACTCTTTCATGATGTTGATTGCTTCATTCTTGATCTCTCCGTTGAAGTGCTGCTTCAGTGTGGATTTGCTTTGTGGAAGGGTTCTGATTGTGCCGCCTCTCGCTAACAGTGATTTGGGGATGTCTTTCGTGGCTGATGAGTCTCCTGCTGCTGCTTTCTTTGCCTCCTCGTCTGCAGCTTCATTGCCTGCTATGCCGTGGTGCCCTGACCATCTGACTATGAGTTTCCTGTCATCTTTGTTGGGTAACAGCTTGCGTAAGTTGTCATGGAATGAGTCTGCTAGGTAGTGACCTGCTCTGGATTGGAATGCCATCATAGCGAGAATTGCAGCTTGGTTGTCGACTCCTAGTGCCATTGTGCCTCCCCTGTTGCCACCTGCCTCTCTTAACAGCTGTATCGCCAGGATCATCCCTACTAGCTCTGCTTCGTACACTGTGTGTTCTTTGTCACTCCCCAGATGTAAGCGTCTCCTGCTGATCACCTCCTCGCCTCTCATCAACACAGCTTCACCTCCTACTCCCCCGTTTACTGCTGAGCCATCAGAATATACCCATAGATCCTCCATAGCTAGTCTGTTGTCTTTGATGGCTTGCTTTGATGTGTTCATGATGCAGCATTCGACGTCTGGTTCCCATTTGGGGTAGTGTCTGACCGGGTCTATTTTTTCGATTCTGGATGGGTCAATCTGAAATTCCCACATCAGTTTGTGAAGCGGTGAAGGGAATCATTTTCTCCTCTGGAACTGTCTTCTTGCACTGTATTCATATGCTACTCTGATCTCCTTGGCTAGCGGATGTGGGGGCGGGAGAGATGCCATCCTTAGGGACACTTGATGGCAAACTTTTCGAAGTGTCTGTTGAAAAGGAAGTATGTTAGCATGCATGTCTAGAGTATCAGTTGCAGTTGATCTTAGTCCTCCTGTTACTAGCAGTGTGGCCATTTGCTGGACTCTTGCCATCTGGGATGTGAAGCCTCTAGCACCACATCCCCCCCCCCCCCCCCAGTTTTCCCCTTGCCCTTTTCAACTAGACCTGCGCACCATACATCAGCGGCGTAGAGCATTTTCAGAATTATGACACTTTCAAAGAGTCTCTTGACCAGTTTTCCGTGTATTCCTCTTGTGGGGCAGATGATTCATCTGCATGCCATCATGTACTTTGTTCCTTTTGCTGTTGCATAGGCAGCGTGTTCTTTGAAGTTAAGGTTCTGATTGATGATTACTCCTAGGAACTTGTGCGATTTTCGACAGTTGTATGGTGTGATTGTGGATGGTGATCGGTGGGCGGTGGGCGGGGATTGTTTTCTGAGGGTTGTCTGTGTCAGGGATCCGCTTGCTGGATAGACATATTAGCGCCGTCTTTTTGAGCTCAAATTCTGTGTTGTGCTCTTCGCTCCATTTGAGAGCGCCTCCCCATTTTTCCATCATTCTCTTGAGTTTGCCATTGGATTCCTCGTATGACTTACCCCTTGCTACTAGTGCTACATCATCTAGGAATCCGAGGCCTAGTTCTCCCTTTCTAGGGTTGGGATCAGCTACTCTCAATATGTCTGAGTTGTAGAATACAAATCCTAGTGGTGACAGTGGGCATCCCTGATCAATTCTGTCTGTCACCTTGAAGAGATTGGACTGATAGTTGTCGAAGAAGAGGTATGTTGTTCTGCTGTCCAGGTGTCTTCAGTACCATTCAACATACTCCTGTGGAATGCTGGCTTTCCTTAGGTTGTGCATTAGCTTGTTGACCACCACACTCAGGAAGGCTGCTTTGACGTCCAGGAATAGTAGTGAGATGTGATTGTTTTGTGAGGCCCATGAGTCAGTTATGAACTTTGTGAGAAGATGCAGTGAGTCAGTTGTGGACCAGCCAGGTCGTCCTCCAAAGTGTGTGGGGGAGGAGGTTGTTCTGCTCTGAAATGTACATTAGATCATCTGCAATGCATGATGATAGAATCTTAGCCATGGTGTCTAGGAGTGTGATTGGGCGATAGGCCTTGAGGATACTGGTTTTCTGAGGACAATGGTTGATGAGCATTTCCATTTGTTCAGGTAGACTTCCAGCATGAAGGTTGCCCTGAAGATCGGTCCCATGTAGGGTACTAGCAGGTCTGTGCAGCATGTGTACACAATGTTGCTGATTCCGTTGAGTCTGGGGGCCTTGAAAGGGGAGAGCTTTTTGATGGCTTGGTGGATCTGTGTATCTGTTATCAGTTCAAATTCGCATACAGGATCAGTAGTGTTAGATGTAGATACATAGAATATACATACTCATGTTGCCATTAATGCCCATAGCGTCAATGAGAACAGTGTCACAATTTCCCAAGAGAAACTTGTCACTTGGTGGATATGCTTGCACCACTCTGCTTGGCATGATGACACATTGCTGGAAGGTGGAGTGAAGCTGCAGCTGAAACCTGTTCCATGCCTGGTAGTGCCCATATTTAGGGTCCCAGTGGGTATTTTCACCGCTGGACATTGATGAATGGGTGATGAAATCGGCAAATGCGCAATCGAAGTCATGAAGTGCATATTTTGTAGATATTTCAGTCAGCGACAGCGATCTGTAGTCTGGTGTGACGTTCACTTGAAAAGTGGTTTGCGCATCTCCAGAGAGGATGCCCTTCAGAAGGTGGTTTTGGACTGGTCGGGGACCATGAATCGACTTCATCAGGGAGGACGTGGGAAACCCACGAGAGTGTGGGGTTGATAGTCTCAACCTTGTCCTCTTCAGCATGCATGGCATTGACCAATGGCACACCACGAGAAGTCATTAGTGCATACAGGTCAAATATCTCCATTGCTTCTTGGCGGTTAAGAATCTGCATACATTGCTCTGTAAAATCTTTGCTTTGCCAGGCCATCCACGGGAAAAGATCCTTACAATGGGTGATGAGCAAGCATTCTGTTATGTCGGCTGAGAACTGCATCAAAGTGCTCAACCACTGGACTGTACCCTTAAAGCTTTGCAGTAGTTCGAGTTTGGGGATAAAAAAATTCTCTTTGACGCCCTTCTTCCCCTTCCTTGCCTCAGCTTCAATGATAGTGCCCTTGAAGGAGTGGAAGTCTGAGAGAGCTTGCTCCATTGACTGAAGTGTTTCAGGTGAATGGACCGGATTCTGTGCGAGGTAGATGAACTCTACAATGGCACGAATTGCGTGAACAAATTGGGGTGAAGTGGCACCTGCGATTGAGGCAACGATGGTGTGTTGTATGTCTCTGTACTCATGGCCTGTCATTTGCTTGACATGTGTGACACCTTTTGCAAAGTGGCATGTACCAACCCGCTTGTGCTGAGTGATGAAATGGTTATCAAGCTCATAAGCTCCTACAGCCTCTTTAACTCATTTGAGTGGATGATTGGCGAAAAACTTAAAGCAAGTATGTAGAACTTCACCAGCGAGGAAGATGGACGGACATTCATAGATCCAATCACGCCAGTATGGCATATGTACTCCAGAGAGGTTGACAGATTTGGCTGCTTTTTGGAATTTGTCAAGACCCCAAGGATCGACATTGCGGGATATGTTGGTAATCTGTTGCAGTGTATGCTTCCCGGTATGAGGGGGGTGAAGTATCCCATTGCCAAAATCCGCTTGCACTGCCATGGTCACAGGGGATGCATTTTTTGTGACTGTAGTGATCATAGAGGCCTCTGGCAGGTCACATACATGAGCAATGAGTGGTGTAAAAACATAACAGATGTATCAAGAGAGCATGAAGCATCTATCCAGTGCTGCAGCCTCAAGGTTAGCAAGCATGAGGTCCATGCACTGATGCCATAGCCGTGCCTGGAGAATGCTTATACTCTGAGTGCACACAAAACTTTGTAATAGGCATATAGGCAATACACTGCCAAGCTCGTAAAGTTGCTTTGGAGCGAACTTCTGAATCAATGTTGCTGATAGTTATAAAAACTGGATGCATTTTGAGTCCTCCAGTGATTCGTGTTACATGAGTTTTATCGGATCCCAATATGATTGGCACTTGAGTCGCACCTATAGGAAGATGGTCCTAGAAAATTGCAAAGTCAATCTGTGACAAGGAATAGACTAACAGAGTAAGCAAACCTGTATTCTCCAGGCCATATTGGCACTCATGTAATCTCCGCATTCACACTGATCTCCAACATTGACGACATGTGGAGTATGGTTTGCAAAGATAGGATCACTAAAGAGCTGTTTGATGACATCTAGTGCATCACGCCAAATGAGCTCAATTGGGTGGACTGTCTTGTAGCCTGTGAACTCCATTTTGGAGACTTTCCACTCCGTAAAACATGGGAGTGAGTCCATCCAGTCTAATAGTTGGTCCTTCGTAGTGAAGGATGGCCTTGCATGATTATTAAACTATCAAAGAATGATGAGTGTCATAGATTTACATTTTACCATCATTTACCCATTTCAACTTCAGAAACTTGATGATCTGAGTCTGAGTGAGGTTTTCAACCAAGAACTTCCCTAACTCCCATTCACCTTCGTCATGGAAAGGGTAGTAGTGGCTTATCTTCTGCCAATATGCATATGGATCACCATCCAACCTATCAAGCTTATTTCTGCTGACACCGAAAATGTATCCAGACTGTGGATGAAAAGTACCAGTAGCAGGCATTTGATCACTTCCACATCGACAGAATACAGGAGGAACGGGTACTTCTTGCGGTTGTGCTTTGGATGGCCAACAGGTAGGCTCAGAATTGAGATGCTGAATCAGTGTCTCGATGGACAGAAAGTCTTCCATATTGCAATTGGGACATAACCTGCCAAAGATAAGTGCACATAGTTATCATACTAGTGAATTTGAGCTCGACAGTACTCACATTGTAGTAGTATAGCCCTCAGGCTGTGGTAGTTGGACTGGTTTGACTACAAGCTGAGGAAACTGCTCGCTCTTTCAAAGTCTACAACTACGCATCTCTGGTTTGCAAGGCCAGCACTGGCAGGTCACTCTACTGTGCATCACCTGCTGTATCACCTGAGACAACCATGGAATTTTCCCCTTCGTCCCCTGTTTCCTCCCCTCCTCAATCAAGCAGTCCTGCTCCCACTAACTCGAGCTCTGTAACTTGTGTTGAACCGACTTCCTTTGATCTTTTCAAGAAGACAAACTACTCCCACTCTCCTCATTTTATGACTTCTGACATAGGTTCTGGTTCTGATGCAGGTTCTCCCCATATTCCGCTCTCCCCAGTGGATGAGGTACCTAAACCTCCTGAGGCAAGGGAGAGTATATTATATAAGGTACATATGTCTCTAAATGCAAAGCGGAACATATTATATAGGTATTTCCCCCAAGTCTCCTTCATGTCGTAGAAATGTGGGCCTCAAATTGGCTTTCCAGCCTGGAAAGCCTGGTCATCAAGTCACATCTCCTTCCTGTTGTGGACAGTATCTGCGTGACTGAATGTCCAAAAATTGCATTTCACACCCTCTCCGTCAAGCTCCACTGGAGCTCCAATTTGCAGCCCGTGTTTCAGGGCGAGGGTGTAGGCTTGAATTCACTGCCGAAGAAGTTAATGAGGTATGTTTATTATCACACAATATTCCTTGGTGTAGCGATGGTTGCGGTGTTGGGCTCAAAACCATGTATTTCCATACTCGTGCCAACACCCAAAACATATGCGCACATGTCCAACGCACTTTCACACATGTCCGAGCCACTCTGTATCGGATCCGGCGCATCGGACCTTCGGACATCGCATCAGCCAATCGCACTTCGTGTGCACTTGTCCATCCCGTGTCCTGTCCATCTGAACTAGCCTCACTAGGTGCATAGTTATTCCCGTGCACGTTTTCTGACATTTGTACCACGTTATTACATGTCCGCAGCACCTCGTGTCTTATTACATAGGACATCGGACCCGAAATATATCGCTATTATCTTCGCCTGTAGTTTTCCGAATTTCTACGTACTTACTTAAATACTCTGTAGTGACCTGTAGCAATCATCATCCAGTAGTTAGGAGCCGTTTCCTGACTCTGCGGTGTAACGACAGTCGCAGCGCTGGGCTCAAAACCCGTGTTCTTGATACTCATGTTAAACAGTATTCGTCCGATGCATCTCCGACATTCCGATCCCAACCCCAACGCCCGACCCCGACCCGAAAGTTTTGGACCCGACGTTTTTGCATCGGACTCGTCCTCCCTATGTCCTGTCCAGTCGTATCTACTCCCACTGGTGTGTATTTACTCTTTTTTGACTTGCTAAGCATTGTATACAGCATTATTACATGTTTTCTCATGGTCCGCAGTACCACATGTCCTATTACATAGGATTTCGGACCCGAAATATTGCTACTACTCTCGCCTATAGCAGTCCGAATTTCTACATAGTCACTATTTAATATCTAGTACTTCCTACCTATTGCATTACTTACTTTTCCCTACTCAGTAGTAGGATGGAAGTCATTGGATATTAGTAGTACTTGATTGTATTGCGAAATATCTATCCGCTCTTTTCCTCCGAAACATTCTGACACATCCGACATTCATTTGACCGACAATCCGACACATTCCTTTATTGTCCGACGCATTCCCAACAGTCCGACGCATTCCCGACAGTCCGATGCATTCCCGACAGTCCGACGCATAGTCCGACACCCGACCTGACTCCGATATTTCGGACCCGACAGTTTCCCTTCGGACAAGTAGTTCTTAGCTTTGGATTATCTTCCTATTATTGATAACTAACTATCTAAACTAATACCAAACAGCTACCCCTATAGGATCGAACACACTTGCTCTGCAAGTATAGCAGCATAGGTCGTGCTAAGATCTACCTAAATATTTGTTGTCTAGGTAGTATGATTTCTGCTGAGCCCAGCAGGAACCAGTTTTCTACAGCAGATCACCCAAAATATTCTCATAGTTCTTAGTTGCATTGTGAAATATTACCATTTGTTCACCGTCATACTCCATCACTCGTCATACTCGCGCATACCGCTCGCAATCCGACACTCGTTATAAAGTTTCCGACCCATTATTGTGAAGTCTGAAAGTCCGAAAACTCGGACATCACACTTTGGCTTCGGACATCGGATAAGTACCTTCAGACATCGTTTCGCACCATCAGACATTTAGTTATTTGCATTACTGACACATTTTTACTACTAATACCAATTAGCAATCCCTTTAGGATCGAACGCACTTGCTCTGCAAGTATAGCAGCATAGGTCGTGCTAAGATCTACCTAAATATTTGTTGTCTAGGTAGTACGATTTCTGCTGAGCCCAGTGGAAATCAGCTTTCTACATCGGGTTAATCTACAGGACAATAGCGGGAGGAATTAATTTGCAGGGGCCTCTCGCATCTCAGCCTTGCAACTTTGCATGCATTATTCAAGTCAAAGCTTGCTAGTTGCAAAGCTGCATGCCAACATCTTGTGTTGACGGCATGGGAAGTCGAGGAGTCAGAATGGTTCACAACATTCCTGAATGGACTCCATCGTGAGAACAAAGACCATCTGCTCTTCAGTGATGATGAATTGAGAAAGGTCAGAAACATTTTTTCTGACCGGTCACAGGAACAAATCAACGACGACACAAGCTACCTTCAAGCTGTCTACAACGAGGATTGTGAGATTCTTTGTGCCGTCTCCACCCAAGCCGAGGTACTCTCAAAGCACTTAGGCTTGCACATCAAGAAAGATATTTTGGGTTCCATGGGAAAGTCTTCTCACTCACCCCAATTCATCGGTACATCTTCAGATACTGACAATATTATGGATGATGATGAATCCGATGATGGTGATAATAACAACAGTGACAAGGTAGCTGATAGTGTTCATGGGTAGTTACGGTCGCCCAGAACTTCCTAAATTCTCAAATCATAGTATGTAATTTTCACTTTCGACCATTTTGCTCACACCAATTCGTATCATAGGAGATAACCGCCCATTGTCGGATCGTGCCATTCATACATCAATTTTTGAAACACCATGCTGTTTCCCCTGTCTATTCATTATGCTTCTTCAACTACCGCCATTTTCCCCTTTCTCCAATCTGCTTCTTAAACTGCTTTGAACCTTCCTTTGATTTTCTCTCAAATTTCCTGATATCGACCACAACATGTTCCATTGTTCCCAGTCTGTAAGTCGTGTACCGAGTTTATGTGTCCCCCTATTTGGTGTATGAAATCAATGTGACCTCCACATGTATGATTTTGTTCACTTATCTTCTCGACCACTGCCTGCATGCCAGGTAAGTGTAGTTCACAGCGCAAGGGCAAAGCTGCCATCCCCAAGCTGCCTAGGGGATCAGGCCTCAATCCATCTGGTTTTCTGGCTGCTGATCAACTGAATCTTCCTGCAGAGCAACCCCAAATGTCGGCCTTTGACTTCGATCCATATGCACTGTTTGTTGTAGGAGAGCAGCAAGGTGAGTGTTTTCAGGAACATGTTCATCGGTTGCTAATCAGTTGTGTAGGCACACAGCAGTCTCATGATGCCCAGGGCTTATTGTTCAGTCATGCACAGGGCTCTTCGTCTTACAGAGATGGAGATGGCCTATCATTGTCTGGTAATGCACAGGGTGGCTCATCATTGTTCAGTCACGCACAGCCTGAGGGCTCATTGTTGTTTGGTTATGCACAGCCTGAGGGCTTGTCATTGTTCAGTCATGCACAGGGCTCGTTGTTGCTCAGTCACGCACAGGGCTCATCGTCGTTCGGTCATGCACTGGGCTTGTCATCGTTTGGTCATTCACAGGAACCGTCATTGTATGCCGATGACAATGGCTACAATTTTTATGACCACTTCTGGGACATTCCCTCAGGTCCATCATTCTCTAATTTTCCACCTGAAAATCATCCTGGACAAGTGACACCCATGCCTTGATGTATTGAGGATGTGTCGGATGCAGGCTCCAATGTTGTAGGTCAATCTGGGGGCCTATTGCCCCCGGCCTTGAACCTGATGACGATCTGACAGGGAGAGATACCTGTATCGGAAGTAGTGCATGTGAGTGATTTTTTCTCTTGTTAATTGTTGCTTAAAAAAAATGCAGACAGTAGGACCTGCAAGGACGACCCGGGCGCACATGACCCACCTTGCCAACAACATGCCTGTAACACCATATCAAGTGTCGTGAACCCCTGCTGTTGCCACCAAACAGCATGAGACGCCAACTACTGTTCAACCTGAAGTGTCGTCGTCGTCATCTCAAAAAAAGATCAAGCTGATGACGGAAGATATCAATCATGCACTTAAGGACACCAAAGTCGGGATCACAGGACTTGTATTCACGATGAATGCTGGTGTACTCTAGACAGAAGAAGAGGCGCCTCATTGATAAGGCCATTGAAGACTTGATCCCACAATTTTATGGGCCTGATGGTGAGTCCTGCATGTTCCATTTTCTCTTACTAATCTTTGCAGTTGTATTTCAGCCTTTTATCACAAATGCACACTGTAAACAGGTCAGAAACGCCTTGTCCGCTAAATGTGGAAAAATAATAGATTTTGCATGGGACAGCGCTTGCGATGCATTCCAACTTTTCCCCCCATGAGGACATTCTTTACTACCAGACCAGTATCACACTGCCAGGATCAACTCACTCATTTGGGGTGCTGACCCTCTTCTGTTCATGCACAATTTTTATTTTGATGAGGTATGTTCAAGTGATTCTCATGTTTTACTATCTACTTACCACGTCTTTCACAGAACAATAATATAATTGTTCATGCAAAATTCCAGAACAGATTTGTCATGGCCAATGCTATTAGATTTGTGTGGTATTGGGGCTACACATCATTTCTTGACACATCCTCACTCAAGCCCATCAAGCCCATCAAGATCATCATAGGCATAGCTGGCGCAGCTACGCACTGCGCGTTATATGAACAAGCAAGGGCACAGTTGGACATTGACCCCTTCAGTGGAAGAGCTCACAGCGACAAATTCAGAGAAATCATTCGCGTGATGGATGGACTTACTGGCGAGGAGAAGATTGAGTTGGAGCAGTATTTACAGTATGTATTGGATATCAGACCATCACAAGTACGGGGTGAGGAGAGCTCGTTGGCACCTAACTCAGATATGGATGATTGATGTAGATAATGCAGATGATGTACTGGTACTAGTTTTTGCAGGTCACAATCTTTGTGATAATCTAGTCGATAACACAGGATCTTGCGTCACCGCATCGGATGATCTCTTAAGTCATGTCAGGGTCTAACTTAACCAAAAATGGGTATTATGGATGCTGACCTGAGCTAACTAAAAAGCATATGCACATGAGCATTTTGAGAGCATTGTGTGAGCACTTTTGAACCAAGTCACATTTGCTGATGTACCTACAAACCTATCTTGTTACCTTCTCAAGATTCTTCAATTTTAAAAAACAACAGACTCAAATTGGGACTTCCCATGCCACCAGCACTGCCACTTTCCTTATTTGGTAGCCACTCCTGGTACCCATTGCTTTGCAGCAAAGAAAACACGTGTTTGCGGCTTCCGCTGGACCATCACGAGTGAATGAAATACATGTACTTATTTGGGGTTCTTCAAACTCTTTAATACCTTCCTCCTCCTCATCAGAAACTTCACAACTCTGCATGTCACCAGCCTTTTGTTTTCCACTATGATGACCATGCTCTTCTCTTTCAGCCTCAGAGTCAGAGATGGCACCAAGGTCCATGTTGCCATACTCTGGCAGGCTGACAGTCCAACCTTCACTGTCCAAGACTGAACATGAATCTTCTTCATCAATATAGTCTGGGTTATCCAGGTCCTCAACACTGTTAATATAATATTTACTGGAGAATTTGCTGCCAGGAGCTCAGTGAGCCTCAGCCCATCGAGCCTTCTTGTTTTTGTGGGGCATGTTATGATAGGAGACTGGCACACCAGCCAGTAGAAAATTTGAAATTTCACACCCGAAATTGGGACTGCTTACATAATCACCACCAAAAATTTTTATTGCAGATTCATGATCTTTCGACCTAGTTGTAGGCTAAAAATGCAAAAAAATTCCCTTATCGCACTAAGATTGAGTCCATAATAGAGAGGCCTATTTTATCTGTTTTACACTGTACTAAAGTCGGGATATCTGGAAAAATACATGATTAGCTAATGTAAGTTCTGTAAAGGGGATTGGTCAAAGATTCGTCGAGAAAAAAAAAATGGAATCCAAAGTCACGTGACCCACGGTTGGAATTCTGCATTGTGCTGACGCGTGCACCTAACTTAGGGTTCGGGATGCAAGTTGGCTGCGTTTTTTGGTGTTTCCACCAATCACGACCCAGGATGGAATTAGCTACAAGTACTACTAGCGTAATTGTAAAATAAATCCTCAAGTTTTGACAGCTATCAACCTGCTGCAACTTGAAATGTCAATTAATAATATTGGCAGACTCCTCAGGTGTTGACAGCGATCAACCTGCTGCAACTAATTTGAATTAAAATAATATCATTATCTACCAGGTACCTAGTAATATGTGTGTCATGCTTTGTACAAGGCAGTGGAAGTGCCAAAAAAATAACAATGGTTGCAGGTGCATCCGAGCCCAGGGAGGGAGCCTGCCCGGAAGTTTGAAATTTACAAAATTTACAAAATTTACTGTGTATTTCTCCTTCTTCCGCACTTTACTCACTTTACCCTGCCAAAAACACACTTTACAGCACTTTACATTGACTTGACACGTCATACATTTACACTTCTACCTTACCCTCTTCTCTTTCTCTTGTCTCCCTCCCGCTCATCCTGCACAGTTACCATAAATGGGTGGCTTAGGTACGTCGATCACGTGACTCTACTTCTTCACTCCATGCGCAGTGCTGCAGGCTGTGGACAACAACAACACTTCCCTTGGATAAGAGGTATTTTAGTCATACTTTTTTTTGTGATTCTTACTCATATTTTGCAGGGCTTCAGAACGTGATGTGGCACCAACAATGCTGCACTCACACTCACACCATTCACCCCACCCACCCAGTAGCGGCTCTGCTGTACTCGCATCTCATCATCTTCTACACTTCCCTCACTTGCGCCCATTTCAAGGAGCTGTGCATGGACGTGTTCCGTAGCACGCTCAAGCCTGTTGGTGGTTCCATGTGTATCCCCCACATTGTCAAACTCGTATCTGACTTCTTCAACAGCAAGGAGCCCAACAAGAGCATCAACCCTGACGAGGCTGTTGCATATGGTGCTGCCGTTCAGGCTGCCATTCTTTCCGGCAACACCTCTGAGAAGACCCAGGACCTCCTGCTTCTTGATGTTGCTCCTCTATCGCTCAGTATTGAGACTGCCAGTGGTGTCATGACTGCCCTCATCAAATGCAACACCACTGTCCCCACCAAGAAGTCAGAGACATTCTCGACATACTCAGACAACCAGCCTGGTGTCTTGATCCAGGCGTATGAGGGTGAACATGCATGCACAAAGGACAACAACTTGCTCGGCAAGTTCGAGCTGTCTGGTATTCCTCCTGCACCTTGTGGTGTTCCTCAGATCGAGGTCACCTTCGACATCGACGCTAATGGTATCCTGAACGTCTCCACATCTAACAAAACTACCGGCAAGTCAAATCACATCACTATTACCAATGACAAGGGTCGTTTGTCTGCAGAGGAGATCGAGCGCATGGTTAGCGAGGCTGAGAAATACAAAGGTATGTTTCAACTCTTCTATATCGCCATTAATAGACTAACCTTCCTTGTAGCTGATGAGACCGCCGCCCCCTACAGCAGTCAGGTGACACCTGCACCCAGCCCCTTTCTTATTGCCCCCCTTTCGAATAATCTTTGTCCTTTCGTACTATCATCATGGATCAGCATGGGAATCCCTGGACTGTGGGAGGTGAGCTGAGAACTTTGGCTTTGGGTGAGGTGCTGATGCTCTTCGTAGTGGGTTGCTTTATCTGCGGACAATAGAACCCTCAACAAGCTTGCATTGTCAGAGCTGAAGACTGAAGGCATTGACGGCAACCGCAGTGTCAAATTGTTCACGATTGGGATTGATGCTAGGTATGTTACTTCTCTTCTTGTGTCCATCAGTTGAACTGACTTGTGTTGTTAGTGCATGGATGCACAGTGTGTGCGCCGTCTTTCACACCAATCATGCAGGCGCTGGAAAGTCACCAGAGCTGCGCACACTTTTTTTCCGACTAGTCACGCTGCTCAAGCTACCCTTGCATGCTGTGTTTGTCTTTGATGGCCTGCAGCGCCTACCAGACAAAGGTCGAAAGGCCAGAAGCAGCCCCCACTGGCTTACGCATGACTTCCAGCGCATGCTGGAGCTGTTTGGCTTTCACTGGACACAGGTATGTTCTTTCCCTTAGCTTCCCTCATGGTGTTGTTGTCTCATCAGTCCACATCCAGGCTCCAAGTGAAGGTGAAGCCAAGCTCGCGGCCATGAATGCCCATGGTGTCATTGATGCTGTGATGACCGAGGATAGCGATATTTTGATATTTGGCGCTCTGTGTGTTATCCAAAGGTATGCCATCGTTTTCCTATCAATTCGTTACCATTAATTCTTGCTAGTGCGAAAAAAGACAAGGATTTTCTCAATGTTCAAGTCTACACTGAGGACAGCCTTGAACACGGCTGCTCCTTAACTCGAGGCGACAGACTTCTTATTGCACTGCTTGCAGGTGGCGACTATGATGGAGGTGTGCCTGGTTGTGGTATCGGAATCGCTTACAAGGTGGCGCAGCATAGCAAAATCGGCCAGATGATGCTCAACTCCTTCCTATCACTGACGCCAGATGAATTCTTGGAGCGTGCCAAGGACCTTGTTGAGGACCTGCGTCTTCTGCTCACTCAGGACCCTCACAATCTCCTCGAGCGCAAGTACAAGGTAGTCGCGGATCATATTCCACGTGATTTCCCACAGCATTCGTTAATCAGCAATTATGTCCATGCCCTCACGTCTTTTTCAGCAACTGGAAGTGGTACCATGATGCTGCGAGAGGATGTGTTATGCTGCCAGCCAGATCTTGCAGGCCTTGCCGATTTCTGCAGTCAGAATTTCGGCTGGGATGAAGACCCATTATTGAGAGAATGTACAGGGGTGTGTGGGAGGGCACATATCTGCGCACATTATGCAAAGTAAGTCACTCTGTGTTTTGTTGGTCAGTGTTGACCAGTGTTTCAGTTGCTAAACACTCAGCAGACCAGCCAAGCCTTTGGCCAACATCCCAAATCATTTCTCGCTTGACATTATGGCATTGAGATGAGATATCGAAATTTATGTTGTTAAAGTTGATTGTTGGCACTTGGGACACAACACCTTGGGCAACACTACTCCCAGGCAATTCTCTTCAATGTATGTGCGTCCTGACAGTCATTACTTGGCCACATGGCACCAGAAGTAGCACAGCAGTATATTAGCCTATAATCCATGTCTACATAGGCACCGCATCTCATTAACATCGAAGCTTGGTATGAAAAAAACACAAGACTAGTCACAGGCCCCTAATAAAATTTGAACTAGCTGTGACATACTACTATCTAGCGGGTTGCTTTCACAAACATGTGGCGCCTGAAGGAAAAAGCTCACCAAAAAGCCCCCCAGCCACCAGCACTGCCACAAAAAAGCTAGGCGAAAGAAGACATGGTGCACACAAAGACAGCCCTATCAGATGTTCAAAAGTGTAAGCAAAATGAATAGAGACTCACCTGCAGGTAACCAACACACGAAATAATTATGCCAGACATTTCGTCGTGGATGGGAGTGGCTGGAAAGCCATTTTGATCACTTGGAGTCCGAGTTCACTGTTGGGTGAAGATGGGAAGGACTCAGACGTGTACAAGGATCCGCGCATTCAAGGGATCATTCAGTCACATACCGAATAGGTGCTCGTACAAGGCATTGGTGCTC